AGATCGAACCCCCTAAAATTAAATGGATCTAACCCCCCCAAAATTTCCTTCCCTACCTAAATTTAAATGGATCTAGCCTAGATCCATTACTTTATAATAGCCTAGGATCTAGCTATTACGTACTTCTTCTTAGTATTAGTATAAGACTATTATAGGATAGTTATAAGGCTTACTAATCTCTAACTAATCTAGTTCTACGTTAGGTATCTCTTAGTTAAGTTTAGGCCCTAGGTAAAATATCTTAGTAGTTTTAGTAATAGGATTAGTAGACTTATAGTATAATAGTCTATAATAGTCCTCTAGAAATAAAGGTAGTAGTAATAGTTAAGATCTAGTAGAATAAGCGTATAAAGAAGAAGTCTATATATAAACTAGTAAGTAAATAAACTATATAAAGGAAGAAGAATATATAGTCTAGTTATAGTAAAGCGTAGTTATACTATATATATATAGGATATAATATAGTAATATAGAAATAGCTAGCTAAGGTTAAAAAATTATTAAAAGTTAATATACTATTAAGTTATAGGAAAGAACTATAAAACAATAATAATAGAGTAAGATATAATAGAGAAGGATTAGAGTATAGTAAGATATTATTATATAGTTTATATATAAGTAAAATATTATAATATTATATAGAGTCCTATATAATTATTATTATTATAATAGTCTATAATAGTCTATTAGAGCTATATAGCTATATTTAGAGATTTAGATAGCTTTTTCTAGAAGTAATTATTAGTAGGATAAATAGGAAATTAGGTAGGATAAATAGGAAATTATCTTAGTAGGATCCTATCTTACTAGGATTTATACTTAGTATTTCCTATCCTATCTTATCTAGTTCTATAGGGAGGTCTAAGTTAGATTAATATAGGGTAAAGAGCTATATAAAACTATAGACTATCTATCCTTCTTAGTTATATATAACTAGTTTATAGGAGGTATTAATATTGCTAATTAACTTAGGAGCTACTTTAATTACTAGCTTATTATAGGTTATAACTAGATATCTCTATTCTTCTAGTTAATTAAAGTTAGTATTATTAATACCTATCTACTCTATTAATAGTAGTATAATACCTAAGACTCTTAGTCCTCTTATAATATGTTAGTCTTAACCTATAAGGGCTTCTAAGTTCACCTTACTTAGGGTCTAATCTATTATAGTGTTTAAAAGCTATCTACTAAGGAGAGAAGATACTTAAAGGATAAGATAATTATAGTCCTAACTAACACTTAGAAAGTATAAGTAGCTTAGAAGGGTAGTATATTATAATCTTATAAGGGTAACTATATAACTAAGAAGGACAATATAAGACTCTCTTAAAGACTTATATAACTATAGCAATATTATAAGGTATTATAGCCTTATTAGCGTAGCTATTAGTACTATAGATAGCTTAAGCGATAACGTTAATTATAAGGTAAGGTAAAGAAGACTACTATATGCTACTTAGAGTACTAGCTAGCAATATATATTAGTTATTTTAAGGGGTTCTATTGCAAATAGGTCAACGAGTACATGTCTAATTAAATTATACCCGAGTTTTCTCTGAACTTGCGAATATCGTCGATTTTTGGTGTGAAAAGGCCCGTGCTCGTAAAAGCCAGATATAAGCGAACCGCGGCGGTACCTACGGCCCCAAGAACTCAAATCTCAAAACCTGTGAAGGGATGCCAACGTCTCCGCAGATTTGCTGGCCATCAAGGTGTTTTCCAACCGAGAGCCGCACGCGTTCAATTTCGCTCGCGTTGCTGCCTTGACGAACTTGCTTGCTTCCGCCGACTCCATCGCGACAACCTTTGCTGGTCTTTTCTCACGCTCCAGTCAAGTCCAGCCCACGGATACCGACGGCGCGCCGACCTTCTTCGCCTCGGCCACCACGTCATGAACACCATGCGCCCTTGACCGCAGCACCTTTCGCAAAAGGTCGCCTTCATCTTAGCAATCGCGCGATCGCCAGTCCCATCCAACAACAGCAAGTTGCAGCACAGAAAGAGAAGGATCATACCCGCATTGGCGGCTGGAAGAAAGTGCTCGGCAGGCTGTTGGGCTACTTCAAGCGATGCGACCCTACGTTGACGGCGGCGGCGGCGACACGGCTTGAACAACAACGGTCCCGTCTTCTCTCCTTCTCTAGTCGCTACCGCGCAGTTCAGCGACATCCTCTGCACCCTTGCGATGCGACAAGTCTGCGCCCTTCATGTTGAGACCGGCAAGGCCCTGCATTTTGGAGTACCTGTCCCTTTGAGACACCACTTGAGACGCGTTCACTTCCTTGACAACCACAACCCGCCCCTCTCTACTGTCTAATATCGCCGACCATACGTCTTCGACAGGCGTCCAAGCGACACTCCGCCACCTCCACCACCGAATATGCGGGTCATGTTCCTCCAGTACAAGCCTGTTCTTGCGCATGGGTTCCTCTCGCGCCGCTATCGTATCCGACACATGCAGGAGATATCCCTTGACTCCGCCTCATCCCGATATTGTTTGAGCTTCCCCGTTCCTTGTGCAGCCAGATTTGCCCAGACCTCAACTTCAAATACGATCACTGCCGTAGCAGACTTGATTCGGGTCGCCTTTCCTCACCAGTCTCGGTAGACATGCAGCAAAAACCTTCGGGATCATCTCAAAACCCTGCCTCCTGTCGTCAAAACGAAATGCTTTCTCCGAGCGCGCACTGCTTCACGGCCACGAAGTCTCCTCACTCCAGTCGCAGCACGACCTCGCCGCGTCCTCGCTCCAGCCTTCGGGTCTGCGCTGCCTAAATCCAAGTCCACGAAGACTCCCGGTCAGCCAGTTCATGTTCGAATGGCACGCCTTCCCGCGAGTCTACGGTCGTCTCCGCTTCTGTGCTCCTTGCCTCTTCCCGCTCATATGCGTCATCCAGTACTTTTCTCTGCTACACCACCACTGCCAGCATCTTCTTTGGCGCTGGCTGGAATGGTCGCGGCAAAGGACCCATGCACTCAAAGTCGCGTCATTTTGATCTTCGCCGCTCTCGCTCTTTTCACCGAGTAAAGGATGCTCTTCCCATTTTCCGCAAGGCCCATGTCTTAGCGAGTCCCCGAACACATAACCACTACCTCTGCAAGGTGCGCAAGCACGCCTGATGGGCTGCGAATCCCCTGCTGCAACTGGCACTCCCGTATCGCCCTCGACGAGTCCTCTACTGTCGCTGCAGCGCTGCTCGCTCCACACGCCCCTTCGCGACGACTGCTACAGCACATAAACGTTCGCTTTTCTGGTCTGGCTCTCAAGACTATCGACACTGTCTCAGAACGCCATCTTCCAACAAGGAAAAGCCTCCGGACTCCTGCCCATAATTTTCAGACGAACAAAGCTTCGCCCACAAGATTGCCGCGGTTCTACTCTGTGTAGCTCCTCAGCTCTAATGATGGTGTCTCTCGAGGGTCACTCGTCATTACACTGCCTCATGCGTTCCATCTGTTCCTGTCGCCATCTGTCTGTCTAACTCCTAAAGCAAGAGCCTGTCCTTGACGGTCTTTGATCAAGTCTGCTGCTTCTTTGTCCTTCGTGTTGTTCGAAGTCACTCTTGTCTGCCACTGTTTGTGCATTTCATCTTGCGCTTGCCTACGATTTCAAGCTTGGTGTTTTTGTTGGCGTCCCAAATCAGAAGTTGGAAGATACACTTGAGGGCAGCAATACCTGCGGACGCGAAGCCTTCTACAGTAGATGAGCCTACTTTACTTTCATACGATGCATAGTTCAATTGATCCTGCAGAAGAAGATGGACTGCAGAAGAGGCTAGACTGTGAAGACTGAGGAGAATCATGTGAACATGAAGTTCCTAGTAGCTCTTGAGTACATGAAGCCAGGTAAGTAACGTCCGCGGGATGCCTCAGGTTAAGCTCGTCTTTCGGGCTACAACACAGAAGCAGATGAAAAATTGTGATTATACAGAGAAAGAGAAGTGCTCGATGAGCTCATGACTTTCCACGGACCTTATACGCCCGGAAGGACCGTATATCCTCTCTGGGACGAGTAGCTTCGAAGCGCAAGCTCAAGACTGTTGTCCCTATCGGTATTGTTCATCTGCGTCGCCATCCCTTGGCTTTCCGCGGTCTTGAAACTTGATGACTGCAAAGCTCTCCAGATCCTCGTCTAGGCGACTGCGCCTGAGTGAATCTTTGAACTATTGAAGAGTATAGTGCGATTGTTTTCGAACGTCTCCGCGCAAGAACAAGATTGGTGACTGATCGCGATGACATTTCTGGTTATCCTAGCATGTGTTTAGCTTAGCACTGTTGGTAAAAGGCCAATACGTTGTGAAAAACAGGCTCTTCGCGACGAAACACATAAAGGGTTGGCTCAATGCCCGATGTTATCCCAACATCTACATGTATGGTCCCTTGTCTCCTCTATCATCCCAAAACCAGAAGCGTACCAGTCAAAGCGGCAGCCATCACTGCTGCAAAGCAGCCCTTGAAATTGTTCGAGGCAGATCCTCTCTCTGACAACACCCAGCAATGTTCTTGTTTGACGGACTCGGCTTTGCTCACGATGGAGAAGCTCTGTACACCACCGGGAATGACATATCTCTCTCCGTCTTCATTCTGACAGCTGAATCCATACCATGACAACCCACCCGTCTCGCGACAGTCTTCTCCTGGGAACACCTCAACAGTTCTGGCGGCGTCCTTGCCAGTTCCGATGCCGCTGGAGTCGCCGTTGACGCTGGTGTTGAGCTGTTGGTAGAACAGAGACGTGTAGTTGGTCTGCGAGTTGAAGTTCTGTGCGTTGGAGACCACGTAGGAAGATGCGCTGCTTGCGTTGCCGTCGTTGTTGAAGATGTCGGCAAGGTTGAAACATGCGATGGTCGAAGGCGCGCTGGCAGTGGAGAACGTGACGTTACCTTGTCCGTCGTTGGCCGAGAAGGATAGTGTCAAGTTATTGATTCTATCTCGCTCGTCACCGGGTGATCTCAACGCGACGTTGAATATGAACTTACGAGCTTTGAGCTCTCACATATGTTGCGAGGAGGAGGAACTGGAGCGACCAGATACTGCGTTGGATGTACATGGTGCAAACGACAGGTGGAAGACCAAACAGTGGGAGGGTTTGAGTTACGAACCCAAGTGGTGAGAGTCCAGGTACTGAACGAAGTTGATAAACAAGAAAAGAGAAGGCAGGGGTGGATGCGCAAAGCCCACTCAAGTACGGTCAGGCAATGGCATGCCGTGTAGGATTTTGCAGGCCAAGTGGCATCTATTGTTGGTAATAGATCAAGATGCCTGAAACAACAATCGGAGCAAATGATGCCAACAAGATCACTGCCGCTTGTCGCAGCAGGCGATTAAGCTGCAAGCCTCATGAAATTCGGCGGCTACATGCAGGCCCTGTGAGGCGTAGATTGCGTCGGGCGGGTAGCCTGAGCTTCTCTTCATCGACCTCGGACTTGCACCGTGATTGGTTGGTCGACTGGCTATGCAAGAAAGTGGACTCGCAGGAGGCAGGACAACCATCGGGTGTTGTCTCAATCTGCGTCCAGTCGCTCGAACGCAAGTCGGAGGTTCGTTCCCACGCAGATTGCAGCGAATCAGCATCTGTTATCTTTCTGCGCCATGCCTTCGTTGCTTTTGCAACTCACGCCGGGGAGTTTCTGTCACAACACCAACTCTTTTCATAAGAGGTCCTAGCAAGGCATGTTGTTGATGCATGACAGGAAAATGCATGACAAGATAGATCGGCGAGCGACAACTCGGTTCTAGCTGTGTGCCCTGGATCTTGGAGGGATCGGCGGCGCGACCCTTCGAAAAGGGTCGCTTGCCGAACTCCGGGGCGCCTGATTTGCTTCTCTTCCATGGCCATTCACAACACACAGGACTTATTCTCGCGACCTAGTCATTATGAAGAAGGAGTCATGCAGATTACGCCGCAATCATCACCAGATCTGGTACCGGGCACGCCGCAGTGCAAGGCGTTCATTTGACTTCCCTGCGCCGTCCGCTGATCTTGACTCAAGATGCGGCACTGCAATTGAAGAGGGTTTCGGTCTGACTCGCTGGTCTGTTACAGCATGACTACAGTTGCCTGGGAATTCAGTGTTGGAGGTCAAGTTCCAGAGCCCTAAAATACCAATGCCAATATTCCTAAGCGTCTAGCGATGGGGTCAAGGAGAGACCGTAGGCTACATTCATCTTTCTGCGCGGTCGCGATGCTGGAAGACTAAACGATTACCTTTGCAGTCGACAAACCCGCATATCCTATGGACCGGTTGCAAATTGGTGAAAGTGTTGCTGCATCGCCTCGAGCGGCTTTCAGACATGTGGAGGCACTCTCCCCGTGTAGGCATGCATCATGCATTTTTGCACAGCCGTTGGTGTTGGCTCCCACCATCTGTTCTGCTGGAGATATACCTGGTATACTCATAGTCGCGAGGGCGTTCAGGCCAACGCCAACACGACTAACCGCCTAGGATAGGCACGAATACCACGGATGTGATGCTTTATGCCCATCTATGATCCTGAAGGATGGATGTTCAAGCGGCCAACATCCTGAATCAATGTCACAAGTGTGCGAACGTAGCGATGTGGGTTGATGCAAAGCAAACTACTTGAATACAAAAGCTCCCTCCAGCAGACTCGGATTCTAGACATCATCTCACTCACAGCAAGCCTTCTCTAGTACAGCAATCTTCTACTTTCAAATCACCTTCTCACACAACACCTTCACCTTAACCCTCATACCAATCATCGCAATGGCTCTTGGTTTCGTCGACGCTATCGGTCTGCTTGGCACTGGTTTAGGTATCATTCAGTTTGGCTTGGACAACTTCGTTCCCGATCAGAAGGATGCTCAAGGTACCATCGTCGGAATCAAAGGCGGCGACGGCGCAGGAGCTTCGAACACTCTGGTAGGCAACCTTTGCATCACTTCAGCAAGACAACCGGTGGTATCTGACAAGTCCAATCAGGGTGGTAAGATCTCCAAGGTCTATGCCTACAACTCCCAGAACGTGCAGCTCGGCACTGCGGGTAGCCAGACTATGGCTGGCAATGCCGACTACCTGACCTACACTGTCGACCAAGATGTACCTGGTGCGCAAGGCCAGTATGTTGGGATCCAGAATGGCAACGACGCCACCTGTATCGCATGGATTACAGTCAAGATGTTCGACAATTCCCTCGGTGGCGCTTGGACCGGAGACATAGGTCGCTCGTACGTTTTGCTCCCCTCCACGCTCTTCAATGCTGTTATTTCAAAACTCACAATGTTACTCCAGATGTGGCCAATCTTGGTTCGAGAGTCAAGAAGTTGCAGGTCAGCTCGAAGATGGGAGTGTTTATCGCCCTTCTTGCACATGGCTCGACGGCAATCACGACAATGAGATCCCAAGCGCAGCTCTCAAGTTCTCAACCTACTCCTATGGTCCCGATACCAGCCATGTCACGCTCGACAGAGATGCATGTGCATCCACCATCTTCGCCGCCGATGAGAAGGAAATCAAGGGCAAGTCTCACTCTCGCATCCCGTTGATCTTGATCTGACTTGATGAATACAGACGCACCTATCGACACTAGCATGGCCAAGCGAAGCAACCTCCAGCGTCGTGCCCGTCTCTCTTGGATGGAGCAGAAGCTCGTCATCTCCAACATTCCCTCCCACAGCGCAACCAATCTTTGCAACTCGGAAACATCCTGGGGCCCTGACTTCGCCGATAGCTATGGAATGCTCTGCGACATGGGCACCAAGACTTTGTACACCTTGTGCTCCAAAGAGCAGATCGACGGCTGTGTCAACATTTCCACTGAACAATATCGAAACAGCACCAACACAGCGTCTGTAGCTATGCAGCAGCGCTCGATCGCCAAGCGCACTGTGTCTACCGCTTTTAAGACTTACGAGCAAACCTCTGTTTGGGGTGACAACAACTGAAGGGGGCCAGTCAAAGATGGGCTGCAGTCGGTGGTGAAGTCTACAGTCTGCAGAGTCAAGACGGTGCAATAGGTGGCAGGTGAAGCGACTTCACGGTTCTCTTTTTTGGGAGTTCATAGAGATATACAGAACGGTGATATGAATGTTGTGTTTTGAGGAAATCTCCAAATTACGAATGACTTAGTGACCACCCCAGCCTAAGTTGTCCATCATCTGTTACAGAGTGATTGTTAACTTCACGAGTCCTGACCTTCACCCGAAGTTTAGGAAGAATACTTGTTAGCAATCTCCTTCCTCACGGCTGGCAGGATATGCGTGCCGTACTCGACAGCATCATTGAAGTTGTCATATCCACGAATCGAGATCAGATCTGCTCCAAGCTCGACATAGTCAAGGATGGAGTCAGTCACTGTCTGATACGAGCCAACCAATGCGGTCGAAGCTCCTCTTGCATTCGTTGCGGTCACGGTCGGATACCACAACGCACGATCTTGGACCTCGCCACGCTTCGCAATATCAAGCAAGCGCTGCGATCCGACATTTTGTGGCGCAGGTGCATTGGCAGGAGATTTCCCTACACCATTTGCAGTGTTGTGAGTCAACGCATCCAATGTCCTGTGTGCTTTGGCCCAAGCAAGATCATCAGTTTCTGCGGTGATAGGGCGGAAGGTAACCCAGATGCGAGGACGGTCAGTGCGACCTGCCTTCTCGGCCTCGGCATAGATGCGATTGATCTGTTCCTTGGTCTCTTTCAAAGGTTCACCCCAGAGACCGAAGATATCAGCAAGCGAGCCACCAATCCGGTAAGCTTCGTCTGAGGAGCCGCCGACAGAGACAGGGATGTTCTTGTTGGTAGGGACGACATCGCTGTGGAAGTTCTTGAAGGTGAAATAGGTTCCTTCCCAGTCGAAAGGCTCTCTGGATTGCCAGGTACGTCTCAAGATCTTGATGTACTCTTCCAAACGGCCATCTTCGGTTAAATGTAAGCGGATTGATCAGATTTTCCAATTCAGAAGTGCTTACATCGCTGATCCTTGGTGAGAAAGTCGCCTTCCTTGGCCTGTTCAGCATCGCTCCCGCCAGCGATGAAGTGCACAACCACGCGACCTCCACTCAATTGATCCAGAGTAGCAAGAGCCTTGGCTGCCACAGTTGGGTAGAGTGTATTCGGTCGCAAGGCGATAATGATCTTGATATTCTTGGTCTTTGCCAGAACGGTGGCACCAAGTGTGAATGGATCAAACCCAGATGATCCGTAAGGGATCAGAGTGTAGTTGTAGCCATAGTCGTCCAAAGAGCGGGCATATCTTTCCAGAAACGCTGAGTCTACTCCTGCTCCGGGTATAGGTTGCAACTCATTCGAAGCATTGGGAAACGTAACGCTGATGAACTCTGTAGTTGCCATGTTGGTTGAAGGGTTACTTTGAGTGATAGGGTCTGGAGGAATCAGAGTCAAGGTGAACGTGAGCTGAGTCTGGTATCTGCCTTCTGGGCAGCGACGTGGTTTTGACTTGCCTGGACGATCTTTCGAGGTAAGAAGTGATTACCAATGCGACCAAAATTGCGACAGCAGATTAGCAAGCACGTCAAGGTGATCCTTCCGATTACGGGCACGACATGTGTATGGAGTGATATGCAGTCGCGACCCGTAGAACTGCGCTTCCTTGTTGTGTAGCCCCGAAACACCCGCTTTGGGCTGTTATCACCGAACTACATTGATTGGGATTACAGGTCATCAGGTTGTCTCGATATTGAGAAGACCAGTAGACAAATGTTGAGAGTCGAGGTGGAGTTCAAGTGTAGGTTGACGAAGGTGTCATTCCGCCTAGAATCACGCAAAGCAACCCCGACCCCGAGTGCCGAGAAACAATCGACATATCACACCTTTGGACATACCTTACCACAAACCGAATCCACAGCATTCAATGGCGGGTCATATCGAAGACGCAATTCTCATCAGCAATGAGCGCTTTTGTTCTAGCCCTTGATGCTGCAGACATCAGCTACTTGGCAGGATTCAAGACGTTGACATGTGCAGAATCTCAAGTATATAACCTGTCGAACATTGTGATAAGGCGTCAACTCTGAGAACACCTATCAATCGACATGGCCGACCAAAAGGATCCCAAGCAAGTCATTGACTCGGAGGTCTATGCGCTAGACAGCGAAGCCAGCCAGACCTCCAGGGAAACCGTGGTTGTGAAGCCATTGAAGACCTGGAAAGGATATCTCTGGGACACTTGGGAGCTCCCTCCAGATCAACGCTGGCTCCTCTTCAAGGTTGATGCTTTTGTGTTAACGTTCGCATCACTGGGTTACTTCCTCAAGAACATTGATCAGACCAATGTCAACAATGCTTTCTTGAGTGGCATGAAAGAAGACTTGAACATGTATGGGAATGAGCTTGTCACCAGTCAGTCTTGCATTTCCAAAGGACATTATCCTGAGCTTACCTTCTGCTACAGGCACATCTATCTGGACAGTCGGATATGTCATTGGCCAGATTCCTTCCAACTTGCTCCTCACAAGAGTATCTCCTCGCTGGGTCATACCTTCTCTTGAGGTCGGTTGGGGTATTGCGACAATCTGCACATCACGAGTCGAATCCTACAAAGCTCTGTACGCCTTGCGCTTCCTCGTCGGCTTCTTTGAGTAAGTCTTGTCTTTTCCGTTGTGTGAGCAAAGCAGTAGTCACTGATATTCCACTAGATCAGGCTTCTACCCAGGCATACATTACATGCTGGGCTCATGGTACACTCCGAGAGAGATCGGCAAACGATCAATGATCTTCTGGCTGGCCGGTTCTGTTGGAAATATGTTCAGTGGCTTCCTTCAAGCTGCCGCATACAAGAACTTGAGCGGCGTTCACGGTCATGCAGGTTGGCGTTGGTTGTTCATCATCGATGGCATCATCACCCTACCGTTGGCCTTGATGGGCTACATCTTCTTTCCTAACCTACCACAAGATGGAAAGAGGACATGGTGGACGACTGAAAAAGAACACGTCCTTGCTTCGGAAAGAATGAAGGCTATTGGCCGAGCTGGGAAACAACCTTGGACCAAGGCAAAAGTCAAATCGATCTTACTCAGTTGGCATACCTACCTACTTCGTAAGTTATGACCGGAAAGCTTGTCAGTGAGGCGCCCGTGTGACTGACTTGTCTCCAGCGCTCTTATACATTGTCTGGAACAATGGCTCACCGCAAGCCGGCATGGGATATTGGTTGAAGAGCTTCAATGCTAAGCCAGCACCTGTGCCCGGAAAACATTACACAGTACCACAGATCAACAACTGTAAGTAACGAAGGCGTCGATCTCTTGCATTGCTGACAATTCACCAGTACCGCTTCCCAATACTGCCATTTTCATCGTCATGGCTCTGTCATGGGGTTGGCTTTCTGATGGTCCATTGAAAGGTGCTCGTTGGCCATTTATATATGCTGGCGCGGTTATTACTGTAAGTTGTTGTTGCTTGTTTGGATGTCGAGTCGCGAAATCGTCTGATAACATCTTCTAGATGGTCTTCCACATCGTACTTCTCAAGATGCCGCTGTATACAGATATCACCGGGCGCATGATTGTGTACTGGTTCGCCAACATTGGAGTGAGTAGCGTGATGTGCTCAAATGACCGGTGACTTGAGGCTAACATCCATGGCAGATGGGCGCTGGACCGCTGATCTTGAGCTGGATCAACGAAATTTGCAGCGCCGATACCGAGAAACGAGCTCTTCTGGTTGCAATGGCGAACGATCTTGCCTATGTCGTACAGGCAGTCGTAAGTACCTATCGTATCGCCTTACGGTATACCAAAGCTGATTAACTTGCAGGCACCCAACTTTGTCTGGAAAACAACCGAATTTCCTGCCGCTCAGAAGGGATATACCTGGGTTGCGGTACTACAGGGTCTGCTAAGTGAGTTTCATTCCGCACCACATCCAACAGGGCTATGCTGATTTTCTCAGTCGTCGTGACTGCAACCATCCAGATATTGTTGTGGAGGGATAGGAAGAAGAAGGAGAAACAGGTAGAGGACGACACGCCCGTGGTCGATGGCTTGGAGCCTATCGGTCAGGCATGAGGCGGATGAGAGACGCAGCATTGCGCTCGGTTGCTCAAGATGCGCTGCAGGACTGCATTGATCGAGTAGCTGTAGCGAGTCGGGGTGCTGGTGTGTGTAGCCAATGAATTCCCTGCTCTTTCTTAACATCACCGTATGTATTTCCAACTTTTAGAGCTCGAAGACGTCGGTATCATGAGAACGGTAAGGGTTCTGGGTCGGGAGTAGGAGTGGCTTGATCGCGCAAGTGAGCTGGCTGCGGCTGAGTCAACCAATGCAGAAAGAGCTTCGCGAAGGCTGCCCAGAGGCGCAAACATCGTATCGGATCCTATCCGACTTGAAGAAGAGCGAATGGTAGCTCAAAGCCTTGGATCTAAATGCAAAGGCCTCAGGGCAAGTCCTGGAGCAGCCATTGTGTCGACGCGGGAGTCGTTGTTGTCAGGCGGCGGGCTCGTTGAATGCGCTCAGCTCGAAAGACTTGCTGCTAGGCTGCTGCATCACTCCGTTGTCAAGGTTGATGATGAGTCGAGCGGTATGCGACACTGCTTGGGGTATGTGTTCGCTGAGGTCATGACGCGAAGGTCGAGGGGAGATGAGAGATTTCCTTGTGGTGCTGCTCGGGCAAGCCGCCAAAGAATTGCAGCGTGAGAACAAGGGATCAGTCTCTCGCTAAACAGACCGAGCACGGTCAATATGTTTATAGAATTCCTTTGAAGATGTTGTTGATCATGAGGTTATGGAAGCAACACATGCGATGCGATGGAACACGTCCTTCATGCACCTACTCCAAAGATAGGCGTGCACAGTCGCGTGTACCAGGATGCAGTCGTGCGGGGTACGACATTGGACCGTCTTCCATCTTTCAGAAACTTCCTTCTCCTTTGAGTGAGATTTTGCGTGATTTGAATTGATCTCTGTATTGATATTCCCACAAGTGCGACATGGATTTTCTGATCGCCTACTTCACTGCCCGATCAGCGCTCTCGTTGTTAGCTCTGACGCTCGCGCTCCTGCTTGCTGCTCGACTACGAAACAGTAAAGCGACAGTCCCAAAGACCTTGCCATGGGTGGGGAAACCGACTGGTCCCTTAGCTGAGACTCGAGCAAGTTATGCCAGCTTCAACAATGTCCGCCAATGGTTGGCGGAAGGATATGCAAAATATTCGAAGAAGGGCAAGTCATATATCTTTCCTGACTTCTCTGGAAAGCCGACCATCATCATACCGAACGATAAGCTGCGCTGGTTGATCGATAACTCAGACGATGTCGCCAGTGTCGCGGCTGTTCATTACGATTTGCTGGCTGGCGACTACAATTTCACCTCTCCACATATCCTCAAAACGTTGTACCATGAGCATGTGGTACATCGTAGTCTAGCCAGGAACCTCGACGATGTCATTCCAGGAACGTGGGATGAGATTCAGCATGCTTTCAGGGACACCTGGGGCACTGATACCAAAGTGTGGAAGGACATTTGCGTGTTCGACAATCTGATGCAGACCATTGCGCGGGTCTCAAACCGTATGTTCGTTGGCCTTCCTCTCTGCCGCAACAAGACTTACCTTTCCAACATGGGCGCTTTCGCTCAAGATGTCATTCTTTGCATGACCCTCCTCAACTTCACGCCTGCATTCACGAAGCCGCTTTTTGGACGCATCTTCTCGATACCTAACATGATTCATTACAAGCGCACGTCCAGACTTACCGTTCCCATCATCGCTCAGCGTATCGAAGATATCAACAACAAACGCGAGGTACCCAACGACTATTTGACATGGCACATCAAGCTCGCGAATGCCGAGAGCAGACCTGAAGAAGCGACACCAGAGATGATAGCAAGGTACTTGATGCCCCTGAACTTTGCAGCCATCCATACCACGACGTTCACCATCGTGAACACTTTCTTCGACATTCTGGGCTCTGAGCCTAGCAAGGAGGTGCTGGAGGGTCTTCGTGAAGAAGCTGAGCGTGTGTTTGCAGAGGCCAATGGTGTGTGGACGAAAGCATCACTGAGCAAGCTTGTACGCGCAGACTCGGCAATCAAAGAAAGCATGCGTGTCAGCAACTTTGCGACGCAAGGTGTGCAACGCAAAGTGGTCGCAAGAGAAGGACTCATGAACAGCGAAGAGGGTTGGACGGCACCGTATGGCTCAATCATCGGCATCGACGTACACAGTGTGCACCACGATCCCGACGTGTATCCTGAGCCCAACACATACGACGCATTCCGCTTCTCGAGACCTAGAGAAGGATTCGAAGCAGGTGCTGGCGGGGACAAAGACGCACGAGGCTCTCTGGGCATGAAGAACATGGGCATGATCACGACCAGCGACACTTTTGTGCCTTTCGGGCACGGCAGGCACGCGTGGTAAGATGATGTCTCTCGCCTGTGAAACCTCCGACTGACCGTTGACTAGTCCTGGCCGCTTCTTTGTGAACCACGAACTCAAGATGTTACTGGCGCACGTAGTCATGAACTACGATGTGCAGTACCTCTCGGAGCGACCAGAGAACCAGTGGTTCGGAGCGAACGTGATCCCGCCCATGAAGACCTGTATCAAGGTGCGCCACAGGTCTGGCACGACGCAGGGACAGTAGACATCCTGACTCATATGCCCATACACTTCCTTCTCTTTCCCGTGTCCGTGAACTTCCAACTCTTGCTTGTGCCTGTATCCACTTCCGACTCTTGTAGCCCGTCAAACGGCGGTTGCCTGACGATGAGAGTCTGGCGGCGGCGGAATCGTACGGAAGCGAAGTTTGATTGCGGGAGATACGATGGAGGCCACAGGAGGGAATGCGACAAGCAAGGACTCTGTCGTGCTCGAAAGGATGGTGGGAGAAAAACAATTCGAAAGAATGTCAAGAGGGAAGTCGAGATGGTGATTATTGTTGCTATCGTCTTGGGTTCGACATGTTGTGCGAAGGACAGAAAGAGAGTTGCTGCGGCGCTCGGGAGAAGTTCAGAAGCGCGGGGCCGAAGACCGAAGCTGAACGCCGGGTCGAGAACCTTCGCGGACCTTTGCTCTCTCTCATTCTCACTCTCGCAGCTTGCCATCATTCCAAGCCTGCCCGAAGCCAAGATATAGAGACATGTACATGAAGGGATACAAAGATCAAGCTGGATCGCTTCCATGACCTGGTCGACTTGATTGTTGGCATGACAGAAGGAAGCTTTACTCACGCGCACGATACTTGGACATGTACAGCGTTCTGGCCTCTCAGCTATGCTCTTCGACTCTTCAGCTTCAGATCTGTGGCTGCCGTGAGCCGCAAACCTTCGTATCTTCTCACTCTGACTTTATCGAAAGACGGATGCCGCAACCCTCTGTCCAGTGGACAGTGACGACGACCCGGACTCTGCGGACAGAGCAAGCCACCCTCACTGTACCAAGCTCAGACATGACCGAGAACGTCTCAGGTAGACAATGAACCCTGTACCGGAAGTCTGGATTGCAAGAGAAGTCACAGTCGCTGCGTATAGATGCAGATAAGAGGCAGAGCCAAGCTGTGTTCCGTATGCAAGAATAGCTCCGGAATCTACCAAGTACTGCCGCACACTGCGCTGTATGAGCCCAAGACGATATATAAAGGCATTGATACACCTCCGGTAAGAACTCATCAGCAAGTCGAAGCATCTTCAATTCTTTCCAACCTCTTCTTTCTATTCCATATCATCCAAGACACTCACAAATCAAACTCTCTATATCCTCCATCATGTATTCGTCTTTTTGGGCCTGCCTCTTCGTCTCCCTTCTGGCCGCCTCCGCCAGTGCCCTGCCAAAGGGTGGCGGCGGCGGTGCTGCTGCTCCCGCCGCAGCTGCTGGACCCGCCTCGGCCAAAGTCGTCATCTACAGCAGCTACACCTGCGTAGCACCGAATACTGTAAGATACAAGACCTCACCATCAACCCAATCAAAGGATGTATTACTCACCATCCTCAAGCTACCACCCACAGATGGAAGCGCAGGAACAGCAACCACATTCACAATCACAGAAGGCCAATGCACCATCCCCACCGTCGGCCTTTCATTCGGCGGCGCAATCACTGCGACTTTGACAGCAACGCCAAAAGCAGGCACTCTCGGTTGTAAGTTCAATGCTTGCCACCATGGTCTGAGAGCATCAGCTAATCACAATCAGGCTACGTTCTTGGACACAGTCAACAAGGTTGTGGCATCACATTGACAAACACACTCACCGGTTTCCCCTTCGGAGGAACTGCAGTCGGAAGCAGCGTTGGTTGTGGAAACCCACCTTCCGGCACTTCTTGGAATGCTTTCGAGGTCTTGTGTCAATGATTCCGGACTCATTCATGTGGTTGTTAGATGGTTGAAGCGCGAACGTACGCAGAACATGAAGTCGATTCTCTCTCTCTTCATTTCTTCCGAGTCCTCGATGTGTCGAATATAATGTGATTATCATGCCGGTGTGATTCTCATGGAGACCGAGCCCAGGTCGTTTCCTGTAGATGCGTCAATATTCTCGACAGCTTTAACGACGACATCTTCACTTCTTCCTTGCAAGAAAATAGCCACCGTCAAGGCTTGAGTATCATTCGAATGGGACCGCATTGCAGGAAGAGAGGTGTATTCAAAGAGAGTCAATGATAAGAATAAGAATGATTGTTGATGATGGTGATTACAGATCCTTGTGACGCCTATGCTCAATGACCCAGAAAAACGGAGGACCGTGATACCCATATTACACTTTCTCTTCCATCTACTTCCTCTTTTCTACTTCTTGAACGTTCCTCCTGTAGCTTTGGCAGCTGTACTTCTCGTAAATCTGCCCAGCTGGCTCAGGCTACTCTTGCTCTTGCTGTGTCCTTGTGTTTGGGTGGGCGTGGCAGCTGGTCGTGTGATGCTAGCCGCACTTCCTGGCCTGCCCAGTCCGGAGAGTCTGCCTGTTGCTCTCTCTTTTGCTGGTGCAGAAGCTTCTTTGTTGAGGGTCGGTGATTCGAGATCGTCGTCCATGTCTGGTAGGGTCAAACCGTTGGGAAGGGTGGTCAGGCGTTGAGGTCGTTGTTGTGCGCGGCGTGCTTTCTCTTGAACGGACTTGAACTTTTCTAGCAGGTCGGACCATTTGATACCTGGATCTTCGCGGGACTTAAGGCGATTCGGCCGGTCGAATGTAGACACTGATGGTGTTGATGGTGCTCTGTGTGGAGTCAGTATCATAAAGTGTGATGTAGAGAAAGAAGAAGAAACTCACGTTCTCGGGGCAATGTGCAAGTAGCCGATAGCGCTGACACTGTTCAGACGATTCTTGAGTGCTGCAAATGCCGAAGATTGGGGTAGAAGCATCAAGAGTCCATAGAGACACTTGTAGAGGTGAGGGAATCGCTCCGGTTCAAGAAGCTGGAGGCGGAGGTAGGTGAAGACAGGAGACTCGAGCAACTGGACAAGCTTGTCGATTTGGATCAGCATGTTGACTGTCATCTCGAGCTCTGCGATGATCTGCAGCAAGTTGTAAGCCTGTTCATATGCTTGCGCAAGTAAGCACAGCGAAAAGGTAGCAACAGCGTTATGGCACCACGCCCTGAAGAGAGTGACAAAGAAAGTCTGACCGTCTCTGTTTTCGAGGTTTCGCAGCCGTTTTCTGAGATCGGCCAACTCTGGGGCGGTGATGAGGTTGTTGTTGAGATTCTGGACCATGATACTTGCAAACTCAACGTCGTCGTCTTTCTCCAGACAGTCGGCCAGAGTACGGTAAATGCGCTCGGCACTGAGATTCAAACACAGCTGTCTGATGATCAGGTTTCCTCTGTTCTCAAGGAGCTTTCTGTCGGTGCAGAACAACTTGAGCAGGTTGACCATGAATGAAGTAAAGTATGAGTCGTCGCTGTTCTTAGATATTTGTGAAAGCAGGGTCAGGTCGCGTGTGACTACAGCATCAGCTGGATCGGACAACGTCTTGAGTAGAGCCGGGAAGGTTCCGTCTTGGATGGCCAGAGTCTTGCGAGGAGACTTCCGGTGCAGCATGATAAGCCAAGCCAGTGCAGCCACTCTGGTTTGCTCGTGCTCGTTGAGGAATTGTAACGTCAGTGAGTTGACAGCGGCTTCATAATCGAGCTCGGTCGAGACAGGCGGTGAAGGTTGTGGGGTTGGAGGAATGGATGTGGCGTGCTGATCGGTGGTGGCAGATTCAGCGATAAGCTCAGGGCTGTTGGCTTTGCGTGTTCGGATTGGTACTGAGTCCCTTCGTGAGGGGTCTACGGGAGTCTTGGGTTGTTGCTGCTGGCCGTCTTCTGGCAGTGACATTATGTGGGCCATTAGGGCAGTGTTGACTCTATTCGCAGCCTGGCGTACAGTATCGACGTGGTGTGACAGAGCGGGCAAGACCTGGGAAAGAAGACGAGGCACGAAAGCCAGCATGTCTTCTGCGCAAATGTCAAAGAAGCCCTCAATCCAGCGGAGAGTCGTCATTTGAATCTCTTCTTCAGCCGAATCGTTCAAGAACTGTATCAGGATGTCGAGAATCTTTGCGTGATCGATCTGGACATCTTGGCCGGGTATCCATTCGTCTCCAGCATCATTGTCATTCTTCTCGTCCAAGTTTGAGCTGACAAACGAAGCAGAGTCGGAGCTCGCCTTGTCGTCGTCGTGATTTGTGTTGGCGTTGTCGGCTTGTGTCTCAGCGTCTTGCTCGCCCGTGTCTTGACCATCTCTGCTAGATATTGAGGCCTTGCGCTGACTCTCTGCGACCAGACTTCTCTTACTCTCGGCGATACCCTTCTTGATGGCCGAAATCTTCTTGATCTCTGTGAGGAAGCGATCGAGGCAGACTCTTGTGGTGGTGTGTACGTCGTTGTTCGGATCAGAGAGGAAGCGCAAAAGACCGCCGAGAAAGTCGGGAAGGAAGACAACCAGTTCCAGATCGGGTATTGAGTCCAGCAGAGTGATCCAGCTGACGAGGAAAGTGCGGGTGAAGGGGTTGATGACGAAGATACGTTCGCGTAGGAGAGGGATGAATCGGGCGAGAGAGAAGGCGGTCGCTTGTTCGGCGAAAGGATCTTCGTTGTTGGGGTCGACTTCGTTGTCAAGAATGGAAACGTAGGAAGCGGCGGATTCGGCGACAATGTCCTTGACCAGACGGTCGAGCAGCTCTGCACCATTCTTCACTGAGAGTTCTGTATCCGCCGCCAGTTTGCAAAGTGCATCAAAGACATCGTTAAAGTAGATGAGAATCTCGCCCTTTGCGACTTTGGCGATGTTGTACATGCTCTCGCAGGCATAGTAGCGCACTCTTGCGTCCTGATCCGAGAAACAGGCCAGCACGGGAGGCACAATATCGCGAAGGTATCGGGCAACGTCGACGCCGAGAGCGATGGCGGCGGCAGCCAGGCCAATGAGGCCTCCGTTGCGGGCATGAGGTTGGTGGACGGCATAGGCGTAGTCGTGGCAGAGTTGATGGACTATCTTCTCGATCCGGACGTGGTCGTTTGCAGCTAGCGAGTCGCGAATGATGGCTTCCAGCTCCAGAGCACCTCCTTTGCGCCTGTCATACATTTTGTCGGCCAAAGCCTTTGACACAGACACGTCCATGGTCGGTCGCGGTATTGGAGCTTGTCACTCCGTATTCTGCTATGTCGTGCGTCTCAGCGAAGGTCGCATTGCGTGTGGGTTGGTTGTCATGAAAGATTCGGCATCGGACTCTGGCTTTCTCTCCGTTCTGGCAAGAAATAAAAAGTTGGATTGTGTCGAGTTGGCGATGGTCAAGGGTTGTTGTCACCGACTGCCAACTGCCAACTGCCTCAGAGCGTCTCCGCATATTCACGTGCGAGTCAAGCGCTCCCACTATCAGTCACCGGCCGAGTCATGGCTGATAAGCCGAGTGACTCTTTTCCCCTCGCTGTTGATTGTCATGCGCGCTGTTTCCACCTCACCGTCTTTCACCCACCCATTGATCCGCAAACATGGCCGACAAACCCTCCATCTACGTTGACGAGGAGAAGGGCCTCGACGCCGAATCCGCCACCGGCACCGAGCAGTCCCCCTACAAGTCTGTCCAGCACGCTTTCCTCCAACATGGCGACAGCGCCCAATACCAAGTCCGCAAGAGCGCCGAAGAGCCCGAATGGAAGCCCGCCGCAAAGGCCGCCCTGAAGAAGGCCGCCAACTACGCCGACGCCCAGAAGAAGAAGGCCGCAAAGGAGAAGGATCTCGCCATCCGTCTGCAAAAGGAGGAAGAGGGTCGCCAGAAGGTGCTTGACGAGGCCAAGAAGATCGAGGTCAAGGAGGATACTTCCCTGCCCGAGGCCAAGAAGATGAAGCTCGATAACAAGGACGTCCAGCTGCGTGGTGCCGGCACCGACAAGGGCTCGCGCGTCCGTGTCTTCGGTCGTGTCCACCGCTACCGCCAGCAGAAAGGTCTCGTCTTCATCACCCTCCGTGATGGCTACGGCTTCATGCAGTGCATTCTCCAGGGCGATCTCGCAAAGTCCTACGATGCCATCACCCTCCAGCGTGAGAGCAGCATGGAGATTGTCGGTGAACTCGCCCAGGTCCCCGAGGGCGCCCACGCTCCTGACAACCGCGAACTCCACGCCGACTACTTCAAGGTCCTCTTCAAGGCTCCCGGTGGTGACGACGCCATCACCAACAAGGTCCAAGCCAAGGGTGATGCTCAGACTCTTCTCGACCTCCGCCATCTGACCCTCCGTGGTGAGGTCGCTTCCAACGTCATGTTCGTCCGCGACGCTGTCGAGTTCGCTTTCCACCAGGTCTACCGCGAGGTCCGCTGCCGCAAGGTCTCTCCTCCCGCACTTGTCCAGACCCAGGTCGAAGGCGGTGCTACCCTGTTCAAGTTCGACTACTACGGCGAGCAAGCTTTCCTCACTCAGTCTTCGCAACTCTACCTCGAGACTGTCCTACCCTCCATGGGCGACGTCTACTGCATTGAGAAGTCTTTCCGCGCCGAGAAGTCTCTCACCCGCCGCCATCTTTCCGAGTACACACACGTCGAAGCCGAACTCGACTACATCACCTTCGACGACCTGCTCGTCCACCTGGAAGAGGTCATGTGCCGTGTCATTGAGATCACCATGAGCGACCCTAAGATTGCCGCCATCATCAAGGAGCTCAACCCCGAATTCCAGATGCCTCAACGCCCCTTCATGCGCATGAAGTACTCGGAAGCCATCGACTGGCTGGTAGAACACAACATTCCCAACGAGGAGGACCAACCCCACAAGTTCGGTGATGATATCGCTGAAGCTGCCGAGCGCCGCATGACCGACATCATCAACCGCCCCATCTTCCTGACTCACTTCCCCGTCGAGATCAAGGCATTCTACATGCAAAAGGACAAGGAAGACCGTCGCGTCACCGAGTCTGTTGACTGCTTGATGCCCGGTGTCGGAGAGATTGTTGGTGGAAGTATGAGAATGGACGACTACGATGAGTTGATGGCCGCCTATGAGCGCGAGGGTATTGATCCCAAGCCTTACTACTGGTACACCGACCAACGCAGGTGAGTTTCTTTTCCCTTTTCCTTCCTGAGACATGATACTAATCTGAGTCTTTAGATACGGATCTTCTCCCCATGGTGGTTACGGTCTTGGTCTCGAGCGTTTCCTGGCTTGGTTGTGCAAGCAGCACACTGTTCGTGACTGCTGTCTCTACCCTCGCTACATGGGCCGTTGCACTCCTTAGTTGGCTTTCTTCTCGATCAGCTCACCAAAAAGTGCTGCTTCCATGACTCTTTACTCATTTCTGGTGTTGACTGATTTCATGGCTGGATGGGCATAAGGAGTAGAGTTTGCGAAAAAGCGAAATGTTACACGAATGTTCAGAGTTTCTTCCAATCAATCCACTTTCCAACTTCCGCAGTGTGCCTATCCTTGCTTGTCTTCCCTAGATACAAAACTATGTACCGCGAAGTTTTCGCTCTTCGAACAATGCACAGCGCTGAGCGACACAGATCTTGCTGCAAGTGTGGTACTCTAGTCTTGCTCATGTTTGCGGCGAATCCTCAGACGAAAAATGAAAAGTGTCAATTGAAGTCTTTAAGCTCTCAACCACTTTCTATCCTGGCTCGGTCCAAAGGATGGGTTCCATCTCCACCAATGAATCTTCTTTGCTGTGCAGCAGGCGAAAATAGATGCAACAGACAGCTAACAAAATAACTGCTTTACCAGACAGGGTGCTCCGAACGACATCGAAGATGACGTCACTTTTTGATTCCTCTAGCCCGCGGGCAGCGATTAACTCGAGCACTGTCTACACGTTTGCTTGAGACTCGTCTCGTAACAGCTCTCGAGATGTGGCGCAAGACAGCTTAGATCTCAATAAGTGATCCCTGGTGATGCCTATGTATAAACCAGATACAAGCAAGGTACCTTTTGTTGTCGAGTTGACGAAGTGTTTTTCGGCCGAAGCATCCGGATATTTGCCGTCAGTAAAGAAGGATGACGAGTATGCCCACGAACACACCGACGGCAGCCTGAACATTATCGTGTCATCCAATTACATTCTCTGATACGACAACATGAGCACCCCTTTCGAGCATGAACGCTTGATAGCTGAGTTGGCGGTGCAGCGCGCATCGCTCCTCACGAAACGAGTCCTCGCCGATATCGACAAAGGCGCCCTGGATAAGAGCGATCGCACTCCCGTCACCGTCGCAGACTTTGGAGCTCAAGCTCTCATGATTGGTGCCATTCATCACAACTTTCCAGAGGACTCCTTCATTGGCGAGGAGACAGCCACAGCACTTCGCGAGAATGGACAACTACGAGACCGCGTCTGGAACCTCGTCTCCACCACACACTTGCAAGAGAAGGAGCTCGATCAGCGATTGGGAAACATTGGCTCGGCAGAAGAGATGATGGACACGATTGATCTCGGCAATCACCCTGGAGGCCGCAAGGGACGTATCTGGATCCTGGACCCCATCGACGGCACAGCAACATTCATGCGCAATCAGCAATACGCTGTCTGCTTGGCACTGATTGTCGACGGCGAACAAAAGGTAGGCGTCATTGGATGCCCCAACTTGGACCTTAGCACCGGCAAGATTTCAGAAGAGAACGCGGACAACATGGGAAATGGTCAAATGCTTTCCGCTGTCAAGGGTCAAGGTGCCGCCATCAGACCATTGGGTAATGCCGGTCTACAACCGTCTAAGCCAATCCAAAGACGCGAAGATATCTCCGCCGATCCTACAGCGCTGGACTTTGTCGAGTCTGGCGGAAGCAAGTCTGTCGATCTGGATTTCCATCAAAAGGTAGCCGAGAAGCTGGGCGCTCCATGGCCCGGTACCAACATGTGGTCCTCGCAAATGCGATACATCGCCATGGCTGTCGGTGGTGGCGACATCATGCTCCGCTTCTACAGCAAGAAAGGTCACAAGTCGTACGTCTGGGATCATGCAGGTGGCTTCCTGATCTTCGAGGAGTCAGGCGGCAAGGTAACTGATCTAGACGGCAAGCCTATCGATTTTGGCGCAGGAAGGAGATTCGAGAACAATAGTGAGATGGTCGCTGCTCCCGAGAACGCACAACCTCGTATTCTTCAACTTGTCAATGAAATGATTGGCGCCTGAGGTATCAGCAGCATCACTTGCTCGGCACTCTACTCAACATCATTCGCTCGTCACCACGTCAATATACTGATCGTCACCGTGAAGTCGCAAAGGAAATGTTGCTGAGTCCTGATTGATTATCGACCTGCATGCTAGGTTGGTTGCTACAATGCCGCGGATCGAGAAGAACCACAGAACATCGTCGCGACTGGGCCTATCGGAGTCCTGCAAGAACTATACACCATATGGCATGGCAGTCTGCAATTCTTTGCTTGCCTGTGCCGACAAAGATTGCACGCCATCCTTCAGACAGGCACCTACCTAATACGTACTGGACAACTCTTACGGAGAATACTTCAGCCAAACATCTTTCACTATTCTAAGCCTCAGGGATAACGACAAGTCAAGCCGGCCGTAAGTCTAGAGCCAAGTCGCCTGGCTGAGTCTTGTCAGTGTTCGCCAAGTCCGCCCGGACTCCGCCAAGCTGATAACTGATAACCCTCTCTTTTGCCCCATACAAGAAGCCTGCGATAGGGAGAGAGCTGCGGCAATTTAGGCGATGCATGAAGCAAACTTCGCAATCAGCGCCTATGATCGCGCAACTCCAGGCTTCGGGGACTCGAAGCGGGGTACAACGAGTGTTACGCCACGTTTTGCAAAGGCTGGCTCTCAAGTGTGCGTCCTGGAGCACATGAAGAAGCACAAAGAATGGTCTTGAGGCTTCTACTTGACGGTAGAGCAGATCATCGATATCTTGCCGACTTGAAATAGCGATTTTGTGTTCAACACCCCCAATCGACTTCTCTGTCGCGACTATCGTTGATAACATCCAGACCTCGAGAATAGATTGAGTCGCATTGCCAAGTACAGTTCTTGGCCCGGGCAACTCACCGTTGATGGTTTGTCAACCTTCCTAATTAGGCATCTGGGAAGTCGACCTTTGTAGCGGCGGTATCAAGAGGTCGTCTTTTGATGAATTGAGTTCCAGACGCCAAGCTGTCGCTATCTTTACACTGCTAGATGTTACCCTCAACGACCTCTTCGCTTTGCTTCTTGCGTGTACCAAGAGCCTTGGGACCAGAAACAGTGGCGTGAATCAGTCCGCCAAGCTGATAAAAGTTGACCGCGGCAAATCTACAGTATGTTCAAGCGAGGAATCTGCAGCAAGTAGATGCCACACTGATAGGTAGTGTGCCTGTGTTACTGATGGCGAAAGATGTGACCACACCCTGCAGCGTGAATGCAATGGAACGGCTTCTGGAAGAGATAAGGGTCAAGTACCGGAACAACAGATATAAAGTTGTCCATGCACGAGCCGACTGATCTGATCATCTCTCATCACCAATCCATCTTTCCTCTCCAATCATTTGATTGTGCTTCATCATGGAGAAGAAAGTCGCCGAGGTAGAGATTGAGCCCGTGGGCAAGGATGTTGCTCGAGGCAGTGTCGTGGAGATGGTACGATTTCCATCAAGCTTTCGCTTACAACCAGTCGTTGACCAGAGTATTAGACAAACCTATCAGGCGAGAGTCTTCCAAACAAGGAGTTCCAGGAGTAAGTTTCATGTCCCAGCACTCATCATCCTCTATCATCTTCCGTACTGACACGTCCAGGGATCTCAACGTTACCGCCGATGACTACATTCATGCACGCGAAGAAGCTCAAGCTTTTACTCTCGAGGAGACTAGATCGATGATGGAGATGGTCTGGAAGATTCACGAACTGGACCCCAACTTTCCAGACTCCATCCTCGCGAAGATCAAGGAGTTCTTATTCAACGAGGATGTCTTCATCAACCCCGAGAAGCATGCCGAGCTCATTGCCGAGATCAAGATCGAGGCTGCTTTGATCGTCAACAACTCTCCCTACGCCGAAGTCAGAGCTGTTGTAGACAACACGGATGATCCAAACATGCCCTGCGCATCGCTCCGTGCTTACGTTATCGGCTTGGCCTTTGTCGCTTTGATCTCCGTCATCAACCAGCTCTTCTCCATCAGACAGCCTTCCATTACTGTCGAAGCCAACGTTGCTCAATTGCTCGCGTATCCTGTCGGAGTAGCCTTTGCAAAATGGCTTCCGGATGTTGGATTTACCCTTTTCGGAACACGCCATAGTCTGAACCCTGGACCGTTCTCCAAAAAGGAACACATGCTCATCACCATCATGGCAAAGGTCGGAGCAAACTTGCCATACACGGACTACGTTGTTTGGGTACAGTTCTTGCCTCACATGTTCAACCAGAGCTGGGCCAGTTCTTTCGCATATCAGATCGTTATCGCACTCGGAACCAACTTCATCGGTTTCGGTCTTGCTGGCATCTGCCGTCGTTTCTTGGTTTACCCTGCTTACTGCGTCTGGCCTACCTCGCTTGTCACAATGGCTTTGAACAACTCTTTCCACGACAGTAGCAATCCTTCGGTCATGGGTCCTTTCAAGAAAGTCTTGACTATGTCCAGACTCAAGTTCTTCTACTTGACCTTCGCAGCAATGTTCTTCTGGTTCTGGTTCCCCAACTTCCTCTTCGAAGCACTCAGCATTTTCAACTGGATCAACTGGATTGCGCCCAACAACCTTCACCTTTCTACCGTCACTGGAATGAACAATGGACTCGGCATCAACCCCTTCCCTACCTTCGACTGGAACATCCTGTTGTGGGACCAAATGGACCCTCTGATGGTGCCCTTCTTCAACACCGTCAATCGTTTTGCTGGACTCGTCATCTCCGCCTTTGCTGTTCTCGGCGTCTGGTACTCCAACACATTCAACACTGGTTACCTGCCCATTAACTCCAACAAGGTCTTCGACCACTTTGGCAAATTCTACAACGTCACTCGCACCTTGGATGAGCGCGGCATGTTCGACGCAGAGAAGTACACCGCTTACTCACCCGCATACATGAGTGCTGCAAACTTGACAGTTTACGCATGTTTCTTTGCCATCTACACTGCCACTATCTCGTATGCGTTCATGTACCATCGTCATGAGATCATGATGGGTTTCAAGAATCTCTTCCACCGTGGTGAGAGACAAGAGTACAACGACATTCACAACCGCTTGATGTCTGTCTATCCTGAAGTACCTGAATGGTGGTATTTGTGTTGCCTTCTTATCTCCATCTCCTTCGGTTGCGCTGGTATCGCTGCATGGCCAACCTACACCACCGTCGGCACAGTCTTCTACGGTCTTGCTCTATGTCTAGTCTTTATCATCCCCATCGGTATCATCAGAGCTATCACTGGTATCCCGGTCACCCTCAACGTCCTGGCCGAGTTCATTGGTGGCGCTTGGGTGCAAGGAAATGCGCTCGCCATGAACTTCTTCAAGACTTTCGGATACGTCACTTGCGCACACACCATTCAATTCTTGAACGATCTGAAGCTCGCTCACTACACCAAGATTCCCCCTCGTCACGCTTTCTGGGCTCAAATGGTTGCATGCTTGGTATCGACCGTCGTCTGCACTGGTGTCCTCAACTTCCAAATCCACATCAAGGATGTCTGTACCACCAGCGCACCTAACCGCTTCTACTGCCCTGGAAACAACACTTTCTTCACCGCATCCGTGCTCTGGGGTACTCTTGGTCCTCACAAGGTATTCGGCAAGGGAGGGCTCTACACCACACTCCTCATTGGCTTCCCCGTCGGTCTCGTCATTCCTCCCATTCTTTACTACGTCACCCGCGCCTTTCCCCAGAAGAAGTGGCTCCGTCAAATTCACCCCATCGCTATCATCTATGGCGGTCTTACCTGGGCACCCTACAATTTCGCATACGTTTGGCCTCAGGTCCCTATTGGATTCATGGCAATGGTTTGGCTCAAGAGCCGCTACCTCGCTTGCTGGTCCAAGTACAACTATGTGCTCAGTGCTTCTTGGTCTGCTGCCATTGGTATCTCTGCCATCATCATCTTCTTCAGCGTGCAATACTCGGGCAAGGTCAGCGTGAATTGGTGGGGTAACGAGGTCTCGTACCAGGGCTGTGAAGACACTGCTTGTACCAGACTTACCCTTCCCAAAGGAGAGTTCTTTGGTCCTCGCTCCTGGTGATCTCAGCATGGTTTTCGTGCTTTAGACGTTTCTCATGATTATGTGTTGGAGGTTTACTGTCGCTTTTGTCTTGTTCATATCTCCTGATAATGACTCCCTAATCAATCATTGACTTCAGCCTTTCGCGACTCCGTTTGAACGACTTGGGAATAGACGACTCAATGGAATCATCCTTATAAACCAAACTGCAACTCGTGAATGCTTTGTGTTGAAAACGCTGCGCGCCTTGGAGACGCTTCCCCATGTTAGTAGCGTCATTCACAACTTGAACTCGGCCGAGTTCATCCCCGCACTTCTCCGCAGATCACTCCGCACACCCCCGTGGTTGATCTTTTTCTCGCGACGAGCATCTCCTCGAGATTAGGCAGATATCTCAACTAAATTTGAAACCATGAGTATGCGAGCAGTAAGCCTTGTTTCGTTCAAGCAACCTCTGTGCTTCCCCGCCGGGCCAGTCGCATATTCAACGACGCAGCTGCAGCTATACGGGCCCGAAGCAGGACGCGACTTGCACCAGTAGAAGCATAACGCGGTGTCGGATCGACGCGTAGAGTCACAAGGTCTCGTATAATATATAACAGATACATTCTGGCTTTCCTCTCGGTTGATTTGGATACGATGAAGTTGAGATGAGCCGAGTAGGACTGAAATGACCAGCCAGCCATACCAGGTATGACATCGCCAGCCGAGATCAGATCACTGCGACATAAAATGCGCTGGAGATCCACTCAAGAAAGCCATCTTTCACTGGCAAGTTTATTACGATGTATGTCAAGACAACATCCCTCGCAACTCTCGGCGTCCTTGCCACAAAGGCGGCAGCTCTAGACAATGGTTTTGGCCGAACTCCGCCGATGGGTTTCAACACATACAACCCTGCAGCATGCACAATCAATCAGACCTTCGTTCGAGACTCCATAAACGCCTTTGCAGACAAAGGATTTGGTGCAGCTGGCTACAATATCTTTGGTCTGGACTGTGGATGGCAGGGCACTCAGCGCCAGTCCAACGGATCTATCACCTATGATGCTGGTGCTTTCCCTGATGGCATTTTGCCTCTCAGCAAATTGGCGAACAGCAAAGGCTTTGTGAGTTGTCACTTCCATCGAAGATCTTGATTGTGCTAATCTCTATGATCAGAAATGGGGCATGTACACCGACCAAGGTGTGAACGCTTGCGACACAGGAGTTGACCGACCTGGGTCCTTGAATCATGAGAAGCAGGACGCTGCCCAACTGGCAGGATGGAATGTCGCATATATGAAGGTCGACAACTGCTACATCACCGCTGGTGACAACGCCCCCAAAGATCCCAGAACAGACTTTCCTTCTCGTTACGGAGCTTTCTCCAACGCCATCCAACAAGTCGGCATCAAGGGCATGCTTGTTTGCCAATGGGGAACGCCTTACTCAAGCCCCAGCGGTCTACAAGGTCCTGCTGAGTGGACCCCTCCGCTCTCGACATCTTTCCGTGTCAGCGACGATATCACTCAGGGTTGGGCGAGTGTCTCTCGCATCTACAACGAGGCGATTAATGTCAATTTGAGAGGACTGAACGGACCCGGCCACTTCTCCGATATGGATCTACTGGAGGTCGGTGAACCTGGCATGACGACTGATGAGCAAGCATCTCATTTCGCCATCTGGGCCATGTTCAAGAGCCCTCTAATGGTCTCCACAAGGATTTCGACCATGTCAAGCTCAACCCAGGCGATCTTACAGAACAAGGGTTTGATTGCAATCAATCAAGACTCTCTTGGCCAGCCTGTCGTCCTGACTCAGCGCTTCACTGGGGACAACGATCAATTCGCCGGACCTCTCGCCAATGGTGATGTCGCAGTGCTTCTCGTCGATCTTAGCAACACCAAGCGGACTCTGGGCATCAACTTTTCTGCCCTGAACATTTCTTCCGCCACAGTCACCGATCTCTGGACTGGCAAAGTAGTTTCGAACGCAAACAACTACTTCACCACCGTCAACGGCCACGGTTCAGTTGCTTTACGTTTGAGCAATGTCAAGAAGTCTACTCCCGCAGCTCCCAAGCTGAACTACTACGAGGCCGAGGCTGGGCAGTTCGCCGGCAGCGCAGGTGTCGCATCTTGCTCTGGATGCTCCGGCGGCAAGAAGGTCGGCAACGTCGGTAATGGCAACGGAAACACACTCACCTTCAGTGGTATCCGCACAAGCCAGGCGACCCAAGATGTCCGATTCGACTATATCGATTGCGAGATTGGCTATGCTTTTAGTGGAGGATATGGTAACGTTAGAGGTGCGAGCATCAGTGTCAACGGTGGTGCTGCACAATCCGTCAGCTTCCCTTTGACCGGCTACAACTGGGACAAGGATGTCACGAAGGGATTCTTGGTCAGACTTTCGGGCTTCAAGACTTCAGGTGACAACACGATCACTATCTCGGGACTGTCAAGTGTGTCACCGTATGCTCCCGACTTTGATAGAATTGGTGTAGTGGCTTAGATGTTATAAAGTCCTTTACAGAGTCCATAAATCGCCGAGAAGAATCTAATCCTCACACATCGATACCATTCGCTTTGATCCTAAAACTTTCAGCGTTATCGTACACCTTTCATAGAGAGACCCGAAACTTACGAGACAAGCGGAGTTAGCTGCATGTCTTTCGTGACTCTCAACACGATCTATCTGCATCGCTCACATCTGATAGTGCTCGAGCCGGCAGCGCCTGTTGTTCTCAGCAACTCCCAGCCAACCTCACACCTCTGGTTCACTATCTCACCAAGGAATCCTCTAATCCAGTCATCCCAGTCTCTCGCAACCGTCGCATCCCACTTCTCCATCCAAGCATCGACGGCCGTCTGCACTCCCTCGTTGCCATCACGATTCCAACCCAGACATATCCATCCTGCTCTCGAATCTGACTTCGACGCATTATCCCAATCCTCGCCCCAAACGCCCTCGTCGTCGAACTGCTGCATTTTGAGCTTTTCGACTCGAGAAGCTGCGAACTTGGGAAGAGTAACTTTGAGCCCGACACCAGCGGTATAGACGGCTACGACGCGGATTGTAGGCCTCGAATCGCCAAACATAAGCTCATGATCCTCTCCCATGATCTCTTGCGTGCAAAACCAGATTGCTGCACTCTTGCCTTCTTTTTCGTGTTCTTCTTCAGCGATCATGGCTTGTGCTGCGAGTAGTTCCTCTTTTCTAGTCTGCTGCCTTTCTCCGTATGTGCTCGCCGATTCCAGTAGAACGTAGTCCCTAACCAACACTAAAAACCCAAGCATGATAAGGAGGCAGACGATTGTGCCTAGGAAGAGTGGGATGAAAATCAGAAGATTCGAGAAAGATTTCGGAGATCTCCAAAGGGTGTCCCATGCAGAGGTTTCAGTCGCCTGAGGTCGATAGAGGTGACTTGGGTATGTTGGGAAGGCTGTCGGTGTGATTCCGTAGACAGTCGTTGGTGAGATGCTGGATGCAGAGGGGGTGGGATCGGCTCTGGGGAGCATCATCATGGCGTTTGCTGCTCTTGAAAACTTGTAATTCCTCAGAATCGGCTTCCTCGTGTTCTTTTGATCGTATCCTGTGCTTTCTTCTCAAGGGCTTGACGCAGGAGGAAAGCTTTGGAACATCAGTGTCCCCAAAGATGAAGACAACGAGGTGATCCGTCGGTAATGGCGAAGGCTGCCAGGAGTAGTGCAAGCTTACGACTTTGCGATTTCGCTGACCAGTGAGATTGGCTTTTTATCACTCAATGCGAAAAAGCGAGAAAAGTCGAATCCAGCATTGCAATATATGTTCTTGACGAAATGCGTGGTATGGAGGCTTCTGCATTCCTCAATGGCATGGCGCAGTAACAAATCACCCTTTGTTTGCTCCATTTGGTGAATGATCAATTGGAAAGGTCATGCCTTGCTGATTCAAGAAATTTGCGCTCACCCCAAGCCGCATGTCATGTCTTATCATCACTTGCCAGTCCTTGAGAGATCGGAATTGATGTTGCACTCCGTGAAGGAATCTGCCATCGCTGCTTCCTACAGATTCTGGTTCGTGTACCTCGGGACTTCGTTCGTCTCCCCAGATCGTGTGCTCTCATTGTTTGTTCGGACTGTACGTCGTGACAGCTGTCCGAATTCTTCGCGATTCCAAGCATCCAACGATGAGTTGTTGATTTATCTTCAAACATGCAAGATGATGTCGACATTCAATCGAAGTCTCGGTGGAAGGTGCAACTTGGAGGATTTGGCTGGCGCCTGGATGACCCCTCTTCGGTCCCGAGCTTCGTTCACTCGGTCCCGAGTTTCGCAAAATCACCATCAACTCCATGTCTATAAATCAAAACATTTCGCCCAAAATTCAGAGGGAGACTCATATAAGATCGTAGCTGTTCCTCGAGCGGTCAATAGTCTGCAACTTCGATCACTTTTCATCGAAAATTGTCGCAATGTCCAACATGCTAGTCCAACGTCCGACTACTAGAGCTTCCGCCCCGAAACCTCAATCTATTCTCATAGTTGGTTGTGGTATCGCAGGTCCAGTTCTTGCGTCTCTTCTTCTACGATCCCCTGGTCCAGCTTCCTCACTCCCTCACATCACCATTCTCGAGCGCAACCCTTCTCTCATCTCCTCCGGCCAGAACATCGACATTCGTGGTATCGGCAAACAAATCATTCGACTTCTCGGCCTCGAAGACGAAATCAAGAGGTCCACCACGGGTGAAGAAGGCGTACGATTTGTAGATGAGAACAATCGTTGCTGGGCTGAATTTGCAGTCGACAAGAGTGGGAAAGTGGAGACCGGGACGAGTGATGTCGAGATCTTACGAGGACGACTTGCCGAGATCTTACTTGATAAGACCAAAAGAGACAGCAAGGATGTCCAGGACAGAGGAGGCAAAGGTGTGGAGTTCATCTTTGAAGACAGTCTGGGTTCGCTTCGTCAAGATGAGAAAAAGGCACATGTTCAACTCGCTAAAGGGGGAGAAAGAAGCTTTGATCTGGTCGTTGGTGCTGATGGTTTGCACAGCCGAACTCGCAAGCTGGCTTTCGGGAATGAAGCAGAAGGTTGTTTGAAGAAGTTGCACATGTTTGCAGCTTTCTTCAGCATGCCGAAGGAAGATGAAAATGGCGAGTGGAGGTCTTGGTTCCATGCTCCTGGAGGTGTCAGCATCATGCTTCGACCATCGGGCACTAAGGAGAAAAGTACGGTACTGATCCTCCTCGCCGACAAGAGTGGCATCATCGCAGATCAGCTAGCTGGCTCCGAGAGAAGCATCCCTGCGCAAAAGAAGCTGGTAATGAGCAAGCTTAACAGGATCGGTTGGCAGGAACAGAGATTAACAAAGGCGGTGGAAGCGGCTGACGACTTCTACTTCGACGTCACAGCGCAGGTCAACTTGGCGAAATGGTCACACGGAAGAGTCGTGCTTCTAGGAGACGCTGGGCAAGTATACCTCACCTGATTCGTGGCTCTTACTAACCTGTATTACAGGTATTGCGCATCACCTTTCTCAGGAATGGGTACAACCCTCGCTCTGGCTGGCGCATACCATCTCGCCGGCTCTTTGGTAAACAATCCAAGCTCTCATTCCCAAGCTTTCGAAGCGTACGAAGAAGCTATGCATCCTCTAGTCGCAAATGCCCAGAAGCTGCCGCCTGCAATGCCACATTTGATTCATCCTCAGTCGACGAGGGGTGTTTGGGTACTAAGAATTCTTGTCGCGGCGATCTATTGGTCCGGAGTTGGTACCTTACTGTTCAAATGGAAAGGTCCACCTGCAAGCGTCGTGAAATTGAAGGAGTATGGACTTTTAGATGAGAAGGGTGAGTGAAGGACGGACTTCACGCATACATCGAGACAGCAGCCACTCTTTACTCATACTTGCATCCCGATTTCTCCATTTTCATCTTCATCATCCCGCTTTTGCCATCTGAGCTGCAGCATGGCATCTGCGACGCATCCCAAAGATGGCCAATGGCGTCAAGAAAACCTCCCACGCGAAAAGAATTGGTAGAGCCTGATGCAGACGGTGATTCCCACCTGACCATATCTGTATCAAGATCTGATAGGCCTCATGGGCTGGAGCAGCATACCCGATCCGGTAGAATACAGGCGACAACTCAAATGGGACCAATAGGCTAGTAACATTGAAGATGACGAAGCTGAAAATGAAGAACGGAACAAACTTGATGGGAACAAATGCAGTCACAACATCGGTGTACAAGAAGTCGACGTGCATGTATAGCCAGTAAACCAGTACTGCAAGAAAGTACTGGCCCGCGCTGAGATCCCAGCCGTCCTGAAAGCCGAAGACGAGGGCGCTGGCGCATACTGCTCCGATGAAAGTGTATACAAGTGCGATGGCGCTTCGGAAAGAGCAATTTCTGGCAAGAGACCAGCGGCCGAACAATCTTCTCTGTCCACAGAGGATGTTGAGTGCCAAGACGAAGAAGAACTGCATCAGGATTGGATAGACTAGTCCGATTGTGTTGTAGATGGTTCTTGCACCTTGCACTGTCTCTTTGATGTTCAAGGTGGTCGAGGCGATAGGATGAAACAGTGCAGAAGCAGCTTTTGTGTTTCTTAGGGCAATCTCCAGGTTCCGCGATCCGTTGTCTTCCTGATATATGGCTTCCGTCTCGGACACGAGTGTTCGAAGATTTGGCTCGATGTAGCCTTGGATGGTGGAAGCATATCTAGCTCCGTTGTATACGAAAGTCAACGCGTCGTTGGCGTTGTATTCTGCCGTAGTATCGTTGCTTCGCAAGGCTTCATTCAACCTATTCGAGGCTCCAGGATTGCTGTAGATCGCGGCCCAAAATTCTCCAACGAGAACAGCATGTCTGATGTCGGAGACCTTCGCATAATCAGTTGTGCTATGCTCATCGACGGACGGAAACGTATCGGCTCGAAGAGAAGTGGCTGCTGAGCGGAGGCTATGTCCAATGGAACCGTGATCATAGTCTACCATGAGTATCCTCAGATTGTGAACTCTCTCTGCTTCGTGATAAAGTGTTCCATTTAAATAGGAGATATCGGCGAGGAATAGCACCTGTACAGCAATAAGAGCAGTGGCAAGCGAAACAAGGAGTTTCTCGCCTTCTCCTGACCAGATACCTTTTCGGGGTTGTGATGGAGAGTGGCTTGGAATCATCTCTGACGAGGATGGAGCTAGAGAGGATGCAAGTGGTGAGCGACGCTTTCAAGTGTCTGGAACAGCATTGCCTGGAAAGCCTCGTTCCTCTTCCTCGTAAGAATGGTAACAATGCGCATTTCCATCAAGCATAGTTTCGGTCTCGGTGTGTTCGGTGAGCGAAAGAGCGCGAAGCGACATTGCAAAAAGTGTCATTCTGCTTTCAGGGCTGGCCAACCAGTCCACTTTCCGGACGTCACCGCGACATGTTGGCCTAGTAAGACCTCGTATGGTCTCTCCCCGGAAGAATGTCTCATCTGAGTTGCTAAACTTTTCGCAGCCTGGTCAGAAATTGAGATAGCGTTCATTCGATGGCTGCAGACATAGTAGCGCCATAACAAACGCGTATAAACACTCGGTCATAGGAGCGTTAGATTATGGTACAACCTGTCAAACCAATGGAGTCGTAATTGTGGAAGAATGAAGGTTACCGGAAGGGAGATTTGAGAATTGGGCGGGCACGGGAAAGTGGAGGAAGTACCCGAGGCCAGATAATTCCGGCTTCCGAGCGCGGGTCCAAGTCGAAACCGTTAGTTGTCGCTCACGCGCAATCCGCCAGTCTAATCGAAAGTAGAACAAGTCGTACAGGATGTCAGTCGATCGGGGTGGATCCAAAGTGTCCCCGTGCTCTGTATAAGTACCGTACCAACTCCTCAAAATCTCTTCCCGAGAAACATATTGCAGCCTGCTGTCAACTCAGGTTGATCCCCCAGGACCAACTGTACCAAAATCAAGATGGCAGTCACATGTTCAAGCCACACGTTCGAGGACGACAAAAGCTTCAGACGACTCTCATGGTCTTGGGCAAAGGCGTATGATAAGAAGGTGAGATCCCTCTCAGTTAGGGCTGCGTGGTAGTATCTGATCTCGATCAGGACTGGGTGCTGCTGCGATCAATCTGTACGCCAAACGTACAGTGGCTCTACAGCGATCTCAATCCGGCATTTGAGGATAAGCAATTGACGGCAGAAGAATACGTTGCCGAGATGAGTGCACAGCACGGTCTAGGCGACTCCCGAAGTAAGATACCTCTATCCAGCATTAGTCTTCCAATCATTGACTTCCGACAGTCACTACGCAACATCTTCTAGGGGCTGTGGTGTTTGAAGAGACCGAATTTGATGGTACATATTACATAACTGGTGACTGGCAAATCCAGGCCTCGCATCGTCGTGTCTTAGCCGACGGGGAGATCAGAGTCTGGAATGGTTTCAGCTATGTCAAGCATTATTATGCTCGAGATGCAGATGGAGAATGGAAACTGAGTGGCATACAGCCTCATGATGTGCTGATGCAAGATGGTCATCCTGGCCTGGTTTTGGGCGCATTCTAAGATGGCACCCCAGCAGCTCGGAGTCAAAGCTTTGGAAAGCTTCCAGTAGATAGTTAACCATGCCAAAAGCAATGTCACCCAGAACATGCAGGTCCGGTGGATCACGAACACTGCGTCGTGGCACTCTGAATTAGAGCTTCACAAGCCTTGGAGTCAAGCCGAGACAAAATATCCAACAGTATTGTCAGATCAGCTTTGACCCTCTCTTTGAGCTGGCGGTTCGTGGCTCGGCTGGCGATCTCGAGTAAAGTCGCGCCAACTAGTCTGATCTTTTCATTCTGCACGATGTTAGCAACGCCTGACGTGGTACTCGCTACAAGTCATACCAAGGGCTCGCCATTGATTCGGAGCGCTTCAAAAGGTGCATCTTGTACAACACGAACTATGTCGCGTGCAATCTCACTGCGGCGTAGGTCCATGAGGAGTGGGTCTTCCGGTAAGCCAAGAAGAGATTGGAGCCCATCTTCGGCACATCTTTGTGTAACGAGCATGCGCAGATAGAAGTTGGTGACTAACAAATTGGCTACTTGCACATGAAGATTAAGCAAGCTGAAGTTACCCCCTGGGCTAGTCTCAGTAGTGTTGTCAACTCTTGCGAAGCTTTGTAGACATCCTGGCGCATTATCTAGCACAGTCGTGAGTCTGACGTAAGAATTGATCAGATTTGCTCGTTGCATGGGCGAGATATCTTTCAATGGGTGAGAGTCATTGTGCATGACCTGCTTTGACGCACATCCCATGTGAAACATCACCTCTGAGGCATGATAGTAGAATCTCTGGCACAAATTGAAGCCCGTGATGAGTGTACTCTCGGAAAATGAAGAGGACAAGAGAAGGGTGCTGCCGGCGCTAGCTGGTTCGTTGACAGTCATGGACTCGCCGAAGATGAATTGATGCATGGTGAAATGGTTGTTGTTGAGGAATGCGGAAGACTTGTCGCTGGTGTATAATTGCCAAAAGACGTGCCGGCGGAGGCGAGCTTCTATCTCGTTGAGACCAACGTATGCTGCCTCGTCGTACAAGCGCATTGCTTGAGCGATCCTGATCGCTTCACCCAGCAGAATCCACGAGAGTCGTGTCTGACCCCCGGCGTGCATGCAGTTGCCATGGAAGTAGCGAGTTATGATTGAACTTGCGTCTGGATCCAACAAGTCGTCATCACGACACAGATCAAGACATCTTCGCGAGGTGCGCAAGAAAACTGGAGCGAGTGCTATTCCATAGGGACAAAGGGTAGGCGGTAGCATCCAGCCCACCTCCGCGCACAGCGCGGTGAGCAAGGCCATTGACCTTACAATCTCCATACTGGAATCCCTAGTGTCGGTACTGAACCGATCTTGTGTTATAAGATCGGAGTCCGCATGCTCGAGACCTGAGACAAGTCCACGAAACAAGATGATACTTGCTCTGACGGAGGACTCGTGGACTAGTGGTGCCAAGGGAAAGAGATGTGCGACGAAAGCATCAACATGTCTGTTCATGATTACCTCAATCGGCTCTGTAATGCCTACACCCTGGATAGCTTGGTAGAGACTGATCAACTCAAGAGTCAACCGGTCTTGAAATCTTTTGTATGTATCGAACGCCGTAGCAGGAGCAGGAACAGGAGTGTGGCCAGTGACCGCAGATGAGGCGTGTAAAGCTGATGGAAGAGCGGACTGCTCGGTGGACTGATCTGGGAAAGATGTGTACCCATGAGATTGTAGTAGGTGGAGGTCGGGTAGGTCTTGTCGAAGCGACCGTTCAGCGGCAGCCGTCGGGTCTGGTTGGTCCGCCAGAGATCCATGCTGACTTTGGACAGGTGAGGTTGAATGTTCGGACACGCCAGGCACTCTGGGAGATCCGCCAGGTAAAAGGGGCCGGGGTGAATGTGTTCTCCTGGGGCCCCGCTTTCTTGGCTGAGAGTAGACACATTCGACATTGCTCATGCGGCAGTACGAACACCCAGGCAGCGCCTTGTCGCACTGTCGGATGTCTGGTTTAGCCGCTTGATTGATGTGAGAGGGTAACACGTGTGCCTACTTTGATCTTGCGGGCCCGGCAGACATTACAGGCCCTAGTGCGGGGATGGTCAGGCGGCATGGATTGGTCGCGGATGGAGTTTGTAAAAGACCGCGGCGTTTCGGTCAATCTATAGAAAACATGCGTAATTGCCGATCTTTACCCGTTGCGCCCCGGTGCTTGCAAGGCCCTCGATCGAAGAACACTTGAGTTTAACTAGACACAGACTCTCGCAGCTTCACATGACTTGCTATGGAATACGTTCTTTATTCAAATCCTAGCATGCATCTTTTACAGTGCCTCGATTGAAACAAGATCTTGGGTGTTTGCCGGGAATGCAAGGATAATGTCTTTGGATGGCTGTTAGCACCTTCGATGGATAGTCGACAATTTGAACCTACCTATGGATTTCCCTCTGCCTGTTTTTTCGAGTAAGACTCTGTGTACTGTCCCGTCTCCAACTCGCTGTACCACAAGCTTGTATGACCTTTGGGCACTCCAAGGCAGATTCGACACTCTCAGGCGGTACCTCGTCGCATGGTTTTCTCGAATATAAGCCTGAACATATGATTGGCAAACTGGAAAATGGTTAGTGAAAGGTGATCCCAATGAAGCCATATGCACTCACGTGGAATGTAGAACAATGGATTCCCAGGTTTAAAACAAGCTTGTTCACCGTTGAAGACTGCAACATCAGTCAGTCAAGACTTTCTCTGGCCATTTGTTTCTACTCACGACCGTTGCTTTGTATCAGGGGAAAGGCGGTGGTGGAAGTGTTCATCAGAGGCGTCTGAGAGGTCATGGTCAGTAAGGATGATAGTGCTAAGGATGTCCAGGAAACTTTACCATCTGTCTTGCGATTTCTCTAGCAATATCGTAGTTCGGTTGATAGTTGTTGAGTAGGATATTCACACGAGATCCTGTATTAGACCGACCAGCGAGTACAGCAAACCCATTTGATGAAGAACCGGACAATTGGAGTCGCTGTGGGGTTGAAACGACGAGCTCGCCCTGCAGCTTCCAAGCTGCTGCGACATTTAATGGTATTGCTGTGGCTGAAGACCGGTTGAACCACGGCTGGAAAGGTGCATTACCGGCTCCGGTGCCGCCGTAACCAAAACCGGTCCATGGCATGGCTCGATCCAGCGATGTATCTTGAGCATACATCGAAGTGCCTAGCGTGAAACTGGCAAAGAATGAGGGATCATTGTAATCCTTGATTGCCTGTGCAGATGTGGGCTGGACGCCAGATGGATTGGGATCGTATTGTGTTACCCAGATGGGTAGATTGGCGAAGCCTGTGGGAGCCAGAATCTCCGAACGGAAACGATCGGTCAAAGTCTTGATGTCGTATGGATTGAGAGAGAACTGCGCGTTGGTAAAATGATATGTGGCCGCTTTGATTGGCACGTTGTACGCTTTACAGTCCCTATAGAACTGTGAGACATAAGGATCGTACACAGAGTAGTTGGCATGCGTTGGGACGATGCGATTAGTTCCCCAAGCCCCAACTCCGCATCTGATACTTGCTCTAGCGACTCCTTTGGCAAATCCAGCGAAAAATTTGAAAGAAGTGTTATAGTTTGCCAGCGTTGAGGGCTCATTGTTGTTGTCAATCTCTACGTAGTAGTCAAATAACTCCAGAGTGTCCTTAAAGCCAGAGTTGCCAGCGCCATTCATGTATCTGTCCGCGATGGCGAATCCGACTTGGCCCAGCTTTTCGGGGGTCGACTGTTCCGGATCAGTGCCATTGGTAATCTGAAACTGTAACGACGCCTTTGCTCCTCGAGAGGTAACGAATCTGACATATCTATCTGTGAGAGTCCAGTTGTAGTTTGACGCTAGAGACGCGTCACCTGCGGGACCGCTTCTTCCAAAGCCGGTAAAAACGTCTGGCCAGGTGTATATGAAGATACTTTTCATGCCATATTCTGGCCACAGGTCGGCGATTTCAGGCTCCATGTCATGTATGTCATCCAAACCAGGGGGCAACAGAGAGGTATCTGCGTTGGAAGTCGCTTGTAGATTTTTGAAGTTGCTAACATGTTTTGAGGCATCAATGGATATCTCTTGACACGTCTGCAGTGCGTGGGGTTGCTGCGCTGCTTGACACGCGACATGCAGACATCCTAGTAAGGCGGCAGAAATCAGGTAATGCATCGTGAGAGTATCAACAAGTCCTGCGAAGTGGTTTGGGTTCTGCCATCAAAGCACGCAGCACGAAAGAGCCTTTATGTCTCGAGAGACATCGCGAAGCGAACTTCGCAGCTGCCGTTCAGTGGGGAACTCTTCATCGCAGACCTCATTGTGGGGAGCGTGCCTTGCGAATGCTCCAAATGTGACTTTGTAGTCTCGTGTCACTGCCGAGGGTGGTGGCTGAAGAGCTGTAATCATGGAGTCTCCCCACATACTCCGGTAGTGGGTTACTGATGAAGCAAAGTGGTTCGGTGACAAAATCGCAAGCTTGGACAGGTTTCGGCGAAACTCCTGCTCGGCAAACAAAGCTGATTCCGCGGGCTTTTCGGGCCTGCGGGGTAGAGTGCACGGTGCGCCTGGAAGCTCCACAGAATTTTGAAATGGTCTTGTCGATGGAAGGTTGCCACTCACAGGAGCGCTTCGAACCTCTACTCAAGTGCCATCTCGACTGTCAGACGCAGCGCATCACCGGACGACAAACTGATCACAGGCCGGACGGATATGAGACGGTAGAGATGTTTGAGTGCGCCGTTGGCTGTTGACAATGTAATGGTTTACCTAGCTAGGCACTATCTCGAAGTCATTGAAACGTACATTCTTCCCAACGCCTGACCTTTGGCCGCTTGCATAAACGCCGAAGATTGTACCCGTGAAATCTCGAGCTGTCATCTCCAAAGCATCAACACTTTTGACGTTAGTCCAGGTATCTTCTGTTGGTGACCGGTAAAGGAACTGATACTCCTTCTCAGTGGCACGAATCTGCAACTGCACTGTCGCTTTGTCCAGCAATTTGTCGCTCCATGCGATCGTCGATCCAGTGTGGTTTGACTTGTTCACTGTGATCACCCAGACCTTCGAATCTCGATGATTGAAAAATATGGCTCCATGGCGATGACAGTCTTTGTAAACCGCAAGACCGGCATGGAGCTCTGTTCCTCGATTGCGACCGTCGATATGTAGCAGCACTTCGGTTTTGCATGTCATGTCGCGCTGTCTTCTACCGAGAAATGAACACGATCCACGAGCCACAGAAAGATTTTCCGCACTCGATCGGAGCTCGATGCTTCCGTCCGGCAAACGCAGGATATTCTTGAGCTCGGGGTTTCTGATATACACGTCCTCGTAAGAAGCGGCCGTAGCAGTCGGCTTATCCGAGGGGTTTGACAATGGCGAATCTTGTCTAGAGATTTTTGAAGCGACAGCTGGTCTTACGAAAGTCATTCGGGGTTGATCAATTGTTGGCCATCCACCCTTGGGCCAATCAACTGGAGTAAGAAATGATTCTCTGCCGATAGGACTTCTTCCGCCTTCACTTTCGCGCACCCCGAGGACTACTGCCCACCAGGCGCCGCTGGCATCGTGGAACAGCTCTCCATGACCGGTGTTCTGGACAAATTCATTCTTGAGATCGCTTGTCAAGATGGGATTGTACTCATACGACTCAAAGGGACCCCAAATGCTGCGAGACCGAGCAATTGAGAGCATGTGATGCTCAAATGTACCGCCCTCTGCCACGACGAGATAATAGTATCCGTCTTTCCGATAGATGTGTGGACCCTCGGTATCATATTTTGCAGCGCCGGTCCAGATCTCTTGGGTCTCTGACAATGGTTTTCCGGTTGTAATGTCGATTTCGAACTGCTTGATGGTGCAGGTAGGCTGTCTCTCGCGCGTCAGTTCCCAAGAACCTTGGAAATAGACCCTGTCATCGATGTCGAAGAAAAGGCTTGGATCGATTCCCTTGAAGTCGACGAAAATGGGATCACTCCATTCATTTGACATGATATCATCTGTGTAGATGTAGAAGTTTTGGGTGAGGAATGCCTCCCCACCTCTTGTGCAGTTGGTGCAGATGATGTAGAATCTGCCCTTGTGGTGTCTGATTGTTGGCGCCCAAAGGCCCGCAGATGCGACCATGATATGCCCAGTGTCAAGCGGGAAAGCATGTGTAGTCGCTTCGGAAAGATCGATTTGGTTGACTCTGTTGATTGCATTTCCTGTGGCAGTGTCAGTCTAGACGAATCTATACATGCCATACCACTTTTCTCACCAACCAAGGACCACGATCTCAAATCCCGAGAAGCATATATTGGAATGCCAGGGAAGAGATGGAAAGAAGAGGTGACCAAATAAAAGACTTCATCGACGAAGACAACGCTTGGATCCGGAGCAAAGCCAGACACGACAGGATTCTGGTACAAAACCATCTCGTCCCTTTCAGACACTTCGCTGATGGGCATGATGAGCTTGGAGTGTGGAAGCAAGATTGACAAATTTGAGATTAGACGTGGAAGTCTTGTTTACGAGCAAGAGGCGATGAGAAAAAGAAGCTGTCAATCCGAGATATCGCACCAAGCCTTTCACCAAGTCATCAGAACCCCGGCCTGGGTAACCGCTCGCCGGATGGATATGCAGAATGAGCCCGCGGACAAATTTCCAAGTCCGGTGTTAAAAGATGGAGCCGCGGCGAAATTCGTGGATGCGAGACCGGTGAGAAACACCGCGGTCTTGTTGCACCGTTAGGGCTGGACTCTCTATTTCCCCAGGCCTCCGGACTCTCCACAACCTGTCCACCCTAATCATCAATCTACAAGTCTTCGATCTAGCGGGGTTACCGAGAGTCTTTGCATGTAAGGGCTCCAAAAGGATATATATACCTCACAGATGTGCCTAGATTGTGACCATATCAAAGGTTTCAATTCAGCACCTCAAACAACATGGCGCCCACAGCTGCCAAAACCACGAACGATATTTCCTCGTCCATCGATCTCAGCAGTATCGCTCCTTTCTACAAGCGGAAGAACGGCATACTGCTTTACTTGCTGTTGACAACTTCATTACTCTCCAGCTTCGCATCTGGCTTCGACGGTGTAAGAGAATCATAAACAATGTCGATTGTCGACTGCCATAACTAACACCGCTGCAGTCTCAGACCAACGCTATGCAACTGCTTCCGATCTGGCAGGAAAAGTTTGGCAATCCAACGGGATCAACACTTGGACTGTTTGGTGCCTCGACATCAATTGGCGGGCTTGTCCCTTTGATCTTTTTCAACTGGATGGGCGACTACTTCGGGCGCCGTGTTCCGACTGCGGTTGGTGCTCTCATCATCATTGTCGGTGCTCTTGTCGAGCTGTTCTCCTCGACTCTATCCATGTTCATTGGTGGCAAGGTTGTTATCGGCCTCGGATCGACCATGGTGCAACTAGGCGCGCCAGTGCTGGTCACTGAACTTACTCATCCCAAAGAAAGAGCCAAGGTCACGACTGTCTACAACACTGGAGTCTATCTGGGATACGTTATCGGAGCTTGGGTCACGTTTGGCTGCATCAAGATCAACACCGACTGGCAATGGAAGCTCCCAACACTGTTACAGGTCATACCGTCAGTGTATCAGCTCACCCTATTATGGTTTTGTCCTGAGTCACCTCGTTGGCTGATCGCAAAGGGCAAAGAAGATCAAGCAAGAGCCATTCTGGTCAAATACCACGGCGAATGTGACCCCAACTCCGAATTGGTTGGTATCGAGATGTCTGAAATCATCGAAGCACAAGCAAGGGAAGCCGCAGCGAACGTGTCATGGGCTGCCTTCTTCTCAAGCAAGGCTAACTGGAGACGCATATTTCTGTGTACATGCGTAGCAACTTTCTCTCAAACCACTGGCAACTTACTCGTTTCCAACTATCTTGCAAAGATCCTAAAAGACACCGGACTCGATTCCACTTTTGACAGCACCCTCATCAACGGCATGTCTACTCTCTGGTCATACATCTGCTCGTTGGCGGTAGCAGGTTTTGTGGACAGATTCAACAGACGGACCTTTTTCCTCACAGGCTCTATTGGCTCACTGGTTGTCTTCGTCGCATGGACTATCGCCGCCCAACAGTATGTCGATGAGGGCTCGATCGCTGCAGGCCGCTTCATCGTCGCTTGTATCTTTCTTTTCCAGGCTTTCTATACCATCGGATGGCTCAACTTCGTAGTGACCTATCCCCTTGAGATTGTTACATATCAGATGCGAGCCAAAGCTTGGTCCTATGTTCTTTTGGTCATCCAAGCTTCTCAGATCTTTGGTAACTATGTCAACCCCGTTGCGCTGGAAAACATTGGCTGGCACTGGTACATCTACTACTGTGTCTGGATTGCTTGCATCGTCGCGATTGTGTACTTCTTCTTTGTGGAAACCAGAGGTCCGACACTTGAGGAAATTGCTGTTATTTTCGATGGACCGAACGCTTATCCTTCTGCTGAGAAGCATTCCTTTTTGAACGGCACAGAAAAGGCTACCCATCTAGAGTTGTCGCATGTAGAAAAGGTTTGAGCTTTGTGCACTATAGCGCGGCAATTCGTGCCGTCCGAGTCGTAGAGCCTATGACCAGCCTTATAGTGGAGATAACTTGAAAGAATCGTATCATATGTCATTAACTTAGGGGTCCTGTTACTGTCCGCCGTGCCACAATGATCTTTGCAGGTTCTCCTGGTTCGGTTTAGTCCGACAGACCCACAAACAACAGAATTTTTGAATTTGGTGCTTAAAACACTGCAATGAACCCCTATCGTTTCCTGGCGAGTTCATCAATCGAGCTTGCCTATATCAACAAGCTCATCAGTGCCTGGCGCTTGTTCTTCAACCTCTGTCGTCCTCAATACACATCAAATGATCTTCCAGTCTTTTGTCCAGTTGAAACGCCATGTTCTGTGAGCGAGTGAATTTAGGCTTTATCTTGATCTGCGATTCGGGCGACACATCGAGCGCCTCGAAGACAACGATCCTGAGAATAGCTCGCGACCTGGGGGATTAAAAATTGTTTCCACGATATTGAGGCTGGTCAACCACCGATCCAACAGTCGAGACTCGATCAACGATGACCTTCTGCAGAATCTTGAGGCCACCTTTCTAAGCACCATCCGTATTGGCAAATGGTCTAAACTGTGACCTGTAGCCATGACACATACGGCCCGCTGGTGCTGATACACTTTTGACACGTTCGCTCGGACTCGTCGCATTTGGCCTTTCTGATCCTGTTTCCGGTGAGCGGAGTGGAGTTCATCGGATTTCCGTATCGTTGGGCGGATCACGAGTAGGGTACAAGATTCCGGGCGACTGAGAGACTGGGCTGCAAGTGATACAACCAGTCTTCGCTTTCGTTCTACGAGCGTCTTTGCAAGATCACCCGCAGTCTTTGGGCTGGGCTCGGTCTGTGGACGTGGATCGTGCGGCATCCTTTGGGCAACAAAGCACCCGTGAGAGGCAAAGAAAGTGAACAGACGAACGAGATGATTGAAGTTGTATTCAGAACTAACGATAGAGTGGAAGAAGTTCACAAGCTATCTTCTCTCAAGAAGGATCAGGAGGGGCCGCGACTGGGCGCTAGCTCGATTGTGCAGTGAGAGCGAACCAACCAATCAGACCACTCGTCGGCGGACATCCGAATCCTACGCTCTTAAAGCGGACTGTTATGATATGTAAGCATGGATATGTGCTGCCTGAGATATATAAACCTGCAAGTAGGTCCAAGTCATCTTCAACATGATATTCTGATGTTATCGAGGTTTGCAATCAGCCGTGGAAAAAAGCCGAAATCATTGCTCAACTCGAAAATGCCAGCGTTCGTTCTCTATGGCGCTCGTGGGTCGACCAACACAGACCGAGTTCGCCTAACCCTCGCAGAAGGTGGATTCACCGATTATGAACTTGTTCTCGCCGATTTGCAACGAGGTGAACAAAAGGTATCTTGCCCCTGCACCACATATCTACAATCATTCTTCCTTCCTATAGTATCAAGATTGCATGAGGCTTACCATCATTGCCTCAGTCCGACGAAAACATGAAACGGCACCCATGGGGCAAGGTCCCAGTCTTGACGTTCCCGGACGGCTTCACTCTCCATGAGAGTCGCGCAATTTGCAAGCATCTTGCAAGAAAGTACTCCTTTTCGCTTCTACCATCATCCTCGGACGTCAATGCCATGGCACTTTTCGATCAAGCCGAATCAGTAGAGATCTCCTACTTCCTCGAGCCAGCCGGTAAAATCGCCTTCGAGAAATTTGTCAAGAAGCGCATGGGTCTGTCCGCTGATGAGAAGATCGTCTCCGATGCATTGCGATCTGTCGAGATGTATCTCGAGATTGCAGAGCGCAGCTTGCTGCAGAAGAAGTTTGTGGCAGGGGATGAGTTTACTCTGGTGGATATCTACTACATCCCGTTGATCCGGAGACTCTTTGCCTGCGGATATGGGGATCTGATTCTTCGTCATGGGGCTGTAAACGCTTGGTGGAATCGATGCATAGATCGACCGGCCATCAAGAAGTTGTTTACCGCTGATGAGGAGGCCATGGCTGTTACATCTGCTGCTACTAGATAGCCAAAAACTTATGGCATGTTGTACATGAGCGATCATTTACGTTGCTACTGTATCTCGTGATATACTTACATCGACGTCAGATAGCACCTCGGGCACTGTAAGCATGAATTTCTCTAGGGTTTGGGTCTGACGAAATACCATCTTGGGATACATCAACAAGGGAGTCTCGTTCCTTGAGATAACCAACAATATCGGCCAGCCCCCGATTTCCCCAATCTGGCCCGGGATACGACAACAATTCCGATGACAAGGTAATATTCTTACGTCCTTCAGTCCAACATGAACGATCTCCTCCACCGACATGATCACACAGGCAGAATCAAGACGAGCGAGCCGAGATCCCGGGACATAGTGTATAGAGGACACCCGAGGTAAATAAGTCTCGAGCTCGAGCTATTTGAACCCTGTAAACTTAGACACGGCAAGCAGAACTTGATACTAACTGTTCTTTCATCACTCAAGGTCCATGCGGAACAGACCTATGGCTCAAAAGTCAGTGCATTAGGACCGATCATGGCTTTGAATTTTAGTGATGACAGCCGAAGCGAGACACTATCTCATGCTATGCAGGTGATACGTACTCAAATGGCTTCGAATCGCATTACAAACCGCAGTACATACTAGCGGATAGCGGTCTACTCGAACGACAGCAGCTCACAACACCCAAGCATTGTCCAGGCTACGATAAATACTAGTGGAGCATTGCATCATGATCAGGCGTGTTACGCTCGACTCAGAGCTCGACGGACCGACGAAGGAGTAACTAGACAAGATGCCCAAGCACTAAATCACCAGCTGTCCAGTGTCTTGATCGTCAATTAACCCTGCTTGGTCACCGAGGAGCGCATGATATCAAAGCTTTGATACGTCTAATCGTTTGTCCGAGTCCCTTCGGAAGCACGCGTCTTAGGGTCGCTTGATTAGGACAGTTCTACGGTCAGGTACGGACGAGTTGAAGAGCTCAAGACGGCTGGTTCGCTTACTTTTCTGAAGTGCGGAATCCAGTTGAGATGTAATTGAATAATGGACGAACAGGAAAACCCAACCACGGATACATTAGTCATGGCGACACCTAAGTGATGTCTTTCGAGCAGCTACAATTATGTTTCCCTTTACTATTAGGACCTTATACCGTTCAAGTTGTTCGATTGCATTCTGTTGACTCGCTATTGTGTGGTATGCGACGCGCGGTGTGGCGCAGACGTCCAAGGTCCAACGTTAGTGGCCGTCACAATGCCAAGAGCTCTCATACGAGACCATACTCCAACACCGAAATAGTACAGATGAATAACAAGAACCAGAAATGATGATTTCAGATTTGAAAGTCGAACAAAACAACTAAGAAAAGAAGGATTGACGCAAGTTCCAAGAGTTGACAAGGATGTGAGTGGTAAATATAAGCGATGCCGAATTGCTTATATGTAGATTGTGTTGCTTGATGGTGAATTCTACTTTACCTATTCAGCTCTGTTCCTCTCATTCGTTTCTGTCGAAGATGTTGGTTAATTGTCGTGGCTCTCCTCTATGCTTGATCCTTGCGGTCTGGTTGATCGTTTGTGTTGGCACGCTCTCATTGACGTACTCCAACAAGATCTTGTAAGCCACCCAGAACTCCAGGACCACACTCGATACTGAAAAAAGATAGTACACTCATACCCCTCATCGTCGACCACGAGCCGAAGCTGCCTTTGATTGAGACCATCTGTCACTTTGGCGATTACCAGCATGCACCAAGGTTCAACAGCACCGTCATCGGAGCCCTGGAGCACAACAAAGCCGCACGCATAACGAAGGTAACGGCACATTTCGGTCCCCAAGTTCCGGCTTACGAACAAGCGCTACTCACGCATCATCGACACGCTGAGCTCCACGATTATCCTGTCCTAGACCTACAATCCAAAATCATTGACGATCTCTGGAACAAGCCTGCATATCTGCTCTCGTTGGTCCTTGACGAGCTTCGCAAACCGGAAGGACATAGAGTCGAATGGCTGTTCTGGTTCGACAGAGACACGGTTATACTCAATCCCTGCATCCCCTTACATATCTTCTTGCCGCCGAGAGACGACATCCATATTGTAATCTCCAATGACTGGAATGGATTGAATAATGGCGTCTTTGGTCTCCGCATTAATGAGTGGAGTGCGAGGCTCTTGAGTACAATCCTGGGATACCGCGAGTTAAGGCCTGACGAGGAGCTACGCTTTACTGAACAAAGCGCCATGGAGAAGGTGTTGCAAGACTCGAGGTTTAAACAGGGTGCGGCATACTATCCACAGAGATGGTTCAATGCATATGAAGCGGAAGCAGAGAAGGATTACGCAGTCAAAGATTCCGATCTGCTGGTTCATTTTGCGGGCGTTGGAGACAGGCTGAAGAAGATTGCGAATTGGATCGAGAAGGCGGATTCAGAATCCGAAGTGTGGTCAGTTGACTATCGTTCGACTAGCTTGCCGTAGGAGATTTGCGAGTTATGGAACCAATGGAGTGCCTCTTGATAGGTTCAGGGCAAATTCGATTCGGTACTTGACATGCAGACATGGCGCTGCAGTCATACGTCTCTTTGTTCCCATCCTTCGTCCCGAGTGAACCAAATCAAGTGATCGCTACCCAAAGCTTTTTCAAGGCCCAAACCAACGGCGATCACCTTTCCTTCTGTATCGAACTTGAATCGTACTGGCAAGACCTCTTCGTCAGACTCGTCGCCAATAATCTCAACCAGATAGCCCCGAAAGATGGTATTGTCGGCCACGTGCTCGAGTAAGACTATGAAAGAGATATTGTGGTCTCTCCCATCAACGCAGAGGCAACCGTCCATCTCTCTTACGATCAGAGTACGGTAACCTATATTCCAGAACGACCCTTGGTAAGCTTCCATGTCAACTTGCAAAGTGCCTTTCGCCTGTTCTCTTCTCTCAAAATTTCGCTTGAAGTTCTTCTCTCGGCGTGCTTCTTGTGCTTTGAAGCGTTTGACTCGACTGTTTGCAAATCCCCCACGCTGGTCGAAAGGAGTCTCCAGGACTTGGTCGAGGATACTGTTTTGGATAATTGCGGACAGATGAAAAGCCCCTTCGCTGTTCCCAAGTATCACGGCTCCAATATTCTGAGATGGCAGCATAAACATCCTGCTTCCGTAGCCGGCAATAATGCCGTCGTGGGCGATGATCTTGGCTCCGCGGTAATGCTTGACATCCCAGCCCAAAGCATAGCTTGCTTCTGGCGATCCATCTTTTCCTCTATCCTCCAGTGTCTTTCCAGGAGTTCGAGAGATCCTTGGGTCTGTGACAGATTCGTAGATTGGACGAGTAATGGGATCCATGCGGTTCATCATGGCGCGTATAAATTTAGCGTAGTCGTCAACACTGCTCTGGATCGACCCTGCACCCTGGCCTTGGGGTGTATCCTGGTGGCAGGTATGGTGATATTTGCCGTCATGGAAGAAGTATGGAGTGGAGAATCGATCGCCTTGACCAGAAGCCCAAACCTGGGCAGATCCGGTGAAGGTCGATGTCATACCTAGTGGTCTCAGTATTCTCTCGCGTAGAAAGTGTGAGAAAGATTGCTGGCTCAGAGTCTCAATGAGGTGAGTAGCAACAGTGTACATCATGTTGCTGTACTGATAAGTTGTTTTTGGCTCTTTGCTCAAAGCGAGATGACGCAAGTTTCTAGTAATGGAGCGGACAGTATCAGGATGTTTTGACTCAATGCTCAAGATACTCAGATCGTGGCTGTCATGCGTGAGCTATTCGACATCTGTCTGAGCCAAGCTGCACATCAAGCATACATACCTTGGCAAACCGGTTCTGTGGCTCAAGACATCCTCCACGGTGACCATATTGGTGGCCTCGGCGGTCGAAAGAACAAAGTCATCAGGTAGTAAACTTGACATCAAGGAATCCCATTGGGCCTTTGTCGAAAACTCATGCTCGTTTTCCACAAGCAAAGCAACCGCGAGCGAAGTCAATGCTTTGGAGCATGAAGCAACTTCGAAAATTGTGTCGGGGGTACATGGAGTTGGCGGATCGAGGGATGCATTTCCGAAGGCTCGGGAACGGATCTCAGAGCCATCTACGATCGCTATGGCAAGACCAGGTACGTGGAAGTCATTCATGAGGTTCTTGATGCGGCTGATTGTTGCGGGTTCGTCGAGCCAGGACATTACGTTGAGGCCATGCGAGGGAAAATCCATTTCATTCGACATTGATGCAAAGGTCCCGATGGTGACGAGATTGGGTCACCGAGATGGCTTGTGTGTGTGAGTGGCAGAGGTGTCTACCCATCAACGAATGGACGCAATCCTCATTCAAGTATCGTTCAGCTTCGCTGAACAGTATTCGCGACTAAAAGCGAATTTATTGTATGGTAACAACATCTGTCCCACATTCGAGAAAGGATGAAGACGGATGGCTGTGCAGTGTGCTGTGTCCGATCATCATCGATCACTGCCGCGGCAAGCTTACGTAAGCATCCTTTGAGCGCATCTCCGCATCAACTTCACCGTCCACCGAGCACTCCTTCGACTGATAAGTGTGATAAACACGATAACCATGTACTAGAAAGCTATAAGTAGCAATGTGATTGCAACGGTAAGCCTTCACATCATCTGCTTATCGACATGCCATCCCACACCATACATCCGCAGATCGAAACACTGTTGCCAGCAAAGCATGATTCACAAGTCACATCAAAGCTAGACTCACTACTTGAGAAGCTCACTCAAAATTACAAAGACCAAAATAAATTGTCTCAACATCAACATGAAGAAGCCTCGATGTATCTACCAGGAGGAAGCACGCGATCAGTCCTCCACTTCGATCCCTTCCCCATGACCTTAGCCTCTGGCCACGACTGCCACGTCACTTCTCTCGATGGCAAAGAATACCTAGACTTGGTGTCTGAATACTCGGCTGCGCTGTTCGGACACTCACAGCCAGAGATTATGGACGCTATTCGGGCTACTTTGGAACAGGGCATAAATCTTGGTGGTCCTAATAAGCAGGAAGCTGTGTTGGCTAAACAACTCGTTGACCGCTTTCCGAGTATTGAGAAAGTGCGATTTTGTAATTCTGGGTCGGAAGCCAATACGATGGCTTTGGGCATAACGATGGCTTATACCGGGAGGAAGAAGGTAAGGGCCTGACTTGCAGATCACGTCGCATACTCCATTGGGCTGACCAAAGACATTCACTCCAAAGATACTGGTTTTCGAAAATGGTTATCACGGTGCCTTCACAAACTTCGGCGACCATCCCAACCCCTTCAACATTCCCCACGACTTCGTCATCGCCAAATACAATGATATCGAACACACCAAATCATTGCTGAGTCCAGATCTCGCCGCCATCATCCTGGAGCCAATGCTCGGCGCCGGCGGCATGATACCCGCAACGAAAGAATTCCTCCAATTCCTCCGTAACGCAGCTACCCAGATCGGAGCCGTCCTAATATTCGACGAAATCATAACGTCACGTCTCCACATCCATGGTCTTCAAACCCACTACAACGTCTATCCAGACATGACAACACTAGGCAAATACTTAGGCGGCGGCTTCAGTTTTGGAGCTTTCGGCGGCAATGACGAGATCATGGCAATGTTCAATCCAGGACGAGGATACTTTCACTCTGGCACGTACAATAACAATTTATTCTCCATGAGTGCTGGCGTCGCTGCAGGTAAACTTTTGACAGAGGATAAGATTGCAAAAGCCAATGCGCTGGGGGATAAATTGAGAGATGGGATTAATGAGATGGCCAAAAAATGTGTACCAGAGGATGATGTGGCTCTGATGAAAGCTACAGGTTTTGGCAGTCAAGTGGGACTGCATTATGTGGGTGATGAGCAGGAAAAGTTGAGAGATTGTGTGTTTTTCTTCATGTTGGATCAAGGCATTTATATGGGTAAGCGGGGTTTCATCTCTATTAATCTCGTTCACGAAGAACATCATATCGACATGGTCATCGAAGCTTTCCGGAGATTTTTCAAAGAGCTTTGATAGATAACAATTTTTCAAAAATCACCACATCAACAATTGCACAAGACCCTGCCAACTCGACAGAAAGTGAACATCCCATGTTACATGAGCACCTCCATCACTAAACCTCAAACTCATGCCTAGCCATCCTACCACTCCCCCTATTCACCACCGCCCACTCTCTCAACCCATCCTCCAACCCTCTAACCAACTTCCCATCCCCAGCCTCCTCAGCAAAACTCACCCTCCCAGTCCACCAAGCCAACATCCTCTCTACCCCTTCACCCCCAATCAACCCCACAGCAATATCAATCAACCCTTCCCTCCCTTGAATATCCTTACTCCCAGCCCAAAACACATTAGCCCCACAAATACCACAAAAGCCTCTTGTCACACCTTTACTGGAAGAATGAGTTTTCAAACTTCCCCAAGTCTGAGTGGTGGTGAATGGGGTGGTTAAGGTGGTGTCGAGGAAGATATTGCAAGTGGGGATGAATGACCAGAATGTGATGTCGAAACCAGAGGATGCACGGCAGGAAGGGCAAGTACATGTGCCTGCTAGATATCTGGTTGGAGAAGGTAACCACCATGGTTTATTGCCGACGTTTGGGTTTCCTCCTGTATGTGCTGGAACCATGAGGTCTGGATATGGGGAGCGAGCGGAAGTTGATGAGGAAATGTTGGGGGGTGTGATGTAGAAATTTACACCCTTGCAGTGGCAATGCGCTTGTACTGTTTCCGACGTGCTCTCGGTCGTTTTCTTTGGGGCCTTGGTGTTTGTCGAGGTTATGGTATCGAGGTGTGATGGAAGTTTATCCTTCTTGCGTCGAATTTCCAACTTCTCGCCATCGATACGCGTGAGAAATGTGTCTTTTTCCTCTTCATACCATTTATCGCATACCATCCACTCTATCAACTCTTTTTCCACACCCTCCACTCCCTCCCATTTCACAACCCCACTAGCAACCCCCAACCCCCCACCCCCATGGTCTTCACGATACACATGCGAACCACAATCTCCACAAAACCATCTCTTGACACCCCCATCTTCACTTCCATACACCACCATCTCCAACCCATCACATCCCACCACCCCAAAACTATCATATCCTGTCAATAAGATATAAGAAGTAAACAAAGCTCCAGAAATATGACGTGCGGAATTGCAATTGCAGAGAATGGCAGGGAGGGGAAGGGTAGAGGTGGGGATGGAAAAGGTGTGGTGGACTTTGTTGCAGTTGCATGATGTGATGATTTGTATCACGTCTTTGGTCATGGTTGTGTTGGGAGTTTTGATGTCGTTTTCGAACGTGTTTGGGGAATACTGTAATGAAGGTTTCTTCTCTGTGCAAAAGGGCTGTAAACAAGGAAGAGAGGAGTGAAGAGGGCTTGCCTCCTCCCTGAGAGAGGTGCAAGAGGCTTGATGGTGTGGGGTAATTGGGTAGACTAGAGAGACAAACTCAAAGATTTATAATCGAAAGCGCAAGGCTGGTGCATTGTGGACAAAAGGGAAGATCTCCTTGCGAGGTTGGAATATTTATACAGAACATATACACAGGAGGACAGGCAGACATGCAAACGAAAAAAACACACAGATTTGCCATTAAACTCAAGATGTGATGCAAAGGGAAAAACACAGACGCATCTGCTTGATTTCAGGAACGCCCCTCCATATTTTCACACAATCCTCCTCTCCCAAATACCAAACGTCAAGCTTAGTAGTGGATGGCCTTGCCGTGGGTGGCCATGGCAGCCTCCTTGAAGGCCTCGGCAAGAGTGGGGTGAGCATGCGAAGTTCTTGCGACATCCTCAGATGAAGCACCGTACTCGAGCGCCAAAACACCCTCTGCGATCATCTCACCGGCGTTGGGGCCGACAATGTGGATACCGAGGATACGGTCGGTCTCGGCATCAGCGAGGAACTTGACCATACCGTCAGAGTCGGCGTTGGTCTTTGCGCGAGAGTTGGCAGAGAAGGGGAAAGAGCCGATCTTGTACTTGACACCGGCCTCCTTGAGCTCGGCTTCGTTTTGGCCGACCCAGGCGACTTCGGGGTGGGTGTACATGACCGAGGGAATGGCACCGTAGTTGACGTGGCCGTAGTTCTTTGTGATGTACTCGATGACAGCGACGGCCTCCTCTTCGGCCTTGTGGGCGAGCATGGGACCGAATGTTACGTCGCCGATGACACGGATGTGGGGGATCTTGGTGCGGTATTCTTGGTCGATGACAATGCGACCGCGGTTGTCAGTCTCGAGACCAATGTTCTCGAGGCCGAGACCGGCGGTGTAGGGACGACGGCCGATGGCGACCAGGACGACGTCAGCGTCGAGCTGTGAAATGGTCAGTATGCTGTGAATGCATGTCTGCATGTACAAGACTCACAGTCTCCTCCTTGCCGCCCTTGGCAGCCTCAACCTTGATCTTGACGTCGGCAGCGCTGTCATCACCCTCAACGACCTTGGTGTTGAGCTTGAACTTGATGCCCTGCTTGGCAAGAGTCTTCTGGATGTTCTTTGAGATCTCAGCGTCCATACCGGGACCACCGATCTGGCCGAGGAACTCGACAACGGTGACCTCAGCACCGAGACGCGACCAGACGGAGGCCATCTCGAGACCAATGATACCACCACCAATGACAACCATCTTCTTGGGGACAGTCTCGAGGGCAATGGCGCCAGTCGAGGTGATGACCTTCTTCTCGTCGATGGTAAGACCGGGGAAAGGAGTGGCCTCGGAACCGGTTGCGATCAGGATGTTCTTGCCGCGGATGCTGGTCTCACCACCCTCGGTGAGGTTGACCTGGACGGTGTGCTCGTCGGCGAAGGCACCGGTACCCTTGATGTACTCGACATTGTTCTTCTTGAACAAGAATTCAATACCCTTGGTCAGGCCGTTGACCGACGTCTCCTTGGCCTTCATCATCTGCTTCAGGTTGAGCTTGACATCGGCGACTTCGATACCGCGGTTCTTGGTATCGTGGAGGATCTGGTGGTAGAGGTGCGAGTTGTTGAGAAGAGACTTTGAGGGAATGCAGCCGACGTTCAAGCAGGTACCGCCGAGGGAGCCACGCTTCTCGATACATGCGACCTGGAGAGCGGGGCGTGTTAGTGATTATCCGTGTGTATGTTTGTTTGTCCGCAAGAGATGAGCGCACCTTCAAGCCCTCCTGACCGGCCTTGATGGCGGCAACGTAACCGGCAACACCGCCACCAATGATGACCAAATCCTTCTCCTCTGCGCAAAAGAGTCAGCCTCAGCTCCCTCGCTTTGTCACTTCATGTGAGCATACCGGTCTCGGTGGCGTATGATCTCCTTGATTGCACGCGGTCGACAAGGTAGAGAGTCGAAGGCGAGGCGCGGAATGTGTTGTTGGCCGAACGGAGCAGCGGGCGCGATGCGCGGGGGATCATGTGCGAGAACATGGCGACAGTAGGGGCGAGGAAGGACGGAAAACGAAAGAAACAAAAGTCCTAGAAGGAGCGAGTATGTGAATCTCGAACTGCTTGTTGAGGTTCCAGCTCTTGCTAAGCAACGAATCGTCAAACCCGTGCCAAGCCGTCCTTTCGGTCAGAAGCTGCGGATGCCCGCCAAAAACTTCACCGACGCCCCCGACTCTTGCCGAGACATGGCAATAACAACAACACAAGCCACACACCACTCTTGATCAGTAGGTACGCTGCCAATACGAGTACGAGTAGAACAATTCCTTCTTCAATGGGTATCAACAAGAAAGAAAACCTATACAGTTCGTGACGCTCCAAAAACGCCATCCCAGCAATTGCCACCGAATGCCTCCCTCAAGCCGCAGCCTGAACAACCTTGTACCCCTCATTGACCACCTTGATAATCTCTTCATCCTTGTGTTGAAGAAGTCCAAGCGCATAAGCAACATCATTCCATTGCCTCTCGTTTTCTGCTCTCGGTAGTCTTGCAGCCAGTTTGTTTGCGAGTTGCTTTGCATGCTTATCTTTCTCGATGAAGCCCGACAAGAACTTGATGATTCTGCGGAATTGATCCTCGTCAAGTTCTTCATCGCGAGAGAGCAAGCTGAACATGTCCACAAATTGGTTGTAAACAGCATTATCCTTGCCTGCAAGCTCGCTGAAGAACATTCGTGACATGTCTCGTACTCTGTCATCGCTGTCCTCGACACACTTGGCCATCTCACTTAGCTGTCCCTTGACCTTGACTTGTCCAGCCAAGATCAGGAATGTCAATGTCATGAGACATGTGCGCTTGACCGGTAATGATCTGTCTGACAGACGGCGGTAAAGGTAGTCGGTGTTCTCATCAATCAGATGGTTGAAGCAGACTGCCATATCGCCAAGTGCAATTACCAAGTTGTTGCGTGTTGTGGCATCAGGACTTCTCTCGAGAATCGTAATGAGTAGGCCCAAGTTCTGCTCACAGTACTCGGAGCTGACACACATGAGCTTTGCTAAACACAAAGCAGCCTGAGCCTGCAATTCCTGACTTGCATACGATGTGTTGTTCATACAGATCTCGCGCACCAGAGGTCCGAAGTTGGCCAGCAATGAGTGAGGTCCAAAGAGGAGTTCACGCTCACGTACATGAGCAATGGCGTCTGTGAAATCGTCCTCGGTTGTGCCTGTGATCAAGTCGAGATCATCTTGCTCTTCTTCTTTCACATCTTTAGCGTCCTTCTTCGATGCCTTGCCCTTCTTGGCTGGCGTCGGTTCAGCAGTGGCTTGCTTCTCCTTGTCCATCTTTCGGCGTTTGAAGTCCATTTCGCATAACTCCAGATGGACGATTTGCTTGATTGCGATGTGACCGACGGTGAAAAGTAGTTGTGACAAAGCAAGTCCAGGGTCCTCAGCCTTTGGTAGCTCGATTTCGTCCTCTTCTTCCTTCTTGATCGGGAGAGCATCTTTCATGGGCTCGTCGTCCATGCCACTCATCTCAATGTCGCCGTCTTCAATCTCGACTGGCTCGGCTTTGGTCACAACCGCAACTGAGGCGAACACCTTCTTCGTCTTGAATCTCAGGATCTCGGAGGCCAGCTCATCAGGGTGCTTTGAGAGAGCGTAAATTGCGCCGATCACTTGCTCGGCAAGACCGTACCACTCTTTGCTAGAGGATTTGACATCTGCCATGGCGGCCAGTTTCTGAAGCACTGCATGATCGTTGGGCAGCCTTGTTGAAGTGGGTGCTGCTTGGATACCTTTGGTGTGCTTGGGGTTGTTCATACGCATCAAGGCAATGCACGTGAACTTGGCAAGAACTAGGTCCGTTCTACCGTATGCACCAAGACCAATTCGAAGACACGTCTCCATCTCCTTGACGATAATATCAGGATCGGCCAAGGCAAGCATGCCGAGAACAATGATGGCACCGCGGCGCTGGTTCTTTGAAATTTCTCTGCGCTCGATACCGTAGATCTGCCAGAGCTTCTGGATGGTTGCATCCTTGATAAAGTCTGATTGCATCATGGTGCTGAGTAATTGCTCCAGACTCGTCAATTCGGCGGCGGTTGCTCCGAATGTCAGACTGACCATATTCCTGGCGATGAAGTTTGCAGCATCGTTAGCGGTGAAGCCGCTAGGAGCATCGAAGAACAAGCCCTTGTAACATTCTATGAGATGAGCCTGGACACCCTTGCCTTCGTCGCTGTTTCCCTTGGTCCAGATGAGGCGCAACATTCTTCGAATACCTGAGCGGGATGTCTCAATCTTGTATGCATCTGCAATGACAAAGTAGTCCATGGCCTCGATAACTTCGGATTTGTTCTTGGACGAGAGCAATTGTGTGATGATGGGCGAGGCTTCGTGGAGGACTTCGATGAACTTGAGGGCTTCGATGTAGTAACGGCGAGTCAATGTAAGCTTGCTCATCATCTCGGAAGTGACAGCCTCAGCTGCTGCCTTCTCGAAAGCAGCTTGTTTCTGCTCTTCTGTCATAGCCGGCTTCTCCTTGACAGGTGACATCTGTGTGGCATCATCCAAGAGCTCTTCATCAACCGTGGCGTCTTGCTGCTCGACCATGCCAGCGGCTTCTTGAGGTGGCTTGAGAGCATTCAGCTCCGCCTCGCAAACTTCTAACCGCGAGTTCCAGTCCGAGTACGAGAGTTGACCACCATGCAAAACTGCAAAAGGATGAGTTTGGACAAGCTTTCCAAGCAGCTTGATGGCATTCCTGCGAACATTGCTGCTCTTGTCTTCGAGACTTCGACAAGCGAGATCTGCTGCTGTTTGTCTGCGCTTCGGGTACTTCGTCTCGAGATCGCAGAGCTTCATGTACACTTGGATAGCACGGCATCTGCAGTAGGGATTGATGTCAAGGAAACGCTCTTCCAGGACCTCGAAGAAAGCGTTGATTTGGCCCTTGTGGTTCTCGCTTCGCTCTTCGCCCTCCTGCTTGCTCAACATGGCAATCAAATTTCCACAAACTTCGATGATTGAGCAGCGCAGTGTGTATGATTCGCTGTCAAGCAATTTGGCGAGGAGCATGACTTGCTTGATGACTTGTCGTGGTGCGAGTTCGGAGAATTTTGTGATGAAGGTCGAGACAGATTTGGGACCCTTCAAATCGCTGCTGCTGAATTCCTGGTTGCTCAACTCGCGCAAAACTTCTTCTGAGAGTTGAGGGTAGTCGTATTGTTCAGCCAGAATGTTAAGCAGCTCCGCCATAGGCTCTGACAAGTGCTCAAAGTACAGAAGGCTCTGGATGATGTTTGTCTGAGCTCCGGAAGCATGTCCATGGTGCTTAATGGCGATACACAAGACCTTGAAAGCATGCATCTTGATAGCAGTATACTTGACTCTTGCTTCGTTCTCCATCATCAGGTAGACTGGTCGTGTGAAGAGACCGATGAAGGTGTCGCGCTCAGAGGTGGTGACAAAAATCCTGGCAAGCTTGAGCTTCAAAACCTTCGCCATGGTGTTGAGAGCAGACTGGATCTGCATTGAAGGATCCCAGGGCGCATCCTTTCCAGCTTTGGGCTTCGCGGCAGCCTTTCCTCCTCTTCCACGGGCGGCGGGCGCAGCGGACTTTTCGGATGAGACTCTGGTTTCGACGCTGGTGAAGCACCACATGAGGAGGAAGGAGAGCATCTCGAGGAGTTGTTTGTGCTGAGGAATGGCATCTTGTTCATCGGCTTCGATGTCGTTGTGAACGGAGTCGGCCTCGGCGGAGAGAGCGGAGAGGATGAGATCGAGAAGCTTGGAGAGCGATTGGGTGGGGATGAGAGAGAATTGTCTGAGGTCATTGTCAGGCACATGTGTCTGAGAGGCATCATCTTGACGGGTGGGGGCGCACTTGAGCAGAAATTGCAACGAGTCAAAGTTGGCCGGGCGGGCAACAGCTTCCGGGTTTTCTGTAATGGCATCGACGATGGGGTTGAGGACGGTGTTGACCAGGGCGGGGGTCAGGTTTTCGGGGTTGTGTTCGCATTCCAGCAAGTCTTGATGCGCCTCGGGGGTGTGAGTTTCCAGCGGGTTGTTGAGGTACGTCTTGAGGGCATCGTTGATGTCAAAGTCCGAGAGAGCCTCCATGTTGGGTGAGGCACACCCTGCGGGCAGTTTGATATTTCGGTTGTTCAAGCAGGAAGGAACGACCGAGACCTTCAGTGGACAGCAAAAGCTCGCTGTTGATGTTTGCGGAGAAGACGAATCCCGTGTTGATGTCTTGCCCGATGGGGAAAGGCGTCGCTTGCGGCGCGTTCTCCAGAGTCGGTCGTGACGAGGGGCATCAAAGATTTGAACAACAACAATCAACAAGCAATAAATGTTTTAGCTCTGATCGGATCTCCTTGTCTTCTTTCGAATAACACCTGGCAGAATGGCCAGTATGCGTGGGGCCAAGACGGTGCGAGAGGCGATACCTGTCGCCGACTATCACATGCGCAGTGAAGACGAAACCGAAGATGCCATGGACGAGAGCAAGAACAGCATGGATGAGAGTCAAGCCACAGAGTCTGATGGAAGCGACGAAGAAGTCGAGCCTTCGGTACAAGAAGACATCAACCGTTTCGAACAGTCCTTCAAGAACATTTCAACTCGCTTCCGCCTGATCAATCGCATCGGAGAAGGTGAGTTCCTTCCCAATTTAAAATCCATTACAAGTCTGACTCGGTACCAGGCACCTTCTCGACCGTCTACAAAGCCGAAGATCTCCTCTACGACAAGTTCAAGAACGACTGGAACAAAGTCACCTTCTCACCAGAAGCAAAAGCATCTCGAGACCGGCCACGAGCCCGGTATGTCGCCATCAAGAAAATCTACGTCACATCATCGCCTATGCGCATCTTCAACGAACTCGAACTGCTGCACGACCTGCGAGACTCGGCGAATGTCTGTCCACTCATCACCGCGTTCCGCCACCAAGATCAAGTCGTAGCCGTTCTGCCATACTTCCAACATCGCGACTTCCGGGACTACTTCCGTGACATGACCGTCAACGACATGCGTGTCTATTTTAAGCAACTCTTCACCGCTGTGCAAGCCGTCCATGAGCACCAGATCATCCACCGCGATATCAAACCCACAAACTTCCTCTACTCGCCCACTACGCAGAAGGGTGTCCTCGTCGATTTTGGTCTGGCAGAAAGAGAAGGAACAGACTGGCATCACTGCAATTGCCAGTATTCATCAGAAGATCGCCGCTACCGTGTGCAAAACTCTCTCTACTCATCCATCCGTACACAATACCGCGATGCTGGCCAACTACCGCCACCTCCCGCATATCCCAAAGAAGACTCTCGAAACTCTCGCAGAGCGAACCGTGCAGGCACCAGAGGTTTCCGCGCCCCCGAAGTCCTGCTCAAGTGCACATCGCAGGCTTGTATAATCGACATCTGGAGTTGTGGCATCATCCTCCTTACTCTTCTCAGTCGCCGCTTCCCCTTCTTCCACTCTGCCGATGACATTGATGCTTTCATAGAGTTGTGCAGCATTTTTGGCAAGCGTCGCATGAATGAAGCTGCTCTCCTACACGGCCAAGTCCTCCAAACAAACATTCCTACGATCAGCGAAAATGGCCACAGCTGGGAGAAGATTCTGCTGTGGTGCACGGAACGTCGCAAGACCGACTTGCCCCTGACGGATGAGGAGAAGGAAGCCGTACAGTTCATGTCCCTCTGTCTCGAGCTCGATCCTTCAAAGCGCATATCAGCCGAAGAAGCACTCGAGCATCCCTTCTTAAATATTGACACTTCTGAAGCCTATCCTGACAGGAATGAAGATGATTGATCACAACCAAGCGTTCCTTCAATTATCGATTGGCGGCTATGAAGAGAATAATTCTGTCTGAAAAAAAGCAATGATACCACGACATGGGAGTCACAGAACGGAAAAATAGCATCATCCTGGAGTTTTGGGTTCTTCTTCCACCTGTACATATTTTTGTTACCATCACGATGTTATTTGTTATTCAAAAACATTTTGTCACCTGCGACCGTGACTAGACATTTAAAGTACAGGTCCACCACTGCTTCTTGCTACCTGAGACAATCTTGAAGTTTTGCAAAAAGCATTCCCAAGCTCGTTGTACTCTTAATCTCTCCAGGCACCCCAGAGTCGTGTCTACTTGCTTGCAGGTGATCACAAAGTCTGTATTTGTTGAACTGAGAAGAACAATTGCAAACTTAGTAGAAGTTCCAGAAAAGCATGAAAGGGTCGAGTGATGCATCACAGATCTTGGACCTTAGAATGTGTCAAACCACATTTCAACCATTATAATACTGCAATTGACGTCCAGCAGTAAGCTACGTGCCTCGAAAGTTCTCGTTCTAACAACCCTTTCATTCACAATCATAGACTCAAATTGATGTGCGATGCAGTGACTAAGATCGCGCTTAATGATACATGGAAAATTAGTGTCAGGGTCACTGGAGTAGCGAAGATGTCTAGGGCGTCTCGGTGGGGAAGAAATAAACGACCGCTCGCGATATTCAAGCACTGTCACTTGTCATTCACTCAAGGGATCACGAATAGCAATGACGAACATGTCAGTGTAGGTATATGTATCATGAATTAGGCAAGACGAGGAACAGAGCAAAGTCTAGATAAAGCATACTAGCTTACTGTCCCTAGAGACGAGACAAAGAAGCGTGTTCCTTCTGAATATACGCAAAGGCCTCGAAAGCTCTCATCCTGACAATTCCTTCATTCATTTCCGCACCTTTGTAGTTGGAGATCAGGAGTTCGTCCAGCTTCAACTCTGTCGGTAGCTTCCAATCCACATCATGTTGTCGGAAGTTGCACGCCACGAGTACAGTATGCCCCTTGAATGTTCTTGTGTAAGCAAAGATATCCTCGTGCTCGGCGTCTATGATGTTGAAATCGCCATAGACGAAGATATCCAACATTTGCTTGCGAAGGGCGAGTATAGCTCTCCAGTACTCGAAAGGACTGCCCGGGACACCGACTTGAGAGGCTGCATTACAGATGTCATACGTGTCGTTTACGCGGAACCAAGGATCGCCTGTGCTGAAACCTGCATGTTTGTCGGAAGTCCATTGCATAGGTGTGCGTGCATTATCGCGGGATTTGATATGATATTGCTGTTTGGTGATGACTTGTAGCTCCTTGTCATCTGGTCGAATCTCGCAAAGTTCGTCCCAATGGTTCAGCGTTTCCAGATCTCTGAACTCGGTCATCTCCCAATGTTCGGGGATATTGGACATGCCTAGCTCTTGCCCTTGATACAGGAACACAGTACCACTTTGCAGTCCTAGGAATGTGGCGAACATCTTTGCTGCCAGTGTTCGGTGCTCGGCGCTGTCAGATGCCCAGCGAGATACTGTTCTGGGTTGATCGTGGTTTTCCAGATAAAGCGCATTCCAACCGCCATTCCCATACATAAAGGTTTGCCATTTGGAAACAATGCTTTTGAGATCGGACATTTGCCAATCTTTGGGGGAGAACTTTCCAGCAGGGCCGTGATCCATGTCTACAATGTCGAAGTTGAAAATCATGTTCAATTCCTTTCTGTCGTAGCCGACTACCTTCAAGATCTCCTCTGGGTCGCTTACCCATGGCATTTCGCCGACGGAGAAGGCGTTGTAGGAGTCTAGTATTTCCCCTAGCTCTTGTAGGTATTCGTGGATGCGAGGCCCATTGGCGTAGTGTTCGCAGCCGTGGTGGTATGGCTGATTGGCATCGAGGACAGTTGCGTCCGGGAAGGATTGATCTTTGCTGATGAGATTGATGACGTCGAGTCTGAAACCATCGACGCCTTTGTCGAGCCACCAGCGGACGGTCTCGTAGACGGCGGAGCGCATCTCTTCACACTCCCAATTGAGATCAGGCTGTGTCTTGTCGAAGAGGTGTAGATAGTATTGGTTCGAAGTAGTATCGTACTCCCAAGCGCTGCCGCCAAAGTATGAGCTCCAATTGTTCGGGGGTTGACGGTTACCATGGCTGTCGTATTTGGGATCTCGCCAGATGTACCAGTCGCGATAGGTGTTGTCCTTGGAAGACAGGGATTGTTGGAACCATTCGTGCTGGTCGGAAGTATGGTTGACGACTAAGTCCATCAAGAACTTTAGACCTCTGGCGTGTAAGCCAGCAATCAGTTCGTCGACATCGTTCATCGTGCCATATCTTGCGTCGATCTCCTTGTAGCTTGAGATATCATAGCCCATGTCGACTTGAGGGCTTTGGTAAACGGGACAAAGCCAGACGATGTCCACTCCTAGTGTTTTGATGTAGTCCAGCTTCTCAATGACACCGCCCAGGTCACCAAAACCATCTCCATTCGAGTCTTTGAATGAGGAAGGGTAGATCTGGTAGACGCTGGCCTCCTTCCACCATGCGCGTTGGACTTGTTTGTCCTCGGAGGCGTTCAAAGAAAGAGACATTGCCACTAGTGTTCGAAAGATGCAGCAGAAAGAATAAACGAAGAACAATGCTGAAGAAGAAACAAGGGCGATCTACCTCTAAGTATTCAGAATGAAACTAACCGGATCAACGCTATCGGAACAGATGGACCCAATACAGCCCTGTAGTCTCATACTAAGATCTTGAGAGGGACAACCTGACAGAGCGCGAGTTGCTACCGCCAGTGGGCCGAGTAATACTGCTGTCAATTCTGTGAGCCGATGGTGAGACTTTCGCTGTGAATTTCGCAAAGACTATCGCGACAAATCTCGTGAGGCTGAGAGCCATAACCAGTCTTGGGGTCTTGGTGGCATCGATGTCAACCTGCACATGACCCGCTCAAATATCGTGCTAAAATTCGAAGAGATTCTCGCGATGATTTTCGCAACCGTATGCGGGAGTTGTTGATGGAAAACACGGCACGAAGACGGTTCGCTCGAATCCTCGCGTTGAATTTCGCAAAGATTCTCGCAAGGTTCACGGCTTTGCCTCCAGCCACGGGGCCGAGAACCACTTCCCGTGGGGACTCCAGTTTTCATTTCCTCCCTTCACCCTTTGTCACGATACAGTTTTGCATCTCCGCAGTCGGTCTCGAGGGCATCGTCTTTTGCGCCACCGGTTTGATTCTTGTATACATGTCCTGGTCAAAAGATGTATAAAAGGATGGATCGCCATCCCCAGAATTGCCCAGACTCGACCAGCAGCAGATCAATCCTCTTCTATCAATAGAAGCAACGCCGGTATATACTTCATCGACAAAGTCTTTCCTATCGCTCCTCTTTCATACATCGACAATGGGAGGTCCCGCAGGTGTTGTCGCAGCCAGTGGCAGTGAGGTTTACAAGAGCCTTCGCAACAATGTCAACCCCAAATGGATTCAGGATCCTGGTCTTCGCAAACTCAATTTCGGTGTCGCTACTATGTTTGCTTCCGCCGCAGCCAATGGTTATGATGGTTCTCTCATCAATGGATTGCTCGCCATTCCCTATTTCAACACCAATCTTGGTGACCCCAGCTCAAGCCTTCTTGGTTTGACTCTTGCGGGTATCAGTCTTGGTGGTCTTCCTTCTTTCATCCCGGCATCATATGTCAGTGATTATATGGGACGTCGTTTTACCGTCTTCATTGGTTCATTCATCATGTTGGCTGCCGCTGTCATTCAGTGTGCAACTTCTGGTGTCTACGCTTTTCTCGGTACCCGCATCATGCTCGGTGTCGGACTTGGATTCTCGCAAACTGCCGCTCCCCCTCTCACTACTGAGATCGCTCACCCCAAGCATAGAGCCAATGTCACCAACCTCTTCCAGGCTACGTGGTATTGGGGAGCAATTCTTAGTGCATCTATCCCGCTTGGAACTCTCTTCCTGGACAACAGCTGGAGTTGGCGAATTCCTTGTCTCCTTCAGGGCTTGTTCCCTGCAATCCAATGTCTCGGTCTCTTGATCGTTCCCGAATCACCTCGTTGGCTGATCTCTAAAGGTCGTGACCAAGAAGCTCTCGACGTTCTGGCCAGATACCATGCAAATGGTGACAAAGATGACGAGCTTGTTCAATACGAATTCCAAGAGATTTGCCAGGCGATTGAGATGGAGAAGCAAGCTGCTAAATCAACTGGCTGGTCGACATTTTTTGCCACAAAGGGCAACAGACACCGCTTCTTGATTTGTATCTTGGTTGGTTTCATGATCCAATGGGCTGGCAATGGCATCGTTTCTTACTATCTCGCACCTATTCTCAAGAGCGTCGGTATCACCAGCTCTGTCACCCAAGCCGGCATCAACTTGGCTCTGCAGTTCTGGAATGCTGGTCTGTCCTTCGCCGGTGCACTCGCTGCCGAACGCTATGGTCGTCGCCCACTCTGGCTACTCTCGGCTTCCGGTATGCTGGTCTCCTTTATCATCGTCACAGCTCTCAGCGCTACTTTCGCCGAACACGGCATTGCCGCTGCCGGAAGTGCAACCGTAGCTTTCCTCTTCATCTTTTTCGGCTTCTACGACATCGCATTCACCCCACTCTCCATCGCCTACCCTGTCGAGATTCTGCCATACAATCTCCGCTCCAAAGGTCTTTCCGCCAATCTCACCACTGTATTCGCCGCCGGCTTCTTCAATCAATACGTCAACCCCATTGCGTTGGAAGCTATTGAATGGAAGTTCTACTTTGTATACATCGCTACACTTGCCGCCATGATCCCGACCATCTACTTCGTTTTCCCTGAGACCAAAGGAAGAACGTTGGAGGAGATCTCTATCGTTTTTGATGGGGAAGATGCGAGGACTGATGTTTTCCGCCAGAACTCTGTTTCTGATGAGAAAGGAGCGGAGGACAAAGAGTTTACGGCCAACATTGAGTATGTAAAGCAAGTCTGAATGCAGGTTGTAAGACAAAAGCACAGACACGGCGGACTTTGAATGTACATATACGAATCCGCTCATCTTGCTGTACATATTTACCACAGTCCATAGCAATATTCCACGTTATCAAGAAACAGACTTGAGCAAATATATTGTCCACGCCACCACAACTAAATCATGTCTTCCCACATCCAGCACCATCCCTCCCACTCCACTAATCTTTCCACTCTACCCAAGGCCCATCAAACCAAACCCCCTCCCTCTCAATCAACTTTCCTTCCCTCGTAAACCTCACCCCTTCCTCCTCCAACAACTCAAGTTTCCTACTCTGGTTTACCCCACTAGGCGCTTTTTGCCAATCTCCCATGAAACCACCCACAAATCCATTGGCAGCGATGACTCGATGACAAGGTACCATTGGCGCGTACGGGTTTCTGCGCAATGCACCGCCCACGGCTCTGGGCGAGGAATGTAGTTGGGAGGCGAGGATGGCGTAGGAAGTTATGCGGCCTGAGGGGATGAGTAGGAGGTGGGTGTAGACGCGCTAGGGTGAGTTGTTAGATGTGGATGGGTTGGATGAAGAGGGTGGTGGGCTTGCGTGTTGGAATTCTGTTATTTGTGGTGGGTTGGGGAGGATGAAGACGTTATTGTGGTTTAAATTCGAAGAGGGTTCGTTGTTCTTTTCATCGCTGTCTGGAGTCGATCGTTCGGTCGAGTCGTTTCTTGCAAAGTAAGGAGAAGTGATCTTGGAAGATTTGGATGACATTGTTTTGGTTCTCTGTGAAGTTTGATGTGAGGAAATGCTGAGGGAAGGCGATTGCTTTACTTGGAAGCGGTTAGATGTCTTATTGAACACCTAAGGAGGTTATCAGTAACAATCTAGGTGATGGACAGTATGACTCACCCAGCGACGCGTGTTATAGTTGTTGACTGACCGAGTTTTGTTGTAGAGAAGAAGATGTAAGATGGTGGTCGGTATATATCAAGAGACTGTTCCGTGATTGGTCAATTTGAAAGCATCGCACGAATTCGGCGAATTGGCTGATGGATGACCTAAGAAATCGGTCCGGGATCGTATGTGTTTTGCTCATTTCAAGGTTCCATATTCCGGCAAGAAGAGTGTTTTGAGATTGTCGTGGTTTCCCCGTCGCTTCCTCCTGTTGAATAGTGAGGTTGTGCATGCATAAATCTTGTGCACAACATGCTGAGAAGTTCGTGAGCGGCGATTCACGGTCGTTACTAACGCCGTGTCCAGCCCCACCTGCTGTTGGGTGGTACCTCATCAACTTTCGCCCTCACACACCTCGATATGTTTACACTGCATCTGCAATTATGATTGCGTCCCATCTTGCGCTCATAGTCTGTCTTTGGCAATACGGCAATGGACAGACGGCGTGTATGTGATGCATGCTCGGTCCGCAGGGTCAAGTGCGACGGCCAAGCTCCGTGCGGCGCATGCACAAAGTCTTCAGTTGATTGTACACGTCTAAGGCAGAGGGCAAAGTCTGGTCCGAAAGGTGTGCGGAAGAAGACACTCGAACGATTGAAGACGGTCAAAAGGCAGAATTCTGGAGAACCTTCCATATTAGGAAGTCGTGAGCTCGAACATCACAACAATGAGCTGATTTTTGACAATATCGAAGAGACTGTAGCGGTCGCTGGCTCATCTGCATACTCAGACGTACAGCAAGAGATACACGAAGCCGGTCTCTGCTTTCTAGACACTCCCGGGCCGAGCCAACAACCTGCAACTGATTTACCGCAAATGCTGGCGTGGCCATTTCGTATGAGTCTAGCACTTCTGGAACCCTACCTCGATATCTATCACTTCAAGCTCTATCCGGTGTGGCCAGTCGTGAATAAAGACGCGCTTCTAACGAGGCTTCACAACCTAGCGCCGGATGTCAATGCTTACATGCTAGCCAGTAGCATATGTGCGGCTACGATGCTTCAGCTTCAGCTATCGGTACTCAGCATGGGCGGCGACGTGCTCGATCCGAGTGTCATACTGTCGGAAGTTGAGAATCTCCGACGAGTCCATGACTATCGAGAAAATCCAACCCTAGATCACCTCTCGACAAGCTTCTTCATGCACGTTGCATATATACACCTTGGCCGCCGAACAACCAGCACACTTCTGCTCCGAGAAGCAATCACTTTTGCCTACATGCTTGATCTGCATAGACCTTCCCATTACGACGAATTTTCGGAACCAGACAGACAAGGCCATCTTCGAATGTTCTGGCTTCTATTCATCACGGAGAGGGCACATGCAACACAATATGATATACCTTGTATCATGTCAATTGATCCAGGTATGCCGGAATTGGATACCGAAAGTCAGTCCTACGTCTTGTCTGCCTTTATCATGCTTTGCCAGATGTTTAGATCCTTCTCCGACGCTTCTTCTGGCGCACGGTTGACAGCAGATGATCTGACATTGTTCAACAATCAATTGCTGAGGGTTCCTACTCTTACGGAGCACCACAATGACCTGCAAAAAGCCGATCTCTCCGTCACTCAACAATGGCTTCGCCTCATGTTCTGGAAATTGGCCATCAACAAGGTTATCATGACTGCCAACACGAACGACGACATCAGGAGCGTCTTCTTTCCCATCTCTCTAGCCAAAGAACTGCTCACCAACATATCCGCCATGTCAATTGACACGCTCGAAGCACATGGACCAGGAATGGAGCTCAAGCTCTTCGAAGTCACAAATTCGGTCGCCGACATGATTACACTCAACCCTCGCCAAACAACCTCGGCACTTGAGATTGGACCGCAAGATATCCTAGTCCACCTTGCAACTATTATTGGCAGATTTAGGGGTGGCAACAAGACTCTGCTTCCCTTGTTACAATCTCGTCTGTCTGGCATTGGACTTGACTCTTTGATACTACCTCGTATCACTGATGTCACTTATGATTCTCCGGATACGAATAGGGAAAAGAGTTCGATTGAGAGCAACGAAGCATTGGCGGATCACAGTCTCGAAGACGAGTATGGCATATTGTTTGGTCCATACTCTCTTGAGCACCAGTCTTATGTGTAAGGGGTCGAGAAAGCGGGTGTAATGACAAACAAGTGTCGCTGCATTAACGTTACAATGGCTTCGTCTCGAGACTACGCTACAAAGTTCATCGTTCCCGGCGCGGCCCTTTGCAACATGGAAGGCATACAGACATGTATCTCAAGAAGCGAGTTTTCACTACACCGTAGCAACGCATCTGCTGTATAGCTCGTGTGCGGCTCTGCTGCGCCAATTGCTCAGACTATGAATCTGCATCGCAAATAGCCAACCAAAGCTTCAGATATCATCGATCTTACTCACTAGCTTCAGCGTGAAATCGAAGCAAGGAAAAGGTGCTGGTGGGCAGCTTATGAGCTCGACTTTTTCTGCTGCATGCTTTACCAGCGGAGGACCTCTATACTGCGAGGGCGATGTTGATGTCTGAACTTGTTTTGTACATTACCGGGTCTCGAAAAGCCAGAGTCACTCAGCGATTACCCATCTTTACTGGCGTGCAAGCATGTTACGGCCAAGTTTTCTCGCATCGTGGTTCGCACCTCTTACATCTTGCCTGAGAGGAGTCTTTACCGCAAGATCGGCAGCAAGGCTAGATATGAGACATGAATCACGACGAGTCATACTAGTAACCAAATGTAGAAAGTATGATTCGCACAATCGGTCAAGAAAAAGATTCTCCTCTAGGAACAAACGATTCCATCGAGGAGGAACCTAATGACATCGGTAGTAAGAGTGCAATGACAGTGGACTACAATTTACAGCAAGAGCACGCTTTGTCTGTTGACACTTTTGATCTTGGAGGATACTGTACTTGGATCGAAGGACAGGGGTGGTGAGTTTTAGCAAGAATATGACAGAAATGGTCGACGACGATATCAAGAGCCCTAAGTGATCATTTTCATCTGTTGTGTTGGTTTGTATAGACTTCGGTCGTAAGACCGTTTACCTAATGAGGAGTGTTTTATTCGAGAAAACATGTGTCTTTGTTACGTTAAGCCGGGCGATGGAGAAGAGAAGCTCCAACTGTATATATATATATATAGCGATGAGTTATTGTTGTCAAAAAGGCAGACATTGAAAAAGGCGAAACATCGCGACGAGCGGGCGAGTTGAACGCCCTTAAAGCAAAAAGAGAAGGCATCACCGGGTTGCAAACACGGCCACTACGCCGTAGAGACGCAGAAGCCAGTGCTTACAACCCGGTGATGGGAAAAGAGAAGCTCTAGCTGTGTATATATAGCCATGAGTCGTTACTGTGTCCTTGTTAAATTTGGTAAAATCCTGCACACGCGGATATTGCAGGATACTTTTGGGGATTGGTGGTTTACTGAATATGCGTGGATGGTATAGGAGACAAAGGATGGAAGAAATGTTCTGCTTTTGTGTGTGTATGTTCATGGAAAACTCGTTGCTCAACATCTAAGAGGCATTTACTGTAGCTCAAGGTCGCCAAACTTTTTGGCAAACATGCCGAGAGCCTTGATGGGGAAGATGAACTTGTAGTTGGGGTAGGAGATCATGCTGTGATGATGTTAGTCGCTTATTTCTCTTCTCGCTCAGGAATGGTACTCACCAGCTCTTATTGAAGACACCTTCAATACCTTCTTGCAGCCACTCTCCGTTGGCTTGTTGACGAGACATGATCAATTTGATGGCCTTTTCAATAGGTGCTCTATCAGGGTATCCGGCTTCGATCAAGGCGATGACGACCCAGGCGGTTTGTACAACCTGACTTTGCTTGTGTTGGCTGTACACGCCAGTCTCACAACTACGGTAAGTCTCTCCCCAACCACCATCCTTCATCTGCTTGTCAATGAAGAACTTGCAGGCCTTGCGTACACGTTCAGAGTTTGTGTGGTTCTCTCCAGCAGTGGCCAAGGCTTCCAATGCGAACATTCCGGCGTATGTGAAGCAAATAGCCCAGCTACCGTACCATGATCCATCAGCACGTTGAGACTTCCGGATGTAGTCATAGGCGCCCTTCTTGAAGATTGAGATTTCCTTGCTGCGATATCCTGGGTAGAGCTTGGCGAACATTGTCAAGGCCGTCACAACAGCGGTTGTGCATTCGGGGTAATCATATTCGACCATGATGCGACCAAAGACTTCTGCTGCGTTGAGCCATTCCAGCCATTCGGACCCACGTTGAGGTTCGTATGAGGAACAACCACCAGAGTGCTTGTTTTGCATGGTCAAGAGGACATCGATGGCTTCCTTGATGCGTTCGTCAGAGATGAGCTGAGGGTAGGTGGGCAAGAACTGGAGCATGAGCACTGATTTAAGACCTTCAGAAGTACAGTCAGAGACAGTGTAACCTTGTCCTTTTGTGCTAAATCCCCATGCGCCTTTACGTTGTTGACGGTAAGTGGCGTGTTGGTCAAGGCACTCCTCGCGGATTTGTGCAATGTCCAGGTATTCGAGAGCCTTTTCCAGCATGGGTCTCCATCTAGGGTCTTCAGCCTTGTCGCATTCGATGACAGCCTGGATGAGGAAAGAGGTGTCCCAGTTCTGCACTCCATTTGTACCATTGACCAGCATACCTTCATCCTTGACCCACAAGAACTCTTCCATACGTTCACGGTGTCGGCGGACTGAATAACTATCGGGGCCATCGACGATGTAACAGCAGAGCATGTTCATGGGTGCGTTGACGGGAGCAAGATCGGCATAGTCGGAGTTTTCGTCTTCGCGCTTGACCAAGAACCAGACCCAGTCTTCAGCGCGCTTAACCAGAGATTCTGTTCGTAGGAAGGGGTTCCAGATGTTGACCAAGATCCAGTTAACAAGATTCAGGACCCACGTCTTGGGGTGGTAATTGTCGAAGCGAGAGATGGAGTTGCGGTGGGAAGCGAAGTTGATGTTCTCGTAAGGCTCAATAAACAGCTCCTGTCTCAGCTCCTTGACCAGCTTATCGGCAGGGAAGGACCATTTGCGAGACCAAATGAACGACATGGGCAGGAAGACCATGCGCATGTGAATCCACCATCTCCAAGGAGCGATAGGAACCCAGTCAGGCACCAGCCACAACTCTGGAGGAACAGGGTTGACGAGGTCCCAGGGCGTGACACCCAAGACACTCAACCAGAACTTTGCCCAGTGAGGACCGTTGACGGCACCTCCAAGCTTGTGTAGTAGACCACGAGCCTTGATCAGACGCGGGTCCTCTGCATCGGCGCCCAGCAATCTCAAGACGACGTAGTTCATGGCTGTACCAAAGACAGTGCTCTCTCCTTCAATGTGTAGCCCCCATCCTCCATCTTGTGCATGCTGACGCGCATAGAGATAGTTCTTGATTTCGATTCGGTAGGCTTCCGGAATAGGCGTGTTGGTGACATACCAAGTGATGACGATACCGGGAATCAGGAACATGGGACCGCCGTATTCGCAGCCCCAGTTGCCAGGAGGAAGTTGCAGCTTGGAGAAGAACTCGAGTCCATTCTCGGCGGATTGGAGGGGAGTTTTTGGATGTGGGAGGCTGGGTTGTTCCTGCGTGCTGTTAGAGACTCTTCGATTACATGGACAATACGACATGTACAAACAGTAGGCAGACCCAGAAAGTACTTGTCTGCTGTAGTCTGAGGCCATTCTTTGGCCTGTTCCTTGCTCAGGTAGTGCCATGTCTGCTCTCCACCAACATCTTGAAGCCTCCACCGTGTCGCGTCCGTTTTTTGATTACGTTCCTGTGTTGTCGCCATTCTCGAATGTCAGAACTACCTCACCAGGTAGAATTGGAGAAGCGCTTACAACGGAAGTCGCGATGCAAGTAATCTCACAAGAAACACCCTCGTACGATTTACATGCGCCAAGACCTTCTTGCATGTGAAATTTGTGGAGTAGCTTCATTACCGCTGACCTCCCAAAATACCACCACCCCGGCAATTGGTCAAGTACGCGATCATCCAATGCGAAGAAGAAAAGCATTCGTATGTAGTGTTATGGTATCAAGAAGAAATTCAAATGTCATCCATGACTCCCCAGCTGCCGAACAAGACGCCAGACCAATCCCTAAACAAACCCCTTCTGCTTACTCTATCAGATCCTCATCGTCGTCCATGCTGTCCATCAGTGCTTGGACGTCCTTGTCATCTGCCATACCACTGAAATCGTAGTCTTCCATCCCCTCGTCAATGTCCATCCTCGTGCCCTCAGCGTCTGGATCCTCGATACGTGTTGACTCGAGTTCACGTCTCAGTTGTGCATTGACAGGATCGTCTTCAGCTTCGACTTCTGTTGCTTCTTCCTCCTCCTCCTCTTCTCTGACCTCTGCCCCTGTCACTGACTGTGCTGTCTCGTCGACGTCTGTTCTTTGCACAACTGTGGCGTCCTCGACCACCGTTTCCTCGCCGCCACCACCTCTTTCTGCTGTTGCAATGTCGTGCATGAGCTTGAGTAGCGTTGTCTGCATCTTGGCGAGTGCGTTGCGACTGGTTACATCGGATGCCACCTTGGATTCGATGGCTTCTGCAACTAGTTCGAGGACGGTACGGAGAAGTCCAGGATCGGGTGAAGAAACGGTGAGATGAAGCTTGCTCAACATGGAAAACAGGACCTTACGTTCGTCCTCTGTGACGGGAAGTTAGTGGTTGTCAAGTTGGAGATGCGTAGAAGCACTTACTGCTCGTTTGGCTCGTCACCAACTTCTCGAGAATCTGCTCTGCAAGCACAAAGTGGATCATGTCGCTGTCAGGAGCACCTCCTTCTTCGACTCTGAGCTTTCCAGTCTTTGCTTCTTCACTGCTGCCGATGACCTTGCGAGGGTCTGTCCAATCGACGAGCATGCCACCGACAACACTCAAAGTGACCATCTCACTCTCTTCAACATCCTCGTCCTCGATAAGAGCTTCTCTGAGAGCAGCAAGACGAGCAATGACTCCAGTAGCGATGGTGGCCATTCTCTCGGCGTTTGCTGCTCTTGAGTGACAATACACAGGTAAGAAGTATGTCAGTGCTTGTCTGAGAGATGCATTACTGTTTGTCTCAGGATCGAAGAAGGCAATCACCAAACCCTTGAGCAAGTCGGGGTCGGTGATCAGTTGTGAGAGCATGAGTTTTGACAAAGCCGATGCACCAGTAGACTGGACATCTACGTCTTCTGATTTCAACGATTTGGAGAATGTCTTCAGTACAGGCTTGAGTAGTGGCGAGGGCTCGGTAGCCGAAAGAGTGGCAGATGTCTCGTCACCATCTCCGGTTAATGGAACAGGTGCGAGTAGGGAGGGGTGGGTTGTGAGGATATCTGTGATGATTTGAATCGCAATCGTCTGCAAAGAGGCGTGTCCCTTGGCGAAACAATGCAAGAAGAGTGTAATGTTCTCTTGTGCGAGGTTCTGTAACCTGTTAGCGACTGATATGGTTAGATCAACGAAATGTTATGTACCTTTCCGAGTAGACAGCACAGGCCCAGACAGACCAGACCACGCTCTCTTATGGGCGCTTCCTGACTTCTGACGGCCGGAATGACGAGGTTGTTGAGCATAGTGACTAGATGGACAGTCTGCTCGAGCTCGCATTGAATGTTTTGAAGCATACACTGTGCAATGTGCAAACACTTCATGTTGACCATGATCTCGCGAATGGCTTTCTCTTCATCATCATCCTCTGCTTCCTCGTCGGTCTCTGCGCGCTTTGAATTCTTATTTCTTCTCGCTGAGCCATCGTCACTGATCTCACTTCTGGCAGAGTGGAAGCTCTCTTCTCCTGTAGAACTCTTGGTCTTGTCGCCCTCATCGCCCATGATAGTATCATGTACTTCAGCAATGGCTTCAAGAACGATACCGCAGAAGTCACTCTCGCCCTTGTCGCTTCTGTCGTCTCCACAGACCAGACGTAGTGTTTCTACTGCAAGTCTTGTCGACTCTTCTGGCAGTTCAGGCATTGTGAGGGCCTCACGCATGAGACCAAACATCTTCCTACGACCAACCTCGTCGCTGTAATCGAAACTGATCGCCATATGAAGCATCTGTTCGACGATAAACTCGCGCTGGACACTCTCCTCTTCCATCTCTTCATCGCCGTCCCCATCAGGTCCACCAGTAGCGGCTCCACGAACGCACTCGATCAACTTGTTGATTTGAATCTCGAGCAGGAAACCGAACTTTGTGACTTCGGGCATCTTCATTTCGAGCATATCCAGTAGTCTTCCGTCTCCTTGAGCGTCCTTGGCACGGCAATAGTCGTTGAATGTGCGAGCAACAAATACACTTTCTGGAGAAAGTTCGTCCCAGAATGCTTCAGAGTCGAAGCTGACATATTCTCTGTAATCCGGACGGCCATCCCAGAACTCACTCATGGCTTCGAGCGCTACACCTCCAGTGTTTCCAGAGTTTGAGACGTCGATGCGCTCGAGCAGTTCGAGAAGAGCTTCAAGGCTAGGATCGGCAGCTTTTGTGACACCCGGCTTCTTCTTTCCATCCTCTGTCTCTTCTTCAGGGTCGATGGCTGCAGGCAGCGCAGCGCAATCCTCGATCCATCGCTCGCGGAACAAACGAGCGGTCGCCTTGCGTACAGTCTCGTCACGATCGCGCAAGCCCCATCTGAGCAATTTTTCTCTGTGGGTCAAACTAAGATGTCTGAAGTCGCCCAATGCAGGCAGAAGACGAGCGTATAACGCGCGTCGTGTCGCAGCATCCAAGTCTCTGGCGCGTTCGAGTAGGTATGGAAGAGTTGTAGGTGTGAGAGGGAGGTTGAGCAGGAGAGCTCTGCGGACTTCGGCGGAGGGGTCGTTTTGTAAGACGTTGAGGAGCTTCTCCAAGACACCAGAGCTAGCATCATCATCGTCGCTGTCTTCGTCTTGTTGGTCCTCGTCGAGTTCGGCAGCGAGACGACTCAAACCATAGATGGCGTGCATTCGGACCGAAGACTCTTTATCGTGGATGCGCTTGAGGAGGGCTAGGCGGAGCAGGTGGAACATCTGATCGTCCAGAGTGTCGAGCGTGTTGATGATGTGGGCACTGATTTGAGTAGCTCTGAAGCGCACAATCTTGTCCTTCGTCGAGAGAAGTTGTAAAAGAGTGTTGAGGATGGCATTTGTCAGACGCGACGTGGGAGTCTCTGGTAGAGCACCATCTTGATCAGCTACTAGTTGATTGTCCTTCTCGCTGGCCACTCTCAAGAAGATGCCCAAGAACTTGACGATGCGGTCGCCGACAGTCTCGCTCTTTTTGATGGGCAGTACACGCAGAACGCAGCGTACGACCTCGGTATTGAAATCATCCTCGTCAAAGTCGTATTCGGCTTGTTTCTTCTTGGAGCTCAAAGGCTCGTAACAACATGCTTCTTGGATCTTTCGTAAATTGATGACGAGCTTCCTGTGACCGGTGTTTGATTTTTGGGCATCCGAGAAGACGGCAGCGACATGGTTTCGAAGCTTGGTAGAGGGTCCTTCGTCAGGGATGTTGCTAGCCGGTGCTGAGGCAGTCGCTCTAGCAGTTCGAGAAGTTCGTGGTTTGGCGGCGGTAGATGCGCCTTTGGCTGAAGAGCCGGCGACTCTTCCAGGCATTGTTGTCGTTGATGGGTGCTTCACATGCGTTGATAAGAAGGAAACAAAAGCCGAATCGTAAACAAAGAAAGAGCCACCACCCCGCAATCTCGAGACTCATCTTATCTCTTCCATCTTATCACGATCATCTCCGATGTGCGGAGGCCGTCATCTGTTGCGTGATGGCGATTCACAATTCTTCCTTTCTACAAGCATAACACATATCAACCATGTTTCGCACAGCAGTTCGTCGCTTCGCTGCCACGGCCTTGCGCCCGGCCGAATCGGTCGCCCAGATGGAGGCACCGCAGCTTCATGGAGTCGAGATCTCAAAGGTCCAACGCATCGCCCAGGATGGCTTCATTGATGGTGCGTTCGTCTCGAGTCTTGAATGTCCATTTCTCGATTGACTGACTTGTAGATTCGCCATGATCAGCCATCGGAAAGACACCACTCATCCGCATGAAGAAGCTTTCAGAAGAGACGGGATGCAATGTTTTGGGCAAGGCTGAATTTCAAAACCCTGGTGGCAGTGTCAAGGATCGCGCTGCCCTTTACGTTGTCAAGGATGCTGAAGAGCGTGGGTTGATCAAGCCTGGTGGCACTGTCGTCGAGGGTACTGCTGGAAACACCGGTATTGGACTCGCCCACGTCTGTCGCAGCAAGGGCTACAAGCTCGTCATCTACATGCCCAACACCCAATCACAAGGAAAAATCGACCTGCTTCGTCTGCTAGGTGCTGAGGTTTACCCTGTCCCTGCTGTCGCTTTCGAGAACCCCGACAACTACAACTGGCAGGCCAAGCGTCATGCTGAGCGCCTCGACAATGCTGTCTGGACCAACCAGTTCGACAACACTGCCAACCGTCGCGCACATATCGAGACCACCGGTCCTGAGATCTGGAATCAAACTGCTGGAAAGATTGACGCCTTCACCTGCGCTTCCGGTACTGCTGGAACTATTGCTGGTATTACCCGCTACCTCAAGACTGCTAGCGATGGCCGTGTCAAGTGTTTCCTCGCCGATCCTCCAGGCAGTGTCCTTCACAGCTACATCCAATCCGGTGGTGAACTTACCGAACGCAAGGGAAGCTCTATTACTGAGGGTATTGGTCAGGGCCGTGTCACCGACAACTTGAAGCCTGACATTGACCTCCTGGATGGCTCCCTTCACATTCCTGACGAGCAAAGTATTGAAATGGTCTATCGTTGTCTGGATGAGGAAGGTCTTTACCTTGGTGCTTCTTCCGCTCTCAACGTTGCAGCCGCCAGAAATGTGGCTCAAATGCTTGGTCCTGGACACACTGTCGTCACGATTCTCTGCGATGGCGCATACCGCTATGCCGACCGTCTGTTCTCGCGAAAGTGGCTCGAGAGTAAGAAGCTTGTTGATGCTGTTCCCTCTCACCTTCACAAGTACATTGTCCTGCCATAGATGGACCAACTACTCCTCAGACCAACGCCTCAGCATTCTGATATCTAAAATTGTACATATACCACGTTCTTACACGATTGTATTACCTTGGTGTCGCAAGAGTGTTACGTATTCAACCGGTCAACCTTGTCAATGCATGACTGCAGCTGCACAACCTCTCACGTTTCACCTAGCTCATAAGCAAGTGTTCTCGGAAGTAAGTCCATATGTGTCCATTGCATTTCGTCATCATTGATAATCCTTTTCCCCAATGCCCATCCATTCCATTTTTTCCATCCCAAACCCCTTGCCAATTATCTGGTCCTATGTTTTTGAGAACGTCATCAACGGGATAGATGTTTTGTAACGTCTTTCTGCCGTCATCAAAAAGAAAATTTCATAGGGGGCTTCGCAAACGTTATTTGCAAATGCATCCCCCTGTTCATAAGTGCAATTATAGTTTGCATCTAAGACCAAGCGGGAGGAAGACACTGTTGTTGGAGTCAGTATGACGTTCAGGGATTGGAAAGAGGTGGGCAACTTACAGCAATGTCAGACTCTGAAGCCTTGGGAAGAGGTGCAAACCAAGACATCTTGCTAGATTGTTGGAGACCAGGCGATGGCATAGGTGTAGCTGAAGGTGATGTGGATGCTGAAGAGCCAGCAGAAGGGAAGAAGCTGAATAATGCCGACGACAGAGTGCGCGACACGGTTGGTCTTTGTGGCATAGGTTGAGCGAGATGTGTAGGCTTCTTCTCGGTAGCAGCTCTTTGTGCTTGTGCTTTATCTTGCTGTGCGCGAGCCTCGACGTAGTTGGAGGGAAGGTAGTCGGCTGGGAACATGGTGACGGTGTGTGTGTGTGGGTTGAAGATCGAGAAGTCGAAGAATGAAGTCGCGAAGAGTTTGTACGAAACTTTCAAGGTCGTTGTATAGAGTTTGCGACAGGCGTGTTAACGAAAGTCGTCAGATGGGGTGATTGGATGTCGTGATTTGAGTCAGAGATGAGCGAGAGTTGAAGGAAGAAGACAGTGTCGCGCAAATTGAAGAGTGGAAGCCCCGGACTTTTACGAAATGGTCGGGTGTTTGTGGGGGTCCTTTGGCTAGAGACGACGATTGTGGCGCAAATGGCGTTTTCCTTGTTTTGCAGGTCCCGGCCCGGCTGCTGGGTGTGGAGAAAAAGGCTGAATGCGGAGGTTGGCTTTCTGGGGTAATTTCTGGCGAAAAAGTGCGAGAGGGGAGAAAGCAACGCGGACAAAGGTTGTTCTTATGATTCTTGTAACGAGAGTGTGGAACGAGCTTTCTGAATTATGATTATCAATTGAGGAGAATCGATGGGGAGCCGAGTAAGTCGATGGAGGTGGACGTAAAACATCCTTTTGTACGTACTCCTCTCTCCTCCTTGCCCTGTTGATTGTTGCTCTGTGGAACAAGATCCGAAAAAAGGACATGCATGCGCCATTGCGCCCCCAAGCTGCAGGTCTGCAACCCTCCCCCGGTCGAGGCGCACCGCATTCAGCCGGAGATGGCCATCAAAACCGTCTCGACCGCCACTCTGAGCACGAGATCTACATTGTTGCAGCTGACGAGAGCCTTCCAGAACTGTGAGTTCCCCAGACCCTCTCCATTACGCACCATCACTCCAAGATCTTGGTGCTTGGGTATTGCTGACAGGCTTGGAATGATGGTATCCTGGTATTTTCCACACTCGAATCACCCACCATGCATCACACCCGACATCTTCCCCGCCCAAGCATGCCCTTTGTTCCTCTCGTCCATTTCTTTGTCGGTTTTCCTGCCCCTGCCAACCTAGGTTTATTTCATGGCATTTCGTGGTCGTGGCTTACGCCCTCTCCTCGGCAACTCCAGATTTCTCACCCTCCAAAGTGACCACTGTACCGCGTACCACCGACCAAATGGCGGTGCGGGCATCGTTTCTCCTTCCCCCTCATGCAATGCAAGTATATCGGAAGCCACTACCCGTTGCAGCGTGCTACAACACATGCTCTCTCCACCGCTTCCGGGGAAGAATGGAATCATACAACTGTTCATCTTCTATCGAAGACAGTTATGCCATCTGAGATTACACCTTTCGTCATGATAATAACAAACACTCCCCTGTGTTGTCTGATGTGTCCGACGTGCTTGATCATGAGAACAATAGTTGGCTTGGTGATGATGGACTGATCATCATTCTCCGATTCGGGTATCCCGAGCAAAGGTTCGCAACATAAGGATGGGGTTCTTGAGGATGTGGATGCACCGCCTTATGTGTGCTACGGTCGCAACGCAGGTGTGGCTTGCAGTATTATGCGGCTTTCTTCCCGTGACGCACTGCATACTGGATCCTTCGGGACCTTGCTTCTCTTCATTATTGACACTTTCGATACATGAACGACTCTTGCATGGGCTCGAACAATAGGTGCTTACCTTTACCTATCTGCGTCTATTATTCCGATAATCGCATCGCACAAACAACACATCTGTATGAGTGCATGCGTCACAGCGTTCTAAGGAGATGGACATTCTCATCAATCCTATCTCAGCCAGTAGGTTGCTCAACACGACTCTTCCATCTCTCGTACCTTGTGGCTGTGACATTCTCGACGGCTCGACGGGCCTACTTTCCAATCAGCCTCTTGTGGAGCTGACCAATAGTGACGCTCTCATCATCCAGTGAATCTCCCAGTTCAGCATTTGTCAAAAGAGACACCCTGGTATCTTGACACCGCAGTCTGCGTAGTGCATCTCGATCACGAAGGTAATCTGCCTGCTGGACAGCTGCCTGTTCTGTTGTTCTACGTGAAACTCTTCATCCGGCTTCGGAAGACCACGAGGAGCAATACCGAGATTCTAGTTACACATGCCGTACCTATCAACGGTCATTAGCATCATATGATCGATCACTTCGACATTCCTTGCAGCTCGTACTGCTCAGTCATCAACGCACGTGGATCAATCTTACTGAATTGCAGGCCACGAATCTCTTTTGACCGCCAAAACTCTCTGATCATGCTTTTCTTCGATGCCAATATCGCGTAGTGACGCAGGGCAGGTTCAAAGAATGAGCATAAGGAGATAGATCGTTAAGAAGCAATGTTCCACAAACCACGTCAACTGCATTCCTTGATCGCTCACCTCGTCAGCCTGGGATCACGAGCTCGACAGCAAGACCAGCGGTCTGGTAGACACAGTCAGTCTTGGAAGGCGACCGATCTCGCTGCGTCTTGCCTACTCATATCGACACCCATCTAAGGATCGAGAAGATCAGCCAAAATGGACACATTGCCATGACCTGATTCTTGAGATCTTCGACAGTACGAGCCTGGAGCGGAGTTGGCGTCTTCGCGAACGGAAGCCTCGGACGCGAAGATTCGAGATGCAACGTCAATACAGTATTTACCTCAAGTCGAGCGTTGCGGATATAGTAGTCTCGTAAAGACACATGATCCCGTATCCTTAATGCCATTCGATATAAGAAGAGAATGATGTAAGTTCGGTCGATGAAGCTCGAGCGGGCCGGCAGTGGACTGCTCTATTTTTGGGAAACACGAGAAGCTTGGCATCTCAAAACCCTGCCAAGCGGATGGAGAATCTTGGGTTGCATCATCCAGCACCACTTGCGATGAACCATCAAGGGACTAATCAACTGGTCTGCTGACTTGCAGTGCAGGTCGAGAGTGTAAAGGGCGCCGCCAGTGTACTATCAGCGTTAGTCACAAGGTCAGGTGCAACACTATGTCTCTTCTGCCTGCAGCAGTGCCTGAATACGAAGGATTGTAATCCCAACTCCACCTGCGGAAGGCGCAGGAGAGTCAAAGAGCCTCCTAAAGTTTGATGTTTTAAGAATGTAGGAATAAGCGGAGATGATCACTACTGCGGAGAATAAACCATATTCCACCACCGACCACCTCGTATTCTCCAAGGTCAGACATGACCTCTAATGCAAGAGAGGCCTGATGATCGACAGCAATAACAACTGCATCAAGAACGAGGTCCCAAGAATAGCAAAGGCTGATTACAATGAGGAATGAGGAGGTGATGATGCTGGAGTCCAAGAGGAGGCAAGAGGTAGGTCGAAGGGTATATAAGGGCATCTCAAGTCCTGCCAGAAACAAGAATCATCAACACAATCAATCCTCTCTTCTCATCTACAAGACTACCAAACCAGCAAACCACCACTTCCACCACTCCAAACCAATCTCCAACCAAATCAAATCAGCAACCATGCACTTCTCCACCTTCACCGCCGCCAGCGTTCTCGCTCTCGCCTCCTCCACCTTCGCCAGCAAGGTCGCAGTCAAGAACAACTGCCCCCAGGACATCTTCCTCCAAATCACCCGTCAAGACCAATCCCACACTCAGCAAAAGATCGCCTCCAACGGTGGCTACTTCAGCGAGCAGCTCAACGGCCAAGGCAACAGCTACGGCATCACCAAGAACCAAGACTACTACTCCCCCAACACTCCCAAGCTCATCTGGGGTGCTTCCGACAGCGCCGGTGTTGTCTACTACTCTCTCAACAACGTTGACGGCAACCCCTTCAACGGACAGAGTGTTAAGCTCACCGGCAACCAGCAGTCTTGCCCTGCTGTTACTTCTGTTGATGGCAGCACCAAGGCTTGCTCCAACGTCAACGACTTCACCCTTACCCTCTGCTAGAGGGTTTTATGATCAGATATGATACTATTGAGCTGGTGGATCTTAGCATGGGATGGAAGTTTCTGAACATTCCGTAATGTAATCAACTATTTTTATTGAAGTTTTGTCCTTTATATTCCGAATTGTGATTCGTCCCGATGACGATAGAGGTAGCTCTCGAATGGTGGTGCTACTGCCGGTATTGGCTGTAAGTGTGGGAGCACAGAGAGTACTAGATTCAGATTATTGTGATTCTGATTCCAAGATCTCAGCCTCCGAAGCGTTCTTCTCGGTGCCCCTCAAAGGGCGGGATAACTGGATGTCTCTTCAATTCTCCAGAGACGCAAAACAGCGTTGGCGCCCTCAGTTGGCTCGTACTTGATTGCAAACATTATCAGGGTCACAGTTCAAGATAATCGATGGTGAAAAGGCAGATGAACGAATGAGCTTCAAATGGCGCTTTTCGAGTCGGATAATTGCTTGGGAAATATTTGCTAGCACCTCAAGATATCTGGAAAGAACTGCTTCCGACGAGAGAATAGAAGTGTACCTGGAAGGCACTGAGTTGCAGAAGGAGTGGCTTTCTCTACCGTGTTCCTCCAGTTTCCGCATTGTTGATTGAAGCTCCCTTCTTGTCGATTCACTTCCTTCCTTCTTGTTGATTCACTTCCTTCCTCTTCTTGTCTACAACAAACAACCTGATCGACAGGCGCGCAGAATTTCAACACCCAACATCTCTTCCGATCTTCAACAGTTGTCGCTATCCAATGGCGACAAAGCAAGAGTTGATAACGCAGAAGTACCTCCTTCTCTCTGTCATCCATTTGAATGGCTTTGAGATGAGTACACAGATGGCAGAACTGGTCTCCAGCAGATGGCGTAGGTCATTCACTGCACTCAAATGTTGACACTCTCTAACTTCAAATCAAGCTCCTGCTATGGGCGATCGTCCCACCAGCGCGCAAGAGATCCTCAAGACATACGACAAGATTCTGCACCAGGTAACCAATCCTTAAGACCTGACGCAAGGCAAGAGCCCAACTGATCAGCAACAGCCTATGGCTGAAACCCCTTTCAAGACGCCCAAGATTTCCAAGAGCGTCAAGACAACCTCCAAACCTAACATCGCTTCGCCATTCAGCCTTGTTCGCCCCAAGAAGAGCGTCCAATCAACTCATATGGCTAGCCACGATCTCGACTCCTGTCAACAACCCGATCACCTCTCACAGGCCTCCCGCAAGCCTGACATTGTGCCATTTAGCCCTGTTCACCCCGAAAGCCAACCCATTCGCAAGCCCATTTACGTGCCTTTCGACAATGACTATGACATTGAGCAGTCAGACGATGATGAGAAGAACCAGCAGCGCTCACAATTTCCTGAAGAAACGCCGTCCAAGAAGCAGAGAACAGAGTAGATACAGACAGGCCCTGTTCGTTTTCACTTAAATTCTATGTCACATATCGAGAGTGAGTTCAAACCAATTAGTCGAGCATTGAGGCAGTCAAGCTGACAAGAAAAAACAGATGGGAATGACGAGTTTGGAAAAAAGACTGAATTGTGCGAACATGTGGCTGGTGAAAATGGAAGGAACAACCAAAGCGGAGAGCGCGCCTTCTCTACGAACGATCGATGACGATATTGCATGTTAGTTGTTGCTTTGCTTCTTTCTTTTCTCTCAACCTACCAAATACATCTCCATCATGTTTTCGTGTTCCCTCATCGTGTTGGCGCTGGCCGTTGGCGACCCTCACATCCTCACTTCACTTGAATCCTGTCCTGCGAGATCTGTCGATACCGCCATTCACTCACTTTCAAAATGGCATCGGGGCGTCAAAGCTTCCATTCACAATCCAGTCGACCGGGAGTTCGACCATGAACTTTCACACTCTCTAAGATCTCTTCTTCTTTCTTGTTATACACCTACAACACAGCCAACATGGCCGACCAGTGGAACACAGCAAAGGACATGCTAGTCCTCCTCGCCGTTGTCCGTATTTCAGAGATCGACGTCAACCTCGATGTCGCCGAGAGAATCGTAGCCGGATGGCGTAAGTCTTATACCTCCTACCTTACCTCAACTAGAGGCTGACGATCTATAGCGGCCGCAATGGGCGAAGTCCCTGCCGATGCCGAGGGGATCCTGCGCCGCTTCAATGGAATCTGGCAGAAGGTTTGCAGATCTCTCAAGATTGTCCATCAACAACGATCTCTAACACTTGCCAGACCGTTAGCAGTGTTACTCCTTCGACTCCTGCTACCCTTCCCACTCCTGCTACCGTCAAGAAGGAATTAGACGGCTCTTGCTCCGCCGAACCCATCGTCATTGACGACGACGACGACGACGACGAAGATGAGGCTGACACTCAGACCCGTCCCAGTCCTACCTGTGATTCGTTCCCTCTGCCTTGCAAGCCCGGAGCTCAGACCGCTGTCTGTACCACTCCCCGCAAGGCCAACAAACCTGCTAGCGATAACAAAGACGAGACCGAGACCCCCGAAACCCCCGATACACCCGTTCTCTCTCGTCCTCTTCCTCGCACGTTCAGAGTTCCTCCAGGTCTCGATCTCGTCACTCCTCGCAGTAGCAACAAGAAGTCGGCCACTACACCCAAGAGAGTCAAGGTGGTTGTCAGCTTTGGAAAGGACGATGGCGAGAAGGCACCCACCAACAGCGGTCCCAATTCAAGCCAGCTTCGTCCTAACGCTACCCGAAAGCACGATACTGTTCTCCCAACCCCCGAGAGCGTTGAGAAACACACTACCAGCGAGACCAGCGGAACCCGCATGCCTCGCAACAAGAAGATCAAGACTCTCCGCATCTCTACCACTCGCAAGGCCCTAGATTCACACGACGAACCCAAAGAAGACGAATCGAGCTTCGAAACCCCAGCCACTCTCGCCACAACCCGCAAGCGCCGCCATGGCCTTGACTACACGGCATCACCTACCGATTACTGCTATGACAACGCTGACGACGATGACTACGAATTCGAGGATGTCGAGGGCGACGACAGACTGGAAGCCATATTCGAATCATCTTGCCCTGTCGTCACTCCCTCGAAACCTCCCAAGAAGGGATGAAGTGTTGGGTTTCTTGCTGCGTCTTGAGATGGACTTGTAAAAAGATTGTTTCTTTTGCAGGTGAGATGGTCGCGTCGCTTATGTAAAGGCATCGGCTGACGCTGTGACAGACTGAATATTGCAGGCAGGAGGAAGAGGCGATTGTTTAACACACCAGAAAGAGATGAACAAATGATGAACATGCACAGGAGAGGGAGCGATAATGATTTGGCAGAAGCGTTTTTGTCATTAAATGCTAGATAAAGATGTCGATAATGAAAAGAGAGATACACGGACCTACCGTTTGATGCACGCATTGGTCAACTTGAATATTGTCGACATGCAAGCAGCATGGATGTGCAGCGGCCGCAAGATGTTGGATCCGCGGCCTTCACGGTTTAGGCATTCTCGAAGACGCCCACCTACCTTTTTGTCGGCGGTCTTGGTAGACCGATGACGATCGCGATTTGGGTTGATGACTGGCGGTGAAAGTTTGCGAGATCTGAGACGAATGTTAGTCTCTGTAATCCACTTCAAAAGTATCGATTGAGGAAGTATGAAGAAGGGTGAAAATCAGAATTAGGGAGTCTAGTCCCGTGCAAAGCTATTCCGCAGCAAAAAGAGTACAAGTCTTTCTAGGACTGGTGCCAGCTGGTTGTCTCATCATAGAAGAGGCGGTGGATAGGTGATGTGAGAGGTGAAGAGTTGACTTACGGTGATGGTGAGGGTGATGTGCTTCCAGTCGATACTCTCTCTGAACGATTGAGAGGAAGGTTGTTTGGTGCTGCTTTGCAAAGAAGGATTGACTTTCTTATGCTGTGCGGATTTTCTCGCTTGAGGAATTCAAAGGACGTGCGTTGTTGGCCGATGCATGGCTTGGCATCAAATGCAAGTCTTGCGATGGAAGAAAATCGCTGCGTCGGTTGGCAGTATGCGCGCTTGAAGCTGCCAGGCACTGGTTTGAAGTGCTCGATGTTTTGAAGAGCCATTGATGGAGATTGAAGCCGAAGCGGCGCAAAAAGTGCTTCTCAAGCAACCGCGTGCGAAAGCATCATGGGCAAGGGGAAAGTCTACATCTGTTTCGTTCCAGTCAGCTCATGTTCGAAGACATGTGTGTTCGAGTAAAGTAGAAGGAGTGTAATGTGCGTCATGAAAAAATTAGAGTGTTGTTGCGTTTTTGATCTTCATCGAAAAGACTCTGGGTTAAAAGGTTTTAATCCTTCGCGAGGATTGGGTGGCGTGATAAAGGAGGGAAGCGAGTACTAACCTGATGGCAGAATATTGATGCCGATAAGGACGACCACTGGTGTTGAAAGTTGTGGTGGTTGTCGAAGCAGAGAAGAAGAAAGTTGCGGCTGTCGGGAAAGGCGAAGACTCTGCAAGCAAACATCCGGCTTCTTCCGGCGTCCGTGGTCAGCCTTAGGAACTCGCATCCCAAAGCCCAGTCGTGGTTGCCAAAGGAAGATATCACCTCCAACTCTGCTGTTTCGACCAGGAAAGAGCGATGAAAGTCCAATCAGAAGCCAAAACAACCCCCAAATCACAACAAAACCAACTGAACGCATGACACACGCAGACCGATAACGCAGTCAAAAATACAGAAGACGTAGTTCGACCAAGGAACCACGAAATCCATATACAATGACTAAATGCATGAACGGTACACGTACATCACGAAATTCATTCTTATCGTTGGTTATTGGATGGAGTGATTTGAAGGTGATTTGGGTATCAAAAAGGTCAAAATCATCACCCTTCTTTTCCCAAAGCCAAACCGAAACAGCAAAAGGAGAGCAAAGCAAATCGCGTATATACAGATTATTCGTCCGAAGGCATTCCCTTGAAAATCGAGTGTTGTTCGCACTCAACTTTTTGAGTTATTCATCGCTTGAAGAAGTGCAACTCAAGGTGACGGAGAGGGATGTAGGCGAGGAGGGTGAATGCAAAGGTGAGCTCATTGGCAATATCACCACCACCCTCGCCAATCTGGATGGCAAGAGGGCCGGTGAACCAAGTCTCGACCATACCAAGACACCAACCAATAACACCGATGAGGAAAGCAGTGAGACCAGCGAGACCGATGGGAAGTCTCGAGGGAGTGTTCCAGCCATCGAGATCGTAGTTGGCGAAATCTCCCTTGCGGAACCAGTAGTGTTCAACAAAGACGATGACGAAGTAAGAAGTACCCCAATAACCAAGAAGAGAGAGGAAGTTCTCCAGGTATTCGAGCAAGTGATCGCGACCAGCAACGGCAATGGCAGTGACGGCACCAAAGACGATAAGAACCCAGAAAGTACGAGGAACCTTGGCCAGAGGACGAGCGAATTGCTGAATAGACAGAGCGCAAGAGTAGAGGTTGAGAGCGTTCATGCCGACGGCACTGAGAACGAGCAGGACAAGAATAAACTTGGCGAAACCGCGAGGGAAGAGCATCTTCTGGATGAGGTAACCGAGACCATCATCGGTGTAGGTATCGCGCCAATCCTGGTTGACTTGCATGGCGGTTCCAACACAGCAGCCAAGAACCATACCAATACAGGTGGGGATGCTGATACCAAGAGTGCAGAGGACGAAAACCTTGACCTTGGAGGTGTTGATGGGGTAGTGGACGTAGTAATCGGCGGCGATGGTGGCCCAGGAGCAAGAACTACCGTAGACAACGGAGAGCAGGGAGAGGACGTTTCCAGCAAGGTTGGCACCATGAAGTTGAGTATCCACGATGTTGACAGCATGAGGAGCGGCCATACCGTACATGATCATGAAAACGATGAAGAAGACCAGCCAGGCGTACTTCTCGTAGTAGAGAATGGCCTTGAGACCGCAGAAGTTGATGATACTGCTACCGAGAGCAATGATGACGCAACCAAGAGCGGAAGAGACTTTGCCATCAGATACAGCAGTAAGAGCGAGACCTAAACGATCAGCATCTGTCTTGGAGGTTCTCGGTCAATACACATACCACCAGTGATACAACCAACAGCACTCCAACCAGCTTGGGAGATGATGTTGAGGACAGCAATAAGCTTGGTAGGGTACCAGCCGAAACTGTAGCGAGTGATGGACATTGATCGAAGACCGGTTCCTGGACCGAGGGTAGCACACCAACCAGCAACACTGGCTCCCAAGAGGGTACCAAAGATGGTGATGCAAATGCTCTGACCAAGTGTGAGATGCCAGGTAGGACCAAGGAAACCGGTCGACATGCAAGACAAGTTCATGATACCACCACTCCACAGCAGGGCCATGACTGCCTGGTTGTGCCATTTTTGAGGGACCTTCTCCTCGGGCAACTTGCGACGGATAGCCTGAGACTCGATACCCAGCTTGCGATCCAGGGTAGCTTCCCAACCACATAGCGTACCCAAGATGCCACCCTGAGGTTCAGGCACCTCGTTGACAACCTCGGTGGAACCCTGAGCACTACCGACGTCAACATTCACATCCTTCTCGTCAGGGTGTAGCCTTCCGGCCTTCTCTTCGTCGTAGAATGTCGACATGATTTTTCTCCTTCGTCAGTTAAGCCGGTCTGATGATGAATTGGCTTGAGAGCGACTGCAGCGAGGCAGGAGGAGAAAGGGTCAATGAAGGGTGACGAAGGGAGTGGGGGAGGGGTGACGGTTGTAGAAGGAGGAGTGAAAGTTGAGCACACGACACGTCAAAAGTGTGCAGGGCGTCGTCGATATTTTATTTTTGCGCGTGCGTCTTCGCGAACCCCGCCAGCCCACCGTCGCACCTCTGGATTTGGCAGCTCGTTATGAAACGCGAAAGAGATCTGCCGTTATCTGCTTCTAGAATCATGCCGAGGCCGTGGTACGACCAATTAGATGCCATAGCGGTGACCTCCGTAGATCCTTATCGGTTTAGCCGGAGGACAGAGCTCGAAAGCGAAAAAGGTTGTGCATGTTCAGCGAGAGGATTTTATGGAGAACAGATAGGAAGACCAGCTTTCCGGGACCTGTCATTGAAGACGTTGGCTTGAGGGGACCCTGCAATCATGATGATGAGATTGTGGATGTAGCTTGATGCCTGTTGACGGTCTCTCCAGAGCCTTCACGTTTGACGAAGTTTTGAATTTCCGACACTTCAAGGTTTGATAGAGCGTGCAAAAAGCCGTTTTGGTGCCAAGTGAACTCAAGCCTCGCTGTTGATGGCTTGTGTCTTTCACCAATGGTAGTCTTTTATAAGCGACAGAGGCAAGCACATCGAGCATTGATGGTTGTGACGGCGCTGTCCGATGCATTCAACAAGATAACCTATCTTGTTCATTCCTGCCGTGCAAGATATCGATGGGAAGGCGTTGCAAGTGCAGGGTGCTGGTTGCATTGCCAAGTGATAAGGCGCACACAAGCCGTGGACAAGACGGCAATGGCAATTCCTTGTCTGCTCTTCACCCCTTGAACGACAGCGACCATGTTGTCTTTCGAATTTCTCGAAATTTTGGCTTGTCTCCCTGAAGCTCGATCAACATTTGAGAGTCTCTCGGAGTCGGCGAGAGCATTCGGACACAAACTGAGGCAGGGGTTCGAATTTCGAATAGCAGTTGCGAAGCACAATGAATCATCTAGGTCCGCCCGCTTGTCAAGCCATCTTGCCGTAGACTTTCGTTTCGAGTCATACACACTACACTTTGAGTATGAGCGACCAGCAATTGAAAGAGAAGGAGGTCGGAGGAGGTTCGATGTCAAAGAAGGATGCAAGCACAGACCAGTTTTGTCTGATGACTGGACACATTGAGCCTTTGACCTCGAAACAGGCCGTGGCTTTCCAACGAAGACAGTATGGAGATGTGCAACGAATATGATCGTAGAGCTATCTCTTCAACAAAGTATATGTATCGCAAGTGGTTCTGCATTTGAAAGCGGCCACTCAAAAGCACCTGCCGCATGAAGACACCGAAGATGTGCTTGGCTCTCAGGCAGCAGAATACATCCTGCTCCATATATGTGTGGGAGTAAAGCTGATTCGAAAAATGTCATTTTGACTCACTTGCAATTTGAACCAGCACTTCCTTCCCTTTTCCAGTACTGAAACACTTCAATCATATCAACTGCAAACATGGCCTTCGAGATCACACCCATGCGAGACGATGAAATCGATGTCTACAACAAGATCTGCTGGGACGCTTTCACTTCAGTCCCAGACAGTCTAGCACTACTCCTCTACCCTGGAGGATACACAGAGGCCGTACAGAAGTATATGCGCAACAACACCATCGACTCCCTCTCCGACAAATCCACCTCTTACATCTTCGTCCGCGACATCAATACGAAGCAAGTCCTAGCAGTAGCTTGCTGGTCCTTTCAAACCACAGATCTAACCATCCAAGAAGTATTGGACAAGGAAGAAAAGGCAAGGAAGGAACGCGCGGAGCAGGAACCCATCCCCGGTGTCGATTCCGCCGTGATGAACGACTTTCGTGAAACAGCGGCGAGACTGCAGAGGGAGAATTTGGGTGGCAAGGCACATGCATTGTTGAAAGTGCTTGTTACGCATCCGGATGCTCAAAGACGGGGCGCCGGTGCTGCTGCGTTGAAATGGGGGTTGAAGAAGGCGGATGAGTTGGGTGTACCGGCGTATCTTGAGGCTTCGCGTGTGGGTAGACCCTTGTATGCTAAGCATGGGTTCAAAGAGGTGAGTATCTGTTGGTCATCAGGCGTAAATCAACACCGAAGCTGATACTGTGGTCTGTTAGATTTGTGAACTGCCGCTCAACGCTCGTAAGCATGGCTACTCGCGTGATGGCATGAATTGGTGCATGCTCAGGGACGCGAAGGTGCTTGCTCAATAAGAGCTTGATGGCTGATCGCTCTGGGTGTAATGTGAAGGAGGACTTGGGACCGCTTGCAGCGTGTGAGACGATATGTTGGATCATCATGATGTCTGCGTATTGTAAGCCGCTCAGCCGGTCGTGTGCCAGGTAGTAAGGGTCTCAATGTTTCTTGGCTTTTTCGGAGGCATGGCCGATTCCCCGTCTGGTTCTTCCTATTTTCGAATACTTCATTTAGTCTTTGAGATTCATTCTTTCCTTCCTCTCCATTTTCCAGCTTCATAAAACCTTTTACTGGCGACTTTTGTGACATGACAAGTCCTTGTGGTTCTGCGAGTGCAGTTTGCCAGAATTCGTAGCGACCAGAGGTATATTACCGGATTTGGTAATCCCCAACGTCAAGCCAAAGAAATATCAGGTCTGTGAAGCGATCAAGCCGAGAGTGCACAACGTAGTGGGTAATATGCAGACAGGTTGCTCATCAATTCTTTATTAGGTCATCTATCGTTACACATGGATGAAACAATGTACCCGAGGCAGAAGTCTGGGCCTGTTTATGTACCAAGACTAGAGCATATCTTGGAGGATGCCCTCTTGGTCAAAGGAGACAGGCAGGCAACCTGGCCAGGACTGCCGGCTCGCTACTTCCTGGGATAATGTCTGAGCATTTCGGAGCCTTCTTTGCTAGGGTCAGCATTCGATGCCCATAGCCGTTGCATCGGTATCTGGACTGGAAGAATGGCTTGTAATTCGACACTGAAGCGATGCAGCCAGATTGGCATGTCCACCCTCTGTGGCCTTCTGATACTCCGTCACAGTCTGGCCGAGGCAAATATCACCAAATCTGGATCGAGGAACCTCCCAAACCATTCGCCACCTCAGTCTCCCATTGGATATACCCGATGCTCTTTGATTCATCGTTGATGATTGATTGTGATCACGATGGTATGCCTTCGTTATGATGCCGAGGATTTGGCCGAGGTATTCCTGTGCATGTCCCAACTCTCGGCTAGAGCTTGCATGAGGCAGATGGTGACATGTCTGGCTCTCCGCAGTTGATCGACAGTATTCTTGGTTGGCACATTCAGGAACATGACAGGAAGCAAGTCCATGGTGCGCGGGGTATTGGGGGTAGCATTCTTTCTCCTCCAGTGTTCGGCGAGAACGGAATAGTGGAGGAAGTCGCAGATGAAGTGACCTGGATCTCTGCTTTGGCGAATTCTCACGGCGCCGAGTTCTGGCGAGACTTCAGGGCCGTCGAGCAATTTGCTGCGCCAGCGTTGGAAGACATTGTCGACATCGAGAGTGCTTTCAAGCTCCTTGGGGCAGCCTCTGAAAAAGCCGTCGCTCTCGTCCTTGGGGAGCGAGAAGCCTGTGATGTCCGTGTCCGTGTCGTAACCGTCGCGACGGCCGAGTTGTTCGATCGAGTACAAGTCTTGGTGCGGGCGCATACCGAAATGCAGCCAAATGTCGACTTGATGGGCGTATGCGTCATAGAGGCGCGGGACTATCGTGCGCACCTCGTTGTATGCGACAGGAATGTCATAAGGATGGATGAAGACCTGGACAGGGACACGGCATGTCGGCGTTGGGGGAAGGTATTTCGGCAAAGTCGTCACAACCGAGTAGGAGAGATTGCCGGGGCCGGTTCCATCAAAGGGCTGTGGTGGGTTCAATATCAGCGACGGAATTGATCGTGGCAGTTTTTGCCTGCCATTGTTGACGCTTGGAGCTGGCGTGCCCGCTATCTGGAGTCATCGGCCTGTCGACGACGCATTGCCCGGACTCGCTGATGACGGCGCGTCACCGAGACCTTCTTCAGGCGCGACAATTGCTTCGACACGTAGAGATTGCACTTACTCCGAAGCCTGTGACCAGGATAGACACGGGTTTGGCCATTGCACGTCAGTCCATGTGTCGACGTGGGAGAGGCAGCGTTGAAGACAAGACAAGACAGGACAGACTGGGGAAGGTCTTCAGAAAAGGATCCAGACCGTCGGAAGGAAAGGGCGATGGCTGCTTTAAGAAGAACAAGCACGCTAGCAAAGGCCCTCAAGTCAACGACAGCCTCGGATCTCCGTCCATGACCTTGAACAATGTCGTGCCATTCGATCCAGGAACAGATGGAGTTTGGTCCGCAAGCTTACCTGCTACATGACCCCAGCTTGCACCAGTTCATGACTTCCCCGAGTCCAACAGCTCTCCTCTAGATTACGGAACAAGAAGGACGAACCGCACACGAGGGCCACTCCTGCCTCTTGCCTCTTAGCCGAAGCTACATGAACATGCTTCAATGTGTGCACCCACCGGCCTCAACTCCGCCGAACTTTTCATTCTTGGTTTACTGCCTATACATCTCTTCGCCTACTCATCACATCCATCACCGACTCAAGACCAGATTATGTAGGCATAATCAAGACTCACGTCACAATGCCAGTATTGATGGGGAAAGTATGCGGCGGACCTGGCCCCGCCGTCATGTTGATCAGTGCGAGAGTTGAGCCTCAACCGGCAGTGGGCGTGCTGAGAGCTTGCGGCTCGGAAAGTACAGCATCCTGGCACGCTGTTTCCTATATCTTGGATGTGCATGCGAGATCATTCCCCTTATTGCGATTGACGAGTCGATTACCATGCAGGATGTGTAAAAGATAATCGACATGTATACATTGCCCTCATTCAGGGGTCTTGCAAACAAAGCCCAGGACTTGTTGGGTACGGTGATACCCGGGCATGCAATTTGGAACCAAGGGACCCTATTGTCAGGTTCTGGATGCTCTCGCCCTGCATATCGAGATATGGCCTGCCATTTTCATGTTACTAATGGAAGCATACCACCTGAATTTAACGTGCATGACATCTCAGCTGGCAATACGAGCGCCGAAATGCTGTAGACCATGTATCTAGATATTGTGATCTTGAACATGAAAAGAAATCAATCATTATATCTATAAAGGGACCATGAAACGTCGTTGCTTGCTCCAGTTTTTGATTCGGAAGAAGCTCCGAGTTTGATGCATTCCCATTTATGGCAATTTCTAAATACCATCCTCGCGCTCAGGTCCGCTTCCCGGCCCTCACAGCTGTTCAAGCTTGACCTCGGCAGCCTTGCGCAACCTATTCATAACTGCCGCCGCAATATCGCCTTCTTCGTCATCAATGCCTTCCACGATGATTGCATCCACATCCTTGCGATCGAGTTCTCTCAATGCTGAGAACAGGCCACGCGCTACACTCGCCGTGTCCGGGCCTATGCACATGTCCCAGACTGTGAAAGGTTTGCCTCCATGTCCAATGATAACCTCCTCCGCGTGTAGCTGCTTCTTGTGTCGTGAAGTTTCTTGCAACATGGCTTCTAGAGGTGATGCGGAGGTACCAGCGCCTTTCGGAGTAGACTCCAGTGATGCCACTTCTCCCGCCACTTCTCCCTTGGCAGCTCCATCTCCCATTCTCTTCCATCTCTTCGTCCTGACCAAACCTACACTGCCGCTTGAGCCGAGTCGACGTGCCAGATCTGAAGAAGATGGTTGCTTGCCTCCCGTAGCTTCCACCAACATGACCGGTGCCTTGGGTGAGTAATGTCGGTACTTCATACCCGGTGCCCTGGGCGCAGCATCTCCTTTCATAGACACATCGTGGTAGCCTACCACTGTATCCTCCCATCCTGGTACTGTCCTTATCAGGTCAATTCCTATGCCGCCAGGTCTGAGCACTGCAGGGGGCGAGTTCAGTCCGTCCACTACCGTGCTCTCGACACCGACATCACAAGGTCCGCCATCCACAATCCACTCAATACGACCATCCAGGTCATAGCGTACATGCTCGGCTGCTGTAGGTGATGGTTTCGTCGAAGCATTTGCAGAAGGCGCGGCCACGGGCACATCCGCCGTCTTTATTAATGCCAGCGCAAGCAAATCTCTGGGCATTCTCGCACCGAACGTGCGCAATCCTGCCGTGACTTCGGGTGCGAGTTTTGAATCTTCCGGTACCGGGAGGATGATTGTGATTGGGCCCGGCCAGAATCGCCGAATTAGAGGATGATATATTTGTGGAATCGGATCGATGTCGGCTGATGAGTTGGGAACAGAGATTAGTCGTCGAAGCTGCTTCAAAGATGCGATATGTACGATTAGAGGATTGTCAGACGGCCGCTGCTTGGCTTTGTAGATTCCTTTGACTGCCGCACTGCGAGTTGCATCTGCGCCCAGTCCGTACACTGTCTCCGTAGGGAATGCGACTGGGATATCCGAGTGCTTGAGATTTGAGGCGGCCAGTTGCAAGTCTTTTCCGTCTTGCGTCGTGCCATCCAGTGTCAGATCCCAATCTTCCAGTGGCATTCCTGACTCTGTAGATCTGTCCGAGAAATGACCAAGTTTAGTAGGATCTATGGGCAGAATCTGCGTTCGTGTACCTATCGCCATCGCGGCGGCAGTGATATGATCAGAGCCCATCGTGTGAGCTTCGTCCTTGGGAAATATTATGCGACTGTTCCTGAACGATTGAAAGGTCCGACGAAAAGTTGTCGCTCCAGTAGACAGTCTTGACAGCAAGCGAATATGAGTGAATGCGATGCAGTGAAACTGAAACAATCTATCCACACGTTTCATGTAATATTCAGATGGTATGCTTGCTGATTGTTTCAATTGTGTCGAACAATTATTTTTTATCATGACGATGACTTCAACGAGTATGGAAAAAGCTTGTTCGTTGCTTACATAATCGAAGCTTCCTAAATCTAGACACCTCTACACAGTACAGGCAATACCAAATGAAATAACAGGCACAACGATTAGACAATCGACCTTGAGGCAGGACACATACAAAGAGAGTGATATCTGAGATAGTGAACCCAACGATGATTTTGTCTCGTTGTGCCAAAACCAACATCTACGCCCAAGTAGATGTTCTTTCCCTCTTGGGTGATCAGCTTTGCAACAAGAGGCACATTGGCCGAAATATCCATCAAAGCAATGCAAAGACGCCATGTACACGAGGTCCAGCACTAGAATCGTGCTCACTACTTTTGTTTTCTTTCAATATAGTGTCGCCGTCGAGATATTGATGCCTTGAAATAAAGACAGGGTGATACAGTCAGCAGCAGATTACCGAAAAGTTTGTCACAGTGGCGATGAGAGAAGAACTATTGCATTATCAATACTCAACATACTCCTACAAATTTGGTCACAAAGACACAAAAACTTCAAAGCAATACAATCCTGATTGTTAGCTCTGAAGTATTGCTCGATCTACCAAATTTTCGATTCTCGAAGTTTTGTGGCATGTCGAAGGGTGGAAGGATCGACCAATAATGAGAACAAATTGAACAGTGAGATACGGGCTTCTGACAGAAAGAATAGCGAGCTGCATCAGGGACCACAAAAACCTATTAACTTGGAACATGTCTATTACGGCAGACGCATCACGGGCAGCCAATATCCGCTCTTCCAACAGTATGTGATACGAGATGGTATCTATCGACTCAAGCCAGACAGTCGTGAGCAGTACCGCGTACTCGGTCCCCAACATCCACATGTAACTCAACCCACACCCATGAGCTTACGCAATAGCCTCATAATCACCCCAGCTCGCCATCAAGGTGAGTGGGGTGCGTCCTTGGAGAACGTTTGTGTGGTTGGGGCTGAGGCATTCGGTGACAGGTCATGTGGTCAAAGACACTGTGTCGAAGGTCTGATACCTGAGTCAAACCGATCCTTGAAGGTGCCAACAGGTCAATCGATAGAAGTTTGTCCAACCCCCTGATCGAGGCACTCCTGAGCAACTGTGGTTGGACGAAACTCAGAAACCAAACTCGAGGTCGCTGCGAACTTTCACAATCGCGTGATCCAAGATGCTTATCAGCGACAGCTCTTCACAAACATTCCGCCATCGGAGGAAGATCACCGTGGGCTGACTCCAGTTTCTGCAGCCTTGCATGGACAAAACCGATCTTAGAGCCGATGTGTCGTCTTGTTTCGTCCGTAAGGCGCGGCCCGCAGTCGATCGAGAGGACTTCAGCTTTAGAGTTGATGCGAGTGAGCTGTCGTTACTAGTTTCGGGTTATGCTTCAATTGAGTTTGAAGGAATGCGGGGAAGTTGGCAGCCCGCCGTGTGAGTTTTGCTTTTCTTCTCGCAAAGTCTTGCCTCCATCAGGTGGTGTCTTTTGAGAAAACGTACTTGGCGTCCATGTGAAGATCTGGACATTCCGTCTGTCGCAGAGCGAAGCCCTTGGCTCTTACCCCTGATCGGTCTGCCTCCTTCCTGAAGCCTCTGGCCAGTTTGCCGATAAGAGCAAAAGCAGTCTTGTTCCGGTGTGAAGAATGAAGGATAAGAGGTGGTGTTGCGTAACGAGCAGTCGGATTTACGAGTCGTTTAGTCTTCGTCGATACGTGTACCAGCAGCGTGTCAAGCCGGGTACCCGATAGCATGATTATTTGCGGGGCTGGGACATGTGGGTTGCGCAAGCCTGACCTCTATTCTTCTGCCGACAGGACTTCTCCACCGTTCTTGCCGAATGGGAATTCGATCCTAGATGGTATCACCAGATCAATCATCATGTCAGTAGAACGTAGCGAGAGACCAGAGGAAGGATATGCTCGGTGTCGGTGGAGGTATCCCAGCAGACGAGATGGTCAGACATTCCCGATTGGAGACCAGATTTTGAAGAAAGCAGTGAGATCTATTGAGCCCTATTCAAATTGTTAGTAGAGAATCGCTAGCACATCAGTAGCCAACCACAACGGCGTGAATGGGGTGAGCGCTGAGGTGCCAAGAACATTGTGTTCTATTCGCTTTTGGGAACGTGAATGTAAACCCTTGGAAGATAAAGCAGGGTCGAGCTTTCTTCCTGTCAGTTGCTGATAGATAGCTAACGAGAATGACACAATGCTTCGCGAAGATAGAGTCCTTGTCCAGCAACAGTTTGAGAGATTGAGATCCTCACCGGACGTCTATCTTGTACCTACGATATCGTGCCTTTCTCCATTCTACTGTACGACAGTTGGTCCGGATGAGGTACTCCGTACCAATACCTCCAAGCTTCCGTTATATCCGCCATGCTTCTAGTGTCAAACTTGCAGAGAAATCCAATCAATCAAACTCTCCGAATTTTGGGAGAAGTGTTCCTAGAGTTTGGATGCAACGGGCTATGCAGGAGGTAGAGTGTGGCTGAGGAAGAGAATCACGATTCGGCAGTCGTGCTGCAGAACATCGTTGATACCGCACGACTCATGTTGTTCTGCGTACGTGTAAGAGCTGATACGAGGTCAAGCCATACAAAATTTTGCTTTCATCTGTGGACATCGTTACAATTCCGCGTAGGCGCTTCGTAAAACACACGTAACTGGTCGCTAGAGAAGGATGCGATGTTTCAAATTCCTGTTGCCTCGCGAGCGATATCGAGCCGCATCTTCTCCGTAAAACGAAAATTTCCGTAGAAACGTCAAAAACGCTGACACACTGCGACGTCATGGTCACCAGAGGTTTCGTACCACCAGTGACAACCAAGGGGGGCAGCGTGTCGTCGAGGGCAGGAAACGACGATTGAAATGAGCTGTGAAACGAAGCGCGTGCGTAATTCTCAACCAATTGCGAATACACGATAGACATGAGAATGCCACAAAGCAATCGTGGCGGCCAAGTTGCCAACTCAAGGCGTGTGGCTCGGCATCGTGGCGGTTGTCGTGTGCCCCGCGAAAGCCGAGCTTCCAAAACATGGTTTTGGAGATCAACGCACACCCCGATCCTTGGCTGGTCTTTCGGAGCCTCATTTTTGGCCAGGGATCAGAAGGTTGTATTGACATCGCGCGATCGCGAGGGACTACCCCCCGGGCGACTCTAAACCTTATGGACCCTTCCCAGACTGCCTATTGGACACGCACCTATCGCGACGATTTTCAGGCTTCTTCCAAGCCAAGTCGACCCACCTTCGTCAGAGTTTACACAGAAAACAACTTTTGAGATGGCGCCCGATCAGCAGGCACGTCACTTGCTTTCCAACACCGTTGACGCGGCCCACCCCTGCATTCCACGATTTGTGTGAATTGTATGATCCACGACATGTGTTTCCAGTCAAGAAGGGTGGGTTCTGCTGCATGATAACCCACGCTAATTTCCTTCGTAAACATTGTGCAATTATCAATAATAGCTCTGAGCTATTGTACATATATCCACTGGTGCACCCTGATCCCGAGTCTTCCAAGTTTCTACTATCTTATATCGGTCTTCTTATCTCGAACGTTACCATCGTCTACCATCCCAATCCTTAGTGCTCTCTAGGACAACAGCATTCCTTCACCATCGTCGCACCAACCAATCGGTGAAGCAATATAACATATCTATACTTGACTGAAGCCGGCCTTCTTTCAATCAGTATCTCCAACATCGACCAATATCGACCAACATCGACTAACAGCACATCACAATGTCTTCCAACCCAGAAAAGGTACGTTCGAATTTACATCTGCTTACTCGAAGCACCAAACTAACACACTCCAAGTCACAGCTTATTCAAGCATACATGATCCTGCATTCTCAGCAGACCAATGTTCGTCGACGATTGTCGACCGACTCCAACTCTTCAGGCTCCTCAAGCCCTTGCTCTAGCAGCTCGCCTTCTTCATCATACAACTCTCCTTCCTCTTCCTTCACAGCACCTTCGCCTGCCTTCTCATTCTCGACAAAACCTTCTTCTCCAACCACCGCAAGAAGACACTCTCGATCATCTTCAACAAGCACACGCCGAAGCTCGCTATCACCACCCACATCGCCGAACAGGACCACCATTCCTCCCATTCCTGAGGAGGAGACTCTAGAAGCACCACCACCATTGAGCAACGATGAGGTCAAGCTTGCCGACATCTCATCAAGGATCAAGAACACTCTTACCGACTTGTTGAACTGCGACGCGGTAAAGAGTGACTCTAGAATGAGATCATGGGTTGCTACAAGATTGATGGATGTTGAGCATGATCTCAAGGAGCAGAAGAGACGACGACACAGCTCTCACGCTGAAGACGCAGAGCTCATTGCCTCTCACCTTCGCGTATGAAGTGGTATTCCCACTTGACCTTATGGACCTTTCCTTTGTCTGCAAAACGTTCTGGATATGCTCAGGCATACATCTTTTGAGCGATGATTACACGAACATTTTATGACGGATACATGATTTTGTTATACAGCAGGCGCTTGAGGTTCTTTTTGGTCCACGACAGTACATATACCCCCAACAGTGTGGCTTCTTATTGTATAAAATCCATTTTACTCTTACCATCAGATGTTTTACCTTTCCATCACAGCTTTGTTTCGGTGGAAGCATGCGATCAAGCAACATTTCCTACGACTCACCATCAATGAGCATCCATTTTCGCTCAGAATTCTCCTCGTACTCGTCGTCGCGTCATGGTTTTATCACCCCCTTTAGGCCATGCATGAACGAGACGCTCGAGCAAGTTCGCAGGCCTTGTTTCCGAAAGAGCCGCAATCTCAATAGTGAAGTACTGTATCAAGCGACCGATAGGTGTGGGTGCGTAGAGATGCAGTCAAGATCGTAAACCTTCCTCGACATCGAACAACCTTAACTTGTGGGAATAGTGTCGGCTTTTGGATAAGGGTGAAGGGGTCATCGAAAGTTGGAAGATCTTCCTTCGATCCTTCCTCATGCGGTAGTCGCAAAAGAGGTGTGGCTGTGTGAAAAATGTTCCGATCGAGCTCTTTCACCGACATTGCTGTTTGGAAGGAGAAGCACGTGTTTTGGTGAAGGTGGCTCACATCGGAGTGATCATGAAACACAGTTTCGATCCCTGAGGGCTCCGATCTCGAAACTTCAGTTGACGTTTTGCACGACTGTGGACTCGACTCGAGTTGTGCTTTTGAGCTGGATGATCGACGTGGATGCGTGCGGAGGATCGGTCGGGTCATGTTGACGGAAGAAGTTTGTTCGACTCATGACAACCAATATCGATGAGCGACAAGCAAGAAATTCATTACCAGTGTGAAGAGCGCTCGAATATGAGGACTTGTTTTGGTCGTCAGGCACAGCAACAACACTTCCCAAACTCACGCTTATCTGGCTCCTTGCCAACAACACGAAGTCCGAAGCGGCATCGACACGAGAAAGAAAAGCCATCGAGATCTAACTCGCAAATCATGATTGATGGTCGCAGGAAGGAGGTTGAAGCGGCTGGCTAGAGGGATTTTCTACGAGAGCAATCGTTGTCAAGTCATCGGACATCTCCTTTTCGCATTTCGCAAACGAAAGAAGTCAGGAGGTCAATCTGCCACTGCGGAAGGAATATTTGTTTTGACATTATTGTCAGCGATACGAATAAAGTGTTGTTGATGAGCATAGCGAAATGAAAGATACGAAGTTTCACTAACAAGCGGGTCGAATTGCGACGACAGACAGCACTCTGTAGGTACCAGCCGAAATGAGGCATTGGCGAAGGAGTGTCCTGGAGACTTGACCTCGGGAGGGCTCGAAATTCGGTGAATGTCCCGTCATAGGGCTATATTTGCTGTGATAAGGAGATTACAACGGCTGACAATGATAGCGAGTCAACTCAAGACAACCACTGACCATGATCGCGTGCTTGTTCCTGAGACTCCAAAGAGTCAAGACCATCAACAACCACCATCGACTCCGCGCAACGCATTGGCCTTGATTTGACGCCAAAGAACCGGATTAATTTCCCGGATGTGGGGGATGTGCAGAGCTCGGTTCGAACCAGAACACCCTTGGCCAGCCAGGGCTCCATCACTCATCCATCGAACACAACACCACAGCGAAGCGTGCGATTATTGCGCGGGATGCGTGATGAAGTCTGGCGATTTGAGACATGAAAGACTCAAAATAGCATGAACCATCGCTCTCGCCGGCTCCCAAAATTTTGATGAGCCCTAAGCACGGCGCAAAATCCTGCGAGTCGTGGTTTCCAACGTTCAATAATTGTTGCCTCAGGCGTGCTCCGAAGCGACTGGATCATGGATGTGACGTAAAAGACACCTTCCCTTCACGTGCTTTTTGCTGGAGAGTTGGGAACATGGAAAGCGAAAGGCAACTTTTCTGGAGAGTCGCGGGGAACCCAGTCACACACCTTCAGGCTGGACTGCTTCGCTTACGCCACTGACCGGCGCTTATGCAGATGCTCATTGCCTCACACGATGTTGACTTTTCAGCCCTTCAGCTTGTTGGGCCTGCTTCACCATGTATCGAGGGAAGTATGTCTCAGCTGCACATCCTTGAGCGCTCCTTCCCTGCCCCAGCGATCATCACTCTACATCTCGCATCTTGTTACAGCCGAACATTTACTCGAGTACGAGAAGGAAGCTTCTGTTCCTGAGATGGCCGTTCGGGATGTTGCTTGTCATTTCACCATACTTCAGGCTTATGCAGGAACCCATGTTGCCCTTGCAGAAACTCACTCCAAGACATTGAGAGCGAAGAAGGTGGCGCTCAACGTCGAAGTTTAACCACCCAAGAATAACCAAAATTGACTGGAAAGACACAATGTAAGCGGAGATGGCACCTGGGGCTGGCGTGAGAAGTGGCAATTTTTAGAGTCAATAGTCCACTCGCAATTGCGCTAACATATTCCCTACCATTCATCAAAAGACACAGCCACTGGCTGGAAGGATACGAATGTCGACGGCCCGCATTGGGGATATGGGAAATTGCATGGGCACATGGCTTGTCGCCACTTCGAGTCGTGGATACGGGGTAGCCTGGCTCTGGATCCTTGTACACACTCCAGTTCTGGTCCATTGACAGCTGCTGGTTGCCGTGTGAATATGCAGTTTTCCTCTGTCGCAATGCTGCAGAAAAACAGTTGCGAAAGCGATACTGCCGGACGTTCAAACAGTTGAAAAAGCGTTGATGGGATTGCTCAAAGAAGTTTGCCTGACAAGCAACGGCTGAACAAATTCGAGATCAAAGTTGACCGACAGGTGAGACCGACTCTGACTCTCCAATCCCAGGGCTTCCTCTACACATTTCGCTGGGATCCGGGCGTGGGCACTAGCAATTAGCGGACGAGCCGACTGAGGGTGAGGCTTACGCCAAGGGTCAGTGCGAACAAACACTTGACCATGGCATCTTTGGTATAAAGCACTCGAGTTATCCTCTGGCAAATGCTTTCCTTTCTCCATCCACTACATTCGCTAATAACAATCATCCAACTTCGACTTCGGTCTTTACACTCGCTTCAGCAACCAACCCATTAATATAATCACTCGCCTTTTCCCAAACCACCACCACCAACCCAACACCATCAAAATGCAGTTCACCATCGCCGCCATTGCTGCCTTCGCCGCCTCTGCCTCTGCCGCAGCCCTCAACACCACTGTTGCTGCTGCCCCCGTCTACGTTACTGAGGTCGTCACCCACTTGACCACTTTCTGCCCCGCCAGCACAACTTTGACTGTTGGATCTCACACCATCACTGTCAGCTCTGCTACTACCCTCGTAAGTTATCAGTGCCCAAAATAGTGTACAACATCGACTAATGACGAGAAAAGACTGTCAGCAACTGCGATTGCACTATCGTGAAGACTTCTTCCATCCCCGTCGCTGCTCCTACCGCCCCTGCTGCCACCGCCCCCGTTGTTACTGCTCCCTACGTCAACGGCACCATTGCCACCTCCACCAAGGCTTCTGGTCACGCTTCTGGCACCGGCGCCGCTACCACCAAGCCCGCTGCCTTCACCGGCGCTGCCAGCATGAACACCCTCTCCGGTGCCGCTGCCGCTCTCGCCCTTGCTGCCTTTGCCCTCTAAATGTGTTGAAAACACTTCAGAGCCGGGTCTGAGATGGTTATAATGTTTTCTGATCATCTGGGGCCCAAGGGCGATCTTTATGGATGAGACATCTCGTATATCCTGTACATCTGCTTGGTGCTCATATCTGCTTTTATTCTTTTCTGTTTCTAATGATACCCCCATCTCAAGGATGAGGTCATGGTTATATACCACCTGCAAGGGTTTTTTGGGCTTGCTGTCAATCTTACGAAGGAAAAATTATCTGTTTAAAACTTACATCTTTCCCTTTGTCCAGAGAGTGATTTATGGTTGATATCTTCTGTAGTCGCTCTCTGCTGGCAATCCATTTTTTGTGCCTTGCAAGCTTGCTTTTCCTCTCTATACGCGACGTTGACAGTTTGCAGTGATCGATTCGTGGCTTGCTTTGGATAGCGAGCGTTGAAGTCTATTTCCCGGTATGCCGAGACATGCGAACGACTCGTCGTTCTTGGTGTCTTGGATATGAGAAAAGCTGACGACGCAGTCAGGAACGAAAACTTGGCAGGTCCGAGAATCGACTTCAGGAATCAGGGAGGATTGATGGAAACATTGGCCGACGCTGCAAATCCGAGTCTCCTCTTCAACCGATGCGAGCCATCCTCCATCTTCAAAAGGCACGAATATGTTCCAAGCATGCTGGTTTGTTTGTGGGACCACGTCTCTTGACTTCTTCGATGCATCATCGACTACTCTTCTCAACTCCAATGACCATTATGTGCCAGAGTTCGTGCATTCAGTCAGACAAGCAAGTCTATCAAAAGCTTGGAGGAAGCGAGGATTATTCTAAAGACTTGCAACTGAGCCTGATTGACCGCTCTAGCAATACCTGTGCTTCGGCTCTCATGGATTTGCATGATGCTAAAACCACTGAGTTACTGCAGAGTCAACACTGTCTCTCTTTTCAAGTCTGGGAGCTCTGAGAAATTCTTGAAATGAATGAAGCAGTGAAACAGAGATTAACAGTGAAGTGCCGGAAACCACAACACACTGCTAAACATCTGGAAATCATCATTAACAACCACGCAAACCACAACACAACAGAACATTGACTGAACTTCAACATAATGCAGGGTTGGCAAGGCACTCTCGATAACGTGCCCTGGAAATCAGTCAGTGACGCGGCAGTCTCTTGCTTTGCTTGGTTGTCGAAATCTCTATCACCAGCTCCTATCACAACAAACGGAATGCCTACCAAATTCACAATTTCAACCAACAGAATCATCCGAGCCACCTACAGCAAGACCGGCAGACGCAGACGCAGACGCATTCCATCTGTTGCCATGAGAAAGAAATACCTACTCGAATACAAAGCCGCAAGAACACTCTGGGAAGATGATCAGCTTGAAGAATACAAGAGCGCCATGGAGGAACTTCTTGACAAGCACGACGTGCCAGTGAACATCTACATGAGAGTTCTTATCCTGCTTTAAATCTCGACCGACGACCAGGACAAGGCGGAAGATGCTCGTCTGGCCTACGAGACTCTCTGGCAGTTTACCCGCAAGAGATATCTTTACGACCCTGACAGGTGGGCTCAGACCACTCTTAGATGCATTCGCGAATCTCTCAATGAACTGCGCGAGGTGCCAGAAGAAGAGGCTCTGGAGAGGCAGGCAGAAGAAGCGAGAAGAGGATGGAGAAGATGTGATCATCTATTGAAAAATCTCTATGGTGATAGTGACAGAGACAATGAGAACAAAGCTGGAGTATCCAAAGCACTGTGGGGGATCGTTGAGTTTCACTTACGTTTTGAAGGCTAAAGATACCATGCTAAAGACTCTTTGTAGGATCATATGAAGACTGAGGAGCGGCTGAGGTTGCTTGTCTTGCATCCACTACATTCACCGTCCCCATCGATCTTCCTCACCTCAAGTCAGAATATTACACGCGAAAAGTCCGCCCTGGGGGAAGTCGTGGACCAAGGAAATGCCATGATCAACGAGGATGGAGCCACACAATCGAAGAACAGAGAAAGAGTCTAAGGTTGATTCTCAAATGAGCAGTCTGGCGCAGAAGGTGGAACCAGAACACAATTCCTCGTCTGTCATCTTCTCGTGTCATGGTCATATCGAATCTTCCGTACACTTCTGATCCTTTGATTTCATGTCACATCAACACGAACTCACTGCTCCTCAAACACAGACTACCCATCAGGCATTGTATTCCACGCCATCAACATTGTCCCAGACAATCCATCTCTATTCTCATCTTGACACCGAACCGAGGTGAGTCTTTTCGACAGAGCTTTGCTTCTCTAGAATTAATCCTGCTTCGCTTTCACCTCCGCTCTTTTCAAAGTATGCTGTCCATAATGTTATTTGTCCATACTCAAGACGCACCGAGTCGACAATAAATGACAGGTACTATGTTTCCGTCGGCTTTGCGTTTGTCAAGTGCGGATTGGAAGATGATGTTGCTGGGTCGATTGGTCGATTGATGACTTTGAAGCACCAACGGTCCGAGTATAGAGCTGGTTGTTACAGAGACTAGCACATCCCATGGTCATTGTCCGTTTATAGGTACAAGAGACTCTATACTTGACACACGCAGACAGCAGTGTTTGTCTGTCAATGTGAAGCCCAGAAGTAAAGTCGATCAAGTCGATCTCAACGATGTCCGAGTCGTGGCGGGAACAATCAAGTCATGAGAGCGGCAAGCCGTTGGGTCATCGGGCGTCCACAATCCATCGAGATGTTCCGTCAAAAGTTCCGTAGAAAATGGCAGGACAGGGCAAATTTGGGCTACGAAAAAGCAGAGCAATCACATCTGCCTCGCAAATGCAGCGGAATCACACATTTATCCCGGCATGGATCGCGTCATGGTTTGGTCGAATAACCTGTCTCAATCTCCGACCTTACCAGTTGGAGGTTGGTGTTGGTAGGACAAACGCTACTGCGGAAACGTTTGGCTGTGGCACGAAGGTCGCGTTATGCAGGAAGCTTACCGCAATTATGCAAGAGGCGGTCAGAAAGCCAATCAAAGTCATGGACGTGCGTTCCTTCGAATGCCGAGAATGAGGGGCCATTCCAATTTCGGCAAGAGTAGTACTTGCGGCTGGCGCTTCGTCGAGACACGAACTCAACGCGAGGAAGGAGCGAACGCGACCTGAGACGAGTACAGGACATCCAGGTCCCCCTTGTCTACCGCTGCCACTATCCTCTCCACTCATTCTCTCATCAAGGCGCTTACACTCTTTTACGTGTCGGCAGAACAAGCTCAGCATATCCCATATCATTATCATCGTCGTTGAGAAAAGTCTGTGACGACAAAGTAAACAAATCGTAAACACAAGGTCTCGACTACCCGATCGTCGTGATAGTCGTCGCAAGCGACCATGGCGACTGTATCAATGCCTAGACAGCCTTTCGGAGTGCTGGACAGTCCTCGTCTGGCTCATCTGTCTGGAATCAAGAACCGCCAGAATGGTACGTGAGCAATCTGATATGGCATTCGTTGAAGCCTATGATACAGATGGCTGACTGTAGTATGCATACAGGCATCAAGACTCCTAGTCCCTTGTCTGGCAAGACAAAGATGGCAGTTCCGACCTCATCACCTAGTCTGAAGCCTTCTGCGAAACGCCGTCTCACTCCTTCCTTTGACGCATTCGATGCACAAAACGACGACGCCGAGAATGTGAATCCGAACATGTTCCTCTCACCTATGAAGCGTACCAAGATGGAGATGCCCTCAATATCACTCAAACCTCAAGCGTCAAGCACACTACCATCCTCATTCAACTTCACCTTCAACCCTACAAAGACGACACCTACAACATCCATGCCTCCTCCATCCACCGTTCCTTCCCGTCTCACCACCCCGATGAAGTACTCTGGCGTGACCAAGTCGTCGACAAGAACACCACTCACCGCGCCTGCCGGAAGATCTCCCAAATCAAAGCGCGACCGTCGCAGACTCAGCGCTCATACTCCCATTACTCGCATCGACCCTGCCACTCTCTCCCGATCAACTGCTCGCACTGGACTTCCCTTCAGCATCGATGCCGCTCTCACCGCCTCGTTGAAGGCTCCTGCGCCCGCCGCTGCCCCTCTGTCAAAGCCTGTATCATCAATCGAAGATTCAATGCCCAGTTCATGGTTCTTTGCGATTCATGAAGACACTGCCGAGGAGGAGGCCGAGAACCTCATGGAACACTCCACATTGACTTTGGACCTCTCTTCTGATGACGAGTCTACCACGAAAGCCAACGAAGACAGAGGAAAGGAAAATGTAGCGCCCGCCGACTACGACCCCATCGCTTCTTCTTCACCTACTCGCCGTTCTCGTCGCTTGGCAAAGTCAGCTGTTGACATGGACACTGACGACGAGAAACGTGCTCCTCTTGGCTCTCTTGACACAATCGAGTTCATTCCAGAGGGCCTGACGAAAGAGTCGATCGTCATCCTGCACGAAGCTTCCGAATCGTGCACTCTGGAGGCACCTCTCAAGAAGGAGAACACCAAGTTCACTCCACCTGTCATCGTCTCTCCACCCAAGCAATTCGGTATCGCCGATGCTAAGGACGACATCTTCATCTTCGAAGATGAGTCTGCCAGCCCTGCTCTCTCTACAGGCGGAAAGCGTAAGAGATGCGCCGACGATGATGATGATGATGAGTGATGATATTCATCGCTTGCATTGGTGGAGAGTGTAGTACGACGATGTGAAAACAAAGCAACATGGCGTACTTTTCGAGTTTCGATTATCGAGCATTTTTACCGAAGCGGGTATGATTACGACGGCATTCTGGCGTACATTTCATTTCTTCTGTTTGATCATGGCATGGAAGGAGATGGGATATGTTTTGGAGTTTGTTCATGTTTCGGACTTTCGGTTTCTTTTTCTTGCTTTTGCCTCGATATTATTAGTAGCGTTGCCTGGTAGCACATTCGTTCTTTAGATTAGCTTAGCTGTAGCATCAACAATCACACGACAGCAATATTTTTATGCATCATCGGACCCGATTATCTTGTATGTGAAGAGATGCCGAGACCAGACACGCGACTCTTTTGTCGGTCTTCAGCCTTGTGTGTGACAAAGGTCGATGACCCCTCATCGAGGAGTGGTACGGCAGGCGCGGTATGATAATTTCTCAAGACGCTCTGTTTCGGCAGCGATATGATCTCTTGCACACAGTGACTGTCAGCTCTGTACCATTCCCATGCTCGATAGAGAGTTGCACGACATGTGGTTGATGGTGACGAGAATTACCTCTCTGAACCGATTCGCGCTACCCCGCTCGCGCCGAACTCAAAAACTTGTAGCAGGCAGGTGCTGCTCGGTGCTTCCTTCTCTTTTCGTTCTCGAAACATCATCCCGTCAAGCTGGTCTTGTCGCCACTCTCCCTTGTGACATGTAACATGAACAAACAACAACTTGTACAATACTGAGCGTCTCCCTGTTTCATGCTCACAAAACATACCAGCACCGTACAATCTCAAGTCATGGCTCCTTGGTGGCCCTCCTCATCAGATTCAGACAAATCCCAGCGTGATGATGATCCATTCGCCGACTTCCGCCGGTTCGCCGATGAACAGATCAACGCTCTAGTTCAAGGCATCAACTCTCTTCCTGGCTTCAGTTCTGCTTCTCTCGGTGCCGACGAACAACGATGGTCAGACGAAATGAGAGAGATCCGCAAGCGACTGGAAGAAGACTTCCCACCTCTCTTCGCTTCCCTTCTCGGTGCTCCCGAGAGAAGATCATACCTCGGCGGTCCCATCAGCGAAGAAGCTCGCCAGGCTGCTCGTGTCCTACTCTTGCAAGCTCGCAATGCTAGCTTCGGTGTTGACCCAAGCAGGATCCTGAGTCTTTATCAAGATCATGGTCAAGGTATGATGCCCGTTCACAGCAAGTTCCCCATCCGTACCACGACCAGCAACACTACTTGGCTGGGCATCGACTGGTTCAGACACAGCCCGTACTCGCCCGTTCAACTCGAACAACACTCCGCCGCTCATCAACATGGTGGCAAATGGCGTGCTGCCTTTGAAGATCTGCTCTGTGCTCACCTTGACAAGCCGCAAGTCGCTCATGACGCTTGGAAAGCCGAAGACTCTGTCGCCGCATCGGACCCGGACAACCAGACACTGTACAACCATTGGGCCCAACCTGGTATCGACTGGATGCTTGGTTTGCAGTGCAGAGGTATCTTGCCACCTCAGCTTCCAAGCTTGTACAACATCACCCCTGGAGAGACCAAGAAACTCGATCGCGTCTTCGGCAAAATCGTATCTGGAGTTAGCAACTTCTGGACACCATATGGCCGTGCCGTGTACGAGGACTTTACGCAGTTGGCGAGGATAGTGGCTTCTCCTGATGCAGAGGACTTGGTTGTGAGAAGTCAGTCGTTGCCTGAGACGGAGATGGACATGTACGAGAACTTGTGGAAATTCAAGGATGGTCATGAGAAGGAGGAAGCAGATGCACCTGAGTCGAAGCCTGGACTTCTCACTTCATCGCAGTCAGCCTCATTCTCAGACGTTCCCGAAATGCAGAAGCCGAGTGTCATATCAGTCATGACGACAACCGAGATGCGCACCTTGCCCGACGGCACAGTCTACACCAAGCGCGTTCTCAAGAGATGCTTCTCCGATGGCACCGAAGAGAGCAGAGAGGAAGAGTCGACCGGACAGCCTGAAAGTAAAAACAAGTCAGAGGATTTCGATAGCGGACATAAATTGCAGGACAAGAAGGGTGGCGCTGGATGGTTCTGGCATTAATGGGAGACGAAGATGGCGTTGTTGCTTTGCTGATGATTACCATGACTGACCTGTGTCGATAGCTCAAATATTCCTATACCCTTGCCGTAGCTACACGAATCGAATATTCACCTGTCTTGCTCACTCAATCAGTATGCCTTCATATATTCCCCTCCAGACTACCACGCGCAAAAGGAAGTCACAAAACAACAACACCCAAGCAAGAGGTTGTTGTGGTTGTCGGTTTTGGTGATTTTCTGGAGGCGATGGGATGCTGAGTCTGGTATGCTGTTATCTGTTCTAGAGCCTGCTGAGTGGAGTGGTTGGCTTGATGCCGCTCTTCTGTCAGTCAGGGTAGGATGTGGTTAGCGATGAGTCAAATTGCTCATGTTTGCAAAATACCACCACGACGATTTGTTAGCTTTTCTTGACTCATCTGTATGCAGTAGAATCCTTCTTCTCGCGATGGATACCCTGATCTTCTGCTCTTCCAACCTTCACAATCTACCATTTTTCCAAGAACAAGAATTTCAAAAACCATCACGATGTTTTCTACACGCCTTTTCGCAACTATGCGTCAGTCCTTCAGACTTGCACCAACCATCAGACAAGTATCGACGACAACCTCAAGTCAGATTTCCAGACAAGCAACAAGAAGCATGGCTTGCGATATGATCATACCTCAACCATCGCCATGGGAATATATCTGCCCCATCACGCAAGAATTCCACGCCCAAAAGTCAGCACCATCGGATATTCCGTCTGCCTCTACGATGAGAAGACTGTATTCTCAAGTACCTCTTCCTGAAGCTTCGCAAATTACAACATCAACTCTGCAACAATCCAACGAGAGCAAGATCGAATCACCAACTCCGGAGAAACTGGAACAACGCGCACGAACAATCCAGAGAGCGAGTAAATATGGCTATGAGCCTATGCTCGAGGGAATGACGGATTTGGGAATGCTAGAGATTTTCAGGAGAGCCAAGCAGCTGAAAAAGGCAGCGAGGGAGCAAGCTGCGGTTGTGCAAGAAAGCTGATTGGTGTCTGACACAATGGATGCTGCTGGAGAGGGTTGAGGAGTTTGAATGAGGTGCCCGGTTCTCCGGACGTGTGGGATCTGTGGAGGATGATAGAGATCAACGATGGAAAATAACTACTCTAGAATATCATCGCTCTTTCCGTTTGCATAAAATCCCAACACGAGATTTCACCCTTTCAATTGTACAGAATGCTTATGCCAATCTCACAAATACCACCCATATGATTAACCTTGGTTGCAAATATTGGTCTTGTGTGAGAAAATGTAGCCGCAATCTGGAATGAGCAAAGAGCAACACTGTCATCCATCAAAGGAAGTCATGTGGTGCTGCCTTTGAGTGTGAAGTCGCGTGGAAGGAGCGTGGTGTGCCGTATCATCCCGGAGAAAGCAGCGACTTCCTATACAACCGCCTGGCAGAAAGCAAATATTCGGGAAGTCTCAGTAGGACACCTTCGTGGTCTACCAAAACATCACTTCAGCAAACACGATTCTGGAACTCGTTAATTGTCTTTGTCATCATTAGCGCAGTAAAGGGTATCTCGCGAAAAAACAAATTCAGTAAAAAGCAGAAAACCTCTCTGCTGTTCATGCAGTCTTCAAATGTCCAGGCGGGCGATCATCTGCACCATGACCTCATGCTCCTCATCCAGGCGATTGTTCTCCTCCTCTTCGACTCTCTTAGCTTCATCGTCTTGGGTATCGTCATTTTCAGCTTCCTCCCAAGTGACCTCCATCTCCTCTGGTGGACCTGCATTCTGCTCTTTACAATGGTTAAGCCAGCTCTTTATCCATCTCCAAAAGACCTCTTCAGGATGCATCTCTCTTCTCAGAATCTTTCCAGCAGGATTCTTGGGAATGTTGGTCTTGAAGCGCATCTCGAGAGCGATAACCTTGTATTTGGTGAGCCTTTTGTAGCAGTGATCGCGCAATTCTTGCATAATGGCGAACTGAGCGGCATACTCGGGCATGCCAGCCTTCAAAACAATATGCGCAACGGGCACTTCTTCCTGGATTTCGGAGAGAATGTGGCCAAAAACACCGACATCAGCGACAAGGTCATTTGTGAGGAGACAGGCTTCGATTTCTGTGGGAGAGATTTGCCAACCACGGAACTTGATTATGTCCTTTTGGCGGTCTGTGAGGTAGAGCTTTTGGTCGTGCGAGAAGTAACCGATGTCGCCAGTTGACAGCCAGCCATCTTGAAGGGTATCGCTGGTCGCCGAGGGATTGTTATAGTAACCAAGCATGTTGATAGGACCCTTCACATGGAGCATGCCTTGTTGGCCAGTACGACCATCACTACCGTCAGCTCTGATGATCCTAGAAAGAGGTGTCAGTGAATTTCTTGTGCTGTATAGGCGAATCAGATCTTACTTTGCTTCATACGATGGAAGAAGGCTGCCCACGGAACCCGTCTCATCAAGCTCAGGATACCTGAAAGTCGTGATCCAACCAGCTTCAGTCATTCCGTAGACTTGGACGATGCGTGAGTATTTGTGAAACATCCCCAAGGCTTTCTTCTGGTGAGCAGCTGACATCGGAGCACCTCCACTCCAAACAGTACGGATCAAATGGAGTGCTTTGCGTTCATGCTCGGTCATTCCCCAGAATGCCAAAAGGACGGGTGGTGGGGCAGCCATCTCAGTCACTTCGTATCGCTCGACATACTCGACGCAGGCTTCGAGATTGAACCGAGGCATGATGTAAGTGGTGTGGCCAGAAACGAGAGCGTCGACAAGGGCGAGAGGGGCGGTGAAGCCGTGAAAGAACGGGGTAAAGAGGAGACGAACGACATGGTAGTTCTTGGTGCTCTTTTCTTGCAAAGCCAGATTCTCTGTCACGAGGCTCGAGTGCGACCTGGCGGCCATCTTCGGCAGGCCGGTGGTGCCACTGGTCGACATGAGGACGGCGACGGTGTTCTTGGCGAGGGTCTCGTCATCGAAGATGACCGGGTCGACGACAGATGCACCGGCAGGGCCAGCCATGAGACTGGCGAGCGAATGCCGGGCACCAGTCGAAGCACCGGCCTCTCCTTCACCCCAGACGATGATGTTGCCAGCATCGAGTAGTCCCTCCGAGGCCTCGAAGACCGCGGCGAGGGAAGCGGGACCGGAGAGGACGAATTTGGCCTCCGAGACCTCGAAGTGGTGGCGAAGCTCACCCACCTTGTACATGGGGTTGACCCCCGAAAACACACCGCCTGCCATGATAATGGCCAGGAAGACCACGGGGTACATGATCTAACACGCACATCAGTTAGCCAGTCCTTTGAGAAGAGTGTTCATTCATGACTTACGTCGTTCAAATGAACGACACACACCGTGTCTCCGCGCTCGAGGCCCACTGCTTGCAGACCCCGTGCCGTCTTTTCTACCATCTCCTTGGCCTGAGCCTTGGTGATGACCCGCTCAGGGGCGGTGGCATCGATGAGAATTGGTTTGTTCTCATCATATGTCCCGTGGTTCAGGACGAAACGGGGCAGGTCCATGTAGAATGGAAGAGGAGCTTGCGAGCCTGTTGCCATCTTTCTCACTGTAAATACATGGTTAGCCAGATTCTTGACATTTCGCAATGAACATTGCGCTATGAGGTGGAAAAGAGGGTGGTAGAATAATAGGGGATGGCAGGTAGGTGTATGAGAAGACGACGCGTCTGGTCATAAGAGTGCGCCAGGCGCAGGCCTAGAAGAGAGGAGAGCGAATATCCTGCGCATAAGACTCGCGCATTTGGTGAGTTGTGCGCATCGCAGTGGTATGCGCAGATCAGTCGAGGCGAACGAAAGTGGCATGGATGTATGGAGAGCCATTGACTCGATAGATGACGTAGAAGAGGATGAAATTGATGACCAAGGGGTGACTTACAATTGGTACTTGATGGCGACGTGCAGAAGAAAGAAACAGTCGGAGCTAGAGTTTGGATGCAGCATTTTTACGCCGAGCCCTGCGTTCGGGGAAGCAAACGACTCAAACGCATTCGTAGCATTTTGTCTTCCCAGACTCCTGATCCAGTATCGGAACATTGGTGGAAGTGCAAGATAGTACTCGAAGGTTCCGAACTTGCCGCTGAGAGCTGAAGCGTGTTTAAGATGTCCAGAGCTCTCAGCGGAGAGCTCAAGATATCATAATTGGTTCTTGCATTTTGATGGGCATCTCAGATAGGTGTGGGCGGTGCAGGAGCTGTTGTTGGTATAGAGCTTCGACGCGACATGAATACGAATATTGCTGGATTTCCTTACGCTCGTTGTTGGCGATTGAAAGTATAGCTTTGTATGGCATATAGTAGGCGCAACCAAAAGACGCGAAAGATGGTAGAGGGGCACAAACGAAGATGTATTGATGTGATTAGCTACGCGATTATGTAGCCGAAGATTAGCCCTTATCGCAGCCGTTTGCGGCGTGTTCCGAGTGCCCAATCAGCGTCGTCTTTGCGACCGATGATTACCCCAATCGTGACTTCTCCATTGAAGCTTGCTTCAGACGTGACCTTAGTACTCTATCATGACTTTTGTAACAACAATCTGCAGATCTCAGTCCATCCAATAACGCTAGCAGCAAGTCGATGTGCCCTGTGAGCAGTTGGCAGTCTGTCAAGCATACAAGCTCTTGATGACTGCTCTGAAAACGGTATGATGGCCATCTGTCGACGCGTCAAATGGTTGAGCAAATGTCGCCATGCATCCAGAAGTTTTGAAGCAGAGCTTGATGTGTAGGAAGCATCTGGGTGCGTTATGTGTACTGACGGTCTCTTTGGTAAAAAGGAAAGTGTGGTAGAAAGCAGGACAATCAGAATGCATGCATGCAAGTTCTGGCGTTTGCTGCATCTAATGGAATCATCAGAAAGCAGCACCAAACGACACAGGAGCCGGCAAGGACAACGGAGAGCGCAGTAAAGGGGAGCATCTTGAGAGACCGTGAAGTAGAAGGCACACCTACCTGGCTGGGATTGACTGGATTTCCGGAAACACCAAATAGGCAACTGCGTGCTCTATCAGGAGGCAGCATTATCATCTGGCCCAGCATCATTCCTTGGGAAGTCGAAGCTCAACAGCCCGAGCTTGTGAAGTTGAACGCCGCATCCGATTGCGCGGTCGGTCGATCGGTCGGTAGTGATGATGGTGGTCAAAGCGGAGTGATACTCGAAAAGTTGAGTCTCACCCGCGCTCAACTTTCACCACCTTCAGACCTACGACGACCTACGCTCTTTTCATCCATTGTTCGTTCATTTTTGCACTGTCAGTCTTTTCTTTGTTGCGCTGTTCTTCTCGCCCACGCCTCTTTCTTGCAGCATTTTCTTTCGCCGCTCATCAATTCGACACGCACACTCCTGAAAGACAGCTCTGCCTCCACCGCCCCTATCTCAAGGAGGCATCTGCAGAGTTTTGCTTCGCCTCTTTACCTCTTGCCACCGTAAGTCAATGGTCATGGCTACGACATGCTCACCAACCTTCGACCTAACACTCTCACTCAAAGATGCCCGCACGCCGCTTCTCGGGACCTCCCGCCGCCTCAATGGCCGTGATGATGGAGGTGGTCCGCCCGCGTGCAAACTCGGAGCCCATGGCCAAATATGGTTCCATTGACTTCTCCCCTGATGAGACTCGCCTTGCTCGCGCCCTCCGTCTCCAGGCCAAGCCCTTCTCTAACCTTGGGCTGGGCGAGAAGCAATGGCTGCTCCCTCTGTTGGAGTCTCCTTTTGCTCCTCCTTCCATTTCTGAGGAGCAGGAGGAGCTCTGCGAGAAGATCAGAGACCCCATCGTCGCCGACAAGGCTGAGCTGGAATGGCTCTCTTGCTCGCAGGAGCTCCCCGCTCAGCTGGGCACCAAGACCACCAGACGTTTCTGGAACTTCTTCTCCCTCTACAGACTAATCTTCGCCTTCACCATTCTTGCCAACCTCTTTACCACAGTCCTTATCGCTCCGATTACCAGCATTACCAGCTCAGATGCAGCCACCGCAGCTGCCATCAACCTCTGCGTCGCCATTCTCGTCCGCAACGAGCACGTTGTCAACGCTCTGTTCCGCCTTGCATGTACCCTCAAGCCATCAGCACCCCTCTCCGTTCGTAAAGTCGGAGGCAAAGTCTACTCGTACGGCGGCTTTCATTCTGGTTGCGCTACCTCTGGATCGCTCTGGTATTTGCTCTTCACCATTCTTCTCGGCGTCGACCTTCGTGACCCTTACAAGCGCTCTGCATTCGGCTTTGCTGTCGTCACCAGCGTCCTACTCTTGATCATTAGCTTGGCTGCAATTCCTGCCTTCAGAGTTTCTCACCACAATGCTTTCGAGGCCATTCATCGCTATGTCGGCTGGTTCTCCGTCACTCTCCTATGGACACAGCTCAGTGTCTCCATTGCTACCACAAACTATCTGACTGGTGAGCCTGTGGGCCTATTGATGGTCAAGAGTGTGCTCTTCTGGTGTCTAATCATCATCACCCTGGCCATTATATACCCCTGGAGTCGCCTCAGAATGCGCAATGTCCATGTCCAAGTCCTCTCACCCCGAGCTGCGCTCCTCCACTTCGACTACAAGCGCATGGATGTTTGTCAAGGCATTCGCATCACCGACTCTCCTCTCAAGGAGACCCATTCTTTCGCCACCATCTCCAAAGTCGGTGATGAACAGGGATTTAGGGTGCTCATGTCAAGAGCTGGTGACTGGACCTCTGACTTCATCGACAACCCTCCCACACGCATTTGGGTCAAAGGAGCTCCTATCTACGGTGTCATGCGTGTCGCTCTGATGTTCAAGAAAGTTCTCGTCGTCGCAACCGGCTCTGGCATCGGTCCATGCCTGTCATTCCTCGAGAGTTGCCCCGACCATCCCATGCATGTAGTCTGGATGGGCTCTGATCCTAGAGAATCCTACGGCGACGCTATCGTCAACTCGGTCTTTGAAGCAGACTCTGGCGCATGCATCGTCGATACTTCCAAGGCAGGCAGAGGCGACATCACCAGACTGGTCCACGCCAGATACGTTGAGTCTCAATCCGAGGCAATTGTCATCATCTCCAACGCCATCGTCACCAGACAAGTTGTCAGCGGTCTTGAGTCCCGTGGCATCCCGGTCTTTGGCGCCATCTTCGACTCCTGAAGAGATGTGGATACGACACTAAGAATGTTGATGTGCCTACAGTATCTGTTGAGTGCAGGCATGCATGAGATGTTTGGCGGAAGGAGCACCTGTCATCCTCCCAGTTTTGCTTCGACTGCAAGGATCGAAAAGAATTTCTAATTGTCATCATGAGGGGTGGTCTTGGTACTTGACTCCATTGCTTTTCGTCGTTTCATTTTGTTCTCTTGGTATTGGAACGTCACCCACGGCTCTGGGAATTAGATGCATAGCAGTTTGGACAACCTTGCTTGCAGCCCTTAGTTAGTTTATCCTACAGGTAATAATGATAACAGTTGTTTTCTTGAGTCCTTAGTCCCAGCAGACATCCACTGCCAAGATGAGTAGTCTGTCTTTGAATTGTGCCATCCCCAAAGGGTAAGATGCCGCGACACTCTATTCACCGAAGCTTATTGCGAGTCCCGAGAATATCCGTTTGACGTGCATGAAACCCAGGGCTAATTTACCATAACCACGACTCCCTCACCGACTAGTTTCTGTACAACTCATCGCTAGATCTTACAAGCGTCTCAACGTCCTAGCACAATCGAAGGAGTCGATGGTGGCTTGATAGAGGTCCACTCTGGCGGTCAGAGAAGTCAGCCAGCCAGCAAGGCAAGCCTGACAAACAAACCATGCCGTACGGCAGCTACAAAACGCCCTGTTTCTATACGATGTACGGACGTACGGCGTACGCATGGCTGCCGTGATTCGGCTCTGATCCGAAAGGGTCGCTCAAACCTGGTGCTGGTGTGCTTGGGGAAAGACTACGCGGAGACGAGCACGGGCATGGAAAGAAAGAGGCAGCGGGATGAGGTCTTTGATGATGCAAAGCAATCTATTTCACATGTCTTTTGAGTGATGACACCTTGGTAAGATGATGCTGCAAAAAATCCTGGAAGGGTTGTGTCGGACATTGACGGCAGAAACGGCTTTGGATGTCGCTATTATTCTTCGAAAGGTTGACCTGCGTGCTGCAGCCCTATAAGAAGTATTTGGAAGTCTTGGGCATCGCGTCTGCTGATTGGCTGCTCCTTTTACAGAGCGTCGGTGAAGAATGAAAGCTTACTTCGACAGCAACGAGGTTTTGCACAACACTTGCCGTAACACAGCACTGTCCTCAGCAGATTGTAATCCATCGGACCACGCAGAATAAGCATATCTTGTGGAATCTGGGCCCATTCCAAAAAGAAGAACGTGCGCCATACCACAAAGCCGAAGAACACATGGAAAGGCGTTGGCGGGCGGCTTTGTCGAGATTGGGCAAGTTTAGACTGGGGTTGCCTCTGGAATGTGTTTAGGAATTTGGAATTTGAAGTCTTTCGAGATCCCACCTCTAGTTGACGGCCCGCTGCCGAACGTGCTGATTCCTTCTTTTGCTCCTTCGGCACCTCCGTGAACAACCGCATGTAAACGTCTTTACCAATTGTCAAGAACTCTCCAGGCAGGAATAGCAGAAATACGAGTCGCCGATGATGAGGGATCTGCATGATTGATCCTTCCAAGAAAACAATATCGTTCCAGCAAGCAGGGTATTTGTCAAGCTAATCCTGTGTCGCAGGCAGGTCAAGCACCAAACAAGAAGGGTTGCAGTCGCGGAAGAATCAATCTCCCAGCCCCAAGGACCTCCTACTAGGTATCACCATCATCGCGTGGGGGGTCAGACCCTGATCGCATGTGCTTCGACTTCTAGTCCAGATCGTGCGTACAAGTCTGAAACCAGCTAGATTGCTTCAAGTGCTCAGGGACGCTATTTCACCTCGCTTCTGTCAGGAACAGCTCGGTTGCAACATTGATGAATGATTTCATGCCAGAGATAACACAGCGCTTACAGTTCGATTTGCTTGTTGAAGCTGGGCTTCATGCACAATATTTGTCAGATGGGTCCCCTTCTTGGGCTGATCAGGCGTTGCCGAACGGCGGCCCCAAGAAGCTTACCTCAAACACCCGGGCACAACGGCCTTTTCCTTCTTCCCTCGACTCATACAACCTACCATCTAGCCGGGTCCTTGATCATGATCCGATGGTTGCATCGATTGAATATTTGCAATTCATCACGCTTCCTCCTGCTGCACGCGATGGAGTGGCAGGTTTAGGCATACGTTCGGGGCATGCACTCCACACCTCGTTCGTTCAACAATCAGACCGTTTGGCTCCCGAAACCTACATCAGTCAAGTTTTCGGAAGCAATACACAAATACATGAGGTCGCCCGTCCCTGAGACGTGTCAAAAGAAGGCAGAGTTCCTTTCATCTTTGCAATTGTCGGAAGTTTGTTCTATCATTTCAGTTCTTGATTTATCCGGCAGTTCAAAACTATATAATATATACCCGTCCTCACAAAAGGTGTATTCCGTATTGCTTCCCTGCATCTTCACCTTCAACATGTCTTCAGTCACCAAATCTGCAAACAGCCTTTCTCGACAGAACATGAGCTCTTCGCCCCCAACAACATACGCCATGCCTGCTCATCCTCAAGGCGGATACAACCCATCTGCTATCCAAGCCTGGACTCAATCTCTCCCGGCTCATGCTGTTAGCTCCGGCAGATCAAAGGACGCCAACGATGCCGCTGTACAGGCATACCTTCAAGCAAAGATGGCTCTCTTCTCTCGCAACTGATCGATTGGTTCGGGGTTGCTTTGAAGCAGCCTGACACTCACCAATTCCTCTCCAATCGACTTTGGAATACAAAACCTACACTGGACGGAATGAGTATGACACTGCTCGGAACTAGTTGAGTGCGCCTCAACCATGGATATGTCCGTCGACTCCAGGTCTAACGGGTACCGTCACCCGGATTGTAACGTCAAGGGGGATCTCCTCCAGCTCAGCGACTGGAAACGCCTGCATCAGTTCCTCCTCCGGACTGAACAATACCCCTACATGGCTCCTGCTCCCGCCTGTCTGGTAGATGGGCGTGACACACTCGACTGGTCTCAGCCACTTCTATATACCATCTACTGTGGAGAAGATCAAGACGCGTACATCTCTCAGCTCTTGAGAAGGAAGCATCGATGGCTTCGAACTCTGATCAGCGTCGTTGGAGTCTCGTGCGTTCACCCATCTCACAAGCCTGGTACACATATTCCAGCAAACACCAGTATGGCTGTGTACCTTCAATCTCATATACCAGCACATCACCATCATACTAGGGTGCTATCTGGTTTCGAATCACTTATCAAGGTCATTCCCTCCAGAGTATGGGTATGGGACATGGACGTTCTATTACGCAAACACCCTCATGCCGTTTCGATATCTTCTCCGCATCTGCCATCATGCAAAGCTTGTACCCCGGAAATCCACTGTCAAAGTTTTGTATCATCAAGCTTGATTTGTAGTACAGGCTTTAGCCTTGGGGGATACTCCACCATACTTACCCAAAGCATGACAAGTCACATGGCTTGGTGGCCTATAAGCTGATCAAGGAGGGGCGCACAGCGTTACACCAACGACAAGATCATCAACGCGAACAAGGGAAAAAGGTTGGATTGCTATTGGAAGATGGAATTGGTGTTTTTCGTGTCACTCGGTGGCGGATGAGGAAAGAGGTCTCGCGTTGCTCCTTCTGTATCAATCTATCTTCAAAACTTTTCGTTCACCTCCAACAATATCTTTTTGACTTCCTGTTGTCTTTTGATTCCTATACATCCGTCGACAAAGGCGCTTATGATTACCTTCGACTTCTAAACCGACAAGATGACCATGGTGGATGCAGCAACCTCACACCACGACAAGCCGAATCTTCGATGGGATGCTCTCACACCAACCATCATCACGACGGCACTGGCGACAGCTGTGGTGATGTTGCGACTTGTCGTGCGATGCAAATTTGTCAAGGCAATAGGATTCGATGATTTTGTCATCGTGGTGTCGCTTGTGAGTATTCTTGCCTCTGCTCGTGGAAAGTCGGTGTTGCATTGCACCTGCCCCGTCACACATCCTGACCAATCTCTTTCTTGAGAACCACTGTCTCAAAGCATCATATTACCTTTTGCTCACCGAACAATCACAACCATTCATCGTCCACTTCAACCTCTCACCGTTTTCATCATGGCAGAATCACACTTACACTCCTGCAGTTCCTTTCCTGGATCGTCCTTGGTCTTACCGTGGCCATGGTCGTCACAGGCTTTGGCAGCTACGCCTGGTCCAATCCTCTCGACATTCGGCACACGACAGCCAAACTCTTCCTCAGCTGGAATGTCCTCTACGTCGTCCTTATCCATGTCACCAAAGCATCCATCCTGACGCAATATCTGCGAATCTTTCCCACTCGTACAATGCGACGTCTTACATGGCTCCTCTTCGCGACTCTACTGCCATCGCTCTTCTGGGGTGTGTTTGCCTCCATTTTCATCTGTAATCCGGTCAAGAAGGTCTGGCGACCGATGACACCGGGCCATTGTCTAGGTACGAGGACGTATTGGTTGAGTGTGACGAGTGTCAATATCGTCCTCGACTTTGCAGTGCTTGCATTGCCGATACCAGTCATTTCGCGCCTGAAGTTGCCACGAAGACAGAAGATTGCACTGGTAGGCGTCTTCTTACTGGGCTTCTTGTAAGGCTTCTTCTTTGGCGCTTGTAGATGATGAGCTGACATGAAGACAGCACCTGCGCAGTCTCGATTGTCAGATTGGTCGTAGTACACAATGCGTATGCTCGACACAATTACACAGCATCATCAGCAGAGGCGGTGACATGGTCTATGGTCGAAGCCAATGTCGGCATAATATGCGCGTCATTACTCGCCCTCAAACCACTCATCACATTCTTCTTCCCACAGGCTACGAAAGAACGCCAACCTCCTCGATGGAGTCTTACGCTCGACACGATATCCACGATGGCACCCTCCGAGCCTGACGTCGAGAAAGGACCAGTTCGAGAACAGGCTTCAGCAAGACCAATGGTCAGTGACGAGAGGCTGGAAAAAATAGCAGAGGAGCTTGAAGACTCGGACGAGCTCACGCTTGTGGGCACAAGACAGAGCTACATGGGCTCGGACGCCAGAAGAGTAAGGACAAAGAGCTGGAGTGAGCAGACGATACTTGACATGGAAGGTGTGATATCCAGACCAGAGTCAGCGGCTACGAGCCCACTGACTGCACACATGCTGGGAGAAGAGGTTGAAGCGCGAGAGCAGAGAGCGGCGCTTGATCTGCGGAGAGGGTCGAAACCTGGGAAAGGCTATGACAAGTGAAGACTGTGATTAGCATATTTATACTACAATATTGACAGATGACCACAATCGCATCAGAGTCTATTACGGGTCTTGAGAACGCCTGGAAAGGTGTAAGAAGGGCCGCGTTGTTGCAAACATGATTGGAATACGAAGGCGTCGGCTTCTGTGTAAAGTCCAGCACGCCCGCTAAGTCCTCATCACGCATCGGAGATGGAAATGCGGAGGCGGTAGAAAGTCGAAAGTCGACGAGACCAAGCAATCGACAGCGAGTTTGATAAGAGAGCGCGCGCAACCACACAGCACACTCTCGCCTGCCATGTTGTTCCAAAGGATACGGGCGCTGCCCACTGGCTCGTCGTCCTCAATCACCACAATCGAGACTGCCCTGTCAGCATTGCGCCTTTCTTCGCCAGCCGTCACCAACACCAGCATCGCCGTACGATATGCCTCGCACAAAGCCCAGGGAGCTGCCAACTCTGCAAAGGACGGTGCAGGAAAGAGATTGGGGGCTAAGAAGAGTGGAGGTACGGACATGCATGACTTCTTTCTCTCTCGAATCATACACTTGCCTCGACATATTCAAGAAACAACCCTCGACACACAGACACACTAGCACACTGCGCACAAGATAAACAGCACAAGAGACTGACCACAACGCAACAGAACAATACGTGATCCCCGGCAACATCATCTTCCGCCAACGCGGCACGAAATGGTTCCCAGGCGACAACTGCGCCATGGGTCGCGACCACACAATCTACGCCACCCAACCGGGCTACGTGAAATACTACAAAGACCCCTTGAAGCACCCGAAACGCCAATACATCGGTGTCGTGTTCGAGCGCGCTCAAGTGCTTCCTCAACCACCTCATGCGGTCCGCCGTAGACGTCTAGGCATGCTAGCCCACCTCATGCCCGAGACCGAAGTCGCCGCCGTACAGGGCGATCTCATCACAGGCGCCGAAACAGGGTTGCCAGGAAACGCAGAAATGGGTGAAGGTAAACCATCGACTATCCGCCAACGCCCTGCAGAGCAGAGAGGAAAATTGGTCGTCAAGGATAGAAAAACAGGAGAGGTTGTCAGAGCGACACCGACATTGCGACCGGGATACCAGTACAGAGCGGCGAATTGGGAGATTGGAAGAGCTGCCGAGAGAGCTGGTGTGCAGGTTCAAGCGTTCAAGCCCGGAAACAGATTTTTGGCTTGGAGAAAGAGTGCTGTGAGGAAGGCTAAGAATGCCGAGAGGAGGGGATTGACGAGAAGACGTTAAAAAGGCTTGAGAAGAAGTATGTGGCCTTTTTGAGAAAAAAGAGGAAGAGAGGAAGGAGGGTGAATGTACAGATATCGTGTATCACAAATGGGCGTTCCACAAGAGAACGATTTTCAAATAGATGGGAAAAATGCATGAGTTTGGTCAATACAACAAGTCTTGCTCTCCAAGGTCGTGGATGGGTAGAGTATGGTTCTTTGTACTCTCGAGTAAGTGGAAGGTCTAGGATACGGAGGGCTTGCGGCATAGAATAGTGCGTGCTAGGGCGTCGAGATGTTGAGATGTGAGAGATGGGTAGAGCTAATGAAAATGAATATCCGGAGTATGCTCCTCCAAAGGTATGAAGTAAGAAAGTTATGTCTGTTATACAATTGTACAGTATGCGATCGAAGCTCTTTTTATCGTTTACTTGAGGCCGAGAGGGCTCAGTATCCTCTCCCTCACAATCTTGGTGGCGAATTCGCCTCCCTTTTCCATAGCGACGGCTCCGACAATCGAGTAGAGAGTATGCGCGAGCACGACATCGACACCGGATGATGAGAGGTTGTCGACCTGGACAGATCATGTTAGCAAGGCGACCTTCCCCTCTGATTGTATTCTTGTACAAACTCACGTTTCTCGGCACCCATCTCACAACACCGTCCAGACCGTATTGCCGCGCCAAAGAAGCCAATCTCACTTTGTCCAAAGTGTTGTTCCTTGCGAATTCGGAAACATTGTGCACACCCTTCATGGCCGGGTGCAAGTATTGCTTGGACGAGGGCTTGCGTCTGTTGAAAGCCTTTGTGTTGAGAGGGTCCTGTTGTTCCAGCAGAGCCAGATCGCATTGCATATCGCACAATCTCTTTCCCAGGAAAGCGAGCTTGTCGTTGAAACCTCTTCTCGCGTGATCAAAGGACTTGTGGGTTACTGCTAGCCACTTGAGCTCTTCGGGTAGAAGTGTGTCGCCGTTCTTGCCGAGGAAGGAGCTGTAGGCATTGTCCAGCACTACTGGGTCTTGGTTTACTTTGAATGGAGGAGCCTGACGTTGACGGGGACCGGGACGTGTGCGGACGGGCATGGCCATACGAGAAGGAGTTGCTGCCCATCGGGGCGTGTGTTCGCGGACGGGTTCTGAAGAGGTTGCAAAGGAGTTTGATTGTGTGAGGCGGCCGGCGCAACGAGAAAGTTGTGGACGGGTCATTGATGTTCTGAGGACGGCGCCGACGAGGGCGGGCGGAGATAAGGTGGCGCTCATGTTGGCGGTGTGTGCATGTGTGGGTGATATGTCCAATGGGCTTCTTCCTGCTCCTCCTCTTGGTCTTCCTTGTTGCTGATTGTGCTTCTTTCTCCCACCTTCACTTTGTCGCTGGCGGCGGCGTGAATCTTTCTTGACTGGCACCTCCGGTCACGGCAAAACTTCGGGCGTTGCTCTCGAGAGTCAAGCAGTGTTTACTTGACTTGGTCTGCTTCTCTCGACGGTATATCAATTGGTCATCCGAGCATTTCTAGCAAGATGGCTGAAGACGAGGCTTCGACCAGTCGGGCGGAACTCTGTGCGCGTTTGGACAAAGTTCTGAGCGCCGGGTCGGAATACAAAATCCACCATCTCTCGACTCCGCCAACAAAGTCAGACGCCTTGTTCGCTGCTCCGCCAGGCCAGAGGCCCCAGCGCACCCATTGCGAATCCCATTTCTTGACTCTTTCGATTGCATCGCCGACATCTCCATCTTCATCTTCATCCTCTATTCCGACATCCTCCCAGACTCGAGGCGGCCATGTCTTTGTCTACGCCATTGAGATACTTGTCTACACGACTGCTTCCTTAACCACGCTATTCGTCTCAAAAGCCGACTCGACAGGCTACCTCAACCTGAAATCCGCTCAACCGCGCCAGTCGCCCATCCGTCCCGTCACTTCGACCTTCATAACCTGGCTCGCCGAGACCAGACAGAGACCCGCCATCCCTCTCGTAGTCTCACTCTTCGCCAGAGCCCAAGACCAATACCTCTTTCCAGGCAGTGTCGACCATGGCGCAAAGCATGTCTTGGACGATAGACAACTCGTCAAGTGGTGGTGCAAGACTCTCGACCCTGTCCTGAGATACCCGACCACCGACGACAACTACACCACCCGCGCCCACGTCATCGTACCCGGCTTCGATCACCACGAGACGACCCAATTCTTCCCAACCTCACACCGCTCCGATCCAGTCGACAACCGAAGATGGCAACATGGCCATCCACTCCTCGAAATCGCTCCCAATCCGTCTGCACCGCCTCGATGCCTCGTACCGCACTTCCCCGACGACCCCAAAGCCCGTTACCTTGATGAACTCGATGCCGAAATACCCGATTCGCAACCTTCCCAGACTTTGTTCTCGCCCTCTAAGAAAGGCAGTGGCATGTGGAAGAGCATCAGGACTTTGGATCAATTCTGGGATACAATGGCCTTCAGACAAGAGTGTTGTGCTGGACGAATGGTTGGCTTCATCTGGCTAGTCTTCAAACCCACGCGCCCTTCCATACAGTCGCTCGAGGACTCTGTGACGAATCTTAATCCAGCGACATCGTTCAATGCAGATGAGTTGCTTGGAGCATACCTGATTCCTTCTAGTCAAGAGAGCGTCGGCCAAGCCACAGAAGCCACCAAGTCGAGTCCAAGAAAGAAGTCGTCGCGGAGGAAGAAGCTCTCGGGCCCAATCGTTCCTCGTCAGCCAAAGATAAAGTCGTCTTCATCAAACATGTCCTCTCGCTCCGACAAGACGATCAGTAAAGAGTGGCCAGAGACGGGCCGTGGTCAAATCGTGCTTGAACACTCCGCATACACCAGAGTCCACGACCTACTGTTACGGCTCGACTTTTCCGACGCAGATGCAGCTACTAGCAGCACTCGCAAATGGTTGACAGAGGTTACAGCCATCACTATCCCGACTGCGGACTGGGGCACCGGCATCACGGGCTCGCTTCCGATGATGAATCAACAACAATCTGTCGATGGCGTCGTGGCACCCGCATCTGGTCAAGTCAACGATTTGTCTGGCATGCTCATCCGCAAGAAGAGAAAGAATGCAGATGATCAAACTCAACCATCAGCCGCTGTGGATGCACCAGCCGTGAATGTATTGAGTGCTTCAATGATCAGAAAGAAACCAAAGGTCAGCAATCCTTGATGCAGGAGGTTATTCTAGCGAGATTGCGCCCTTTCTATGGAGTCGTCTCTGTGTGCCTCTCATTCAATTCTGCTTCTACTTTACCTCAGGATACCCAATTATACGCATAATGCAGCTCTCTAATGATAATGAAAGAGACGTTTGCGACTCTCGGACGTGGTTCGCGCGTGATGTCGAATGCACATCACTTGTAGCATAATCTCCAGTATAAAAAAGATCCACCCATGCCTTCCTTTCCCTTTTTCTAACTACGACAACGCCGGCTTTGTGTTCATTCTCTGGTCTGAGAACTCGGATACATCTTATGTGTATTCATCATCTCGAAATCTTCAGGAGGGCAGAAGACCGATGAGGTGAGTGTATGACTCCGTCACAGGGGTTCATTTCTTCGGCTGGAGTGGACACAAAGGGTATTTCCGCGACGTGGTTCGCGCGTACACGTAGAAGAGTGGTGATGAGGGAGAATGAAGGGGCAGAAGATACTCTAATATGCTCCTACTCATTCGGCCAGCTTCGAGATGAGGCAATATCCGCGACGTGGTTCGCGCGCGTAGTAGGAGGTGAATGAGGGACATGGGAGGGAAAGAAGAGTTGGGGACCTGATGGTGATGTTTGTTCTGCAGCAGTCTCCTGGAACTGAGGCCAGGGATGAAGGGTCAGATGAAAGACACAGTCAAGCTCCAAATGAGCAGCTCTGTTTTGCGCTCTTGTCCGACTGCTTCACAGACCACAAAAGCCTCATGCATCTCGCATCTTCATAGCCCATCCATTTCGGAGACTTGGTCCGGTTGAGATGCATGCGCAGCAAGCACCAAAAAGGCAGCTGCAGGTCGCAAGCCACCGTCGTCATTGGTCAGAAGAAAGTCGGAGTCGTGTCCAGCTCCGCCGCCCTTTTGATTCAATTTTCTGGGGATGGTGATGGTGGATGCTGATCGTATTGGCAGGTGCAGCCCGTACGCGTTTCTCACGATCTGCTTGGGATCAGATAGAACACATACGCTCAACTTTTCGAGCAGAATAGAACGAAGCCTGTCTGCTCTGTTACTCCGCTTCCTCATTGAACACAGAAACTTTCTTCTTCCAATCGCCCGCTCTTATTCTCGAACCATCCATACGTTGACATACAATACAAACCATCGTCGCCATACAACAAAATCAACTTGGCAACATTCATCCCGAGGCAAATTTAGCTTCACGAGGCTTCCTATCAGCAGAGCCGCATACAACTCCTCTTTTCCAATACAATGTCGGTCGACGAGAGCGCGGGTTGGTTGCCACCAGCTGCCAATGTCACAACACCCACATCTCTGATCTTCTCTGAAAATCCAGGCATGGTTTCGTTAGAGTCTATTCGCACTTCGAACTTGGAGGCCCGCAACTTGGAGAACTTGGTGGCTGTCTTTGGTACGTGAATTCGCCTCCGCGCCCTCTTCACCGTTCTCTCACACGTGGCTGTTACGTTGGAATCACGTACCTTCTCGTTCCCGTCTAAGGATGCTGCATTTCTGTTCGAAGCTTTGACGGATTTTATGCTGACCAGCGGTTGATTAATCTAGTCGGTGGTACACATGGTGTCGCTGAAAGCACAGTGAAAGAGCTGTTCCTACGGGCCACAACGCCGCGGGCATACATCATCGGCAGGTAAGTTTGACATACCAGCGCAATAACACTCGACATTTTGTATTGACAGACCTATTCAGGAGTCAGGATGTAGCAGATAAGCTCTGCAAGGAGCTCGAAGACCTGAATCCGGGTTCAAAGGCTGTCTTCATCAAGAAAGACATCAGCATATTGAAAAATGTGGATGAGGTATGCGAGGAGCTGCAAAGACGAGAAAAGAAAATCAACATTCTTTTCTTGTCTGCTGGTTACATGTCACTCGGTGGCCGATCTGGTAAGTTGTCGAACCCGATTTCTGTCAAGCCCACATGCAGACTACTAGTCTTGATACAGGTTTTGGACAGCTCACTGAGACATGGTTCTAACACTTTTGCGTAGAAACACCAGAAGGACTCGATCACAAAATGGCCGTCAACTACTACTCTCGAATACGCTTTGCCATGAACCTCATGCCTCAGCTGACAGAAGCTTCCAATCAAAAAGAGCTCTCACGTGTTCTCACAGTACTTGCAGCAGGATCCGAAGCAGACATTGACATGGATGATATGGACCTCAAAAAGAATTACACTCTACATGCATGCCTTTCGCACTGTGTCATGATGACCGATTTCATGATGGAGGAACTGGCCAAGAGATACCCGCATACCTCCTTCAGTCATTCCTACCCTGGTACTGTCAAGTCTGGAATCACAAATTCACTCACTGGGCCTATCAGACTCGGTGTGAAGGTGCTCTACTCCGTCATGACACCCTGGATCTTGAACTTCAGAGAGAGCGGCGAGAGGCATCTTTTCCAGATCACAAGCTCAATGTACAAAGCCAGAAATGGATCCGTCGGATCTATACCTTTGAATGGCGGTCTGGATATTGCTGTTGGTATTGATGGAGTCAAGGGAAGTGGGGCTTACCTACTTGACTGGGATGGCAGACCGGCGGGCGACATGGCGGTTATCAACAAATACCGAGACATGAACGCTGGACCCAAGATATGGGAGCACACAATGACGGCCATCAAGAAAGCTACGTCGAGGAAGAGACTGGCTGAAGATGACGCGCAGGAGGAACAGAAGCGGAGAGAACAGCATGCTGCTGGGGCACCAAACTTGGCTGGTTGGAGAGCTGGATGATGGGTCCAACATCTCTATTGATATGGCATTATGACAGGACGATAGCATTACTGATGGAGATGGTTTCACTACTAGGCTTCCTGGTAGACGCTTTCTGCCTGCGAATAATCATTGTTCATTTCCAGACTCAATCTCTTGACCGCGTACGTCTTTGCGGGAGGTGACGTGCTGGCTGTCATGTCTCATTATGTTGTTGCGGTTTCCCACTCTACTGTAGTACAATGTCCTTCCCATATCTCAAAAGTGACGAGGCCGTTAGTAGGACGAGAATGAACATGGAGATAAATACCTCTTTCACATGTCAGGGTCGCTCCCATAGTGACGTGTTGCTTTCAAGCGCACAGACCATGCGTGTTGCGCGTCAACTTCACTCATCAACGTTCCCAACAACCACGGTCGCGACTTTCAAAATTCGTACACCAAGCGCTCGCGCAGGTTCGAATCTCCCCTTGCGCACCCGCATCTGCGCCTTCTTTTTTCCCATCAAGAAAGTCATGATCAGTTATGGCTACTGGTTCGGATGTCTTGCTGGAGCAGTTACTGTTCCAGGTCGCTTTGGCAGATAATAATGGTATGTCCTTTCTTCCACTAGCTTTCAGTCGCTGGCTCGCAGGCTTTCTCGGTCGCTCGCTCGCTGCGGTCGGATCACTTTTTTCTCTGGAGATGAGATGAATTATTCGAGCCTATGCACGAGCGGAATTTATGTCGGCTTCAATGCTATGTGAACAACGCCAGCTAATTACACAACACAGGTTTCTCCATCACAGCATTGAGCGAAGCTTTTATCGAGTTTAACAACAACGCTGCTGAAGTCGACGAGGGAGTTGAAGATAACGCCGACGACGGGGATCTTCTCTTTTCGCTGAAACCTCCCGGTGCAAACTCGACTGCACATTCTCAAGCTTCGGATCCACAGCATCTCGAAAAGCTTTGGACCTGGCTCGTCAATCATCCTGATGTTACCGTCGTCAAGACTCCATCATCCTCTTTCTCCACGGACAATCAGAATGGAAAATCTACCGCACCTGATCCTTCCAACCCCCTTACCCCTGTTTTCGCTGCCCATGTCAACGAGAGACTATACACCACCGAGCATCGAGTCTGGCATGCCTTGACCGACCACGATGTCGACTGGAAGCGTATCCCGAAGCTCGAATTTCTCTGTCTCCAAGTCATCGCCGCCGCCGGACGTGGAGGTGTACTCCAACCAGATGTCACCAGACTCACAGGACAAGACAAGCGTTCCGTACCGAAGCGAACCGACGCCCTCGCCAGCAAAGGTTACATCACCAAGGAGATGTGTCTCGGTGGTGGCATCAAGACCAGTCTCCTTCGTCTCAAGAAGCTGACTCAAGAACCCACTTCAACCTTCTACGTGGTCAAAGGAGAGGCTGGCAAAGGCGAAGGTGGCACTCGTCGTATGGTCAACTACGAGCAATGGTTCAGCGAGGTCATGGTCACTCTCAAGAAGCATGAAGGTCTCATCGCATATGAAGACTTGCGCAAGGAGATGGGCATCCATGGACTACGCTGGGAGACACGAGCTCTGCATCGATGCATGAAGAGACTCGAAAGAGTAGGTTGTATTCAAAGACTTCGAGCTCGTTTGGAGGGTGAACGTCCCAAACAAGCGAAGCGACAAGCAGAAAGCACCAAAGCACTTGAGCATCGCTACGACATCAACCCCAAGGCACCTACCGCGAAAGACGACGACGAGAAGACTGAACATGATCCCGACAATGTCTTTTGGGTCAGATGTATCAAGCTGATGCGTGATCCTGTCGACAAGGACAAGGAAGCGTTTGTATCCACTATCAAAGTTGGCAAACAAGGCAAGGTTGTTGAGGATCAGGAATCCGACGCTGAAGCCGATGCCGACGATGATGACGACTATGTCGAGATTGATGCCGCAGCCTTGGATGGACTGGGTAAGATGACAGAAACAGCCAAGCGTGTGCCTCCTCAATGGCAGCCAGATATGCACCACACCCAGTTCTTCCAGCAGATCATCGCCAGCGCTGGAACTAAAGGATTGAGCACGATGGATCTGGCCGATCTCGGTTTGGGTCACTTCTGGAGACGTCCCCTTGACGAGATCATGGGCAGACTCACAGACGTCTGGACTGTATCCCAACCTCTCCATCTTCGTCACCTTGCCATCGTCAGAGATACATCTCAATTACACCGCATCTCCCACTACGTCTTCCGAAGCTACGAAAACTTCCAAAAACTGGTGAAGAATGGTGACGCCGCCTGGGAGGCTATTGAAATCAAGCCCGGAGAGATAGAAAGAAAGCCTGATCTCGACGCTTGGGGCTTCCCTAAAGTCAAGGCTTCGACCATTGTTGGCCATGATGGCACTCACAACGTTGCTGCCTGCAAGAATATTCTTGTCAGATCAAAGGCCAAGCCCAGCAAGAGACCGTTATGGGAAAAGAAGGCTATGGCGACTATGAGTCCGTTGGCCAGTATGAGCGCTCTGAAGACACCAAGAGTTCAAGCCACAACTTCTGACCTCCCTTCCTCAGCTGCACAGCCAGTCGCCTCTGTCGAGGAAGAAGAGGAATCTATCATCGCCACCGCTTATCCACCCAAGAAGAAAAAGGTGTACAAAGTCATGTTCAAGATGAACCCGAAGCGTGTTGAAGCTGAGCTTAACGAGTGGAAAGTCAGGTCACACAAGCTTGCCGTGTCAAGAGCTAGGGAAGAGCTTGGCTTAAATGTCAAGAAGGATCCTCCGAAGCCCAAGAAACGTCGCAAGTCGACCAAGGCTGAAGAAAATACTGCTGGACCTGTCAGTCAAGCCGTTGTCCCCGCTACCGAGACAGCACAGCAAGACGCGACTGCTCCGATGGCTCCAGAGAAACCGTCACCCACCAACCCGCCAGCCGATCAGCCCGATCAGCAACTCAACCAAGAAGGCACTGAAACCTCAAATCAGACCATCGAGAAGACACCAGCCAACCCAGAACTCAAGAAGCGTGTGGCTGAGATCGAGCGTGAGATCTTGAGCAAGGCTAAGCCTGGTGCCTACATCAACCCTCCAGGCTCTGGTCAAATGAAGAATGATGTAGTCCAGCCAAAGGGACGTCCTTCAAGATACCTCATTGCTGTATTCAAGTCTGAGAAGCTCAAGGCTCTTCCATGGTTCACTGAAGAAGAAATCTTCCATGAAGCATCCGCTACCCCGGAGCCAAGCTTCGCTATCTCCCAGCCTACTACTCCAGCCACTACATCTGCTACTCCAGCATCTGTACCTGCGATAATGCAGAATCAGATACAACCAGATGTGACTCCGAGATGGACTACCATGAATTCGGCAACACCAGTGCCCTCAGAACCACCCGCACTTGCCGAGCCTGAAGAGTCCAGAGAAGAGATTGTCATCAAGAGAGGTAGAAGAATTCAGATTCAGAGGCAGGGCAAGCGCAAGGCCTACGAACCATTACGACAGAAAGTCGTGAAAAAGCTTGCAGTCGAGCAGTCAGTTGATGAGGGCAAGTGGAGGCCACTCAATGAGCTTGAGGTGGCTTTTGATGCAAGCTCCGCTCAATCACCGCCAAGCACGCCTTCATCCAGGAGAGCAGTGCCAGTTCCGCACACACCATCTTCTACTGTCTCGAAGTTGTCCTTCGGCACTCCAGCATCTGTCGCTGGTTCATCTGACATTTCCATGGAAGACAGCTCTGCAGTGGACTTGCTCCTTCAGCGGGCTGACAGTGAAGCCTACGAGCCCGAGGGGTCCGAAGCTGCTACTGAAGAGCGTCAGGCATCAGTTGGCGCTCCCGATACAGATGTGCAAATGGACGACGCCGCTTCCGTCGATAACACAGAGCAGCCAGCTGTACCAAAAGAAGCTATTGTGGAAGAAGTCGAAGAGCCTACCGAGCCTGTTCCCCAGGAGCCTCAATCCAACCACGTCACAACAGCCCAGAGGATCCTGGAGCCATTCTTCAAGAGAGCTGCAAAGAGACCCGATGCGCCAATCTTTGTTGAAGAGGGTGACGAGCACACTGGCTCACCAAGCACTCCTGCTCCGTTCTCAATCAAGAACCCCCCTCCATCAGCAGCTACGCTTGCTCGTGCCATCAATCGTGCCAAAGCTCCTACAAAGGTGGGTGTTGGCAGATCTGGAGGTATCGTTAGCTACAACCGCAACAGAGTGATTCTCGAAATTGTACACCAGAATGGTGGCATTTTCGGTGGTGACAGAGAACTCTTCTACCCTTTCGTCACGATATGGGATAGAGAGTTCCACCGTAGACCTGATCGTCACACGCTGGACAGAGTCCTTGCTGGTCTGATCGAAGAGGGCAGATTGAAGAAGGAGCATTTCACCTTCTCGTCCTCTGAAGGAAAGATTGTCACCAAGGCGGTTGTCATGGAACCGGAAATTGACCCCAACTCCTCGGAAGTCCAAGAACTCAAGCAACAGATCATCAAATCTTACCCTATGACCTACATCCCAGAGTCGATTGAGATTTTGCCTGAGCTTCGCCTTCGCATAGAACACGACTTGCGAGGCGGCAAGGGCATACCCGATGTCCACAACCCCAACAGCTCTTTCATCTATGACCCCACTGCTACTGTCACGCGTATTCAAGGACCTCAGAAGGTACAACTTGGTATGACAGAAGCGAGAATGAAGAAGGGCGTGTCAGCCAGAAGACACAGACGTGAAGAGGAGGAAAGACGTCAACAGCGATACATGCAAGCTCAGATGGAAGAAGACATCGACAACGCTGTGGCTGCTCTGACGACTGAGATTCAACTCGACTCATACCAGCACGATCCGACAAGGGCGGTTATTGACCGTGGCCCACGTGGTCGTGGAAGACTTGCCAAGTTGCAACGATGGGGCGCGGAAGATCAACATATTCCAAGACGTGCTCTCGGTCTTTTAACCACCACTGGACGCGATGACCAACTCGAAGCCGAGCAAAACAGCCGTGATGCAGTGGCAGCCAGCGACTTTGGCTTGTTGAGGCCCGAGAGGATTCCGACAGTTCCATCAAGAGATGTGCCGAATGCTCCTCAAGTCCGCTTCGACTTGCCGAACGAGCCTTCACTCGTCCAATTGTTGCAACAGAGACAGGCAGGCACATTCAGTGTTATTGACACTTTGTCCCTGACCAGTCCTTATCAGCGATTCCACCGCCAATCGGGCACCTTCTCGACTGACCCTGTCGTCATCACCACATCGAGCGAGCGCTCACAGTATGGCTTTATCGGTCAGCAGATGCAGATTCCCAAGTCACTTGCAGACATTTTCAAGCAAGCAGGAGAGGAGGCAACCATGCTCGAACTACCTAACCAGAGCCCGCATGTGGGATACGAGCTGCCACGATTCGCAGCTGTCGGAGTCACTAGACTTCCCAGACTCCACACTGCCAGACCACGCCCACCACCAAGACCTCAACCACAGTACAAGTCATATGGCGCCAAGGCGGTATTGCCACGTTCGAGCAGGACTGGCATCTTCTCAATGTCAGAAAAGGAAGAGCAACGTCTCATATATGCTGTTGTGGTGGTCAAGACACTTACTGGAGGTTTGGAGCAGATTGTAAACTGGGGTCTTGTCCATCAAGTGTTTCACTACAAGTTTGACCCCAACTACTGCCGTCATCGTTGGGTGTTTCTCAGACCAAAGCTCGGTGGTACAGCAGACAAGTTGCAGGTCGAGTTCCAGAAGCTGTTCCTCGAGGCGTACGAGAGTGGTGAGGTACCTGGCATTGACTTTGTCGAACCAGAAAAGTACGACTGGCTGGGCATTGTTGAGTGGGCCGAAAGAAGACTCTCTCGCTCAAACCCTCTGAACGGAATGCCAGACCTGCCCAAGAGTCGTGAGGTCTTGGACAAACGCTTCGAGGTTAGAAACGCTACCGAAGTCTACAATGTCCCGAGAGAAGACTACTGGGTCGCAAACGTCACTCATCTGCGCAGAGAAGAGTTGGCCAACAGCTGGACCTTCTCCCGTCCACTCGCAGCAGCTCCAAAGCCTGTTGTTGAGGATGGAGAGCTCATGCTGGCTTTGTCTTGGGTGCGCGCCAATGTTGTCACGCCTGACGCAGTCTATGACAGTAACCGAGCCCACGAGAAGCTCATCCAGATTGAATTGGACCTTCCGCGTGCACTGGACCATCTGTTGGGAGCCAAGATTATCCGCATGGAGAACAAGGGCCGCCAAATTCCTGGACGCAATTACGACATTTCTGATCAAGTCTTGACAATGTTCAAACGTCAATGGGATGTTCGCTACTTGAAGAGAACTGCAGCATACAAGAAGATCATCGACGAAGCTTTCGCCAATGATGGAAAACTGGCCATTAGCTACCAAGCTTCTGATGCTGAGATGACCGCCATGACCAACCTCGTCGCTGCTGGTCGCGCCAAGGTCGTCCCTATTTTGCCCGAGGTCAACCACACAATGGGTGCTGCATACCCTCGCCTGACCAAATGGGGCTTCACCGAGGGCAACTACAAGACCGTCCACATGGACAAGTCACGCCTCCACTTCCTCCTCGAACTCTACCCAACCGACCTGTACATCCAAGGCATCCCAATTGCACCCCTACCCGCCCCTCCACTCTCCAAACAATTCCCGGGCGAACTCGGCCCTCGCCTCCCCCTATGGACCGACATTCACGGTAACCTCATCAAAGTCTACTGGGAAATGACCGTCATGGCTACGCTCTGGCTTTTGGCCTTCAGACCGGGTCTCAAGATCCAAGACATGAGTAAAGGTGCTTACAAAGGGAAGCTCTGGGATTGGGAGTTGGAGATTTTCTTGACTTGGGCTGAGAAGGCTGGATTGGCCAAACGAATGAGATATGGAGGAGGTGAAAAAGGTGGAGATGAGGACAAAGAGGCTGATGGCTGGGTTGTGCAAGAGTGGTGGTGGTTGGCTTTTACTACTGATTGATCAGCGGCGGTGGACGATAGAATTGCTTAGTGAGAGATGGGAATGGCACATGGGCTTTGCTTTTTGCTGTTGCTGGTGGAAAAGAAAGAATGTTCATAGAAAACAAACACGCATAGCATAGCCACTTCCTGTATTTTCTAGACGGTAGAGATGTATTAACTTGTACAAACTCATCACACTTCCCAAATACCGATGTTCTGACGTGCGCCTTTGGCAAACATGAAGCAACTTCGTGTAAGCATTGTAACAATCAATGGGAAGAAAGGGTGTTGGCGAGTCCGAATGAGGAAACAACGATGATTTTTTCTTATGAACTTGCAGGAACGAATCTAAAAGGAGCGATCGGACCGCCGAGAGACAAAGAACATGGATGCTGATATTGGCCGTCTCACTGGCAAGCGTCGTAAAATCTCGATTCTCGAATCACGCTTTGTGTACATTTTTCACCGCGTATCCAACAGGACAAGGGTCATTTTGAATTGGAAAAAGGCTTATTTGTCTCTGTCAGGATTCGAGCGCAGTGATTTGGTTCGAGTTTGGTCCAAAGCACGCACGCACGCATTTAGGAGTCTTTGAATGGATGATTCTCTGACAATGATCCTGTTACGAACCTTTTCAAGCATTCTCTGGGTAAACCTTTGGACAGACATGTAGAAATTCGAATTTCTGTTTTTGAGCCTTGCTTTTTACGATGACAGGCTGATTACTACCAACGAAGAGCATCAGCAGTGGTAAACTCCAGCTATGTACCTCTGCTGAGAATTTGTTCTTTGGGTGAATCGCCGCTTCGGCCTCTCAAGCCGAGTCGATGGCCCGGTTTGGGAGTCGGGGGATGATAGACGGCCGGGGAAAATTTTTCGGTGGGTTTTCCGCGGACGCGTTTGTTGTTGATACTGTGCAGCCGTGATGGTGATATAGGTAAGGCATAGAGGATGATTGGCAAGGTCTAATGGAAACACAGTCGATGTGCCTAACCTTTGGCAATGTTCTCGGTGGTGTAAGTCTCCTCGGGATCGACCAGAATGCGAGTGCAAGGCTTGATGGGAATAGAGATTGGGATCGTTGGTGTGGAGGGGCTGGAAAAGCGAACTCCAGATCCAGGTTGTTGTTGACATTCTTCTCGTGGACCTGGGTGGTCGTCCTTGTGCAACACCAATGACCTCTACCATAAACTAATATACGGGTGAATGGCTGCTTGGGATCCAATGCTCCGACAAACACGTTGTTGGAAGTAGGAATTAGCCGGGAGGCGTGCCGTAGCGGTAGAACGACCACGCCGTCCAGGGAAGATGAAAGCTGTCCGGTATACAGCTACGTGATGACTGTCTGCAAGTCTTGATGCGAAAGTCCCAGAGTGAACCTCTTCTGATGGTTCTCAGGAAAGCCACTCTCGAAAACAGCTTTGTAGTAGATTGAGTATACGCTCAGAAGACCTCTGTGGACCGTGACCCGTCAAGTACTTGTCGCTGTCGTTGTCTGCATGAAGCCTGATCATCTTTGGTGAGCTGCCAATGATTTTGCTGGAAGGAGGTTAGCGATGCTATCTCATTTTTGTTGACATGGTAAAAGTGGCTTACTTGTTGAGCAGCAAACACCATGAAAAGCTGCAGGAAGGACTGCTTTCCTCCATGGCTAGATGAGATTCTTTTGGTTGGACCGAATGTTGTATACGTCGAGGTGCGCAGAAGATAGAGATGTGCTGATGTAGACATAAAAGCGAGGAATCTCTGTCAAAACTTTACTTCTGCCGAGTCGACGCTCGGCAGGACCCATGGGGTAGCTGTTAATAGCACGGGTGACTTCTATAGCGTCGGCGTACCATGCCTCCTCGACCTGGACTAGTGGCTGGAATGGAGGGAGTAGTATGGAGTTAGCCATAAATCCACTCCACTCCATGGTTAATGGAGTGGAGTTGGAGTAGCTCCACGCTGTATACAGCTATTCCATGGATATCCATGGAGCTATTAGAGTAATTACCGCATTGGGAGTGATGCGCAGAAGGTTGGATCTTAGTCAATTTAGTTAGTGGCTATTTCCTCTGCTGTCGCTATAACTATTGCTGCAAGAACTAAGCAATGCGATAGGTTGTCAGTGGATCAATAAGGTGGCGCGCAAAGTGGTATAGAAGAGGGAAGCTTGGAAACTGCCGGACTAATCTTATCGATCCGATCTGCCCAATGAGGAAGTGTCTAAGCCTAATTAAGAAGGCGGTGAGCGAACTGCCGGACACCTTTGGATATGTATACACTCCATGACCGTTACTCTAATCTATCAAATACCGTTGGAGTCGATAAAGCGATCTACTCCAGTTAGATCTATTGGATTAAATCTACTCCACTCCAAAGTTACTCCCTCCATTCCAGCTACTGACCTGGACAACTCCCTTAGCGACAAAGAAGATTCCTTCCTTGAAAGGCTTAGCGACTTCGAAGGCGGCGAGAAAGTCTTAGACCCTCGGAGCTGCCCATGTTATATACGGCGAGCTTAAGGGTGGTAAGGGCAACACACTTCTCTAGGGTCTCTTCGCTAAAGCGGGCGTCTTGGACATCCTGTCTACTATTTCATGTTAGTACTTATGCTCTTCCTTAGTAGGAAGTGATGGACTTACAAGGGGGCGACCTAAGCGATGGGAAGTGCTCGGATAATTATGTTCTTTATAGGATCGTTGCCGGGCTCAAAACATGCCGGGCAGATTGAAGGCGTCTGAACTAGCTCCCTCTTTGCGCCGATAGTATGGGGGACTTGTGGGTGGACAAGCTTACCCCTAGAGTCGAAGACCTCCTCGTGCTAGCAGCTAGCAAATTGGAGAACTTTTGACTCGCTTTCCCTTGGAGTCTTTTACCTGTGAATAGAGAATTATAAAACGAGGGAGTTTGTGAGGATTGTCGTGAAGTTTGTTGATGGATGGAGAGAAAGAGAAACGCACGTTGCGATGGAAGAGAAGAAGAGCTAGAAAAGAGTCTATGTAGCTCATGAACACGATCTTGTTCGACCCAATCAGCGAGGCAAAGCCCCATTGACGTTATTTATGATTGGCTCGCCATACGGCCACATGTTTCCGTCCAGCACACAGCTCATTAATGTCCAACATGAAGATATAGAAGACGTCGAGACAAATCTTCGGAAAGCATTGAACGAATATGGTAGCCAGCAGTGTAGCTACAGCTCGCGACGGCTTATAAGCAGTTGGAAAATTGAAAGGCAGGATCAGGTAGCTTGATTCTCAGGAAATTTGGTGGATCTGACTGGCTATATACAACAGTCTTCTACAAAGCAGTAGCTATCTACAAAGTGGTCTTCGCAGCAAACTTGTATCAGCCACATAGATATAGAATGTGGAAGACTGTGCAGCCATCTCCACTGCTGAGCCCGATTTCTACCTCGTTCTTGCCTGCTATCAAGGCAACGACTACCCATATTTGCTATGCTGTCATTGATAGATGTTCGCTGGAGGACAGCACGTTCGTTCCGTTCTGCCGCAGTCGTCCGAAGAGATGGATTATATGCTTTGACATTTATCGTGTATTGCATCAGCCCGTGCGTGACGGCCTTTAACACACTGATAGAGGAAGGAGCATGTATGTTCAATCCGATCACTTTGGCTTCACTTTCAACGTCGGTTGCGGCATCACGTCTTGACTTCAATCAATCTTTTTTCTTCCACGACGGTCTCATCGCCCTCGGACAACCCAAAGCCAGACATCATCATGCTGGCTCTACTCATCCTCGGACTATGCGTCCTGTGCGCCGCACAAAGGTAAACCTTACGTACACTACTCACGTTAGTGAGCGGCGCTCATATTTCGCAGCATAGGTCTCACCTTCTCGCTACACTTAATCGGCGAGTGCCCTGTCATCGGCTCATTAGAAGCCATCACATTCACCACCGCCTCTTTCCTCAACACATTCGAATGCTTCAACATCGAAGATCTCTTCTCCGTCAATACTTCCGATAGCTACGGCTCCCGCAGTTACCGCACACTATCAAGCTCAGACCCCGACACAAACGACTGGCGCCTCTCCAACGCACTCGCCTACTCCAACCAAACCGACTACTCCACAATCTTGTATCATCAAAACCCGCCTTCTGGGCTTCCGCAGGAAAAGGGTCAAGATGCCCTTCGTCTTCTGGAAGTGTACGCCGGTAAGGGTTGCGAACAGGCAAACACCCATTCCGACACCATCCATCCTATCCTCGGTTGGTCTTGTTCGAGTTCGAGAGCTGGAGATTGTTATGATGTCGGGTACAACATCATGAGCTTTAAGATTGGTCCGGCCATCGTCAACAGTAGACCCCAGGGTTGTTGGACCCCCTCGACAGGGATGGGTGCGAAGAGGCTTGGTAGCAGCAAATTTGCAGCTATCGCAGGAGTCACGGTCACGTTCATGGCAGCGTTCTTGAGCTGATAAACCGGGCTTAGAAACACGGGTATCACGTTCAGATTCAACTCGATTCTGAACCTCTGTCTCCGAACAAGGCTGTACTATAGTTATCGGAAGGCACGATACCTTTCCAGAGCAGAGAAGCTTCCATTGAGACTAGCTACCCATTCCAATCTCATTGGCCAGCTCTCCAAATTTTAAATCTACCGTGCATTGCGTCAGATATCTCTGTGAAGATCCAAATTGACAAACCCTCTATGCCGTGGTCAGATCTCGAATGGAGTGTTGACCTCCAACACACCAGCTTTACTCAAAGTTGCAACACCATCAAGCACACCACAAGCGAAGTCCGCTGTCAAGGTAGGAATAATCTGTAGGCCACTCGAATTGCGAACACCACCAAACAAGCCAAACTTGTTGCTGATGGAATTGGTCGAAATCTGAGGCCATCCAGGGCCACGGTGTGGGTCTTTGGCAAAGTTGGTCCAGGCTGTCTGCATCAATGCGCTCAATTTGATTTGATCGCTTGTGGCCTTTCCGTTCTCGTTCTGCAGAGGATAGGATCCGAAGACTTGGTTTACTTCCGAGGCATGAGCAGCATAGTCAGAGCCAAAGGTGGGAGTGACCAGTCCATACCAGTATCTCCATGTGTCATACTGGTTGGCGGCGAGCTCTCGTGAGAACTTGGCCACTGGGCAGGTGAAGAACAAATCTGTGAGGATCTGTCCAACCAAATCCACTGGAGCAAGCTTCTGAGGATATTTGGGTGCCAGAATCTCTGTGATCGACGTAAGGTTCAATCCGAAGAGAGCGAACAGCTGTTCAGTGGCATTGTTGTTAATGTTTTTGCCGAGGCCCAGAGTCTTCAGAAGCCCGTCGAATTCTCCAGTGTTCGTGCCCATGTATACAGGAACATGAGCAAAAGACTTGGCAGATATGGCATCCGAGATGCTTTTACTCTGAGTGACACCGTCGACTGCTGGTGGCCACAAAAGACCAATTCCACTGCTCTGGATGTAGCCACTCAAATCCGAGACATCAACTTTCTGTAGGCACTCGAGAGATGAGTCCGCAGTAGCGCAACCAAAGTGTGCGCTGACGTTGTTCCAGTTCTTAGTACCGTTACCAGGCAGGAGGATCAGAGGCGACTCCATGATTGCAGCGATGAAGGGCAGAGGCTTGGGCGGGTTTGCAAGAAGTTGAGCGACAGAATAACCACCGGCAGACTCTCCGAATATGGTGATGTTTGCTTTGTCTCCCCCAAAAGCGTTGATATTGTCTCGAGTCCATTGCAAGGCAAGACGTTGATCAAGGTAACCAGGGTTGCGCTGGGATGATGGAAGGTCGGGAGAGTTTGGGAAACCGAAGACTACACTACAGTCAGCAAGCCCTTTTGAAAAGGCGTTCAACAAACATACTGCCGAGACGGTAGTTGAAAGTAACGACGATGACGTCGTGGTTCACAGCTAGAGAGCTTGCATTGAACGTCGTCTCCGAAGAGGCGCCAATGGCCAAATCACCCTGTCATCTGTCAGGTTGTGTCTTCTTTCGAAAACAATTTGTACTTACACCGTGGATCCAAAACATCACTGCCTTCTGGCTCGACACCGTAGTGTTGGGAGGTACATAGACATTGGCGAACAAGCAATCTTCGGAAAAGGGGCCAATCACTGATCCTACATTAGCTGGCTACTCAGCGAAGCTCTGACTGAGAATAACATACCCGAGCCATTGAACTGCTGTATACAAGCAGCACCATATTTCTGAGCATTGAGAGATGTGTTCCAGGCTGGTGCAGGAACAGGCGCTTCAGACCTCTTGGGTGGGCTCGCATACGGGATACCGAGGTACGCGTTCACAAGCCCTGTCACAGTAGGTTGATTGAGAACACCGGTAGCAGTTCCAATGATCGCACCGGAGGCAATTGTGACAGTCGGAGCAGCAGCACGCGCGTTGATCAAGAGCGATGCCGCAGACAAGACGGCGAGGCCGGAAAGTAAGGTAACGATATGTTTGAATGACATGGCTAGTGTTCAGAACTGCCCTGTATCGGACAAGGTAATGAGAGATGCTATTGCTGCTCGGGTCCGGCGACTTGACTGGCTTTTTGTATGCACCCTCTCTCCAAGTTGAGTCTGGAGATACTCCAGGAGCTCGGCATAGCAGCTGTCTACCGTTCCATGTCTCCGTGTCGCAGCCGCTAGTCAGTGACCATCAGAGTATGACAGTAACATCGCTGCGACCTAGCTGGTTCGTATAACGTTACGAGTGATGAGTTGGGTAGCGTTGACGATAGAATCAAACCTTCGCAGGACGTCGAGACAAGATGCGGCCGAGGCGGAGAAAGCTCTGACCACCTTTGCCAAGACCGGAGCCGGCTCACCCAAGAAGACAAAATGGTGACGCGCAAGTTCACCTCTTCCTTCTCCGCTCAGGCACCTACAACCTGTTTAGGCATGTCGCACTGCAAGATGAGATCTTCTTACTAAACGAGTACGAGCTGCGTACTTGATCGCCATCTTCGGCAAGCATCATCTCACCAGGACCATTGAGATCTTGGTAGAAGCCGCACCGGACGCGGCTCAGTGCACTTAGAAGTCAACCAAGGACCGCGGATCAATGTCATACCTTGCTCACCGTCAAGGTCATATGTCCAGTCTGAAGAGATACTCGAAGGTCTCACAGTCTACCTACAGTGTTCTGCCTGCGACATCCCACAAGCCTGTCAAGTTCTTGCAAATACATGAATCTGTCAACCTTCCCAAGCGATTACTTTTCGCCATCCTCGTAATATAAGAGCCGCTCTTTGAACACTTGGCTCCGGAAAAATGGTCTTGTCGGTCTGCCTGGTGTTCCAGGGATCGCATTTGTCATACTACAAACACGGGCAATGCATTTATCAAAGTGCCTAAGTTGGGCATGCTTGACGAACTCAACATTCGCCGTTCAAGCGCCCGGACTGCAGATGACACTGATTCAGGTATACCACGGTCCTCAAAGAGGGGAAAGCTCTCCAGACTTTCGCTTTGGCAAGCAGCTGAACCGTGAAGTCTACTTCTCCAGATGGACCATGCCTTTCTTCCGTTCGAGGGGCTCTAACTTCTGACCGGCTTTCTTGGAGCTTTGGACTGTTTGGTCGTGTGACCATATTTGTGTCTTTGAGATTTGCCGTCCCTCTCTACCTTACGAGAGGCTTTGAAGACAACGGATTACATATAAGAACGGGATCCAAGGCTGACCTGAGAGTCTTTGATTCCAACAGCATCGCATGAATTGAGCTTTCCGACCTTTTCGACTCCGTCACCATGCTTCTCGTGGTGAATCTCCAGGCGCTGTTTCTTCTGTGGGCTTGCAGCGTAATCACCGTCGATGCACAATCTGGGACTGTCACCGAGAGTATCAACCCTGCAGCGACTAATGTCACCTTAGCTCAAAGCTCTGCTCCTGCAGTCGCCAGCACTCTGGCAGGTACAGTAGGTAACGGAGCTGTATCGCAACCTAGTCTGCTTGATCAGATAGATCAAGCAATCGTCCAGGCTGTAGCAGATACCAAAAACGCCCTCCAAAAGATTTTGGCACCGGAGTTGTATTACTCCTATGGCAGATCACCGCCTGTTTACCCATCTCGTGAGTCTTTTGTTGTATCTGCCTCGTCGTTCTCCCAGCTAACATTTCTCTAGCAAATGGTGTTGGATTGGGTGGCTGGACCACGGCATATGCTCAGGCAAAGGCTCTCGTATCTCGAATGACCAACACTGAGAAAGCTATCGTCAGCCTTGGTTCTTCTCAAAATTACGGTTGTTCAGGCTTCGTTGGACCCGTGTCTCGTCTCGGTTTCTCTGGAGTTTGTTTGAACGACGCCGAGAGTGGAGTTCGCGGCGGCAATCTGGTCAACGGCTACCCATCCCAGCTGAGCGTTGGTGCATCTTGGAACAGAACTCTGGCCTACGCCAGAGGGCAAGCAATCGGTCGCGAATTCAAGGCAAAAGGAATCAATGCTGCCCTGGGACCGGTCGTAGGTCCCTTGGGCCGCATTGCTAAGGGCGGCCGCAACTGGGAAGGGTTTACAAACGATCCCTATCTTGCTGGCGGTCTGGTTGGCCCCACCATCAAATCGATGCAAGAGTCTGTCATTGCGGTTGTCAAGCACTTTGTCGCAAATGAACAGGAAACGAACCGCAACCCGTTCTTACTCGGACTTATTCCACAGCTCGGCAAGCAAGCTGTGTCCTCAAATCTGGACGACCGCACCATGCACGAACTCTATATGTGGCCATTCTATGACGCTATCAGAGCAGAACCTGGTTCGGTCATGTGCGCATACAACCGCATCAACGGCAGCCACGCCTGTCAAAACTCCAAGCTGATGAACGGCCTGCTCAAGACAGAACTTGGCTTCCAAGGGTTCGTCGTCAGTGACTGGGGGGCGACCCATACAGGTATCGCCAGTAATAACGCTGGCCTAGACATGGTCATGCCGCAGTCATCCCAGTTGACACCTTCATCACTTTCCTTTGCTGTCCTCAATGGATCTATCAAATCATCACGCCTTGACGATCAAGCTACGCGCATCATCGCCTCGTGGTATAGATACGCTCAGATTCCAAACATCGGCGTCGACAGTAATAAGAACATTGATGCCCGTGATCCTGCAGCGTCAAACGCTCTGCTTCAAGCAGCAGTGGAGGGTCACGTCCTGGTCAAGAACATCAACAACGCTTTGCCTCTGAGGGCCCCTTCTACCTTGAACCTGTTTGGATATGATGCCGTTGGTGGTCTCAATGGAACTTCCGGCTTAGGATCTGGCGGTCTTGCCAACACTCAAACGTTTACTGATGGTCGACCCTTCAAATCACTGGAGTACATATCTTTCGTCACTGCTTTTGCGCCAGACTCGTTCAATGCACCCACCGTGGCACTGAATGGCACTCTCCTGAGTGGTGGCGGCAGCGGCAGTATCACCCCCAGCTCCTCCACCTCTCCTTTCGATGCTTTCAGGCGTCAAGCTGCTATGGACAACACAACTCTTCATTACGACTTCGTCTCCACAAGCCCACTCGTTCAAGAACCAAACAAACCATGCATTGTGTTCATCAATGCACAGTCGGTCGAAGGCTCGGACCGAAGCGCTTTGAGTGACGACTACTCCGACAACCTCGTGCGTTCGGTTGCCTCTCAATGCTCCAATACTATTGTCAATATTTACAACGCCGGTATCCGCATCGTTGACAGCTGGATTGATCATCCCAATATCACTGCCGTTATCTTCGCTCATACACCCGGTCAAGAAAGCGGAAATGCATTGATCGAGATCATGTACGGCAAACAGTCGCCTTCTGGACGTCTTCCTTACACCGTAGCAAAACAAGAGTCAGACTATGGAGCACTTCTTGGCCCGAGCTATGCAGATGCCAACAACCCGTTATACCCCCAGTCCGATTTCTCCGAAGGTCTCAACATTGACTACAAGCACTTCATCAGCCAGGGCATTACACCTCGCTTTGCTTTTGGCTACGGCTTGACATACTCGACTTTCAACTATTCGTCCTTGCAAGTCACGAAGCAAGCCGGTGCCATCACATCGGCCACGCCGCCTGACGCAAACAGCAGAGGCCCCATACCTCAAGGAGGATTGAACTCGCTGTATGACATTATCGCCACTATCACCATCCAAGTGACCAACACAGGCAAGGTCTCTGCCGCAGAAGTAGCTCAGCTTTACGTTGGTATTCCTGGAAGTGGACAACCAAAAGTGCTTCGTGGGTTTGAGAAACAGCTCATCCAACCAGGCAACTCGGCCACATACTCATTCCCGCTGCGACGCAGAGACTTGAGTATATGGGACACTGGTGCTCAGCAGTGGAGATTGCCTTCAGGCACATTTGCTTTGAATGTTGGCAAGAGTGTTTTGGATATCCAGCTCCAGGGGACATTGCAGCTGTAAAGGGTTCTGGAGTTGTCTTATGTATGGGCAGAAAGGCGTGGCACCGGTTCTGTAGAGATGCAAACACACAAGAGCAGCACCAAAATCGGACTTTGTCACGTCATGTTGTTTATCAACAGAGCTGTCACGACGCACAGTGCTTCCCAGGCCACGATGTGTCATGGAATAAATCAAACTTTTAGCCCTCGAGAACACATAAATCATGCTTTAGTTCCGCACGCTTCCAGTTATCGCGGTGAAGGGTGTGGTTCTTGGCGTCGTAGTGAGAATTTTGGAAGTAAAGAGTATTCGATTGGAATCTGAAACTTCTCTGGCCTTTCGTCGGCAGCAGTTGAACGATGTATATCATTAGAACAGATTGAACATACATGCAGCGTTCGTAACTGATTGTTTAATTGCACTGTCAGGTGTTCTTTGACGGCAGAAATCTTTCAAAACGAAGATCCATCATTCAGTTCGTTCACACTAGCAAAGATCACTTGGCAGAAGGCGGTCATCAAGGGAAAAGATTGCAATGTAATGCTTCCTCATGACAGTGTTCTATAGTAATGGCTGTCCAGGGACACAGAAGTCTTTCTGTTGTCAAAAAGCACAAATCTTCCAGGGATTGTCTTGAGTTCATCGAAGTGCTAAAATATGGACTCTCAAAGGATTGTTCGTGAATTTGAACATCTTTGTGTCTTGTCACAGCCAGTCTGCTGTTGCGATTTGCATCTTTGTAAGCCCGGAAATTCTCATGAAGCTCTTGACCCGACGTAGTCCCACGGTATGCAAAGCATGTCTCAGATCATCCATATCGCTCTCCACAACGACGACACTTCAATAATCTGACTCAGTATCAGTCTCCTCGCAGATTGTCTTATTGCCAGTCATCCAGATCTTCTGCCAATTACCCTCGAAGTCTTTGCAATAGTCGTAAACCACATATCTGTCTTTAATCGGAGGGCCAGCGGCAGTGGTACCTCCGAGGTAAGCTTTGTCGGCCATCTCGAACGATTCGCCAGCACACTCTGAGAGAAAAACATTATTAGGAGACCGTTCGTATTCTGGAACACCAACAACAAACTTACTTCGCCATTCCTCGACTGTCTCATGTTCGTGATAATGGCAAGGGGTTTTGAAGTGACATTCGCTAACTTCAGTCCAATCTCTGCAGTAGGCGGCCCTGACTTGGTCGAAGAACTCTCCAGAAACCTCGAAGGCTGCTATACGTGGTTTCAAGTAGGAATCATAGCTACCGAAAAGCCTCGCCCAGCATTGTGCGAAGTTATCAACCATCCAACGCACAAGACCGGAACTAGGAGGGAGCGTTGTGAAATGCTCCGGCACACTTTCTTCGTCGAAAACCTGCCATTTTAGACCTCGTTTGAAGAGATGATCCATGATGTCTCTACGCAATGCAGTGATATCCGTCATATCGGCAAAGATGTAGAGGTCGAGCACATCCGAGTAGTTGATGTCGTCTTCAATACATCCGGAGTAGAGCCATGTGACCAGGAGCTTTGCTTGTAGTTCTGTCAATTCGAAAGAGGTGCTGCCTTGATTGGATTCCGAGAAGCCGCCTTTGAAGGCAGCGGTATAGTAGGGCGAGAAGTAACATAGTAGTTCTTCGTGTATCAGAGCTTGGAAGTTGCCTCCGGCGCGACATTCAATCATGTTGTGGGTTGTGGTTATGATTTTGCCGACGGCACTGGAAGTCCAAGTGTGACTTTTGGGGTCTGATCTCATCTCCATTATCGATGGTGAAGTCGAGATTTGTGAGTGGCGACAGGATGGTTTTATCGTTGTGAGAAGCTGGGAGAGATGACTTTGAGACATTCGAATGTGTCGCAGCGCTTCTAGATCTCCCGTGTCGGTGAAAGTGTTGCAGAGGCCAAAGTCGCGGCTTATCACAGGCGCAGGCAGCTGCGACCGACGTCAGTTCTCAATTCCTCCAAATCATGTCTCACAGAAGTCAAAGCTCTTTGCCGTCCGGTGCTAGTCAGCAAGCTCTCAGACTCGCTTGCTTACAGTGTCTGGAATCTCATCTCTACAATACAAATCAACGAACAGCGCCTGAAGGATCAAGGGGTCAGTCATCCAGTGATGCCAATGAGTTATGAGCACTCACTCATTTAACTCATAACTCATTTAACTCACGCCATATGAGTTATAAGTTGAGAAACCCATGAGTACTCATAACTCATGAGTGCTCATAAACAAAGGATAGGGTCGCCCCCGCAGCGACCCCTAACATCTCTGAAAATTTTTGAAATCCGGGGTTAACTAATCGGATCGCTCGCTAGCCGCTTAACGTTACGTCCTAAATTTTCACCCCTTTTCTATGTTTCCTCCTTCTCTCTTATTACTATACAACTAATTCACTATAGATTAGTCCCTATTTCTTAATTTAGATAATGATAGTGATCTTACTTCACTTCCTCCTTCTATAACATAATAAAACGACCTTTTCTTAACTCCTACGCTAATTCCTTCTTCTTCTCGAAAACGACGACGAGCTGTTCGAGATACTACACTATAGTCACACACCCGAAAGTATAATTAAGACGAACCTAAGTCCTATAAGAGCCGTACTATCATCTACTACAAATACTGTATTAATCCGGGCAGATCCTTTTAATTAAACACTACCTTTCGTTTTCACCTCGAATCTATCTACTAAATTAACGTCCCCCTTACTAGAGAGAGTACCGCCTATACATCTCTTCTACCTCCTTCTTAACCGACTATTTAAGCCGCTTTATCTAAGATACTACACTACAATTTAGAATAAGAGGCTAGGAAAATATAAGCGGGTTTTAAAGAGTATCTCGACTCTTCTCGAATTACTACATTACTTGTAGACCTTATTACTACACATAACCTACCTTCTACACTTGTAGAATAGCTAGAATTCCGCCATCTATTAGGTCTTATAAACCTACATATACTGGATATCCTACTACGAAGCCATTTAACTTTATCTACCTAAATTTAATCTACTTTTGAACTATAACAAATGGTTCTTAAGCGCCACCTTTAAGAGTTAGTTAGTGTTATACACCTTATAACAGATACATGGAAATGTAGTCCTCTTTATAAAGAGATATAGGCTATTACTGCCTGGTAGGTAAATAAACAAGGAATTCTCAAAAAAGCCCTCCTAGCTTTTAAGGAGATGCCTCGTTCTTATAGTGGTCTAGAGGTCTTAGAAGTCGTACTAGATGCTCTTTATACATATGAGATTGCCCCTTAACTTAGCTATATTACAAGTAATAACTATAGAGCAAATGACACCCTAAACGCCTATCTTTTAACAAAACTTCTTAACACTTCTAGCATTACCTAGGACCCTATACTCCATAGGGCACGCTGTCTAGGACACATTGTTAACCTCCCTGCCTAGGCATTTATAACTGCTAGTACTAAGCAGGCTATAGACGATGCTATCTCCTATATAGCCGAAATAAAGGGGCTAGATATTAAAGAAATCCTAGCAGACTCTACCGATGGATAGTAGATAGCTAAAGCTATTAAAAAAGGCCTTTCCTTTATCAAGTTTGTAAGGCATAATGATAGAAGACTTAATGCCTTTATAGTAAAGGTAGGATATACCTTATCCGCCCCGAATTCAACCTAGTAGAACTCCTGGTTTAATGCTCTTAAGAGGCTATATAAATGCAAGACTTCTATTAACCATTTTATAGCACTCTAGACTCCTAATACTACTAGCTTTATGCTTACAGAAGAGGACTAGATGCTTATAAAAGCCACTATCGATTTCCTTTAACCATTTTACGAGGTTACTCTTGCTACATAAGGAGATTCAGTTACTCTAGATTAGATGCAGATCTACATGGACTTCCTAAATAAGCACCTATAGAAGGCGGAGGCAAGGCATGCCAATAATAGAGCCCTATTAATAGCTATTCTTAATTGTCACTATGTCTTTAACAAGTACTATAAGCTAATTGATAAGACTGCTATCTATACAGCTGCTATTCTTCTACACCCTTAAAGAAGACTTAAATACCTTAATAAGGTGTAGGATAAGCTATAGATCAAACTAGGAGTTGCTAGAGTAAGGAAACTCTTTAAAACTTACTATAAGGATAAGTATCTACCCCCTTCTTAAGACTAGCAATTAATTTAAGAAGAAGAGCTATCTAAACTTGAATTATGGACAAGAGGACTTACTTCTAGACCTCTATAAGATAAGCTACAAAGCTTTATAAATGGAACCCTAGTTGTTACTTAAAATCTACTTAAATAGTAGCTAAATTTAGCTATATAGGAGCAGTTTCCTTATCTCTCACATATAGCTCTTAATATCCTCTTAATCTATACAATGTTAGCAGACTTAGAAAGGATCTTTTTAGGTTCAAGACGTATGGTTACATAGGAAAGAGCTAGACTAGGAATACCATTAGTTAAACGGAATAAATGTCTTAAAAGTTGGAGTAAGGGGGGCCTTATTAATACTACTATTATACCTTCAGATAACAGTGATATAGAGGTTCAAAACGAGCCTCTAGTTGAACTGTTTAATGTGTTGTAGTTAGACTATTAAACCATTAAGTTTCAACTCAAAAAACAACTAATTTCATTACCTAAATAACAACCAATTTCATCACTCACTTAATAACTCATGAGCACTTATGAGTGCTTATAGCTATGAGCACTCATGAGTGCGTGAGTGAGCTCACTTATGAGTTATAGAGTTATGAGTTATCCTGAAATCCATGAGTGAGCACTCATTGGCATCACTGCAGTCATCCATTATGTAAATTATCTTGCATGACTACAGCTGGTTTGTTGATGGCGGTTGGCTTATGGGGATCAGTAGTTGACAAAGCTGCTGAAGACTCCTGAAACACTTATAGCTGATTCATGCCTGCTTTTTTAGCCGTTTTGGTACCCTTTTCGACGCATGTGGCACCAAACGTGGTTACTATGGGCTCACGAGAGACGACCCTTCCTACCAGCAACCCGAGTAAACATTCCTCGCAGAGCCTCGATCATCCTCCCCAGACGACCTTCATTGCCGCGCCCCGAAGTTTGTGCAGGTATATTGACGTCTGGAGTTGGCGGGGCGGTAACATTCTCTGCAGGCGGGACGATTCCGATTTGAGGTTTGGCCCCTTCCGAAGCCGTCTGTCTGACAGGCTTGGTTGGGAACAGGGATCGATAGCTTGGGGGGAGCGCTTTTGGCTCAATGGTATGCTCAATCGTAGGCTCGTTCCTGATCCCATACCCAAGCCCATCTTCAGACTCATCTTCAGACTCAGCCGGACGCCTGACTGTGGGCTTGAACTTGGGCACGCTTGCGGGCTCAAGGAGCTTGGTTGTCGCTCTGATATGGGCATTGAACATAGCGTTGGACTTAGTCCGAAAAGTAGCTGTGAACTTAGACCCAAACGCAACCATGGACTCGACTATGGGCTCGAAAGTGATTATGGGTTCGACTGTAGGCCCAAACGTAGCTGTTGGCTCAGCTGTGGGGCCGAGTCCCAGGGAAACGCATGGTATACATGATAGTCCCGTCCAGACTCCTGTGGCGTGAGGCTTGTTATGAATAGAGTACACTGTTGTCGGGAATGTGTGATGTACCGCAGGGTAGTCTGGAAAACGTGGCATGGTCTTAAGCGTAAGATAGTCACCAGGATACCGGATCGTGGGCATATTTGCTGGCTTTGTGTCGAATCCATGGTATCGACGTAAAGAGCCAACAGTCGTCCACGCGTCAAGACAAATTATGAGGTTCTCCTCGTGTTCATGAATGTTCGCTGAATACTGCGTCAGACATGTCTTGCATTTTTCAAACTCGAGTCTGGTACTAATTGATCCGACCTTCCGGGATGCGCCGTGTAGCATACTGGTGACTTTGTTGAGTAGATCTGCGGCGTTCGTGCCACAAGGACACTGACATGGCTTGAGAACTGACGAGATTGTTCTTGGTTGTAAACAAGAAGTGGCGGGTCTGATATTAGTGGCGGGTCTGATATCTCTCTTGTTGAACAGAATGCGCTGGCATGTATGCATGATCAGAGTCTCATCATGGACCATCGGCCTCAAATCCAGCTTCTCTTTCCAGGGCAGACCACTGTAGCGACCTGGTGACCAACCCGAGGAGAATGCATTACTGGCGATGAATGCGGCGGCGCTTCCAGTATCTCTGACATGCCGGGAGAAAGTCTGACACAAGTGTTCGAAATTGAGATGCAGATCCCATGTATCGTAGTGTAACCAGTTTCCTTGTGTCGGGTACCTTGTACACGCACCCCACGAGTCGCAATCAGCTCGAGTCATGAACTTCAGCGGATCACGCTGCGGGTGAAGCCTGCTACAGATATCACAGGAAAAATGCGAGGGCATGTCCCTCTCCAACAATCGGGTCAAAGACCGCGTCTGGAGGCTTTTGATCGAGGACCCAAGAGAGTTTGAGCCATTATAACTAGCATCATATCGTTGATCTTTCCGGAGAGCGGTTTTCCAGGTTCCGTACAGCACCTCGTCGCCATACAGAGTCTTGCACGTCAGACTGAGGGCAACGACGCTGTGCGTTGGGAGGTATTTGACAACGTTCAGCAGAAGCGTTGTTGGAAGATCCTGTATAGGCGCGAGCTTTTGGGTTGGCTTTTTCGACATTTTAGAGGGAAAAAAACGTTGAATAGAGATATGCATTTTTCGATTTGCGCGTAGACGGGTCCGACAATTCTGAGTTGGACGGAACAGAAAGATGGATGGAAGCATTGTCCCTTGACGCTTGGTTAGGTAGTCGCTTCCAGCGCTGACTCATCCCAGAATGGCATGCAAACGTGAAAAGCTGCGTGAAGATGGTGCTGCTCATATGCGTAGAATTGAGCAAGTTAGATCTTCGCCCGTAGCTCGGCGTCGTCATCGTTCAGGAGACAGTTTTCCCCTTCATATATCTTGATAGGGCCATGGAGACTCGTGGTGAGACAATACTTTTGTCGATTAATGCTCAAGTCGTAGTGTGCCATATACAGCTAGAAATCCTACCAAAGAAATATGTACATTGCGGCTGTCTTCCTCTTCTGTTCACTTCTCATAGTTTGTATCTGAACAGTGGACTCTTGTCGCCAAGTCTCATCAACTGCTCATCGGTATACTCGCGTCTGATCTCATCCTCGCTGAATTGATCTCTCTTCTTGTTGATTCTCATGTAACTCAACTCGAGAACAATCGAGCTGACGAGAGTCGCGGCTGCAAAGGCAAGGCCGATACCGAAGCCAGTAGGGTAGCCAATTTTCTTCTCTGAGTCGAGGAAGATGTACGAGCCAACAATTCCACCAGAGTTACCGAGACAAATATTAAGGGCAATTCCCATGGCTCTCTTCTGCTCACCGGCAAGATTGCCACTGATCCAGGCTGAGCCGGCAGGGTTGGTGGGGTATTGACCGATACAGATGAGGACGACGGCGATATAGCAGGCAGCAATCTGGTGCTTGATGTTGGGTGCAAGAGGCAGTAAAATGCAGAAACCGACGAGGACGATAAGCATCTGACCAAAGATGAATGGGAAGCGGCGTTGGTATCTATCGGAGAGCTTAGACATGCCGACAGCAGAGATTGCGCCAGCAACGTAAGGTGGGATGGTCATGAGCTGAGCTTGCGAGGAGGTGAAGCCCATCGACTTTGTGATCGAAGGCATGGTGAATTTCAGACCGTAAGCACACACGGAAGCAGTGAAGAGGATCCATGCTTGAAGGTAAATCTTGTAGTCGGTGACGAGGTCCTTGAGGTATGTCCACTTAAACTTGTCGCCCTTCTCATGCTTCTCGGTACCGTTGTTCTTGATGATGTTCTGGATCAGAAGGTACTTCTGCTCATCAGGAGTGAGCCACTTTCCGGAGAGTGCGGGAGTATCGGGCATGACGAAGAAACAAGCTACACCAATGAGCACCGTGACCATGCCCTGCGTTATGAAGTCAGTCAAGGTTCAGTCTTTATAAAAGCGCAACGGAAAGAGCATACCTCGAGCACAAAGATCCACGCCCATCCAGCAAGACCGCCTGCGAGACTAGTTAGTTATCTGCCATGAATGAATGCAAGAAAATTGACACTAACCCATGCCGTCCATCTTGGCAATTGCAAAGGCGAGAAGACCCGAGAAGGCACCAGAAAGCGCACTGGCACAGTAGAAAAGGGCGAGTCTGGTCTGCACCTGTCTCTGGGGGTACCAACTGGTGATCAAGTATACGGCTCCAGGGAAGAAACCAGCCTCTGGGATACCGAGGAGGACACGGCAGATCATGAGGCCAGTGAAATTCTTAACAATGCCAGTAAGTGTCATAATGGTACCCCAGCAGAGAACAAGGATACCGATATATGTTGATGGTCGCTTGAACCTCTTGAGTAGGACGTTGCTGGGCACCTCGAGGATGATGTAGGGAATGAAGAAGATACTCAGACTGTGTATCAAGTCAGTGTCCATGCATCGATGGACCTATGCCTGTGAGACTTACGCAATGTTGTATTGAATGCCGGTCATTCCAAGGTCCTCTACCATACCCTCAATCTTCGCGTTTCCGATGTTGGCACGATCAATATGGGCGAACAGGTATAGAATAGCCAGTACTGGCACCAGTCTGAAGTCAATCTTCTTGAAGAGCTTCTTGCGGGCGTCCTCTGGGTAGTTCGTGTAGAAGTCGGCATCTTCGTCCGTAAGTCCAATTCTGGCGTACTTGTTGCGGTTGTAGATCTCAATCTGGTCAACCTTTTCAACGTCCTTGTCGATTGAAGTAACCGAGACTGCGTCGGCATCACCTCGAAGACCCATGTTGATGTATGTACGAAGTCGGTCTGGTGAAAGGTTGTTGTTATCTCCAAGTAGAACGGATATGAATGACTCTGTGCATCTGATCGTAGGTCCAAGCAAGATATATGCAGATGGAGACAATGGGTAAACGCGGAGAGGATGGCAACTAGTCAGCCCTCTACGGTTGTCTTCGGTAGCTGATGCCGCCCCAGACTCCACACTATTGACCCCACAATTGCGGAGGTGAACTTTGGGGGTTACAAGGGGGGGACACGTACGGATTGGCCCCCTCTAGTTTCGGATCTTATATCGACCAATCTGGTGACTGGATTTCTCTCTGGGGTTAGAGCGCACTGTCATTTTCACATACAATTTTTAAACTCACCCTAGAGGGGGGCCAATCCGTACGTGTCCCCCCCTTGTAGCAGCAGATCATTCACCTCTTTGCGATCAGGCGAGAGAGCGTGCTGTCGACGAGGGCAAGGACAAAACTATCCAATGAACAACCGGCAGACTGCATCTCAAGCACGATCTGCCAAGCGAGTGGCTTGAATCCTCTCCTTGAATCTGGAAGCCAAGCCAACGATCCGGCTCGAACGCTGTCGGATATCGAGCGGAAACCTTCTAGAGGGCGGAAATGTGTTTTCGAGAAATCGCGGATATTGCAAACTTGTCACCATCCTCTCCCTCTCGCACCTCACGATATACCTGTGTGTGTCTCTTTGCGGGTCCGATTAAGAAACTGGGTTGACCTTAGGGATTTGGAGCAAGCCGCGACCGAATGACAAACTTGCTGTCAAGAAGGGGGGGCATGCTGAACGGTGAGTGTGTGATAACAGACAATATGACTATGGGGCAAGAGAAACCGCAACGTGAGCGAGTACTCCGAATACAGGCCAACCACCAAACCAAATGATCAGGAGGCAGGATTGTTTTGATGATGGTCTTATTATCCAGCGAAAGCAAAAAGAGATACTCGCTCCCAGGGAACTTGGACTCAACCAACGAAATATGCTGCAGCTGATTGAGTAGCCAGTAGACATCTGGTCGAGATGAGATGTTCCTTGTTCCTTCGAGAAGGAAGCCACTCTGGGGTATCTGATCTGGACAGAGACAGAGTCTCCAGACACATGCTTGATTACCAAGCGTATCTCTCGACTCTGTTCGATGTGTAGGTATATTCCGATCTTGCAGCTCTGAGGGCTCTTCTTCAGTTCGTGCTTGATCCGCCGACGGACAAAGCGACCGATGGCGCTCGACTCAACGGACAACAAACTTGTTGTCCAACAAGTCTGAGGAATGGATTTCGAAGATCCAGTATCGATGGTTCGGTCCGGTCGTGCAAGGTGATCGCGCATGGGAGGTGAGCAAAACAGCCTCGCTCGTGGCTTCGGTTTGGGACATCGATCGTGTCGCGACGGAACTACCCCTGAGCATCATGGAGTATCATAGAGCATCAGGGGGCCGCGATTGAACGATACCGCCATCTCGCGCACTTTGGAAGTGATGGCCAACGAATTATGCCAATCTTGAGTTGCGCCAGGAAAACCAGCGCGTCATTGTTGGCAAGCGGAAGCACGAAGGAAGCCTCCACGCACGGACGTCAATCAACCAGCCACTTCCACCTCAGACCCTTCCATCTTTGCTTTCGCTCTTTACTAAATCTGCCCTGCTCCCACCGCCCAGGACTTCTTGCTATGAACAGGTTCGACTGCATGTATCGTTTCCTGTGGCTGAGATGATGCGGTCAGCAAGCCGCAGTACTTCTATGCAGGAGGACAAAAATACATCTACGTACGTGGTAGAGCTGGAAGCTCAGCTGCGCCACTGAATGGCAAGTGGTTCAGCATATCATTTCTCGATAACTCATATAACCACAAGCTCGCCATGATGATCACAGCTCGCACAACTCCTTGCTGATTCTCATGTATAATCGTACCTTATTACCCGAGAGGTTGTTAACCAACATCACCATATTGGTGCCTAATGGAACTACGCAGCATGGCAACGAGAGACTGCTGTGTCTACCTATCACTTCAGGCTATTGGCCTTCGATCTCTTCCGTGATCATCTTTTTCGCGGCCAATTACTTGGCACATGCCGCCACCGTCAAATCAAGCCCTGGAGACGCAACTCTCGTTCAAGCCTGCAATGCTTTTCTGGCTCTGATGTTCCCAATGTCGGGACTCTTACGCGCTCTCAACTCAATATTCAGATACTCTCGGTCCGCCAAAACCGCATTGGAGAAGGCCTGCAATGCTGGAGCATTGTGCATGGTTGTTCGCGATCGTCATTGGCAACCTGAGAGACCCTCAGACGTACGAGTCCGTGTAGTACACCGTTTCGAAGAGGTTCATGATGAGCCGCACATCTACGCTGATTGGACAACGTACCTTCCTTCATACGCCAGAGAAAAGCCCTCGAGTTGGGTACATTTCGACTCAGTCTGGGCGCAATCCTACGTGAATCCTAGATTGAAAAGGATCTACGGCACGTTTGCGCTCCCGGAAGGATACACGTTTGCTATCGTCCCACGAGATACGTTCCTACTAGCCAAGGGAGCTCCAAACAGACGTGGCGACAATTGCTCAGTAAGCGACATCAGTGCGTCGACAAGCAGTTTGAAAGCTGTCGCCTCGATGGTTCAGATCATAGCGGCTTTTACGACTCTCTTGTCACATCGTTCTGACTTGACTGGTCGTTGGGGTTACGCTTCATATCATCTCACAGTCATACCCTATCTGTTCATGACTCTTGTCAATCTGGTCAGTAACTTGATCATCGCAGACTATCCTTGTCTGTATATGGTTCGGACCGACACAATGGCGGAAGCTGAGAGAGCAGGTGGCATATTCGAAGCCGAGGTTGCGCAGACCGTCACTCTGACCGATGAAGACGTCGATCTCAACGAAGACGCCCCATATGGCGGGATCACAATTGAGAAAATCGTCAGCTTCGTAACGACTTTCACCCATGACTGGATGATATTCTGGCCCCTTAGTGTCTGGGAGTATATCTCGAAAATCTCTCTTCGTGGCCGGCTCAACGCAAAGGCTCATAGGTCACCACGCTATACATCAACGACAGTTGATCTACAGATCTGCGAAGATACAAGAGTCCACCATGTTCAGCAACTTTCCACTGTTCCATCTTCCTCTCCAACTATCTTTGATGACCCCATCGACCTTGATTCCAGCGAGTCCGATGGGCACGAGTGTGCCGGACCCAATGATCTGGAGGATGGTCTCGGGATCGCCATGCGTTCCGCTGGAGAGTCTTACCCCAACGACCAACTAAAACCCCGCTACGTTGACGCTTTCAGCTCTTCACAGAGATATCGAATACATTTTCATGATTCGCCTCAAGGTCTGGCAGTTGGTGGGTTTGACAGTATGCTACGTTCTGCGATAAAAGATAAGGTCAAGAGAGTACGAAGCTCAGTACCGAGTAGATATCACAGCGGAAATACGGGGGACAGGGTGCGTGTCATGCTGCTCCAGATACCCGGCATGGTGACCATGGTCCCAGAAGCTTTTTGGCAAGATCGCTCCTCAACAGAACACGACTCTACCCCAGCAAGCACAGCGACGTTCTACTACCCTGGTTGTGCAAGATTTCTACGTTCTAGTAGCCGGAACCACCATACCAGGTTCCCTATTGGAAGAACAGCGTCGGACGAGCATCCGCCTACACTTCCCACTGAACCCGACCTCGGGTCTTCGGCAATCAAACACGGTTCTCACACTCGATCGGGGGTCTTTCTGGAGATTTCCGTAGGCTTATTGCTCGTTGGACTTTTCTTCGGTGTTGTCGCAGCATTGACTCAGTTCCGAGCAGGCCAGAGCTCTACAACAGAGCGCAGTGTCATGATGGCATGGTTGGCAAGCGGCCTGTATGGTTGCTGTCTTCCCTTCATGAGCACGTCTGAACTGCGCAGAATATTTTATCTTCTTCCACTACTCTCACTTTACGGTTCTCGGCTCGACGAGCTCAGGCAAAGCACTAGTTTCAAGCGAGAAATTCGGAGATTCCAGGAATTCAGGACGAATCCGAAAGATCGGCTTTTCAAATCGGTTTTTGAGCATTTCCGCAATTCGGGACATCAGCCAGGACTTGTGGTTTTAGTGTTGAGTCTCATCCCGCTGGCCATCTTCATTCCGCCAATCTGGGGATTCGTACTTGTTGGACGCATGCTTGTCGAATGGGGAAATTGTACACGTCTTTATTAGTCAGCTGAAGCCCGGCGATATGTCCTACTTGTACATACTTCATTTTCTCAGCGCAAGCGATTTCTGACGTTGGCTCAGTGGCTGCCATATCCGACCACTGGCTATCAAATCGCACGATCATCGTAAACCACTATAGATTTCAGCAATCACTATTTTGCCAGTATTACTGGCGCACACTTTGCAGTCACCGAGTCCTTCGTGCTTTTCCATACCAAGAGGAAGTCGCAAGTCGTGCCTACAGTGGCGGCTTGTCGCTTTCAGGAGGTTTATTAATAACAGGACCTTTCCACCTTGGGAACACTTCACGAATCTATTAATCGTGATTTCCAAAAGCCGTCGCGCCGGAACAGGGGACATTCTTATGCATTCATGAGAATGCTTGCGCTTTCCCCCACCCTGCTAGCAAACACGATTGTACTGTTGTGTCTGCCCAACAGCTGATACGCTCTCGCACACTTTTCGTGATATTCACTCCATACAACACTGCACAGACTGTCTCACATCCCAACAGTCGACCAACGCGAGGCTGTTCGGACTTTCTTCCTCCGAGGAGGACCCATTGACTCCCGGAAGTTGGTGTTTTGTTACATTCATCCACTCGACACATACCTGAACATATCCATGGATATATCTTCAGCCCTAGAGGCTCTTCACGCTTTCTGCTCAATCTTCTGGGCCCTTCATGTGATTGTTTGACTAGGAAAGGTTAGGAAGATGGTGGGAAGAAAGTCGCCAGCTGTTCATGGTGCGGAAGACTATCGTACCGAGACGCATATGCTTTTTTCCTGGTTCTGAGTAAGGTTTGGAATTATTGGAAGATGCGCTGGTGAACGTGTGATCGGAGTAGCAATGATAGGATCCACATTCAAGCCCTAGGTGCTCCTTCCAACCTCCCCGTCCTTGCCTGTCTGGCCGGCGCTCTTCACTCAGCATGTCTTTCGCCCCTCCCGCAATTTCCAGTTCACGGCCAAAAGGGTTTTGCCGTCGGGCAGGGCAATTCGCGCTCATGCGGCCCACGGACTCCCTAGCGAGCTCGCAAAAAGCTGTCAGAGAAGAGCAAGAAGCTTGACCGCCCCTGCTGCAAAACGATGAAATAAGATAATCAATTGATAATGGCAATGTTCATGTTATGTATGGCAAACCAAGGCCTGCCGAGCACTGTCTGAGATACATATCACCCTAAACATGCCCCTTCACATCCCTCCCCTCAATAACCGCAGCCACATCAGCCAAGTTATTCCCCACATGCCCCTTACCAATAACAGGCGTCTTGATAAGATGATAAGCAAAGTGATCCCTAGTCCTGATGTTAAACACAGCATCCAGCTCCTCCAATGGTCTCGCCTTGGTCTCAGGTAGACAGAACCAAGTAAAGACGAAACCGAACAGATTCCAGGCTGCGTACCAGCAGAAAGCGCCTTGAGTTGTGAAGGCTGTTTGAAGGGCTGGCCACGTCAATGCGAGGATGAAGTTAAATCCCCAGCACGTGGCTGTTGCGAATGCCATGCCGGTGTCACGGACGGCGAGTGGCTGTATAAGCGTCAGCGGAAGAATGTGGAAAGAGAGAGTAGCAAAAGACTCACGAATGATTCAGCAGAGTAGGTGAATGGTACGGGACCCATGCCGGGACTGTAGCCGACCATGAAGAGATAGATGCCTGTCGCTACACATGCGATTCTAGCATCACCACGATCTTCAGGGATGAAGAATGAGAATCCGGTGAAGAAGAGGCAAGCTGCCATGTAGGGAAACGTGACAAGCAGAAGCCATCTGCGGCCTTTTGTGTCAATCGTTAGGATACCAGGAATGGCGAACAGCCTGCACGATAGTTAGCAATTCCCTCACAAGAGCTGATTCGGGGATATGCGGAGATGTGCGGGGAAGTGCGGGGAGACGCGAATAGCTGCGGGGAAATTGCGGGAAACCCACCAATTAATGATACCAGTTCCCATAGAGGCGAGCAAGGCACGCTGCACAGTGAAACCAGCATCAACGAATATAGCCGACGAGTAGTATGCAATGACGTTAACGCCGCAGAACTGCTGCATCAGCATAACAAAGAAGGCCGACTGAGCTGCACGACGATTTCTGGGCACAGAGAAAAGCTTAGTGGCTCTAGCCCAGGCAGTCTTCGGTTTGAGTTCGTGTTCGAGCATTAGACGGATATGGATGTCGTATAAATCTCTCGCTGCGTGCAAGTGACATTGACGAAGTCTGCAAAGAGACTGGAAGGCTTCGCGGTATCTTTCTTTGCTCATGAGCCAGCGTGGACTTTCAGGGGCGAAGAAGGTCATGCAGCAGACGAAGATGGGCCTGAGTGATGTCAGTCGATTCAATAAGGCCCGAGCATGTTCATCGACCTACGGTATACTGGTGGAAGCAAGCATCAATCTCCAGTCCAGGCCTGGATAGCCTTCAACTTCAATGCCGTAAAAGGCTACTGAAGCGATGAATCCGAGCATGATGCCGAAAGCAGTCCACATCTGCCATTGAGACCCCAAAGCACCTCTGATGCGAGGCGGAGAACACTCAGCAGCGTACGCAGGGGTGGTTGATGATTTGGCACCGATAGCAAAACCTCCAACGAAACGTGAGGCGAAAAGTTGCCATTTGTCGAACGTAGCACCTTGCCAGGCTCCGGATGCTATTGAAACGAAACACGATATCCAGATAGTGCCACGACGACCGAAGTATTTGTTGAGCACAGGTGATGTCCAGCAGCCGATTAATACAGAGCAGAGGTATGGGGCGCCATTGATCAGACCCTGCTCCCACTCATTGGTGATGTTGAAGTCTTCGAAATAACCTAGTTGAGCACCGTTCACCGCGGTCTGGTCCATACCTTGGACAATAGCAGCGGAACCACAAAGGACTTCGACCATCAGCCTATATTCTATCGACGTGGTAGTGCAGCACTTACAGGCAACAAAGTACATCATCTTAGTCTGAGCCCACTTGTCTTTGAAAGCAGGACTCTTCTCCTTCGCAATCCAATGTCTCTCATCTTCGGTAGGATTGAGACGATCGGTGTCGTCGCGGTTGTAAGCGTAGCGAGCACCCCGAGCAAGTTCTTCCTTGAGGTCGTGCAAGTCGTATTGTTGAACCAGGCCTTCAAGATCAGTGATGACATCGCGCTCAGATTTGCCCAAGTATGGATCGCGTTGTCTTTCCCAGAGAGTGGCTTCGTGTGAAGGTTCAGGGGAGGCAGAACCGGAGCTCCTCTCATCCTTAATATCAATCCTGTCAGTCTCGCCTTCAGGACCAGCACTTTTGCGATCGTAGGAGAGCTTCTCGTTCGCCATATTGATATCTCGTGCGTAAAGATGGTGGGATTCTAGACATGGTAGCAGCAGGTTAAGTAGAAAAGTGAGTGATGTGTAGGATCATATCGCCTAGAAGATCAGCAGTCCGTGACTGTGGAGCCAAGCAGATATCTGAAAGGCCATGGCATAATTCTTTCTCGGCCTGTTCTTGGTTCTCCGTATGGAGTGACACCCCATGGGGGCACCGCGGGGATGACGAGTATTCGGCATGCTCGGCTTCATACCTCCCCGTGTGCTGAACTTTGTCACACGCATGCTGTAGAAATGCACAATAATTATGAGATTGAGCAGCGTTCCACTGAGAGGCGCTAACTTTCGCACTCTCAGTGGAGGGCTGCACTAATCTGAAAAACATTATGCATTTCTGCAGTCCAAGCGGCCCTAGGCGTGGCCGTGAGATGGCTAGACGTGACAGATTTTAGCACACGGGGAGGGAGCCTTGTCCCTCAAACGTGTTTCTCTATTTCCAACTTGGCAGACACACAACTGCCAAAGGTGGTCTTGTTATAGGCATGGCTGACGCTGCCTAGCACATTGGCGGAGGTTTGGCGGAGGTTCACGGCCAAGATGTCCCCATGGCTCGGCGTGTCTCGGCAGGGTTGGTTCTGACATATGAGGCGCTACGGCGACGATACGAGGGATAGGGCAGTGTTCGATGATCGTTGTTCGTCCATGCGTGATGGCTCGCAAAGATGTCTCTAACGTGGTATGGCTGAATCGGCTCGAGGTCAGAGATGCTAGTCGAGGATGTTGAATGCTCTCGCGAATCTCGGCCACAAGTCGTGTTCGTGTTTCCACAGTCATTCAGATTCGCGGGAGAGTGTATGAAGGAAGCTTCCTCACCCAGTCTCGACGAACAGATGATGCCTGGTTGGATGCTGAGGGACTGGCATGTAACAGAGAAAACGCGTCGTTCTTGAAACATGGAAGGCATGATCATCTACGTCATGCTTGGCTCGCTGGCAATCAGGGTCACCCCCAAAACAAAGCATCATAAAAGGCTATATAGTCATCTTTGCAGCACCATTGGCCTTGTGAGAATTCCAATAATTTAAGGAGATACTACACTGGTATATCGCTCGATTTTCAGATCTTTGAACGTGTGGTTGGCGGTGACGTAAATTTATCACGGGTTTACACTTCCAGAATCATCATCAGATAAAGCGTCAAGCTACACTGTGTGTTCTGACCATTGTTTGCCCTGAACAGTATTTTTTCTTCCAAATCATGCTTTCCGACAACTGCCCCAAGACCATAAGAATGTTTCGCAGCTCATCAAGGTCTCTTTCCAACCATCCATCTAGAGGCGCGATGTTTTGACATCGGCCTGACATCCCGAAATATAACATGAACGACTTATTCTCAATGAACAAGGAACAAGTGCAAAAAAGCAACGCGCCTTCTGTCAGTGCTCGAAACAGCGGATATTCCCGAAATTAATAAGCTCTCTCAGTCTCAGGAGGTCCGCCGCTGAGCCATGATACTTATACAACTGCGAAAAGTCTCTTGTCCTGTATGAGACGAGCGCATGCAATCAAAGCCGAGCCAGCGATTAGAGTAGCGCCCGCGAACATACTCAAAGCCAGGTAGCCATATTCTCCAACAAGCTGACCACTAATAGGCGTTCCAAATAGTGCCCTGCAAGACAAATTAGCGATGCAAAGAGGTTAGGAGGCGGATTCACAAACATGAGAGCGATAGAGCCCATGGCCATTCCCATAGCCGTACCCATTGTCTCTGGTGTTGCAAGGCGAGAGATGCAAGCGGTCTGCAAACTCATGATAGCCTATTGTTATGTCAGTCACCACTTCGAATTTTGTTATCAACACAGAACTCACACCAGAAGCAAAGCCGTAAGCGAGTGCCCAAACCGTGACACCAGCAACACTAGTCGCTCCAGTCCAGCAGAAGGCCACAATACCAGAGGTTAGGGCAGCGCAGAAAAGCAGGTTGAAGCACCCATAGCGATCAGCCAAAATACCAGGTAGAATCCTGCCGAAAAAGGAAGCCCCGTTTACGATCGAAACCAAGTAGAAAGTGAAGGATGTGGACATGTGCAAGGAAGCAGCATACGAGCTGACATAAAAGAATGGACTGAACATGCCGAGATTCGCTATAGCCAAGCCAGCACAGCAGAGAAGGAAGGCCGGGTTTTTGACAATGCTGAAATCAGCTTTCGGTTTGGCTGTCGATGCTTTATTGTTCACGTCGTGCTGCACTAGAGCAACGACAGGTACACGAACGAGCATACAACTGATGGCGAGGAGAGGCAGCATGATGAAGGCAACAACACGGATGGTCCAGCCAAAGCCGAGTGTCGTGTGATTCAGGAGTTGGTCAAGGACGATAGGCCAGATCACACCCCCTGTTGACGATCCAGCCACGACGATGCCCATCCCCAAAGCGCGATTCTTCTTGAAATACTTTGTGAGCGTCGACAAGGATGGGACAAGGAGGAAGGCCGAGCTGACGCCAAACACCAACGCCTGAGCGAGGAAGAATTGGTAATATTCTTCGCAGAGCGATACCATGAAGATGGCGAACAAGGCACCAATACTGCCTATGCTTAAAAGTATACGCGGACCCGTCTTGTCGTAGGCAATGCCCGCCACTGGCGAGGTAAGGTACATGGCGCGTATAGAAAAACTGCCGATCCAGGAGATGTCGAATTGTGATTTAGTCGATAGTTGATTGACCTGATAGTATTCCTGGAAGATTCCCCATGCGTTGAAGAAGCCCACGCTGCAAAAGAAGGCACAGAATGCTCCTACCAGTACAGATGCGGATCGTTTGGTGAGTTCCTTTTCGTGGTCATGAACGGACTCAGCAATCTCCTTGGCCGGAGACTTGTCGTTCTGAGACATAGTAGTAGCATGTGACTAGGGGATATTGAGAACGGGAGAGATGATACCACATTCTCCTAGTGTAACGAGAACAGACGAGTATATATGTGATGTTTGAGCTTACCATATGAATCCATGGAGATTCCGAGGTCCGGACCCTCCACGGACACTCCGCGGACCTTTGCCCGAAGGATTCACGAGCACCTCTCTTGCGACAACAACGACCTACTTGTAATCAAACACTCACCTACAACTTAACTAGAAGCCAAAGATGAAGCGATCAGCCCCTGCAACAGATACAAACGAAGAGCCGCAAGCGACACGGCGCCGTCAAGAGCCCATCTCCTGTCAAGTGTGTCGCAAAAAGAAGCTCAAGTGCTCACGGACAATGCCATGCTCGAATTGTGTGTCGCGTGGCCTCGAGTGCCAGCCGCCGGATGTAATACATTGGTCTCCAGGACAGGATAGGTAGGCAAAGGGAGTGAATGTATATTCGTGATGCTCGTTGCTGAGAAGAAGCAGGAGCAGCTCGGTCGCAGCTACCAACACTGACACCTCGGTCTTGGCACGAGTTTTAGAGAGGCTACAACGACTTGAAAATATTGTTCTCAAGTCAGACGACAGCACTCGGAACCATGTCAATGATAACACTGGAGCTGGAGCACCTTCGCCTTTGACAACACACGAAGACGTCGTACAGAACGAACTATTTCACTCAATTGCAAGATCTGATGCTTCGTCGCTAATCAACAGTCGTCATACCGAAGATGAGTTCAAGAACACAGAGATATCTAGTTCACGACCCTCGAATACCATTGACGGCGAACAAAACTTTCTATTTACCACTGGTGGAGTCTCGGAAATTACGTTCGACCTCAATCTCAAGGCTCCGGTGTTGACCAAGATCTCCGTGAGTGGCAGCAGGGTCATTCGCCGCATTTGCCTGCCCGAACAGAAACAAGCCCATGTGCTCTTCAAAACCTATGCAAGCTCAATCGGCTCATGGTATCATATCTACCATAGGCATACCGTTGAGGCTCTTCTCGATAAGGTCTACCATCAGATTGCTTCCGGCCAAAGGCCAAATCTAGCACACGTCGCTCTGTTGCTCAGTATGTTCGCTGGCGGAGCTTATTTCCAAGCGTTTGCAGCAGAGACCTTATTTGCAGACCCCAAGGAGGCCAACCAGCTGGCGCTGAGTTGGACGCATAATACACTGGATATACTGGACCATGTCGAACGTGCTTCAATGCCTACTTCGATAGAACAGTTGCAAGCCACCATCATCATGTCTCTGATGATACAAAATTTCGAAGGTAATGTTAGCGATCCTCAAGAATGAGCAAAGCACTAATTTGACTAGGGCTTTCAAAAAAGTATTGGCTGCTGCAGAGTACCTCAATCACTCTAGCCAGAGATTTGTCGATACACTTCCTAGACCATCCGGCAAGAGCAAGGTCTAAGAACGTGATTGAGAATGAAGTGAAGAGGAGGATTTGGTGCTTTTTGGCAACTACAGACTGGTAAGTTGAATTCAAATCCAGATCCAGGGGCATCGTGCACCACCCTGAAAAGTCATCCCGTGTACAGCTCTGCCTCTCCAACCAGCTGTCATGGAAAGCACCGTCGAATCATTGAGTACCTACTGACTGAATTCAAGGCTACTGGGGAGCATGCCGAGCCCTCAAGAAGGCACTTACACGATAAATCCGCGTCACTGCCTAGTCAACCGCCCAATGAACGTAGATGATGATGATCTGGCTCGTGGTGGAGACATCCAAAACAAGCCAATGTCAGAGCCGACCGAGATGTCCTACTTCCTGATCAGAACGGATGGAGGAGAGATGTGTCGAGGTTTTGCGGATCTCGTCCACCCTTTGGCTTCTGGAGTGAATAATGTCGACTATGACGAGATCATTGCCCTCGAGAACCAGACCGCAAAATTGGTGAATGACATGCCGTTCTACTTCCAGCTGGACGAGGAAAGTCGCAGAAGGACAGAGCCGTATCTCAGCAAGTACCCACAATTGGCGACACAGAGATATCTCTTACAGCAAGGCCTCCATTGCCACCGAAGCAGGATTCATCGGCCGTTCCTCATTCGCGGATCAATGGACGCACGGTTCAAGTTCTCGCGGGAAGCATGCTTGGAGTCTGTCCGGAAGAGTCTCGAAATCCGCCGCTTGTTGAATCAGGAGAAACGGGGCATGGTCCTGCCCATCGCAAGACTCAACTTTGTGTTGTACCACGTCTTCATGGCTGCACTTACACTAGCTCTTGACATGTGCTTCAACAAGTCGACCAGTGAAGCGGAGGACCTGAGTCGACGCACGGAACTGAAAGAGGCATGCATGATGCTTCAGGAGTCATGCACGGAGATGCCAGCCGCGGATCGGTTCCTTGGGCCACTAATGGAACTGCTGCGAAAGCATAAGATCCAGCTGCAAGACGCTGGCTCACAGAACCCGTACCTGACACCTTCTGAATCTGCTGGAACGCCGAATGTCCAGGCAGGTGCAATGAGCCTTGCCGCTCATGACCAAGACACTGCGACACAGGTGCAGAGTCAACAGTCGAACACAGATTGGACCTCTTCGTTGGCGCCGGAGCTCGACTTTGACGGCTTATGGGAAGAATTCATCAATGTGGTTCCAGACTCAAATGCTTCAGGCTGGGATGACCTCTTGGCCGACTTCAATCACGCAAGTCTTTTCTTGGGCGTGTAGATTGTACATCCGATCGAAGCAGCGGCTATCATGTGCAAGAAATTGTCATGATGTGTGGCTGACGGGCTCGGATAGCCCTTAGTATCGTCCAGTCGCCGTCAAAACAGCAATTATCCCAGATCCATCTCTTGTAAACCAGTAGCAGAACGGTCGGCTCGGAGACATTCTGATGATCGTCGCATAGTCGAGGTCTTGCGACGGAGGTATCGGGGAGAGTCAAGAGGGTTCGCGGTAAGAGTCAACGGGGTTCGGGTGCTCTAATCGATCGCAGGTTGAGCTGAAGACAATTTGCATGTCGCAATTTACTTGAGCTGAAAGAGGCCAGTGCTTCGCGCCGGATGGTTGCTTCGTGCGATTTCGAGATGTCGTGTTCATTCAAGCACGTACAGCGTTAAGGGCAGGATCACGAAAGTGCCGCAATGAAGGAGCTGGCGAAACGTCATGCGGCAGAATCTCCAGCTTTCAGGGCGGTGAACGAGTGCGCGTCTCGTCCAAGGTGTATTCTGCGAGCAACTTTCCCTTCCAACAATGACCAGCGAGAGACACTATCTTCTCAATACTTCTCTCCTCAGACCTATAGGTGACCAACAAGTAGCGGTCAGAAGAAGTACGGATACATGTTGCGTTGGCTATGGTCACATTAACTTGTCTTTCATCAACTATGTACACCAGCTCTCGAACGATACAATCAAACAACGGTGAAAGTATCAAATCCACGCATATTCGCTTACAAAAGGGCAAAAGCACCAAGAGCAGCTACACCGGCCATACCCATGGGGTTCAAGCTAGCGGCACCTCCAGTCGCAGCAGCGGCAGCCGATGAGCTAGCACTCGACGCAGCGCTTGCGACTGAGCTGCTCGCTGAGCGGGCAGCGGAGGCAGCAGAGGAGGTACCTGATGCGGCAGCGCTGCTTCCACTGCTTGAGCGCGATGAAGCGACCTGACTAGCAGAAGAGGCGAGAGAGGATAACGATTGGCTTGCCGAGGAGAGCGAGCTTGATGCGGCACTTCCAGTTGCAGTTGCGACGGCAGCGGCGCTGGTACCTGAAGATGAAACGGATCCAGTGGCGCAAGAGGCAGCAGTGGGCTGACAAGGGTCAGAATGATTCTATGCAAACTGATGCTTTGAGACTTACGAGGTTTGTCACGCCAACTGGGGCGCAGATCTGCTGGGCGTAGCCAAGAGCAGCTTGTTGTCCGGCAGTGTCACAGGCAGTCGACACACAGCAAGAGATGGTGCTGATGAAGCTGGCATCGGCGCAAATGCATTGAGGGTTGAGATTGCAACTTGCGGGCAGAGCTTGGGAGATACAAGACATAGCACCTGGTAAACATCAGTTTTGCTGTTGACTTGAATCTTGTATATCCGAATACTCACAACTGGGAATGCTTCCGAGCTGAGCGGTGGCCAAAGTGGCAGCAGCAATGACGGCGAGGGCAGTGGTGCGCATCTTGGTGGTTCGGTGGTGAGGATACGGAGTAAGCGAATGTAAGAGAATGTCAAAATAATGCGAGACTGCTGTCAGGAGAAGGTGGGATCATGATCTCTATATAACACACAGGGTACATGCAGAACTAAGCCACACGGTAAGAGAACGAGACAAGTCTTGCCGAAGGATCAAGCCAATGCTGCCATCCGTGTCGACGCTCAATTGGTGCAAAGGTCCGAGATAGTAAGGCAACAATAACATTGGTACGGGCGCTGGAGGGGTAAACTTTGATCAGCAGCCTTTCATTTCTTCGAAAAGGCATGTCCCAAGGTTGGTCTGGAGGCTTGACCATCTGATCCCAAGCGCCGTTAAACATGGAGTTTAACCCCACGATTTACGGTTAAACTTGCTTGGCGCAACATATTTCACGCGGAGCGGTTCCTTTGACAAGCACGCTTCTTTTACCCTGGTCGCTCTTGCACTCATGCCTGAAGAACTCAAAGTCGTTCGTATTCCGCAGCCCAACAAGCATAGCAAAAACAGCCGAAGGCTCATTCCACTTCGGTCTCAATGTTGCTCCGTACCGAACAGGTTGTTTGCAGGGAAGAGGCTTGGCTACACCGCGGATGGACGAATTATAGTTGATTGGCGTTTCATGCTCAGCTGAAGCCATGTTTTGTGGCTTGATCGAAAAAGGACTGAGATCAATGGGTACTGTTAGCGATGTAGACTCATCTGCTGTCGATGTTCTCAGCTTTCAGCTCCTCCTTGCGACCATGACTCTTGACCGCGACTTTTTGATCCTATACTTGGATCATCCATCGACTTTTTGAAGGCCCGCAGTGAGCCTGCTACCATCCTGATCTGAGACACAAACATTTGCGACTTCCTCGGGACGTCGCCTACCTCTTCGAGATGGCTCTCGGGATACTGGAGCCCAGGACGGAAAGTGTCCCTGGCACCGTTCAAGTCACTCAGAAGAACGATAGTGAAGCAAGCAGGTCGCAAACGACTATTCTCGTACCACAACCCTCGGATGATCCCGATGATCCACTGGTATTGCATCGCATTGTCCTATGATGTGTGGCCACGGCTGACAGCTATGTAGAACTGGCCTCTTTGGCAACGCGATGTTATCCTGGTTATTCTCTGCATTGTATCGGTGCTTGCAACCACCGCCTCGCCCCTTCTAGCCGCCGACTCAGTAGAGCTCGCCCTCAAATTCCAATGCACTTTCCAGGAGGCCGCCTTACTCACAGCCTACCACCTGGCGGGCGTCGGAGTGGGGAGTTTGCTGTTCGTACCACTTGCAAGGGTTTGGGGAAAGAGACATGTGTTCCTGCTTGGATCGTTGCTCATGATCGCGTCATCCGCATGGGGAGGATCGACACACGAGGGCTATAACTATACCAGTATGCTCTGGGCACGAGTGATTCAAGGAGTCGCTCTGGCTCCTTTTGAGTCGCTCATCAACGCGTGCGTGGGTGACCTCTACTTTGTCCACGAGCGCGGTCTGCGCATGGCGTTCGCAAACGTGTCGCTCTTCGGTGGAGCATTCTTGACTCCAGTATTTGTCGGAATGATCGCCCACGATATTGGCTGGCAATGGTCGTTCTACTTCATCGCCATCTTCATGGGTGGTGGCTTCTTGCTGCTATTGTTCCTGTGTCCGGAAGTCGCATACCACCGACCAGATCGCCTGAACACCGACCTGACAACAGGCAGTATGGACTCTCTCGACGGCCAAGACGAGAAACTGCCAGCAGAGCGAGTGATTAGCAGAGTCAGAGGCAATGCTTGGAAGCCCCTGCGTATCTCACCCTTCAACGGACGTAAGACCGACGAATCATTCTGGAAGCTATTCTTGCGGCCATTTCCTCTCTTTTTGCATCCCGCTGTGATTTGGGCTTGCCTCCTCCAAGGAGTAATGATCGGCTGGACGGTCATGGTAGGCGTGATTCTGTCACTCATCTTTCTTGGACCACCCTTATTCTTCAACGAGGAGCAGGCAGGTAAGATGTATACCGCTGCTTTCATCGGAAGTATTCTCGGTCTCTTGATAGCCGGAGCGTTCACAGAAGTCACGACCCGCTTCATGATTCGACGCAACAATGGCAAGTATGAACCCGAGTTTCGCATACTGCTCGTCGTTCCGACCTTAATTTTCGCTGCCATTGGACTCTACGGCTTTGGAATCACTTCAGCAAATGTAGCTCGCTACGGCTGGATTGTACCGGAGGTCTTCCTCGCATTCATCGTCGCCAGTATGGTCATGGGAGCAACAGCTTCCGCGCAGTACCTGCTCGATGCACACAGAGACATCGCGGTCGAGTCTTTCACCTGTCTCATCATCTTCAAGAACATGTTCTCATTCATTCTGGCATATTTTGCTTACACCTGGGTGTTTGCCGGCGGGATTGAGCGTCTGTTCATCATTTTCGGAAGCATTGAAGTTGCCATCTGCGCGTTGAGCTTACCGATGTATGTTTTTGGTAAGATGAGTCGCGACTTCTTCCATCGGCACGATCTATTGAAGATTTTTGGGTTGAGATGAGTCTATTGATGAACAGCTCCATTTGTTTGTCCAGAAATTGCCCAACAATTGCCGAGGTGTCTCCGGTTCTGCCTGAAGATAAGAGATGTTCCGATATTCTCCTCGACATTCTCTTTTCTCACCTTTGTGATGTCTTCAATGAGATACCTGTATACCGTCTCGATCTTATCGCAGCTCCGAGATCTTTGTCGTTACTCAAAAGGGAAACTTCAAGAGACTGCTGGCGAGACCGATTGCAGGGCTGGGTTTTCTCGAATCCTTCTCCGCTTCCCGGTATTGCGGAGTACTCTTCCGAAGATAAGGATCTGGCATGTCGTTGGTCTATTCGCATTATAGACCTGGTTTGCTAAGAGAAACTAAAGAGTATGATTGTAAATCTCACACTTTACCTCTTATCTGCGTACGCGTGAAGATGTTTCTGCTAATTATTTGCCTTTTGACAGCTGCATGTGAATTATCGCGAAAATGATATCGCAGCCAGCCTACAAGGATGCATGGTTAAGTATATAGTTTGGTCGAGCTTGCTCAATTTGAGCTCACCTCGTCTTTCAATATTTGATATTAATCGACTTCGTCGATAATGGCCGACATGATGGAACCAAAGGTCTTTGACAAAGCAACAGCAGATGATGTCGCTCTCGAGCAGCTGGGCTACCAGCAAGGTCAGCATGACTGGATGCATGATACTTTTAGCAGCTTCTAATAGCATCACAGAGCTCAAGCGAACATTCAACCTGGTCAGCATGATCGGATTCTGCTTCTCGATAGTTTCAAGCTGGACCGCTCTTTCTGGTGTACTCATCATCGGAGCCGAGAGTGGTGGCCCACCGGTCATGATCTGGTCATGGGTAGGAGTCTGCGTGTTCACCATGGCTGTCGCTCTCTCCATGGCCGAGATGTGCTCAGCATACCCTCTTGCCGGCGGTCAGTACTCCTGGGCAGCAATCCTCGCACCGCGGAGTTGGTCGAAAGGACTATCCTATGTATGCGGATGGTTCATGTTAATCGGTATCATCGCCATGGGTGCTGTTGTCAACTTCATCGCTTCTGGCTTCATCCTCGCAATTGCCGTCCTCAACAACCCCGAGTATGAGATTACCCGCTGGCACTCGACTCTGGTGGCATATGCAATTGCCATTGCAGCCCTCTCACTGAACGTTCTGTGTCCGCAAATGCTGCACAAGATGACCAATTTCTTCTTGATCTGGAATATGGGCTCTTTCTTGATCATCTTCATCACGATACTGGCTACCAACGACCACAAGCAAACCCCCAGCTTTGTATTCTCCGAATTCCAGAATTTCACCGGTTTCAACAAACCCTACGCCGCAATTCTTGGTCTTTTACAATCGGCGTTTGGCATGTGCTGCTACGACGCACCTGCCCATATGACCGAAGAAATCAACGACGCTAGAAAAGTCGCCCCGAAAGCGATTATTCTTTCCGTCTCGCTTGGTGCAGTCACCGGTTTCGCTTTCCTCATCGCTGCATGCTTCTGCATGGGTTCGATCGAAGGCGTTGCGGAAAGTGCGACTGGCGACCCGATTGTTCAGATTTTCTATGATTCGACACAATCTGTTGCTGGTGCTTCGTGCTTGACCTTTTTGATGGTCATGATTCAATTTTTCTCTGCCATCTCGTTGCTTGCGGAAGGTGGTCGCGCTGTGGTGAGTTCATCTCCTCTTCCTATGGAACAGTCGCTGCTCCCTGTCAAAAGGCACAATAGTTTTGGAAGTGGTGAAATATCCAGTGAGCGCTTGAAAAGTCGCTACTCTCACTGGTCGGCTCTGTCCTTCCGAAAACATTGTGTCTTGTCTCAACGCCTTCCATAAATTTGAGAAGTACTTTGCTGATAAATATGTTACAGTACGCCTTTGCTAGAGATCGTGGTCTTCCTTTCTCCTCCACCTTGAGCAAAGTCCACCCCAAGAAGCAAGTGCCCATCTACGGCATCCTCTTGACCTTCGTGGTGCAAATTGCTCTAAACTCCATCTACTTCGGCACCGTGACCGGCTTCAACACCGTCGTCTCCATCGCCACCGAAGGCTTTTGTAAGTCGATCAATTGTCCTCATCGACCTCATCAAATCCTAACGTACCACAGACGTCTCCTACGCCATACCAATCCTCCTCCGCGTCATCGCCCCCCTCACCGCCTCAACCGCCGCAGCAAAAATGGAAGGTCCGTGGAGTCTAGGTCGCTGGAGTATGCCCATCAACATCATGGCGTTGGTATATCTACTCTTCACATCCATCACCTTCAATTTCCCCAGTATAAGCCCGGTTGATTCGGAAAATATGAACTACACATCAGCTGCTGTGGGTGTGGTTATGGTTATCGCGATCATTACCTGGTTTACTACAGCGAAGAGTCAATATACAGTGCCAGGGATGATCGAGGATGTGGTTATCGAAAGTGCGCCGCATCGGGAGGTTGAAGAAGAGGCGGAAATGGTGGGAGATGAGAAAAATGCAAAAGCATCATACTAGATCATGACGACAGGTTTGCATAACGACTGGTTCATAGATATCGCGAATCCGAAGTGAGAAACGTCTCTTGAACGTTGACAGCGATAAACATCAGGGCTAATGATGCTTTACTGTAACCTCAAACGTAGTCTAATAGCCTTGCCGGTCGCTCACATGCACAAGAATGGGCCAAATGGCGAGATGCCGTTCGTCGGGAGGAGCACACCGTACCTGCATTTTTTGCACTGCCCCTCCTACACCTGGCTCACATACTCTTCGCGACTCTCTCTGCTAAAAGCAATATTCCTCGGCTGTGTTTGTGCATCAAGTCAGCAGCGACGGAGGCAGGAAAATCGTACGAGGGATGTGGAAGTCAGATAAAAAGCCAGTAGAACAGATTAATCTGCTACAAAAGAAGTGTACTCTGCATTTGAGTGGAAGCAGCAATATCGCTACAGAAGAAAGCAAATCATGTACACCAGCATCAGCATTACCATCACAATCCTTTCAATCCCACAAAGAACTTGTTTGTCCTTAAGGCCTCATCCTCTGCAACCATAGTCTTGAGTCTCTTGACTTGCTCCTTGCCATCCATATTCTGTCCTTCCGTCTCCTTCTTCCACTTGACCAACAGTGCTTTCAGCAATTTATTGCCTTCTGCGACATCGTCCTTGCTTGCATTCTTGAGCTCTGATTTTGCGTCTTCGTTCTTGCCGGCAAAGTCTTCCAACTCATCTGCCTTGCGCTTGGCCATCGAGATGACCTTTTGTGGGAAGCGGACGAGTTCGGCGACATGGATACCGAAACTTTGGTCACTGATGCCAGGCTCAACTTTGTACATGAGCAGTACTTGAGGTGCAGAGTCCGCTGTGGATCCATCACTGACATCTGCGACGACATGCAGATTTTGTACTTGAGAGTATGTGTCCACCAATGCTGTCAACTCGTGGAAATGTGTCGCAAAGAGTGTGAAGGCACCAATTTCCTTGATGATGTGTTCGCTGATGGCCCAAGCAAGACCAAAACCATCGTACGTGCTTGTACCTCTGCCAAGCTCGTCAATGATGATCAAACTCTCCTTTGTTGCAGATTTGAGAATGTTTGCTGTTTCGAGCATCTCGGCCATGAAAGTGGAGACACCCTTCAGCTGACTATCACTAGCACCGACACGAGCGAGGATACAGTCGAACAGAGTAAGCTCGGCGGAAGTGCAAGGCACGAAGCAGCCCATCTGAGCCATAAGAGCAATGACACCGATTTGGCGGATGTATGTACTCTTGCCGCCCATGTTGGGTCCTGTGATGACAAGGAATTCGGAGTCTTCGCGTTTGAGAGTGACATCGTTGGCCATGAAGGTAATTTCGTCTTGGACTTCCATGCAAGGATGACGGGCTTCAACAAGAACAGTATTTCCAGTACCCCGAGGGTGCATTTTAGGTCGGCAGTATGGTGTAGGTGCTTGAGTGGCAACGTGAGCGAATGAGACAATGACATCCATGTGTGCGAGAATGCCAGCGAGCTTCTCGACAACAGGGCAGTAGGAAGCAGCTACACCGACAACTTCCTGAACCAGTCCGCTCTGAGTACGGTTGTAGTTCTCGGACAATTGATCATGCTCTCTGCGCATTGCTTGCAACGTAGTTGTGGTGAAGTAGACGCCGTTCTTCTGAGTTGAGCATTCTTGGTATTGCTTCTTGTTGCGGATTGTGCCAGCTTCGGCTCTTGTCACACGGAAGCACCAGCCATGGACTTTGTGGTTCTCAAGGAAGAGCTTCTTTTCAGTGTCGAGGCCGAGGTCATCGCCAACTCGACCGTGCTCCCTCTCCATGCCATATCGAAGCTTGTCGAGCTTTGTTCTGATGACACGAAGGCCCTCGTCGAAGTCAGACTTGATGATGAACTCGTGATTCTCCAGAGCATCGAGATCGACTGTTGTTTCAACCATCTCTTGCAGCTTGCCAAGAGCATCAGCACATTCTCTCAGCTTGTTGGTGTATTCTCTGTCGAGAGGGTCCTTGTACTCTTCGTCCATAACTGCCTCGAGGGTACCGATGAATCCCGGTATGCGGATGGCGACTTGGTAGACACGGATAACGTCTTCGAGGTTGGCGTTCTTGCGTTGGAACTTCTTGGCCAGGCGGTAGAGATCTGGAATAGATTTGAGGTGATCGGATGACATTGATTCAGCCAGCTGAGTATCGTTGACAAAAGCCTCGACAAGCTGTAGTCTGCGCTCAATTTCTTCCAGGTTCATTAGTGGTTGCTTGAGCCACTGAGCGAGTAGTCGGCTTCCGATGGGTGTCTTGCAGTGGTTGAGTAGACCGTACAGATTCATCGTCTTTGAACCGTCCTTAGGGCCAGGCATGAGATTGAGTGCTTTCAAAGCAGAGGCGTCTAGCTTCATGTATTGTGACAGGTCGTGCTGGTAGAGTTGGTATTGGCCGTAATTTGATGAGTCTGACATGGCGCCCAGATACTTGACAAGGGCGGCAGAGGCTCCCATGGCCAGTCGTAGTTCGGTTTGCGGTAATGTCGAAGTGCGTTCGTCACGCAGCAGCCTGCTCAAGTCCTGCTCGATGTCTTTGCTGCTGAAGTCGGCCGATGGTCGTTCTGAGACGGCGCATCCACAGTTGTCTGCGATGGCTCGTAGTTTGGCAAGCTCGCCGTCCTTCTTCTGGCCGTCATACTGTACGAGACACTCTCTGACACCGAGCTGAATGATCAAGCTCTCAAAGTTGGAGTAGATGTCGTTGTCTACAAATTCACTCACTCCAAGCTCGCGTACACTGGCATCGGCGAAGCATACACCGACGTTGCGCGCCTCTGATGCTTTTGCCAAGACCTTCACGGCAAGGATGATAGGGGCAGCTTCCATGGAGCTACCAACCTCATCTTCGACATCCTGGAGGTTTCCTGGCGATGCCTGCTTGGCGAGAGTGAATTTGTTCTTGCCGGTGGATTCCCAGATCTCAACACGCTTACCGAGACGGAAGAGTGCTTCACGAAGGAAGTTGCGAAATACTGTTTGTGAAAGAGTAACGGATTCAAGTCCAGGATCGCGGCCGAGCTGCTTGATTACCGAGGTTGTCTTGTATTGGTTCAAGGCGATGAATTTAGCGTCATCACCGTGTGCTGTGTAGTAGTCGTTTCTGTCAAAGAGTCGTATCGTATCGTCATTTGTTCCTGGTAGGTTTCTGAAGAATTTGATGAAGCCATACTCGTCATCCACTTTGAGCTCCGGTCTTGATGCCATGGTGATATGGATGGTCGGGTGACCTTGTGTTGATGATGAGACTTGGAAAGTGATCGGAGCGTAATTCAGAGGCACAAAAGAACAAGCGCGCAACAGACAATGTCTTGATGAATTTGATGAATTGGTATCAAGAATTGTTGCAACAAACGATTTGCCTTTGGGCGAACGCGTCGCTGCGCGTGTCGCGTAAATTGGTTGGCTGGCCTCGGCTGCACCTTCCCCGCACCCAATTCCTCCGGCTCCAAGAGCTCACAATCGCTGCCTTTTCACAGAGTGGAGACTCTTTCGCCGAACACTGTCACGAGAGCTTGCGAGGATCTAAGATAAAGCACCTCGGAGGACCGCTGCTTGTTTCCAGACTACCGACGCTGGGTGTCGCGGCCAGAATCGATGCTGCTGAATAATGACGATCACGAAGCTTACCAAGCGGGAATGCCATCAATTGATGTCACATTGTGTGCATCTCCTACCTTTTTCCCATATCATTACTGTCGAATAGTGCTTGCAGTCTGTCGTCTTTCAATATGAGTTACAATGTTCTTATTACAGGCGGATCCGGCTACCTTGGAGGCACCCTCCTCAATCGTCTCCAATCAGCCGGACTCCCGGCTCTTAAGCTTTACGCGCTGGTCCGAAAAGATTCTTAAGCAGAAGCCGTGAAGCAGTATGGTGCTGAACCTTTGACATTTGATGCCTATGAAGAATCTGCTGTCAGAGAAGCAGTCCTCAAACATGAGATCAATGTTGTGTTCTCACTCCATGATGCTTTCAAGGCAGATAGTGCGGTCGCATTTATCAAAGCATTGGCCGAGTTGGAAAACAACACTGGACGCAACATCCATTTCCTCCACGTATGTGACATGTTTTTGCGAGGCCCTGGTTAGTGTGCTGACCACAAGAAGACTACTGGAGCGAAAGCTTTCTCCTCGCACATGGGCGCCCCAATCGACAAGCCTTTCGCGGACAACGATAACCTACATGGCATCCATAAAGCACAACACCCTCCTATCCCTTGTTTGCAGCCAGTAGGGATTGACTTCTTCTCAACTCTGTACTCAGCTAACGACTGTAGTTGCTTGACACCAATATTACAGTGACTGAGCTCTCGGAATCACTGGGCGTACAAGGCTATGTCTTTGCGCCGTGTATCGTTTGTGGGTCTCTCGACGAGAGTCGGCATTGAATACCAGTACTCACAATGGTAGATGGCAAAGGAGAAGGCTTCGGCAACAAGATCTCGATTCAAACTGTTGCAGTTGTCGATGCCGCCAAAGCAGCGAAGAAGGTCTACAGGGTAGATCAAGGTCGTCCTGTGAGTTTCACTCAATATACTTGTGGTCTTTACTGACCGGTTCCTAGACGTGGCCGGTATGCCACATTCTCGATAACACCGCTCTTTATATCCAGCTTCTGCGCAACATCGTATCGGGCAGGCAACAGGGATATGGTAAGAACGGATACTATCTTGCATCCCCTGGCAGCGTAGCATGGGAAGATATCTACAGCGGTATCGCCAGGGCGATGTACAAGCAAAGGGCCATTCATGATGACACCGTTCACCAAGCAGATGGCGCCGCACTTGAAGAGATGGCGCAGGGACTTGGTTGTGACAAAGCAATGGTTGCTTTTCAGCTCGGTGGAGCGTGTTTGTTGACTGCAAAGCATGGCGTCGAGATTGGATGGAAGCCAGAATACGGACCCGAGCACATTCTCTCATCCTTGGACGAGGAGGTAGATCTCATTTTCCAGCACAAGAGTGATTGGGCCTGTAAGATACAAAATTCGGTGCTCACTGTCATACAAAATGGTTATCAGTTGCATGCACCATGACAGGCGTCTTTGATCCGAGGCCAATCTGCTTCCAGTACCTTTGCTCGTGACTTGACAGCGTCGGCGGATTTCTCGTCGCTTTCTGAGTAAATTTGTGTATCTATGTAACGGTTGAACCTCGGCGGAATACCGGGAGGAAGCTTTCTCCGTTTTGGGTCTCCGCACCTGTTTGACAACCACATCGGGCACATATGATCTCTGTTGGCCATTTGCTCTCTTCTAAATTCTTGTACACTCCGAGCTTCTATCGACCGGATGTATAGCTTCCCACTGAGGCTCGAATGCCGCCGTTGAAAGCCTAGCTCCACAGCTTTCCTTCTTGTTCTCGCTCAACGGCCACCCATTGCGACCTCCCTCAAGCGATCTTTCGGAAAACTATTTCTAGGTGATCATGCCTTCTTCGAGGGACTCCCGCTCAGATGCTGAGCAATCTCGGCCGCAGAAACGACAACGCATTGAGCGAGCCTGTGATCGATGCAAAGCAAAGAAGACGAAATGTGATGGCAAACAACCAGCATGCACGAGATGTGAGAACCAAGATGCGGAATGTGTTTATGGAGAGGTCGGAAAAAGGGGCAAAGGCAAAACGTTGTAACAAACGTCTGCAGTCTGATGATTGTAAGCTGATGTATATCGTAGGAAAGAACACGTTCGATCCCTTGAAGAACGTCTGGCCAAGATGGAAGCCCTACTTGTAGCTAATGCGAGGCAATCGCGCGCAAGCAAATCTGGCGAAGCTGCCGACGGTCTTCCAATGCCTGCCCCTACGCTTTCTACAGATGGCAACGGCATTAGCGATGCAGATCATCATGCCTTGGCCACAGACAACGAGACTTGGGCGTCACCTAGTCATACTATGGAGCGAGTCCAAAAGCCAGTAAACAACGAGGAATCATTACTTTCGGGGCTGCCCCCGTCAATACCGGGTGCTCATGTCACAAAGGAAGATGTCGATGCTCTCAGAGACAATCTGGTCCAAAGGCTACCACGGATGCAGACATTCATGGTCTTACCCCCAACTTATGAGGTCTTCAGCATGGTCGAGATTTATCTCGATGACATGAATGCCTTCCTACCGATCTTTCACCCCCCGTCTCTAAGGATGCTTTGCCGGTGCGGGATGATGAAAAGTGACAAGCCCGATCCGCTGTGGTGGGCTTGCATAAATGTAATCATAGCCACCACCATGCAGTCCAGATCTACGGATGATGGATTCCAAAAGGTTTCGGAGTTCTCATGGGCTTTCTTCAAGAACGCTTTCTCGGTATATGATGACATCATGTCATCCGAGCCCAGCATTCTGGGTCTCCAAGTGCTGCTTGCTATGGCTGCCTACTTGGGTAGGACTACAAATCTGAGGATGGCGATGTTGCTCTCCTCTACCTGCGTTCATATGGCGCGTCTGTTGGGTCTTGATAAGGAAAGCCACATTGTTGGGATGCCTCAAGCAGAGTCTGAACAACGAAAACGTTTGATCTGGATTATATTCGTTCTCGATGCCTTTATAAGGATCAAAGCCAATCAACCTTTGATATTGAGCGCTGGATGTATCGAAGCCGGCATCCCCGACCAAGCACCAGCCGATCGACTCGGCTACTTCAAGATTTCTTGCACAGAACAGAGTGTGAACGTGTTCGATTTGATGATCAAGATCACAGCCATTCGCTCAGAGATATATAGCTACTTGAACATCTCGACAAAGCGGGCTCTTCGCAGTCCGGAAGCCCAAGACTTCATCATTTCCATGCACGGTCGAGTCTCCACCTGGACGACGGAACTACCGATAGACTATCGTCCGGAAGGTTCTATCATGGTGTTGGATCTGTCAATCCTCATACTTCATCTTACATATTATGACTGTGTGACACGCCTTCGTACACTGGTCGAACAATCCACAGTTCCACAAGATTCAAATCAGATAGGGACAGAAGAACAACGCGCCCATATTGCACGGTGTGTTCTTGATTTGATCCGCTCTTCTAATGCAATACCTTTCGTGTATCTCTGGTAAGTTATGGGTCAGATACAAGTTCAATGGGTAACTAAACAAAGCCAGGCAACCACTACAAGATATTTTCGCTGCTACCATAGAGCTCACGTCGAACGTAATAGCCCGACCTGCTTCTGAGCATGCACTGGCAAACGTCAAAGCTATAAGCTCATTCGTACGCTTCCTGGAGACCTTGAAGTACAAAAAAGGCTGCGATCTTACACGGCTTCTGAACGGCTGCACGATACTAGAAAAGGTAGCCAAAGGTGCTGTCATGGGGGAGCAAAGTACGCATTACGAGGCTGTTCGGGTATATCATCTGTTCATTCTTCTTGCTTATTCTTCGCTAATGCTCGCCAGTTCCTTTTCTCGTGCTCTCCCGGCCATAGGCTGCTTGCGCAAGCTCTCTTGACCAATCTTCCTAAGCTAGATGCGGTTTGTCAGGCCGCATCTGCTAATGTATTCGCTCAATCCGAGCAGCGTCCCCGAAACATCCCATTGCTAGCACCCGATTGTATGGTGCCGAGCACCTACAACTTCGGGCCTGGCCCTAGTGATTCAAGCCTTGTTGACACGATGCGCGCTGTCTATAGCGATGTAGTGGCCTGATTTGCGAGAGAGACTGACGTGTTACTGCGTCGTAGGAGGGCGGAAGAGATGGGTATGAAGATGCTGCATGATATGTTAGCCATACTGATGCTACTCCTAGTACAGATATATCCACATACCTTCTTTAGCAGAGCTTGCAGGCGCAGTTGTGTAGGCCGTAGCCGCCAATGCCCATCAGGGACACGCAATGCTCGATGAAATCGCGCGCGGAGGCGAAGTGTTTACCACTGGGGTGGCCGAAGAATTCCTTAATAGGATGGCAGGCGCTTGGGTGCTCTGCGTGCATGTAGCCGCTAGGCAGGCCGACGACGAACTCGATCTTGTGCCCGCCTATACGTATCTGTTTAGCTGTGATACGATATGATATGCGCAGTACCAGAACTTACCTAGTGCCTGCACATACTCAGGTCTGCGGTTGAATGCTCTGCTAAGAGCAAGGAGGGTAGGCACCATATCAACATAGGTGTAGTTGCCATGTTGATATACGCTTTATTTGACTAAAAAGACACGCTAACGCGATGGAGTAACTTCGGCCCGCCGTGGCAGAACATCCTTAAGCACTGACCGCCTCCAAATGACAGTGAAGCTCCAAAAAAAGTGACCGACGAGTCATCCTGCAAGTGAAAGAAATCCCTGGACTGACAGGATAACGACGATAAGTAACATTTTTTGCCACTCTCCTGCTCAGTGCACCTGGTCTTGATGCACATCAAAATGCACAGTGTAATTGAGATTTGCTTGAACCTCCACTGAGAGCTCGAATGTTTCACGCTCTCTCTGGCCAATCGTACTGATCCGAAAACCATCGTGCATTTTGATGCGGGTTTTGCAGCAGTACTGGATGGCTAGGATGCGCCTATATCTGGTGTTCTATCATCAGGGGTCGTGACTGATCTCCTGCATCCAGCACCTGGTCATAATCCACGTCAAAATGCACAGTGCAATTCAGATTCCCTTGAACCTCCACTGAGAGCTCGAATTTCTCACGCTCTCTCTGGTCAACCTTACTGATCTGAAAAACATCGTGCATTTTGACGTGATTTTTGCAGGAGCGTTGTATAGCTGGGATACAGCAGTTTTTACCCCTATCTCAATGCATATCTCGCTGCTCCCCTGCCTTCAGCACTCGTGGTTTCTGCACGTCAAAATGCACAGTGTTTTTCGGAAATAGGTGAGCCTCCAGTGAGAGTACAAATAATCCGGACTCTCACTGGACATCTGCTCAATGCTGAATTTCTTCTTGCCTTTTGATGTGACATTTGCAGCAGTGTTGTGTGGTTGGGATGCTGCATTTATTCTTCTTAGAGCTTGCAAATCATCACTGCTTCCCTGAGCATAGCACCTGGGTTTTATACACGTCAAAAGTCAGGAAGATTTTCAGATCAGTGAGGTTGGCCAGTGAGAGCAGAAATGATTCAGGCTTTCACTGGACATTTGCTCAATTTCGAATACGTTCTTGCATTTTGACGCGGTTGATATTGTCGGTGTTGCATGGCTGGAGCTGCAATAGTTGTGGTTTGTTGATTAGTCAACATTGATCATCAAATCCATCCTCGGATGTTTAGTCAACAGAGGTATGAGTATGGCATCTACCTCGCTTCTACTACATATATCCTTCTCTTGCTTGTATTCTCTTTTGCAGACCACAAACGAACCGTTTCCACTTCCTCACAAACTTGTCGAGTACTTTCATACATAATGGACGGTCTCAAGAATATTGCCTGGGTTGGAGTGAGTACGTTGTGATATCCGAATCGAGAGACATCTGTCTAACAAGCTCACTACAGACCGGCCCAATGGGTCTTCCAATGCTAGAAAGAACCACCGCGACAGGAAAATTCAACATCAAACTACTCGTCCGCAACCAAATCTCCTCTTACGCCAATATCCCAAAGGGCGTCCAGTCTATCCACCAAGTCAACTACTACGACCACGAGTCACTGGTTGAGCACCTTCAAGGCCAAGATATAGTGATTGTATTCACCAGCTTCGTGCCGGGAAACGAGCTCGACAGGAAGCAAATCGCACTTGTGAATGCAGCAATTGATGCAGGTGTCAAGTATTTCATTCCATCTGAATGGGCGCCGGACACTGCTGGCAGAATGGGCAGTGTTCAAGATGGACATGGACCAACACTACCCACTGATATGGTATTGGCGCCAAAGCGAGTCACTCACAATTACCTATTATGCCGTGCCGCGGAAAAGAAATTGAATTTCTGCGTCATCTACCCGGGCGTTTTATTTGAGCTCGGTAAGTTGGCTACTCCTTTCCAACTCAAATATTTGTATACTCTGACACAAGCACAGGTTTCGCTAATGGCATTTTCGGTTTCGATTTCACCAACAACACAGCCTGCCTTCCTGACAATGGGATCAATCCATTCTCAACCACTACCCTGGACACACTCTCCAAGGTCGTGATCTCGCTTTTCGAAAACCCATCGCTCATCTCGAACAAATTCTACCATGTCGCCGATGGTGTGCTCACCCAGCAAGATGTTTTCCTCGTCGTTGAGAAGGAGACCGGAGTTTCTTGGGCGAGGACTTCGTACTCGACCAGCGAAGTCCGTAAAGCGGCGTTGGCGAATATGGAAGAGGGTGTTTATGGACCGACTGAGTACATGCATAGTTTGATGACGCCTTTCTTTGGAGGTCTTCAGGTTTCGAGACACCTTGATAATCGAGAGTTGAAGGTGCGTGATGGAGAAGTTGATATCAGAGAGGAGGTGGTGAGATTGGTACGCAAGCAGCTTGCAGACAAGAAGGAGTAAAGCTGTGTTTCGATATCTGTAGACTGATTTCTTTATACTACATACTATTATCCGTGCCTTTCATCTGTTCTGCCAAGAAGTCTCCAACATCTGCTTGACTGACAAAGGCTTGACATTGGGAAATTTGTGGTTGATAGCCTTGTGCTTAGGCAGATTGAAGTAACCACCGACAACCCACATACCGAAAGCAGCAAACATGTATTGCAACTTCTCCTTGGGAAAGTAAGGGTAGATGGAAGCGTGAGAGGGCAACTCGGAAGTCTGAAATTTCTTAAGCTTGTCCATGTCATCGTAAACGACATTGAACTTGGTGCCTGGAGGAAGTGTCGTTAGTAGGGTGTCATACAACATCGAGCTTGATACAGGCGTACCTCTAGCTTCCTCGGCAAGCTGTACGAATTCGTTCAGGGTAACGCGGTCACCGACGATGGTTGTAATCTCGTCCCACTTGGGCAGGGTCAAGACCTCGGCGACGAATCTGGCAACGTCGTAGGTGTAGGTGAAGACCATCTTGTCATCTCCAGAGCCAGGGATTGTAGCAGCCTTGTTGTCGACATCGATAGCAAAGGGAGGGGGGGTCAAGTGAGACTTCAAGTGGGGGAGGCCGTAGTAGTCCATGAAGTAGCCGTTGTGAACCTGGGTCCATTCAAGATTGGTCTTGCGGAGCTCGTCCTGTACGCCCTGGCGGAGAGGAATATGGGGCATGTATGCTGCTGCTCTGGTTCCAATTCATTAACCGCCGATCAACGTCAAACAGAATGGAAGGACTTGCTCAGCAGGAGCAGGCGCGCCCCAAATGCTCTGGACGAAACGTTCAGTAAACTTGGAGGCAGCAGCAGCCTTGACAAGGTTCGTCTCAGACTTTGCGGCAGGCTCGGAGATTACGAGCATGGTAGAGATGACGGTGTGAATCTCGTGCTTTTCGAGAACGGCTGTGACGGCGGAGATGTCATCGTAGTCGACTTGGACTTCTTTCTCGTTCTTGGGCGCTCCTCGGGACAAGACGATGTATTCATGGCGAGAGTCATCGGTCAAAATCTCGGCAATAGTGGCACCCAGGTGTCCACGACCACCAGCGATTGCAACTTTGACCATGTTGATGAATCGGTTGATGAGAGATCTGGAGAGTCTGGTTGTAGTGTGAAAGGTGTGATTGTTGTTGCTATATGGTTAGAAGATTGGACCAGCGCGCCTCGATACTTATCAACAAATTTGTCTTTCTATTGGTTTCCATAATTGCTGACATGATCCAGTTCTCAAATTACGAAGCTGCTCACAAAGCGAGTTGAACGGTTTGAGTCGAGAGCTGCCGGAAGCAATTTGGTCCCGAGATTTGCGGAACCAACTTCCTCCGATCCTTCGTCGGAAGCAAAATCGAGCCTGTATGTGGATGACAGCAACGATACTCCGTGTTGCCTTCCGACATGATCACCGCGCTGTTCTCATCGGTCAATCCTGCCCTTCGAAACGCGCTTCTGAATGGGTTGATGTGTTCTCTCGACGTCGCAGCTTCTCGCGCCGAAGCCGCTCGAGCGTGTGTGTCTGTGAGAACGCGCCGTGTTGGTTCACACTGGGTTTGTGTCTGCCGGTCGTATCGGTTCACTCATCTCTGCGGCGAACTGTTCCAGTAACGCGCATGCTGACTCCTAAGGGCCTGGCCAGAGAAGAGGCAGAGAGCTAGGTCAGCAGTTCAGATCCTGTCCCCGATGTCATGCAAATCGCGGCGTCGCGTCACAACACCGATTGGACAAACATACGAGTACCTGCTCACAGCGCATCTATTGCAGACCGCGACAGGAGTATTCATTTCTCCATGCTGGCGGTAGAGCTTAGGGAGCAATGTCTTCGCTCTGAATGGCTTCCGAAAATGGACTGCGGTGTTGACGCACTGCGGTGTTGACTGACTCACTCGGGGCAGATTTCTTGGCTCACCGCCTTCACCAAACTTGTAATAAAACATTCGGGCGCTGTGTAAAACTCAATTGAAACCAATTCATGACATCCTGCAATTCTAGATCAAACGTGGTCTCGACGAGCTCAATCATGCATCTGGAATTGGTCAAGACACTGGGTTGCGTGGTGCTGCGAGGAGACCACGTCGACAACATCGCTCGGTCATCACCCCCACCAACAACATCGGGACCGAGATATCCATACCACGTTACGATTCTCACAAAAGCCGAATCTCAACAGCTCAACAATTCAGTTGACACGCCTCATCAAATCAGCAAAATTGTCGAACGGCTTCTTAGCACACCTCAATTACTGGAAGACCCAATCGATTTAGGTGTTGCGATACATGGCTCGACTGGCTTTAACGTGCTCTTCTGGCCTCAAGGCAATAATATCAGACATCAGTTGGGACTTTCGAACAAGCAATTCCACATCACCTTGACATCTGACGATAAGCACGACATCGATAAGGGCGTCGATTCCATCACGCGGTGCAAGACTTTAGACTCAGATCATATAGACTTGATTGTGCGGAGCTGTGCTACACTGGCGAAGAAGGCTGAACACCAACAGTCTATGTTGGAGGTCCTTCGTTTCGTCGCAAGATTCCATACCTCTTGCTTGTCGGAGATCTCTTTCGACACTGTCTGGCGTCTGCTATCGAAACTCTCTGGCAAAAGCGAGAGTTCGGTACTCGCTTGTGAATATCTGGATACACACCCTGGAAACGTCTCCGCATTGCTGCGTGCAGCACAGTGCTGTCATCTGCCACTGGAAGCCAAACGAGCGATGTGTCTCTATGCTCAAGCAGCAGATCTATTACTACCCGACGGGCGTGAAGCGATTGTTTCTCAGTGCGTTGCCGCTCTAGTCAGCTGCTCCGAGCATACTGAGTTCGGATTGTTCTTCCTCGATGGCGAAGTCGAGGACTGGAAACACAATCGGCCTCTCTACTCTGCATGCCAAAAGGCTTTCCAAAATCCACAGCTACGCCGCTTGGTCCAGCAACAAATCACCACAAGTAGGTACCAAGACATCGAAACCTTGATTCCAAGTCTACTCTCGCTCGCCTCCAATCAGGATGTGTTTACTCCTTTGGAAGGGGAGCTTTACAGGCTACCCAGATTCTTCAGATGGCTGCTGCCTTTTCGTCTGGCGGTAATGAGCACACCACGATGCAAAGAAGACATCACGGCATTAGTAACACAAAATATCACGTTAGTGGTGACATTGACTGAAGAAGAGCCCCTGTCAGCAGAGTGGTTCGCTGACACATCTTGTCGAAACATTCTCATGCCTGTACGCAATTACAAGGCTCCGACAGTCGAGCAGATAGACGAGTTCATCGAGTGTGTTGACAGCTTGCCAATGGAGGAAGCTGCATTGGTTCATTGCGGAGGTGGCAAAGGCCGTGCCGGAACATTCGCTGCTTGCTATCTCATGGCCCGAGGATTTGGAACTACTGATACAAGTCATGATTCTGAGCAGGCAGTTCGTATCTTCCCTGGAGACGCAATCAAACTCTTACGCCACATGCGACCCGGTAGTATCGAGACGGCTGAGCAAGAAAGCTTCATCAGAGATTACGCACAATACCTCATCAGCGGACGTCAGGCAGTACCAGCTCCCGCGACTCCACCGGACATTCAGGAGTCACAAGCACCACTCGAGCTTGAAGGGAAGCTACCCAAAGCCCCTTCCATTATTGTTTGCTGTGGCGTACCTGGCTCTGGTAAGAGCACTTTTGCATCACATCTTACAATACTTGGGTACACTGTCATATCTCAAGACGAGCTGGGTAGTCGCACGGCTTGCTTGAATGCTTTATCCAATGCCATGAACAGCGGCCGCAAGATACTCATTGATAGATGCAACCCATACGTCGAAGACAGAGAACAGTGGTTGGCACATGCATTCCATCCAACCAACGCACTATGTGTCTGGTTCGATGTCGACTCCGAACTTTGTGTAAAGAGAGCTGATGCGCGAACGAACCACCCCACGATAGCGCCAGGGAGAGCGAAAAAGATTGTTCATTCTTTCACGAAAACTTTCGTAAAGCCGAGCAAGAAAGAAAAGTTTGCTTGCATCGCGAGAGTATCATCGAGCGTCGCGGCTTCTGACCTTCTTCTAAGACTTGGTGTTCCGAAGGGCGACATCAATCATGCAGCCACTGGGCCAGCCGAGGCATCGCCCAACGAATCATCCTCCGCCGGAACAACCAGAACAACCAGAACGACCACAACCGCAAGCACGCCCGCAGAGAGGCCCTTCATTCACAAGTTTCCTCGAACAAGACATCTTTACAACGCTGGCTCTGCGACTCGCGACGATCTTATTCTGACCTCTTCAGACGCCGTGGCCTTTCTTGACTCTTCCGACCCATCAATCTCTCTGACTATTGAAGAGAAAGTCGATGGCGCAAACCTCGGCATCAGTCTTGATTCTTCCGGCAACTTCAAAGTACAAAATCGCTCGCATTACGTCAACAGCAAATCACACGCACAATTCAAGAAGCTTGACAGATGGTTGGAAGACCACTATGAAGGCCTGATCACCGTGCTGCAGGTAGATGAACCTGGCAAGTGGATTCTGTATGGCGAGTGGCTGTTTGCCAAACATTCCATACATTACACCAGCCTTCCGGACATGTTTCTTGCTTTCGATCTCTTTGACACGGAGCGCGGCACTTTTCTGAGCCGTGAGGCGTTGAGCGAAAGGCTGAATGGGACAAACATATATCAAGTCAACGATCTCGAAGTACCCGAAACTCTGAATGAGCAATCATTGCTAGACATTGTACGCTCTCGACAGTCGATCTACTACGACGGCATTGTTGAAGGAGTATATCTCCGCCGGCAAAAAGACGGCAGGACTATCGACCGTGCCAAAATTGTCCGGTCGGATTTCATCACAGGAGACGAACATTGGAATCGAAGAGGCATAACACCGAATGTAGTTGCTTACGAATGAAGACAGAAACATGCACGATATTGAACATAACAATCGTTCCATAATTTCAGATTTCTCAAGCCACCCAACCGCTTTTTCCCTCCCAATAATTGCCTATATGCTCAGTGTACGCTCGTTTGACAAGACGCAATCTAAGACCGGCCTGCTCGATAGGCTGTGTGGCCACTTGCCAAAGTAGCATCATGCACACATTATTCACTTCCATGCTTTCTGTTCGTTTCAAGAATGTTCTGATTGGTAGCCACCCCGGATAGGGCAATTCATACTGATCTGCATAGTTCCACTGGTCTCGAGATGGTTTCGTCCTTCGTCGAGGACTGGAAACCCCCGGAAAAGATATCAATCCACGCTTGTGCCATCTCTTACAATCCTCTCACTCATCTCGCCGCCAATTCCTCTGCGTCAACTCCATCAAGCACTACCAGATGCAGCAGGAGCAGCAGAAGGCAATAAACCCCGACTCTGAACAGCACCACCACCACCAATCCCAGAACAAAGACGACAATTGCAAACACCGACACTATCCTGAAGAATTCCAAGCACATGTCTAGAAAACGACCTCATCGAATCAAAAGTGCCACCACTGGGATGTCCAAACACATAAGCCATGCGGAAAGAAGGATCTTTCTCGCTGGTGCTGGTGTATTCGACACGCATGAAGACGGTATAGCCGGTGGGGAGTGCGTTGATGAAGTTGACTTGGTGGCCTGTGGTTGGGATATCAGTATTGAGGGCGGCATTGCTGGAAGTAGATCGTGATGGGAGTGAAACTTACCGAGTAGATTTCCGTGGTTGAAGATTGTGGTTAGGGAGTGGAGGTATGGTTCTTCGGGCTGGCGCACCCAGTCTGGACCTTTGGGATGGTGGCCTTGACCATCGCTGTTGTATTCGGGGTCACCGAGGTCGATTTGTTGGATGGTGTTGACCTTTTTGTTGGTATCGGGTTTGGGAGGAGACTTGACCATCATGAGTGTGTGATGAAAAGGTGCGACTGATGATTTTCAAGGAGCAATGTCGCTTTCTATATAGTTCTTCTGCTTGCTACTTTTTTGACGTTCATGAGCTGCAATCTCTTTCATTGCCATGGAGTTTGTCTGTCTCTTTCACTTTACATATTCTGGCTCTTCGATGTCCGTGTTTGCGTCTTCACTTCCTTCCACCAGAGTGATCTTCACCGATGTATTGATATTCTAGCGACCTCATCAGAATCGAAATCACGGTTTGGCAGAAACTTGCAGTCTAACGAGGACAAAAGTAACGATTTCAAGTTCGATCAAAGAAAGTGGTAAGTGTGGTAACCTTTTCACCTCGTCGGTGAGTCACCCAGTTTGTAGTACGAGTAGCATATCATGTCACATTCTTTGATATGGCTTGGAATAGAAGCGATAACATAAAAGAGTGTCATGTTTGTGGTCATACCAAAGCTTTATTACTTCCACGGCAAGTTTGGTCTTCTAAACTTTGCGGTTTCGACACGACAGCATTTACCAAATAGCCCCTTATCATCACTGCTCTTTTTTCTCGTACACATTTTCAGCATGAGCTTCGCACGAACTCCATCAAGAGACAGTAGCGGTAGCGGGAGGGGCTCGAGGGGCTGGAGGTCGATATCCTGGACAAGAATGTGTCCATTAAGGATGACAGGAGGGGTGGGAGGTGGTTCAGCCATGTTGATGTTAGAAGTCATGATCGGTCATTTCTGTAAAGTGATCAATTTACATATGCTACTGTCTCACATATCAGCAAAGCTAGAGGGCTTTGAAAGTAAATCATTCACCATCTCCGTAACATATATTTGTGCTCTTTTTCTTTGACCATTCTGGCACGTTTCAGTAATCTTTGCTTAAAGAGAACTATTTTGATTAAACACCTTTCAAGCATCGACGCTGGAAGGTTCTGAGTGAGATTGCATCATCACTAATGAAGCTGCGAGGAGCCAATTCCATAAGAATAACGTTCCTTTCCATAGACAAGATTTCTATGACCTGCAGGAACGATGCTTAACTTCTAGAAGCTATCAGTTAGGTGACTCCCTGGACTCCCTGAACATCTCAGATGCCCTATACAATCAGTGGCTGAGCCCACTATCAGCTCTGCATGATGGAATGTTTTTTCAAAGCAGGTGTGGTCAAGTTCCACGAGTTTCGTGATTTCAGTGATTGGTGAAATGGTCTGAACTCTCATTTGAGGGCCTCAGTCAGAACCACGGCAATCTCACAGAATATACAGAGATGATCGTACGCGAAATTGACTACCTATACAATCACACGGATATCTCTCGCGGTATGGACATGTTTATTCTTGAGTAGGATGATGAGGGGCTCACGAAGAGCCCGTGTGGCTTAGTTCCGTGGCTGAGCCGCAATCCTCCAAACTGCGCCCCACTCAACGTCCGATAAGAAGAAAGCCACCACGCTTCCATCAATCATTGTTCCTACATCCAAAACTTCGCGAGCATGTCCAATCAAAGTTATTACGGCGGTGATCAGCAACAACAGCAGCAAGGATATCATTATCAGGGGTACCAGAGTTATAGCGAGTTCACTTCGCGACCGCAACATGAGGGTGCTCAATCGGGGTATGAGCAGCATAATAATCAGCAGTCGTACAGTGGACCTGCGAATCAGCAATACGGCGGTGAAAATTTGTATGGTGGATCCCAGGTGAACAGTCAACACCACGATTTTGGAGGATATGGTGACTCGTCTGGCTACAACCAGCAACAAGAATGGCGCCCGGAGGACCAGCGACCATATCATCAGAACCAACCCAGCTATGGCGAACATAATCAGGGCTCCTCAGGATATGCGCCAGCAACTTCCGACTATCCGCAAAACAGAGGCAACGAATATCCAGCATACCCCAGCACTGTTCCGGCCGGATACAGTAGCCAGCACCCCGACAGCGCTGCAAACTATGGCAACCACTCACCCTACCCGCCAACCGGACCGCCAGCATATCCAGGTCCGGACACATCTTCATACCCCTTGACTCAACAACACCCCAGCCAACCCTACCCAGGCCAACCGCCAACCGCAGAAGAAGACCGCGGCTTAACGGGCGCGCTAGCCGGCGGCGCTCTCGGTGCCTACGGCGGGCACAAACTAAACCACGGTTTCATCGGAGCAATGGGGGGAGCCTACGCAGGCCACAAACTCCAAGACACCCTGTCCGAGGACAAGAAAAAGAAGAAGGCCGAGAAACTCGCAGCCGGCCGTCCGCACAGACGCGACAGCAGCTCCAGCTCTAGCTCCAGCTCCAGCGGTTCTAGTAGTGGAAGCAATCAGCACCACGCCCAACAACAGTTCAGGGGCAATTTCTCGGCGAGCAGTGAGGATGTTTCGCTGGATAAGGATGGTAATGATTTGATCGCTAGATGTAGGAGTGTGGACGGCAGTCTTAATTTTTCGAGTATTTCTCTGAGTGAGGTATTGACCAATTCAGATGGAAGGTTCAGGTGGCAAAGAAATGGTGGGTTCAGGGCCAGCGCTCGGAATGTGCATCTAGTTGATGGAGGACGGGTTTTGCGTGCTGAGTTGGGAGATGGCAGGGGTGGGTGGAATAGAGATGAGGTCAGGCTGGATGAGATGATTACGAACAACAATGGTTCTCTTGAGTTTGTTGGTTGAGGGAGGGATTAGCTCTCACCGGACAAGCTACTGGAGTCAGAAGGTATCCGGCAATCTCATAAATTGAAATTGCCCACTTACAATTTTATAAGAGTTCTTGACTCTGGAGATCCCTCACTGGATCTTCCCAAGATGTTGATATAAGGATGACGGAGGTCCTGGGGTCAGCCCTCCCGACGAGAAGCCTTGGTGATAGCTTCTGAGGTTCCAGAAGAGGAACACAAACCACTTATAAACAACCTAGATTCACGATCTCGAGAACATAAGAAAGAAGGTACAGATGGAGAGTCTTGGTTGCTCAATTGTATGTTTTTCTGCTCGACTAAGATATAAAGGAGGGTTGTTAGTCTGGATGCCCAAACTGAGTACGGAGATACAAAGAAAACGGTTCATGCAAAGCAGACAGAGCACTAACGCTCAATCAGCCGCAGGGTAACAATAACAATGACCTTATGATCTTTTGTTTCCTGTAAGCATTCTTTTCCTTCTAGAAGTGTCTTGTCGTCCGACCAAATTCACCATGTTCAGGCAGAAGGAGCAGAAGGAGCAGAAGGAGCAGAAGAAGCAGCAGGACCAGCAGGACCAGAAGGATCAGAATGACCAGAAGTATCAGAAGGAGCAGAGGGAACAGCAGCTGTCTGAGCAGCAGCAGCAGCAGCCGTAGTGCAGACCCTACAAGTGCAGTTGGCGAGATCGTCCCGGACAATAGCGACCACATGAATAACGAACTGGCCCATGAGTTCGAAGTATTGACCACTGGGATGTCCATAGATGTGCCCACTGATAAAACTGTGAGGTACGTAGAAGATCCACTCGGAGTATCCAATAGGAGGACCACCGACAAACTTCACGACCTTGCCTAGATGTATACGATCAGACAGGGAAAACCAAAAGCGATGAGATAACTTACCGAAGATTATGAAGCCCCAGCCTTCGTTATTGAAAGCAGTGGTAAGGTCCTCAAGCAATCGAGCATCGGGTTGTCTGAGTTGGTTGTCGGGAGATTGACCTGTACCATCGCTGGTGTTGTAGGTGCTGAGATCGACGTCGAGAATGAGAGGATTGGGTCCGTAGAAGGTTCGAACCGGCATGCTCATCTTGTTGATTTGGTTTGGATAGATGGTTGCGCTGATGCGATAATGGAATAGTGGAAGCGTGAGTTGGTTAATTATATGATGAATCGACTCTTCTGCAGAGATTTGAAAAGTGCACAAAGCATGACAAGGAAAGAGCTAGACTAGAAAATGCGAAGTGAGATGTTAAGGAAATGGCAACAAGGGCTGCGACTGCTCCGGCAGTTCTGTCGTAGCCTATTAGCGGCTTCCGCAGTTGCCATTCTTTCTCTTGATCTAGCTCGGAAGGTCTCTGGCACGTGGATCTGTCGAATGCAGCTTCCTTTCAATCTACATCCAAGACTTTTCAACCGTGCGTAGCTTCCGTAAACACAATGCTACCAGACTCGGTCCCCGAGAGAAGTGTTTCATGCAGATCCAAGAGGCCAGGTATCGCAAACACTGAGGGGCGTCCTTGCTACCTCCGCTTCGTCGTGCTGGTGCGAGTAGTTTTATCTCTGCTTGCCTTCCGCGAACACCCCTATATCCCACGCCACGCTAAGAAAGAAGTCGAGCCAAAGATGACCTGCTATTGACCCGAGTCGCGACCGTCGCGTCTCGCTCACGGTCGCGTTGCACTTACGGTGGCGTTGATGCCGAGTGAACATAGCAGTGCACGTGATTCTTTGACCTTCTCACAATGCGGTATCATGCTTGCGAGATGCACAGTAATCTTTTGAGACACAAACACGCCCGTTAAAATCGACTTGACAGTCTTTATGTTCATTGGGAGTCCATCATAGGAGAGTCTGTATCGTTTTTGTACATCATTGACTGCTTAGGAAAACCCTTGTCGTTCCCTTTCTCTTCATCCAACGCCATCTAGCTATCTGGTTGGTATCATGCCTAGTAAACCACCAATTCGTGCTTACTCTGTACTGCTCTGTCCTGGTCACCTAGGAACACACACAACACAGCCGCAAGTAGCAAGCTTTTCGGTCATAATGGCATGCACATGATCAACAAAGCCCTTGACGGATCTGAAGTAAGTGCCGGAAGGATGTCCATGAACAAACAGATCAACGGTTCTGAACAGAGCGTATCCCTTGGGAGGTCCGCCTTCAAAGACGATGATCTGTCCACCTACACACCAAAATATTAGCACTAACTCCTAGTGGGAGATGTAGACAGAGCTTACTCCATTCCTTCACGAGGTCTGAGCGAGCGTTGTAGGCTTGACTGAGCAGTTTCAGAAATTCGGCGTCAGAGATGCGGGTTTTGGCGGTAGGCCAGAGAGATGCGTTGCCGTCGCTGTCGAAGAAGTCGTCGTCACTGAGGTCGAAGTTCTGGTAGCCTGAGTTGTGCATACTTTGGTAGATACCGGCTCTGGCTTTGCGAGGCTTGGTCTTGGAAGGTGGGTCTGCCATCGTGCAGGAATGGTTTTGTGGGTGGTGGTTGTAGTCGCGAGAGCTTTGCAAGATGGAGTGGCTTAAATACCCAGATGTTGCAATCTCGGAAGCTAGTTGAGGGCGTGGTGAAGAAGTTTCCGGCTTCGGAGTGTTGCTTCTCTGGACAACCTTGCTCTCCGTCCGTGGCTTTGTTGGTACGTTGATGGAAGTGGGCAGCTGTCTGTTTGATTGAAAACTTGACGGACCCTGCCAATAGACATGTCCAAACACAACATGGTTTCTGGCACTTTTCAGTAGTTCAGAGAGAGCTCAGAAAAACCTGGAGAGTATGAGGACTTGTAGCTTCCACTAGATCCAGGTTTATCCTTTGTACCCTACCCAAGCGGGTCATTAACCATCAAAGCAGATCCTCTTACCAACGCCAATCGGTGGCTTGTTGTGACTAAGAATCATGAAGTCTGACAAAGCAATTATGGGCTAAGTGGAACGATACTCGGATGCACCGTCGTAGACCCGCAAGATATACTAGATTACCATCTATTAAAGGGATCAAAACCAACTTCATGCACTAAGATGATGCGGTTATATGTATCGTGAGTGCCGACCGTATGGCCACCGACAATGTAATTCGAGCTATGCACACTCTTCTGGCCCAAGCACACCCCTAAGACTATGAGCCATTCGCTCCTCGTCGGCAATCTTGACAATATACGGAATCAACGCATGAAGGTCCTAGGAACTAGCTCCGCCAACACCGGTTCTGCGTCCTCGACGTGGATTTCATCGACCGGATACCGACGTATCGTTGCCTTGTGAGTTCTGCAGCGAGCGATCTGTAGAAGTTGACGATGTGGCCGTGCATGGCTAGCTTGCTTCCGTTGGAGCCATTGGGGCGTTGGATTTTGTCGTCCCTAATGTGCTAATGATGTCTTGGTCTGCTGTCTTTATACCTGCGAAGTGGAACGGTGCAACATTCACTCAAACAGCGGGCGACACTGTTTTCTTTTGTTTACTTAGAACAAGATATGGTGTGGAACGAATTTACATCCACATACCTGACAGAAGGGCGATGACAATCAATCGAAACATGCCATAGACGTGATGTATACTGTCTCTACCAAGTCTTTGTCGGGGTGCCGAAGAATTCAAAATGTCTCAATGTTTTTCACTCGTGGTTATCTCCACGCAAATACAATTCGTCGTGTTGGCGTCGACGTTCGCAATTGGAGAATCGACAGGTTCTGAAGCTCATCCTCACCAGCCCTGACCATCGCATCAGCAAAAGCACCGCATTTTGGTCTTGCGCAGAACTGATCTTACCATCTAACTGCCGTTGCATCCCCTTGGTCCGGACAGGGAATTTCAAAGTAGGTGATGTTTTTGAGTCAATGTTGTTTCAGCATTAACGCATGTCTAAAGGCAAGAGCAACCACCATGCCTTCCTCAAGCGACCACGACACCGCAAAAGAGCGCAGTGTCATGTACACCTACCTCCGCGCTGACGTCCGCCTCCACCACGCCTCTCAAGACCACATGAGATTCCATCTTCTCGCCGCCTTCTCCGCCATCCTGGAGATGGAAGAAACCGATCTTGAGTACACACTCGAAGACAACGTTGGCCATGAATTGGTCCTGAAGGAAGAAGACCAGATCATGAGTTGGAGAGATGGCAGCAAGAGTGCGCTTGTGCAGTCTGCTGCGGAGATCGTCGAGGACTGCGCTAGAGATGTTGCAGGCGCTTTTGGTGTTGATCAGCAGCGTGTGCTATTTGAGCTTGCAAACCACATGTTTGGAGCTGCCAAGGACTTGAAGAGCTACGTGGTGCTGGATGTCATCGCCCTCGACTGAGCTCTCAAAGTAGATTGGAGTCAAGCCGAGCATTTGAGAAGGTAGCCGCTCCTTTCAGGCAGAGCGAAGCGCAGAAGCACGACGGCGGAGACGCGGAGTCGACGGCCTTGAGTCTTGAGCAGACCGTTTGTGCAAACAGCAGCAGCCGGGGGAGAGAACGCATCATCAGGAAGGCTCCTCACCACGACAAAGAATTTGCTCCCATGCACACTGCATGAGCAGATAGATCCGCTTGATCAACAGAGAAACAAACAACAAAACAACATGATGAATGTTTCTTGAACGCTGCAAAGAGTGACCGTGTACGTGCAATTATTGCTCAAATTGAAAAAGATACTTAATTATCTGAGATGTCGGGATCTTCTGACACCGCCTACACAACAGAATTATGCGTAGCCAGTTCTTATAGAACCACTTGTCCGTCTTCGCATCGACCTGATCGCAAACCAGCAATTGAATTACAGCACAGACTCGCACATAACGTGGAGCTGCACCAGATGCCGGCAAGAACTGTCTAAAAGGCTGCGTTGAAGGAAAGGAAAGGAAGATTTGGCAAGCGCGAGAGAAGTTTTATGGTCGCGACTGCCGCGAATTATCCGAGATGCATGACCCGTGCGCCGAGAGTCCAGAGTGTGGGGAAGGGGGACAAGCAACATTGAGGTTGGCTGGGCTGTCGTAGCTCAATAGCAACAACGCAACCAATTAATTTCTGACCCCTCATACGCCAGAGGAAGTCGCTGCTTCCTGCCAGGCCGACCAACATCACACCACCACAGAACAATAACCTCCGACCGACCGACAGCGCCCTCTTCACACCATGGCTTCGGCCCTCTTCTTCCTTGACCTCAAGGGCAAGGTATGCACCATCCGACTCATCACACTGCAAGCGCATACTGACGGGCAGACAGACCCTCCTGGCGCGCAACTACCGTGGTGATATCCCCATGAGCGCCGTCGACAAGTTCCCTATTCTCCTCTCAGATGCCGAAGAAGAGAGCTCGGCCGTCCCCCCCTGCTTCAGCGATGAAGGCATCAACTACCTCTACATCCGCCACAACAATCTCTACCTCCTCGCTTTGACCAAGCGCAACTCCAACGCCGCCGAGATCCTGCTATTCCTTCACAAAATCGTCGAGGTCTTTACCGAATACTTCAAAGAGTTGGAGGAGGAGAGTATCCGCGACAACTTCGTCATCATCTACGAGCTGCTCGATGAGATGATGGACTTTGGTCACCCACAAACGACAGAGAGCAAGATTTTGCAAGAATACATCACCCAGGAATCACACAAGTTGGAAGTGCAGGCACGACCACCCATCGCAGTCACAAACGCCGTCTCATGGCGCTCGGAAGGCATTCGCTACCGCAAGAACGAGGTCTTCCTGGATGTCGTCGAGTCTCTCAACCTACTCGTCTCATCTACTGGCAGTGTCTTGCGTTCTGAAATTCTGGGTGCTGTCAAGATGAAGTGTTATTTGTCTGGTATGCCCGAGCTGCGTCTAGGCCTCAATGACAAGGCCATGTTCGAGACCACCGGTCGCGCGACTCGCGGCAAGGCTGTCGAGATGGAAGATGTCAAGTTCCACCAATGTGTCCGTCTATCACGCTTCGAGAACGACCGCACAATCAGCTTCATCCCTCCGGACGGCGAGTTCGAGCTCATGAGCTACCGCCTCAACACACAAGTCAAGCCTCTTATCTGGGTCGAGTGCATCGTCGAAAACCACTCTGGCAGCCGTATCGAATACATGCTCAAGGCAAAGGCGCAATTCAAGCGTCGCTCAACCGCCAACAATGTCGAAATCTCCATTCCCGTACCAGAAGATGCCGACACACCACGCTTCCGAACGAACATCGGCTCCGTACACTATGCGCCTGAGCAAAGCGCTATTGTCTGGAAGATTAAGCAGTTTGGTGGTAGCAAGGAGTTCTTGATGCGTGCTGAGCTTGGCTTGCCTTCAGTGCGTGGTGATGATGAAAAGGGTGGTGGTATGATGGGTGGCTTCGGTGGAAGCATGGGTGGTGTTGGCGATCGCGGAAAGGGCAAGCGACCCATCAACGTCAAATTCGAGGTATGTCTGTCCCCACTCTTCTTGCGTTTGGCAATTACTGATCTTTATACAGATCCCCTACTTCACCACATCAGGCATCAATGTCAGGTATCTCAAGATCATCGAACCCAAGGTAAGACACGGAGACCACAAGAATATAGATCGTCCACTGACACCTCCTGCAGCTGCAATATCCTTCTTTGCCATGGGTCCGCTACATTACACAATCCGGCGACATTGCCGTTCGTCTACCAGACACGCAATCATGATGACAACAATAATAATGAAAACACCGTTCCATCTCCTTCATGTCATCTCTATAATCGTAGTTCTGGAATTCTTGCGTGCTGATCTGTGAACAGAGTCGAGAACGTCGCAGCCGGAACGAGACTATGCTTCCAAATCTCCCGTAATCCTTTGGGCTTGATCTTCAGAAATGCGCGATGTTTTCGAGGGCTGCATGGATCTCCAGGGGCATAACTGTTCATGTGTGCCTTTCCGGTCAATTACGCAAATCAAAGATCATTCTGCGTTTTCATGGCTACGAAACAAGGCCCACTGGCAGGCGGGAGAACATTGGTTCGAGCAAGTGTATGTGCTTTGACATCTAGAGCAATATCGCTCTGCCCTGCCCCGAGGCTTCCCTCCATCCCTCAGTCAGGTTCATGTCTGTTTCATCAACTTCTTCTTTGCTCCTTGTGCTCATCATGCCTTCTCTGCTTTAGCAACAATTTCCACGCCTTCATGGCCTTTTCCATCACCACCTACCACCTTCGTCCTCAGACACCTCAGCACCACATGTGACAATAACGCACAGCTCACAACCACATTCCCCCAGACTGCTGGTGATGATACTGACCACATGCGGACAAAACGCACACATCGAACTAAACATCCCACCACAAGGATGTCCCCAAACCCCCATACACCAATGTCCAGTCCCATTGATGAAATGCGAAGCCGTATAACCCAATGGCAAATTGTTTACGAAATTCACACTACCATCTGGGTGACACGAGTCGTCAGTAAAGAGGCGTGTTAGGAGAGCAGGGTAAGAGGTGGACTTACTGTGAGTCAAGGCGCCGTAGCCGTGCATGTTGAAGACGTCGCTAAGGACGGGGAGGTATTGGGCATCCGGGAGGAGGCACGAGGTTGTGGGGAAGTGGTGTGTGCCGTCGCTGGTGAAGGTTATGAGGTCGATGGTGATGATGGGAGGGTCGTTTGAGATGGGTGGGATGTCGGAGGTCTGGTGGACTGGTTGGTGGGACATTCTTGATGTGGGAGGGTGTGTTTTCGTTGCGTCGGTGTTGATGTTGGATTGACGGAGGTGGATTGTCGAAGATACGGCAGTGATAGAAGATGTGCTTTCGTGGTCTTTCCTTCACGTCGAAAAGATGGAAGGAGCGAACGCTTGAAAACTGCTACTCTCGGCGGACGAAAGAGGACTGTCCAATCCGTTCCTGCCTTTCCACAAGCCCTCGCTGACACGATGCAGATGGCAGAGATGATCTACTCTTTGCTACCTCCATTGCCTCGTCGACGAACACTTTCACTTCAACCGTAGTTGAAGCCTTATCGACTATTTCTTTGGAGCTTTCTGATTCGATCTTGGATATCATCGAGCTTGTTAACAAGCGATCCGTGCAGCACCTGCACCCTCCTCCCGACCGATGTGCGTTTTCCTAGTCTCGAAATCCTAGAAGCATCACACGTGACGCATTTCTTTCTTCTCATCACACCACTCTCAAGTAGCCCTGACTACTACCCAACCAACAGACCAAGATCACAGAGAGACCCTACATCATCGGAGCTCGAGTACGCGCATTAGGCACCATAACGAATTCGCTTTCGACCTCGCTCCATCGATACGATATACAGGAATCCTGCTAGGCTTCCGTTGCAAGACATATCTCGCCGACTCTCGAAGCCTCGATCTACCGCCAACTCCTATACATTAACGCTTCGGGATCTACAGTGAACACTGTAACCCTCCTTTTTGGTTGCCTATCGTGAATTATCGTGCCTTCCGACAAAGTGCTGGCCGTGCTTGCTCGACGGAGCGAGTACTTTCTTAAAAACATCTTCAATGATGTATCCTAAACTAGAAACATATCACACAAACGCAAAGATGGCATCAAGAATATCCCTTTACAGCTCGGCTCCTTTCTTCCCCACAACCATCAAATTCCTCGGACTCTCCCTATACTCAAACACAGGCAAAACCCCCACCTCCTCCATCCCCTGCTCCTCCAAATAAAACACTCTATCCAATACAATCACACTTTCCACAACTCTACAAAGCAGCACCGATAACGTCCACAATATCGCCGTCTCTGCTGATCTTCCTGCATATGCTTTTTCGTATCCGGTGACTTCTTGCTCGCTGATGTCTTTGCCAATGATGAGGTTTAATGAGGATAAGGCGCGAGAGGTATAGGTGTGGAAGCTGCGAAGGTCGCCATTGCGTATACCCCAAACTGGACGGGCGCCGTCTGCAACAAGGTTTTTGTCGAAAAGCAGTTTTTCCAGCACTGCGCGGTAGAAGTGTTTTCGTCCAAAAATGGAGTTTGGGTTGTGTATCCAGTTTGTAGGGGCTTGACATCCTGTTATCAAAGCTGAAGTTGACAAGTTCAGGTTGTGGGAGCGCATGAAGGTGGAGATTGGGAAACCGGTGGGATTGGAGGCGGAGAAGGGGGTGATGTGGTTGTAGCAGCATCCTACTACTGCGATGTGGGAGATACAAGGGGTAGTGGTGGAGAGGCGGATCATGTGTTCGGATAGTGAGCCGCAGGCGTGAAGACCGGTGAGTAGGCATTTCTCTCCTTCTGCCCATGTTGAGACTTCAGTGGCCAGTTCGTCTGTGCCGGTGACGAAGCGGGTGAGGTGGGTGATCTGATCGCCTTCTGTGAGGCCTGCTTGTTCGGCTGCTGCTTTTGAACCGGCGATTTGTTTGGCGCTGCCGTCGATGGCGAGGACTTTCAGATTGCAAGCGGCTGCTAGAGTCAAAGAGAGATAGCCTTGTCCGCTCCCGATGTCGACGACGCGGGTGATGTTATTGGTCTTGCAGACGTGGTTGATGTAGCGGGCGCCTGCTTTTACTTCCGCCAATTTCTTGGTGACCATTCTGCTGGCCAGTATCTCCGGCACTTCAACATGAGGGATTCCCTCAGGGAGAACGAATTGTTCTCGGTCAAGACTGAGATTGCGGATACAATTTAGCCACTGGGAGAGACTGTCCGGTCGACCTTGAAGATCGTGTTGCCTTGCTTCTGGCTCTTTTCGAAGGCTGTTGATCAGGTCTTTTTGTGCATCTTGTGGGTTGGATAATGATTCCCACCATGCTGTCCATTCTGATGGTAATTTTGACCAAGCGTCGTAGATGAAGGCATCGTTGACGTGAATGCCGCCAGTGATTTGCACAGAACGCGGCTCGTGCATGAATGCTATAAGATCTCGCGCAAACTGATGGATGTGAGTGTAGTCTGAAGGAAGGTCGACCATATCAGCCAATCAGGTAGCTTCGACCAAGTTGTTGAGACACGGGAACAGCACCCGAGAACAAGTGTTGGGGGAAAGACGAGGAACGAGACCAAGTCCGCGCACCTCAGCCAGTGAGATGATTCTCTCAAAGCCTTGGTCAGATTTCGCAGGAGAGCAGCGATCAACAAGGTTAGTTTAACTTGATTTAATTATTCTCAAGCTATCTACCCCGTAAAGGTTATAAGCTATCGCTGACTAATAAGCATTGTGGGCGCTAATTTCAGTAGTAAGGCGGGTATTTGTATCTTAATCGAGATAGTCGTCTAACGCCCATCTAAAGTACCCTTACGATAAACAAAGGATAGAAAAGAATAGAGCGGATCTCCTATTAGTTTAATGCATGCGCTCTGAAATACACTTGGCGCGCACACCGTCCTGTTACTGAATCCCGATTGAATTTAAGCTTCCACGCTCGGATCGGTCCCGAAGCGCACTTGTTGGTACCGAAGGTTGAACTACCGTTCGTCTCGATATCAGATACCTCCTTCTTTGCATCACCAGACTTGTCCTTCCACCTGGAATAAGCGACGATGGCGGATTGACCAATGGCAAATTGCGTCGACACATCATATGAACTCGCGACGCGCTCATACTGACGTGGCAAGCCACCCCGCCTCAGACGAAAATTGGGAGTCCACTCGTTGTCCTGGTGTGGATGATCAGCTAAAGCGCCGCTGAGAATAGCGAATCGGAGCAGAGCCTTGTACATTCTAGGCTAGATCGCATGCTTCAATCTCGCCGACCTTTACTCCGCCTCGTCGTATTCTAACGAGTAACAGGAGTGAGACTTCCACGCAGTCCACGAGCGATGCATTCATACACAAACACGAGAATTGTTTAGCTACATGCGCCACAGTTTCATGGCACCTGCGCTGAACGTCTTATAGCCTGAACCCCACCCTCGATCTTTCGCAATACCACACCACCACGATTATCATTATGTCCTACTTCGAAGAAGTTCCGTCAGTCTTCTTTCGTGTTCAAGACAAATACTCTCAAGCACAACATCGCGAGCATAGTGGTATACTTTCCAGAAACCAGTCGAATGCCAGCTTCGACCCTCATTCTGGCGAGACGAGACAGGCACTCCAGGACCACCTCGATTGGGCAAGCAGGGAGCCTTCCGCATTCATTTCTGTATACTCGGACTGGACAACGGCAGACAGAGACGCGAGGCGCCGAGTTGATAACGGGTACCAAGATGTGGTTATTTGGAAGATTGACACTCGAGAAGGGCACGAGATGGCTCAGTACCGAAACATCAGACGTCTGGCTTTCACATGCAGAATATGGGTGCCTCAAAAAGCTTGGCACAACAGCGAACATGAATGGCTGTTCCTACATCGAGTCCCTGATTCTATGGTAGTCGGGTATCGGGCGATCAAACGATATAGCACGTTGGACTTCCAGCTGACTACATTCAAGGTTTTACACTCCTCGTTAGCACTACCAAATCGGTCCCTTGACACAGCTAGCTCTGCAGTGGCTTTCATGGGTCCTACGCATAGCTTAGCAGGACGGCTATTTGACAAAGTCTATGTGAAGCTGCAATGACATAACAAGTTATAGATATATGAATCAAATTACGATTGAAGAATCAATATCTAGCTACCAGCATGGTTTACGGTGGTCATCAGAAGAAATCACATTCATGTCACGACCTCAACCGACTTGCCAAGGACTTGTGCCGCAGTTCGAAGCACTTGTATCTTGAGAACCTAGCCGCTCAGGTGAGCGCTTGGTCAGGGCCGCCAGGCATTTCAACTGCAGCGTGTGGGGGAGAGGTCGGCTGAACCGCTGGCAACAAACTAACCTAAAACACGCCCCCAGTCAACTGGGTGATGCGCCTGGCTTATTAATGGCGAGGCTGTCTTATGAGAAGATGGTGTGCTCGGTCTTCATTTTCTTTGCAAAAGAGAGTGCGCAAGTTCAGCTTCACGCGCCGAGCCAGTTCATCTTCACTAGGATCACTTTTCTACCTCCAATGATCAAACGCGATCAGCATCCCACCTCCCACACCTTGCATCCATGCGTTGACTCTAATCCTGCAGGCGTGATATTGCTTGCAAAACTTGTTTTCAGGCTGTGCATCCGCTGCAGCCATGCTCTAAGCGCCGCAGGAAAGTGTCAGCTGGGCGGTACGGATCGACGTCGTCCGAAGATATCATAGTTAACAAAATAGGGCGGGGAGATTACTGCACATGCGATCACCACCCTGCATGATGACAGGAGCAAGCTGCCAGCAAGCAATCGGCTCCTGAATATTTTGCTGATAAGGCTAGGCGGGAACTCATCCTCTGCTCATGGCCTTCAATTACTCTCAAAGGGATCTGAGCACACCTCACTGAAATGCAATCACTTCCAAACGTAGAACAAATCACTGTCTCGCGGCATGCTCGTGTCCGTAGAGTCGTGAGACATAAAGTTCGGGACATTCCAATACTCTCTGACGGTTCACCAAAAGGTCGAGCTTCCTATTACGACTTCCATTATTGAAAGTACGCTCACAGTCAGCAGTCAGCTCTGGAATAACTTCGAACGCAATTGTTGACAAGTTGTACAAAATCCAAGAGATACACGATCTTCTATGCACCTGGTTGTCTCCCTACAAAGCAGCGAACGAGGATGCTAGCACCGGAAGGACTCGAGAAAGATTTGACGAGGAATTCCCCGGCGAGGATGGACTGATCTTGATGAGCAAACGATTAGTCGACCTTTCTCGCGCCACGAAACGACTACAAGACATCCAGAACGAGATATCGAGGTTCCAGCTTGGGATTGGACGTCTGCGGCTGTCTATCACACAGAATACCACGGTCTTCATATCAGCGACCGAGTCAATACTCCTGCGAGTTTTTGACAACAAGTCCTACTGTAGATATGATCCAGCGCTTGGTATATTGAGCTCCAACTTCAAAGTGTGCAAGCCAGTGAGAAATATCGACGAGCTCAAGGCCCGCGCCGAATTGACAGAAGCAACTCTCAGAAACCATTGCGGCGGTGACAATCCAACTTCATTCATCTCCTTGACCAATAAAGTCAAGTATCTCTCCAAATATACTGAGGGGAAGTGGAAACATCGTGATCCTGACGCCCGATCATCTGCCATGGTTGCTTTGGTCAATAAGGCAAAATTGGACTACATGGAGGTTTTCTGCGCCACGTCGCGAAGTCTGGTCGAGGAAGTTGGTGCGAAGTATTGGTCTCGGAACAATCCAGACGGCGTAAGTTATGCGTCACATGAACACTTCATGGTTTACGGCTGGATCCCACCTCAATGTATCGAGAGAGTAATACCCCTCGATCATTTTAAACGTACGTGTTCCAGGATTTCGGGGGCGGTAACTGGTAGTGATGGTCCCGCCAGAGGTTGACGCTCATGCTAACTGGTAAACAGATGTCACGTCAGTTATCGAACCCGAACACATATTGGCGTATCTAGACAGTGAAGAGGACGACTCTGTGGAAGATCTATTCCGGAATTTGGGACAAACCTTGTAGTAAGATTACGTGACAGACACGACAGCATCACGTTCACCTATACGGTTCTCTATATATCCTTTCTATTAATCACTCCCTAATCTATTGACCAAGACATTGGCCAAGGTTGATTTTAGCGTGTCTTATGACAATCCAAAAATTCTTAAGGGAGTTGTTTGAGCTGTGTTACGAACACAGCGCTATTGTAAACTCGAGACGAATCAGAGATTTTGGCAGTTTTATCTGAAGAAGATCGGGTTCGGTACTCTAGAGCGAACCAGAGGTACTTCCCTGAAGAGGAAGTGTACGCTGAAAGGTTGCTGGAAGTATCTGCTGCGTGAGATCCACAATCAGTACAATGGCACCCGTCGCCCACGTAGTTAGAAACGTAGTAGTAGGAAAGGACGCCGTAGAGGAAGGCAACGTCACTTATCAAACATGGATCAATTTTTTGGCGACGATCAAAGATTAGAGTCTCGAAGCTCTCATGAAGTTTCTTAGCGAGATGCAAGCCATACCATGCGATATTATTATGGTTTGATGAAACTTGTGGATCGCGTATGTAAAGAACTCGCTGCCACAAACGCTCCAGGACTGATCTCATCACCACGATGGCCCGTCAGACTGAGTATCAGAATTGTTCCTGGATCCGTGTGCCTCCCTGTCCTTTCTTGCTGTATCGTCAGATAGGCTAGTCAAATATCCAGTCCATTACGCTGATGAGCTCGGAAAGCTCTGCTCTTCCAATGGACGTATGACCGCCCGGCCTCTTCTTCCATATCAACCTTCCGCCTCCCCTTGATAGGAACTCTTCTTCTCTAGTAATCCAGTCCCTGCGTCTAGGTCTGCCCCTTTGTCTAGTATACAGCTTTATGGATTCCCGTGCCTATATGCCGGTTGCTTTGTGCTATTTCCGCTATCATCCATTTATTACTTTGCTCCGTCTTTGCACTTATAGCACTCTATTTCTTGGTGTCTTCCGGACGCTTGAGATAGGCGATAGAAATCGAGGTTATGGGAACAAAGACGTAGTATAGAGACTTGACTGTGATGCTTCTGTAAGGCATATCCAAAGAAGTTTCCGGTCGGAAATACATCCAGTTGTTCGTGATCCCCGGTCACTACCAGAATTCGACAGCTGGACGTCCAAAAAGAGCAGTCGGCTATAAATGCCTGAGATACCTCAGCACGGCCCATCTCTCATCGCCGAAGATCAGCCACAGCAACTTTACGCGACTTTATCTCAAGATGGCTCTTCCTCCGCTCGGAGCCTCCGATCTTGCCGTCATAAGCAGACCATATGCTCAAGTCATCAACCCCAGCTGCTTGTGCAGCGACGGCACTGGAAAAGGTGATGACAGACCTGGATACACCAAGCTGACTGTTGACGATGATCGTATGGACGCATTCCGAAAGGCACTCAACGAAGCCTTCAACAACAACACCGATCTCGTCACCAAATATGGTCAGTTGAGAAACCTTGCGCTATCCCTCAGTATGTATATCATCTGCTAACAAAAAGGCTGTAGGCAAAGTGGAATTCCTCGGAGACCTACCTCGTGGTTACACTCTCTGGACGCACACGCCCGACAAGACCGTCAGGAAGAAGGAAGATGCTCGTCCCATCGAGCTTGTTTACGGTCATCCCAAGAAAGGCAAGTATTTCCGTTCAGCCACACACTTTCTGGGCCACCTCGTAGAGATCATGGCCGTCAACTGGCAGCGTCAAGAGATTATCCACCAGGCTACCAGGGAGGAGAACCTTAGACGTGGCAGGGATGCTGTCCACAGACAGAATGAGGCTAACCTTGCCACTGGCCTCTGGTATCACGAGCTTGACCCGAACAACCCTGCCCATGCCATCGGCCTGTACGACCACAAGGATATTACGGAAGCCGTTGAAAGTGATCAAGCAGCCAACCCTACTATCGACATCCCTTGTGACTGCTTCCCGGACAAGCCTAAGGCTAATCTTAAGTAAGTCTGACATTCTCCTAGATGAACTCAAATTCTGACATACAACAGGCCCTAGCTGCTCCTCTACATACCCGCTTCTGCTCTTGTATAGAGCACTATCCCATGTACCAACAGCCTCAGCAGTCAGGCCAATAAAGCATTCAACAAGAACTTAACATGCTTTCCCCTCTTTCAGATACACAATGAAGACAGTCACTACCAAATCTCTACCAACTCTCCATACTTGTACCATCATGTAAATATGTACTGTAGCTTTACCCGTTGCGTTGTGTGACTTATGCCCGGCCTCGTCGCGGCGCTCGTGTGTCTTGTGTTTTGAGGTTCAACAAATGAAACTGTGAAAAGAGTCGCGACTTACTGCTCAAACTCGGTACCCCTGGATGGGAATGCCTGACAACTCTAGCCCCTTTCATGAGTGCACCTCTGTCTTATCTTGTTGTGTGGCTCTTGTATCCTATCCATCCTGATCATCCAGGGGATTGACTCTTTGCCACAGCACAAGTAGGCGCATCCTTCATGACTGCGACATTCGGATGTCTCAACATCTCTGCACGTCAACGACCCTGATCATTTCCCTGCTTAGGGGCTTCAATAACTCCAATACCCAGGCATAAAGGTAACAGCAATTTAGAAAACATCTCAATGGCCCTTGACAGCGGTATCACACGTATCAAAAGTCACCATCGAATTCAAAACCAGAGCAGTACCACCGAGAGTATCTAGAGCAGCAAAACCAGTAGCATGATCTCACCGGTCCATCGACAGTAGAAACACACACATCAAAAGGCAAGAGGATTTTCGAAAACTCGGGTCGTCCACTGAGAGCACGGAAAGCAGTAATCATTCAAAAAACATCTCGCCAGCCATATCACCGGCATGGATAGACCCATCAAAAGGCAAGATGTAATTCAGAAACCTCTGTACGTCCACTGAGAGCACAATGAGCAGCAATCATTCAAACAACATCTCTCACACCCTACCACCAGAACACCACATCCATCAAAAGGCAAGATGCGATTCAGAAGCCTTATTTCGTCCACAGAGAGCACCTCAATCATCCCAACCTCCCCGTACTAAACATCCTCGGCAACCCACTCTCCTCGTACCTTTTCCCCTCCACAATACCCGCCAACCCCTCAGCACAAGAAAAACAAAACGACATACCTCCACCATTAAACCCAGCCGCGATATACCAATTCTCCTTCCCGGGCACTTTTCCCACGAATGGTTTGCCATCTTTGGTTTCGCCTTGAATGCCTGTCCACAGATGTGTTATTTTGGCATTGCTGTCTTCCCAGCCGTGGAAGTTGTCTTGCATGTAAGTGGAAAAGTAAGGGCGGGTGTTTGGGATAAGTGTGCTGTCATCTGTGGTATTGTACCAGAGGTGTTTTTGGGATTTGAAGAGCCAATTTGCGCCGCCGACTATGATGCCGCTGTCTGGGCGGGGGTTGAGATAGTCTACTTTGGAGTCGGGGTCGTTTTGGCGGTCGTAGTAGATGTTGTAGGTGGAGTTCAGGTGTGGAGATATAGGCTTTTCTGGTGAGATGTGGCAGGCTGTGCCTTTGTAGGGTATGATTGCTTCTTTGAAGGATGGACAGATGGCAGAGGTGTAGGCATTTGTGGCGAAGATGAGTTTTTTGGTGGTGATGCTGCCATTGGGGGTATGTAGGGTTGTGGCTAAAGAGTTAGAGGAGTCGATGGATGTGATTGGCGTGTGGGTATATAGTGATAATTCTTTGCGGTCAATCATGCGGGAGAGAAGCTGTGTGACGAACTTGTATGGCCACAAGCTGCAGGCAGGCATACTGACAGCGGCTTTTGCACCTTTGATGGAGGTAATCTTTCTTCGTCAGCATTGCGTCAACGAAATGAATGACTTGAGGATCGGCATACTTGCTCTGCATATCGTGAGTCTACGAAAGACACCTCTTTCACCCACTTGTGACCTTCCTCGACCGCGATACGATAGGTTTCTCCTGCGTCTTTGGCATCTTGCTCGTCCACGAAGACGTCGTAAGTCCGTCGCAGCTCGAACTCGCAGTCCAGTCCTTCTCTGTCAACTGCCTCTTTCATCAGGTGGCTTTGAGAGTACACGAACGCAATACATTCATCCGCAGCCTCCGCGTTATAGTCCTTGAAAAGAGTTCGAATGGAGGATATCCGCATCTTTGAATGACTCTACAATGATAGTCAGTGGAAGTAGCGATCTCTCGCATATAACCAGCATACCCCGTTTCTTCCTGTGGCTCCCGAGCAGACTTCCCGAGCTTCAAGTATGACAATTGAAGGCTTCTTCCCAGAATTATTCGCAGCGTGGAGACGTGATAGATGATATGCTGTACTGACACCAGTGATGCCGGCTCCAATTATTGCAATGTCACATTCCGAGGGCAAGTGTTCAGATGAGCGGTACGAGTCTATGGGATGTAATTCGGAACGCCAGTATGAGAGTGTAGAATTTGGTACAGGAAGACCACCATTCGTATGTCCTTTTGTAGGTCCAGGCTGCTCGTTCAGGCCAAACAAAGACCAGAAGCGGTTCATGGTGTTTTCAGCCGTCAAATGATGAGGATTGAGCTTGAAGACAGAGTCAACGAGGGAAAGAATCGCCGAGATCGATAGTCACAACCGGCAAATGTGGCGGACAACTCCTTTGCTTATCAGTCAGTCAAGTATTATCTTGTTGCCTACCAAGTTGGGAAGGCGCATGTTCCTGCGTGAGGGGTCCACAGGATGGCTGCAGCCTAACGACATCACCGTCCAATCACCCACATGCTATATCTGAGACTGAGGCCTTTGTAGACCATCTCATCAAGATCACAATTATTTGTCGGAACTGTGAAGACACGTTCTTCATCCACACCTCGGCTACAAAGTCCCATCACCATTCGGTACGGTCTCTTCTCTTTCATGCTCCACGCTTCCGCTGCGAGTAGACCTGACTTAGCAGCGAGAACAGCTCTGTTGTGCTGCTGCACTCTCCTACCCCTTCAACAGCAGAGCTTACAGCGACTGCGAGCATCCGGTCAATGATGGAAACGATGTGTCTTATGGCTCGGTGAGTCGGTCGCGTCAGAAGACCGTTGTATGCGTATAGGCACGACCGCAGATGATGCTGCATCGGGAACGAGAGAGGAAGTCCACCGCACAGAGACCCGATGACTTTCACATCGCGAGTGGCTAGACACCGGGTTGCTCTCCAGCTTCGCGGTGGAAGAATGATGAGGCTCATCAAGATGCGGCTGAAACTTGGCTGAATGTCACGCCGATCACTGCCGTCATTGCCGATGACGGAAAGACTTCCAAAACACATGGCCGCACGCAGCTTCCACATTGGACAAACAACATCTCGAGACTTTCGCAGACACCTGCATATCCGTGGCAAAAGTATGCAGCGCCTAGAATAGACAAGGCTGAGTACTTGTGAAGGTCAAGTTGACAGAATCATCCATTTCTTTGCATCTCAAGTCTCACTCGTCATCCTGCACAATCTCACTTTGACCGTTATCTGCAAGAGCTTATCACAGCCAGTCTGACTGAAGACTTCACATCCTCAAACCGAGCAACACACACGCGGTCGAATAAACCACAGACACCATGTCACAATCACAATCTTCGGCCCCGCCGCCAGAGTACACGCGACAGGACCCAACACCCTTGACACCCTCAACCCTGCTAGGAAGCTCATCACACTCTACAAAAGAAGCAATTGCTTCCGATGCGCATCTGCAATCGAGCCTACCGTCTGAACACTATTCCTCCAAGCCCACCGCATCTACCACCACCACATCAATCCCAGATTACGACCGACCGCCTTCGCACACCCCCAGCTCCCAAACAACCGCCTCTACTATCCTACCCACCTATGCTCAAACGGGCAGCTACAAAGGCTTTCCCTCAGAAGCAGCATATTTGGCTGCTCTCACTGAATGGGCCGAGACCAAGAAATACATCCAGCCATCGGAAGAAGGGCAAACACTGAGCGGTTTCTTCGGATACAAGACTATGGAGGAGTATTCCGGCCAAGGGACAAAACAAGATACGGTAAAGAAAGATGAGCGACGGGCAAGTCATGGCGACAAGGAAAAGGAAAAGCAAGGATTTATGGGATTTCTCAAGAAGATGGCGAAAAAAGATGAGGGAGGTGGACATGAGAGAGAATGAGCAACATTGTCAAAATGCAAGATTATGTTCATAACTGAAGGTATATCTAGAGAAACACTTCTCGCACAGGATATGGACGCTGCTCTCAATGGATCCCATTCCTGATTCGAAAACCACTGCATTTTGACAATATGCTTACCATACAATAACATGCACAGGAGATCACAGGTATATGATTCAGGCTCTTCCTGAAGATGGCAAACGCTGTACTAAACTTTTTTGTGCAATCTAATAGGTAGTTACCAGACAAGAGGCACAGGTGCTAGGATAAGTGCTAATGGATCTTGCAAGAAACCCGTACAGCCAGGACCTCCGGGTTGATATCCACGTGTTTAACCTACTCACCTCCCAGCTACAAGGTAGAGGATCCCACCAAAATACCCTGCCTAACTTTAATAGGCTCCAAAAACAACCAGATACTACACTAACAGCGCTCAAATCCCCCTATCCATCGCACTCCCGCCGCCGTCGTGCACATGAGTTCATCTCTGCCCACTTTCCGTGAACAATAACATCCTCTACGTCGGTTTCACGGATGGGCCGTCTTAGGGAGTTAGTGCGTCGACCTGTGGAGCGAAGTCCGCGTACTTCTCGCTATAGTCCATGGTCGACGGAACACGCTGTATCTTCTTGTTTCGACATTTTCGGGTCCAACACACTGAGGGGGCTGGATGTGCTGTGGTGGGAGTTTGTCAACGCTGCGAGGGCTTGTTTTATATTGGGACAGAGGTACGCGAGAAGTTACGAGGGAGGAATAAAGCATTTTACAAAAGTCACTCAGATTCTAACCTTTTTCACTCAGACAATAGTGGTCGTGTGAGTAGGTAGCAATCGGGATGGATATATCTAGTGACTGCTCTGCACAACTTTGCATGCAAGAAACGATCCTATCTACCATCATCAATGATCCCTCTCGTCCTCGCCCGCTCACTAGCATCTAAATGCCACTCCATACCCTGCTCCCTCTGCTCTTCAACCCCCAATCCTCTAATCTCCTCCCACTCGTCCTCTTCCATGTTCAAAATCAACGTCATCTCAGTGCACCTCACAAAAGCATCTCTGAGCGCATATTTCCCGCCCTTGACTGCCGCGTTGACGATGCCGGAGATGTCGCGTTCGAGTTTTGCGGCGCCGAGTTCGTTTACGCGACCGTAGTATGACCAGATGCGTTTTTCCAGCGCGCGGGCGAGATAGGAGATTGTGGTGCTGATGAGGAGGTCATAGGTATGCGGTGTGAGGATACGTTTGATGGGAAGTGTGAATTGCATCCACCCTCTTTCGAAGCGTTGGGGGACCATTGCATCCGTGTCCACCGTTTGCGGATCGGCATCGTCGGCGTCGAGAAGATATTCCACATCGCGGAAGGTTTCGACGAATACGGGACGTAAGCGGGGACGCATGACTTGTTTGAGAACGACTTCTACAGCTTCGGTGATGAGGTCGGATGTTTTTGAGGAAAAAGTCGTGAGGATGGAGGTTAGGGTTGTTTCTACAAAGACGGCGTCGTGGGCGAAGGGGAAGAGGTCGGGGATTGTGGCGTGTTGTTGTTGGCCTTGGTTGTTTGGGTCGAGTTTGCCGAGATTGCTGTTTACGATGCGGCGGAGGTAGTCGGTTGAGATGTCCAGGTTGTTGATGAGCACCAGGAAAGAAATGATGATGCTTTCTGGTGGGAGAGCTCCTTGGATGGCGGCCTTTGGGTAACTCTCGTCGCGCATCTTGCGTTGGATCATGCCGAAAAAGTCGCCTGTTAGTACCCGACTGACAGACGGCATGACACTGGCAACAACAGATCTTTGCGATGTGGCAAGTGTTCGTTGCAGAACTTGATTGACAATATACATGACATCGTCAACAGCGGAGGTGATGAATGGTGCATTAGATCCGAGAGGTTTGTTGGGGTTCAGAGTCAAGTCAAAAGGTGGTTCGTCCATCTGGAAGGCCTTCTCGACCGAACGACGGAAGAAGAAGGTTGACATGGTGTTGAATGGCTCGATCAAGGCTTCTACAATCTTCTTGTGCAGTCTGCTGTTGGCGAGCAAATCGGGCATGGCGATGTGTTCCTCTATTCCAGGCTGTGAAGGTGTCAGATATGGGATACCTAGCTTGTGGACTAAAGCAGAACTTACGTTGATTTTGGTAGCGACGAAACGGGTATACAGAGCCCATCGACTCAACATCATGGCGGTCTCACTCAATAGTGCGTCAACCTCCTTCATGTTGACACCTTCATCCTCACTAGCACGACTCGAGGCTGGTGAAGAGGACCTCGCAGCGGAAGACTTTTGGCTCGGAAGGAAACTCTGGACAAGAAAGGAGAAAGCATATGATTTGACGTCCTTGATCTTTCTTGCAAGATTGCGGTCATCAGCCCAGGCGTCCAATACGATGCCTCCTTGCATATCGGCCTCAGCTTGCAGTCGCTCGATGACCTTAGCCATGGAGCCCTGACCGTAGTGTCTTTCAACAAGAGGTTCATGACCATCGACGATTAGAGCAATCTGCTCAAACAGCTTGGTCAGAGCACTGGCATAGAAGAGATTGTCGGACCGCTTGTTTGTTGCACTCAGGTTGTTCCTTGCTCTTTGGGCTACGCCGGTACAGACATAACGACCGTATGCGTCCAGTCCTTGATCTGACTTGCCAATCTGTGGGAATAGCTTGAAGAAACGAGTGACCCTCTGACCGTCTCCTTCGCTCGCAGCTTTGTCAAATTCGCGCAGAAACAAGCCGCATAGACTTTCTGAGGCTTCGGTAAGGGTAACTCGCGGCGCATCGGGGACTTCGGCGGTAGGGACGATCTCTTCGGCGAAGGCACCATCGATGACATGGTCTGGAATTTGTGAGGCGCGGTGGAGGTAGGAAGCGGCCGTCTCCCAGTCTTGAGCAGCGCCCATGGAGCCATTGACACCCAAGACACAGGCCTTGAGCTCAGCGACTTGATCGACGACATTCAGAGTCGACTTTACGGCGGCTTGTTCGCGATCGAGCTGATTGACGGCATTGGAGATGCGGGAGGCCGTCGACGCTGCGGATGAGAGCATGCCATTGCTGATGGAGCGCGTCTGGACGACCTGTGATCCGAGATGAGCTCGTGCAAGGTCGAGCTTGGTCAATTGGCGTGACAGGTCGCGTTGTGAAGCGAGTAGCGCATCCAGACGGGCTGTTACTGTCGCCTCTTGTTGACCCAGTTCCGCCAACGTGGCTCGTATTTCGGCCACCGACGATGCCTTGTAGATGTCCGCACTGTCCGGCATGCTCGTCGCCAACATGCTCTTTCTCTTCTCTTCTTGACCTCTGTCTTTCTGGCTCCAGGTGTGTTTGTTTCAAGACTCCACAGTCCAGACAGCTTCTCCTTGATCTGCAACATTCAACCCAAACCATCGGGCGCATCCGACTTCCGACGCCAGCTCTCCGCACCACCTCAACATCCTTGATCCACCACCTTTCGTGCATCCACACTCAGTGACATCAACCAATTCTTTTCGCATCTTGCACTCTCTCCCACGACATGACCAATTGACCCATGAGTTGTTTCTCGATACTCTGGCTTGCGCATACGCAATCCATACAGCGAGCCGTACCCGACGCGACGCCAGCAACAAAGCCGGACATGTCGACCAAAAAAAGATGCTGCGTTTCACCTTTCGGACTTTCTAAAAATGTCTTGAAGCACTCCATCCTTCTTGGAAGCTTGTCTGTTCCTTCGAGATACGCTACTGCGTATGCCGACGATCGAGATCGCACCGTTCTGCTCCTCAAGCTCATGGTATGCCCTCTCGACCACAATCACATGGTCACATTTCGTGAATTGCAGCCTCTTAGTTACGTCGTCTTTGCTATCACCTTTTGACATGACTTACATCCTGAAGTCGGAGTGGAACTTTTCGAGAGCAAGACATGCCTTAGTGATTCTATTGTATGTCAAAGAAGTGCATTCTGAAACAACTCGACAGCAAACCCCACCAGCAAAACTAAGCACGCGCATCCTCAAGCCGCTCCAGCACATATTCAGTACATCTCGAGTAAGTCTTCTCCCGACTTGGCGACCTCCTGGCCGGAACACTCTCCTACTAGACAGTGCCGCCGAGTCGCGCTTGGTGCTGACCTTTGAAGACGAGCTCGGACTGAACATCATACTGACCCCATCATGCCCCTGCTCGTATCCTAGCCATGCGGGACAATCGTGACAGGATTGTATCGGTTTCGTCCTTGTATCTATAATTGTATGAAGGCCAAGTATCGTATCGATTTACAAAACCCATTCTCCTTCGCTGCTCCATGCATTCTCGCACGCCGGTTTTCTCTTTCTTCCCAGTGGTCTGTGACTGCTCTTCATAATATCCATTCTTCTCTTCGTTCATTAATCAACCATCACGATGGTATCCTGGGGCCGCTTGATTCTGCACGCTTTTTCTTTTTCTCCCATCTCTGATAATGGCCTTTCGAAAATCTACACGCCAGACAAAGCAAAGTTTGCTGTTCCAGCTGCTCAGCCAGCGAAAAGCGTTCTAGGAGGCTCAAACGGCAAATCATTCCATGGTCCAGCCTTCATCTTCAATGGCATGCAAGCACTGGAGAATGCTCTGGGCCAACATCAGCAAGACGGCAATTCTGTTTTAGGAAGCCTCGACGCACCGAAACTTCCCTCCTTTCGTACTGATGGCGGTACACCGCTTCCTTTTGGCTTTCCCTGGGGCCAATCAACAGCCAACAACACCAACTACTACACAGACACACCCAACACTGGTGTCACTCGTTATTACGACTTTGAGATATCTGCTGGGCAGATCGCACCTGATGGCGTTTTCAAGGAAGGTGTTCTCATCAACGGACAATTCCCTGGTCCTACCATTGAAGCAAACTGGGGGGACATGATTTCGATCACTGTCAAAAACTCGCTGGACGAGGGCACATCGATGCATTGGCATGGTGAGAAAACATTGTTACGTCGTCTCAAGATTTGCACTGACCAGAAGTAGGACTGCTTCAAAAGGCCACTCCATGGTATGATGGCGTGCCAACCATTATGCAGTGCCCAATTGCTCCTGGAAAGTCCTTCACTTACACTTTCCAAGCCGACTTGTATGGTACTAGTTGGTACCACAGCCACTTCAGTATGTTCAGAGTGTAGACTTTGCTTGGCATTATTGCTAACTGCGTGACAGGTGCACAGTATGCAGGTGGCGCAGCTGGAGCCATGATCATTTACGGACCCAAAAACGTAGACTACGACATTGACCTCGGACCGGTAATCCTCACAGACTGGTACCACCAAGATTACTACACTCTCGTTGAGCAGACGATGTCGAAAGCATCCGACAACACCCCTCAACCGGCTTCCAACAACAACCTCATCAACGGTAAAATGAACTTTCCTTGCTATGCGGGAGTCAACTGCACCGAGAACGCTGGTGTTTCGAAATTCTCCTTTACATCTGGCAAGAAACACCGGCTGCGCTTGATCAATATGAGCGCCGAAGCAATGCAGAAGTTCTCAATTGATGGACATACGATGACTGTGATTGCAAACGACTTTGTCCCTGTCGAGCCTTACGAAGTCGCCGTCGTCACTCTGGCAGTTGGTGTGTCTACCCAGTTCTACTTCGCCATTCCGGCACTTTGATGCTAACTCAACACCAGGCCAACGCACCGACATCATTGTCGAAGCCGATGGCTCGCCCACAGATAGTGTTTGGATGCGCTCCAATATCAAATACTGCTCACTAACTGACGGCACCGTCGACGAAGCCGTCGCAGCAATCTACTACGAATCCGCCGACAATACCACAATCCCCACTTCCAACAGCAGTGTCACCGTCGCCCAACTATCCTACTGCAATAACGATGACCTCAGCGTCACAAAGCCATTCTTCCCAATCACTCCTGACCCAAACCCTTCGACCACTGAGGACTTGATCATTGAGTACCGCACCAATGAGACTGATTTCAACCTCTGGTTTGTGAACAATGTGAGTTTCAGGGGTGATTACAACAATCCCGTGCTTTTGGAGGCCAAATTGGGCAATCTGGATTTTCCCGAGGAATACCACGTTATGAACTTTGGCTCCAACAACACAGTCAGGCTTGTAGTTTACAACTACTTCGCCTTCGGCGGTCATCCTATGCATCAACATGGGCACAACGTGTAAGTCCTAATCCTCGCTGTCGTCGAAAAAAGAGTCTTTTGCTGATTATGAGAAAAAAAAGGTATGTTTTGGCCGAAGGATTTGGCGAATGGGACAACACAGTCACGAATCCGGGCAACCCACAGCGTAGAGATACTGTGTGGGTGCAGGCGGCGAAGGATAAAGACACGCCGGCGTATGTGGTGTTGCAGTTTGATCAGAGTAATCCTGGAGTGTGGCCCTTCCATTGTACGTATCACCTCCCTCCCTTTCTGCCCTCCTTCATCACATGCATATCACCTCCCTGCCCCGACCTCCTTTCTCCCCTCCATCTCTGCCTTCTACAACCTCTGTCTCATTGAAAAAACCTCTGGCCTCCTCCCTTCGTCAACCTTTCTCTCTCTCTTGAACATTCCACTGACATTTTTCCATCACAGGTCACATAGCCTGGCACGTATCCGCCGGCCTCTACGTCAGCATCCTAGAACGCCCCGACGACATTCGCAAAAACATGAAGATCCCCGGTGTAATGGCGCAAAGTTGTAGGGATTGGAGTGATTTCACCGGTCGTGCTGTCGTGGATCAGATTGATAGTGGATTATAGATGTCTCCTTCTTTGCTTTCCTTCGACATATTCTTTTTTTCTTTTTTTTTTGGTTTTTCTTTTTGTGTGCGGAAAAAGGCTTTTTTGAGAGTGAGGGTTGGGGATGTTATTTTAGGCAGGATGTGTTTATAACTTTTCGCATCACGGATTAGGAGAAGTAGAGGACAACGCTTGACAAGATGGTTTGAAATACTTTAATTTCGATACGTTTACGTAGAGTAAGGAAAGAACTGGACAGCACGGAGCCGATCATCCCTTGATAGACTCCGGCGTGATTATCCCTCTCTCACGGAAACAAAAAGATTACCGCGGGCTTGAGATAGCGTCTTGATCTATCATGAGTCTCATCAGATATTGAACACGATTTCACAAATCGAATACACTTGCTTGGGTGCAGAGTTCACAAGTGTAGGGTACAAGACCATTCTTCTAGAAGATGGCGACGACATGCTTGATGAATTCATCCATGGAGCGATAGTGACTGCCGCTACAGTGATTAAGGATCTTATGAACGGTGGCGGTGCCTGAAGGGACACTACATGTACGTGAAGCCAGTGGGAGGAGCGTTGATGAACCCCGTAACCATAGCTGTATGTTGTTGCCAATTAGTGAGCTGGTTGGGAGGAGACTTATATATCGCTGGAAGGGAGTACCGTGTCTTGCGGCATCCACGCCCAGGTCGACGGGTTTGAACGGCTGCAACAAGGAAAGATCTGGTTAATTGAACAGTGATGGTAGCAAGACATGGCAGCTGTACACCCAGATATTACAAGGCTCGCTTGGGTGCAATTCGAGCCTCAGGATAATTTCTGGAGCACTTCATGTGTAAGATCCATTGGTCGTCTCAATCTTGAAGCTCACTGCTTGCAGAGGAGCCATGAGCCTATCCAAATTCGTCTGGACTGATGTGGTGGAAGCAGACCAGATGTTACTCTTCGCGGAGACGATCATGTAAGTACTTTCACGATTTATCACGACATAACTTGATATGCCGAGCTAGGTACATTCCAGTCTGGCAAAATGGAAGACTACACCACCACATATCACGAACAAGCACGACGTATGTATAGTCACTAGAAGACTTGGACTGAGGATAGAAGGTAAAAGAGTGTGTTTTTGATGATAACTATGGACTAGAGGTGTCCAGGGGAACGAACCACGTTGCGTGGCGGTTTGGAAAGCTCAGAGTTATCGCTGTAAGTATGATGACAGGTCGTGTAGCTTCTCAGTAGCGAAAAAGGTGGGTGGGCTGGATCGAGTTGATCGGGTGTTGGAGTGCTGTCGATAAGTCAGTAAGAGCTCTATATTGAACGAGATCTTGGTCACTCACGGTCGGACGAAAGAATGTCGTACGCATCAGAGCACACAGAGCACTCGCAAACGTATTCGTAGTCGTGCACGGAGTCCGTCCAAGGGTTGCGAGTGCGGCCGTGAATCAGCCAGCACGCGTGCTTGACAAACTTGGTGACGGAGTCGTAGGGTACGGCATCAGCATGAGGATGGCCGAAGAGATACTTGTCAGGAGTGGTCTTGCGGACCTTGGGCTTCTCTCCCTTGCCCTCCTTTGAGGAATTCTTCTTGTCTTGGTTCTTTCTAGCCCTGCGTGGCTTGCTGACATACACATAGCCCACTGGCAGACCACCCACGAACTTGACTTCGTCGCAATCTGTACGTGATGGTCAGCGAATGCCTACATAGTGTTATTCCACAGGATATAGATCCTACTCATGAGTTTCAACACGTCATCTTCGGGGTCATTCTGGCGTATTTCGTCAAGAAATTCGTTGAATCGTACTGTCAGGCGTTTGAGGAACAGTTGGTCGTCAAGCTTGGTGTAGATCGTGGCGTCAGCTCTTTTGCCTTGGTCCCAGTCGCTGTCGCTGTTGTCGAGGGCAAGCAAGTCGATCTCACGGACTGCGACATGGTTGGGAAAAGGTGCAAAGGCTATGTTGATGGATTGATAGTCGATGCAGAGATCATATCTGAGACGAGGGGATGACCAGCTTAAGTATGTGGTCACAGCTGACACGGACCGCAATAGAAGATGCTTGTATTTTGATACATCGTAATGGCATATTCAATGTTCTTCTCACTCTGAACAAGGAACAATCGCACATATTTGCAACCAAGAAACAAACAAGTACAAGTAGCCGCCCTCAATGGACAAAGCTGTCGATCATGGAACTATCATGCATCTTGACACGCTCAGATCGGTGAAAGCATGTTGAAAGGGTACCAGAGAAGGGACAAACATAGTCGTCAAAAAGGTGGCACTCCTGCTCCGCGGCTTAGTGCTAAGCCGCTGATCAACAAACAGGTTACATTTCGAAGTTCTCGACATGTCCGAAGAGAATGAAGATAGCTACAGCTCTCAGTCGACAACCACGTCACGGTCGAAGGTCTTTTGCATTCTCATAGGGTGAAATCACGGAAAGTTTGCCCAAAAGATGTTGCTTGTACAAGCAAAGAACTCCATACAAGAAGTCGCATCTCGGATCCACGGCAAGGCTTGCTTTTACCACATCAATATGCAGCATACCTTTGAAGATCATAACATGTCCAGTGAGAGTCAACAAACCTATACCTGTAACCTCTCAGTGGACGGAATCATCAAACTCAAAAACTCCATGCATTACACAGTGAACATTGCAGCCGGCACGATATGAGGAGACAAAGTGTATTGTGATCGAATTAATCCCTGCATGTAATCGTCCGATATTTGGCGACTTTGGGCGAAAGTCTAGGAAGGTCGCAAAAGATGGCCAGATCAATCCCTCAGGGGCATCATGTCAGGTGCCTGGACATGGCGAGCCTCCATGTTTGTATTCATCAACAGAGACCGCGTTGTGTTCGTAGCCATCAGATACACTTCTTATTTGTGTCATTGTCCGGAGAGGAATCGCCATGCCTCGATTTTCAGTGAACGTTTTCCCAAATCTGGAAGTCACTGTGCCTTCCGATGGCTATGAAATTAGCATCATCCCGCGTTCGGGAGAAAGAGACTTCATGGTATTGAGATCAGATTTTATCGAGTGATCTTCTTCTGCCTAGACAATACGCCAATGACCAAAGCCATACTAGCCAAGGCTATTTGTACAGAGAAAGTCCTGCGGAAACTTGTGACAAAGGCACGTATGACCAAACGCCGCAAACCGCCATGTAATGTTTGCACGTATGCAACATCTGCTAGCACCCTTTTTGCAATCTGTGAAAGTGGAAAATCAGTTTCTAGAGTATATCCTTTTTGAAGCATTTGGAATGACATACCTCGTCTCCGCCGAGCATTCTTCCCAAAGCTCGGTGGAGGTTTGATCTTAGTGCAGACTGGAAGATGGCGCTTGCTGCACTCACACCTGCCACCATGGCGATATTCGAGCTCAGATACATTCCAGTGGTTGCGATGGCCATTTGGTGCTTCTCGACGCCAGCCGTCAAGCCGACAAAGACGGCAGAGTTTGCCATTCCAGATGCGCAACCACCGAAGAATATGACAAGGGAGCCAGCGGTACTTGTGTGTCCGCGCCAGAGGACTAAGAGGAGGGAGAAGCAAAGCATAGCCGACATGCTGGCCAGTATAGTTGGCGGCTTGTAGCGGCCAGTGCTGTGATCTATCAGTATTAGCTACCAAGATTGAGACAGGACACTCACCGCTTGATCCATGCGCCAACAGCAAGACCACCAAGCGTGTTTCCAAAGACGGCAGGAACGAGATGTGCACCGGCTTCACCCATACTTGCGTTTGCGGTAACTTGGAAGTACAACGGCACCAAAAACATAAGCTATCGACGGATGTCAGTACGTATTATGCCATTGTCGAGCAGAGACAGGGGTTTATACTCACGGCGACCTGAATGCCAGTCTGGATAAATATGATCGAGTATGATGTAATGACTGCATGCTGTCCAAGAAGTTCCAGAGGGAAAATGGGCTCCTTGGCCCAAAACCTTTCGGTCAGAGCAAACAGAGCTCCAGCGCTAACACCAATCACAACTAAGGTGAACAAGACTGACGTGTTGGCCTTTTTACTTCCAAGATCAAAGGCCGTGATGCACGCTAGAATAGCCACTGACATGAAGAAGGCACCGACGAAATCAATGCGCTTGAGTTTCGTCCAGACACTTTGTTTTAGTTCCACCTCGTGCTGTGGCTCCTCAAGCTTCCACCAGACCAGCACGATGGAAAGCAGTAGTAGGGGACATTGTCCAATGAAAGCCCTGGTCTCGTAAGTTTTGTGCTCCGCAGATGGAACCTCCTCCTACTCACCATCGCCATCCTATCGTTTGAGTAAGATAGCCTCCTATCAGCCCTCCACAACTTCGTCCTACGGTGGAAAATATGTTGACATAACTCCGGTATGCTGCCACCTCGTGTAATGGTACCAGATCTGCAGATGGTAAGCGGATATCCGTACGATTAGTTGAAGATGGACGTACCAGTCAGTAAGATAGACACCATAGAAACCATTCCCGCACTTCCGGCACCTTGTATGATACGCCCAATGATCATCTGCATCATGTTTCTCGCGAGTCCAGCAATAGCAGTACCAATCAAAAACAGCAGATATGACATTTGCAATATTGGTTTTCTTCCAAAGATCTGGCTCAGTCTTCCATACATGGGTTGAGTAGCACAAGTCGCAAGACCGAAACTTGTCACAATCCAACTGCCATCAATCCAGCTGCCACCTCCTAATCGAATGAACTCCGAAGTGATGTGCGCGTAAGTTGCAAAGACCAGAGTTGTATCGGCCTGAGAGACAAAAACTCCAATAAGAAGCACAGAGATGATTCCAAAAACTGATCGTTCGGTTTGTTCATGCTGACTTTCTGACACGGAATCATTCCGTTGCGTTTCCAAATCGTCATTGCTATTTTCCTGGCCCAGTAATGGTGTAGTTTCCTGCTCAATGGTATTCTCAGATGCGACCAGTGGCACCTCCAATGCCGGGCGAGCAGTCATGGCTGAAATGTCAAGACAAGACAAGAAAGATCCAAGAAAACAAAATCAAGGAGAGAGAGGCGCTGACATGCAACGAGTACGTGGGGGGTATGAATAGAAGCCGTTTTAAGGTTGATTCGGCTTGAAGGAAGGATACGAACGGGTACTTAAACAAGCAGCAAGGCCACGCATGCTTACCTCCCCTTACCTTTCCATCCAATGTAGGCGTCAAATTCTGCTCGAGTAGAGTCATCGCGAATCATCGCGCCATCGGGCCGCGACATTCGGTAGTGGATGCCTAATCATTGCATTGCCGTGCATTCTGTGGATTGCTGTCGCGATAACAAGATGGTGCAATCGTTGGTTGAGCAGTCGTGATCGAGAACAGCGGACCCTGACGGAAGGCTGAGAGCTATACCGTTTCAGGAAAGATGTCACCGAAAACGTGGGGGACGAACTGCGTGCTGCTCGGAGTCCGCGGGCCAAACCTCTTCCTCACCCCGAGAATATACACGTTTACAAACAGAGAAACTCGCGAACTCGGGATTGAAGACGCTGCAATCTAGAAGATCTCGTTGACGTTCAGAGTAGGCGACGTCAGAATTCGCGAACGCACGATTACTACCGTATCTCATGGGAATTCGAAACCTTTACGGACGCACTAACATCAGCTCTCTCGGTTGTTCTATGCGTTTTTCGGAAGCCACTGGAGCAAATCGGTATGCTAGCGACAACGATGCAGAAACTGCGCCGTTCATGCAGTAAAGCTGCAGTCTTAAGAAATGCGAATTTTCTCGATACCAGTGAAACCCCTCCTTATACAATTTCGAGACGGCATGTTACTGGAGACTTTCAGGGATACCGTTCGGAGTCACTCTCAAACAGCTGTTCCAGTAACATTCAGCAATACTGGATTCTCACGCGCTACGTGCTCGGCGCCTCGGTGAATAGATGCTTACCGTAGAGATGTCAGAAATGTATCTCCATCGCCATCGCCAACCTTTGCCTGTTAATTATCTGTCCTTGGACAATACTCTAGTTAAAGGACAGGGTGGCGTGTTTGGCAAGAATCTCGAAAACTGGTCGACGATGTTACGAGTCCATGATGATCATTTCATCTATTGTGTTAATTCGTAAAGGTTTCGGTTATAATCTGCTACCTAATCAGGAGTGTTTTGTTAAGGAAAATTAATCGTTATTGTTTCGTTCATGATTGAAAATTCTCGCCATGCAGTGGTAACATTATCTCATTAATTAGACGCTCCGCTAACGAGTTAGGGGTTACGTGAATTCAAATTTTGGTGAGTAATAAGCCTGCTTGTTAGCGGAGCGTCTAAGAGTTCAATGAATTTCTACCACCTATAACGCCCTTAACTCGAGCTAATTTTGACTACTCTACGACGTATACCATATGCTATAGTACGTTTCCTTCCTAGCTTTTTAGACCTGTAGATTCTTCTAAGGCTAATTTACTATATTTTCTATATAGTAGAGTACCCCCGTGTGCGCGCCCGACTATATATTAGAAAATAATAGTTTATATGTTAAAATCCCGTCGAATAATTTTATACCTAAAATCCTTTTAATATCTAGCTATATCTTAGAGCTTATTCGGTTCGAGCTTCTAAGAAGCGGATTCTTCGGTTTCTACTTATAATCGTTAAATAAACCTTACTTATTTGGTTCGGCATCCTCCGTCTATCAGTTTATAAACATGTTACTATAGAGAAGCGTACTAGAGGCGTATTTTTGCTCGAAAGGGTATAGTTAGCGTGCCGAGACTAAATAATTACGATTCTTCTTTAAAATACCTCTAGGGGGTAATGCTAAGTAGAATCTAACCCTTAAAACCGCTATATTAGAGTCGCTAGTACCCTCTACCGCGAGCGCTACCCTATCGTAGACCCTAGGTAGTTTAGAGATATTAAGATAGACCTCGAAGATAGAGGAGGCATTTATCGCTATATTACGCACTACGAGGGACGGTAACTAGCGTACGTAGAGCAGCTCGAAAAAGTAGGTGTTAATAGAAGCTATAAGGGCCGTAAAGGAGGTCTCTTATACGCCTTACCTTGTCGAATTCTAGAAGGTTAAGAATAAGGAGACTACATTTAAGAGCTATTATAGGATATAGAAGGAGATAATAATGTAGTCCGGATAGGGTTACGACTCGAAGACAGGCCTACCGACGACTAATAAGGCTATAATAGATAATTACTTTACTAAAAAACCTAATATAGCTAAGTATCGCGATAAACCTCTTAAGTATTAGGAGGACTTCGAATATCTATACGACGATGTTCTTACAACTAGTTAGTATACTACTACTACCTCCGAGGCGTAGGAGGACTTACCCGTAGATCCTTAACTTATTAACGAAGTAAGAGCATTAGTAGAAGAGCTATTATCGGATCCGCCGTTACTAGTAACTCCTACACCTTCGAACGGCGTATCGCGCCTACTATTAAGTTAGTAGGCATTAAAAAGGGCTATAGAAGAGATAGAACGTAGTATTAAGAGGACACTAGGCGAGAGAATTAGGACAAACCTTAGGCGCCTTACTAAGGCACTTAAGAAGCTACTAATAGTAAGGGCGGTAAGCTTGTTCTTCGAAGAATTTAAGGAACTCGAGCCCTCTATATAGGCGGCGATTGCTTAGAGGCTAAGTAAAGAAAGGCTTACGTAGGTGTTCTTAAGCGCGCCGAGACCTATAAGAGTATATTATGTTACGTAATGGCGCAAGGAATTAGCGGTAGTTAATAAGGTAGTTAATGTTATTACGGCGGTAACTAGTAATGTTTTAGAGTAGATAGTTAGTCTTAGAGTTAATGTAAACAAAGTAAATCTTAGTGATTTTGCACTAATATTAGACCCTTTAAACTCCTCTCTAATCTCTCCTCTAACTAATTATCTCTTAGTAATCCTTCTACATGTTACTAGCTATACGCTCTCGAAGAGCGTTCATCTTAACTAATCTACTACCCTTAACCGGCGTAGTCCTATAATTATTATCCTTATCCTTAACCTCTTCGAGATTATCCTTATTTAAGTCCTTAGATGCGCACGTTCGGTTAGTCTTATTTATAAAGTTATAGAGACCTAGACCTCCTATTAGGACTAGTTAGAGTAGTATAGTATAGGGTCTTAGCATTACCCTATACCGCCCCAAATGTTAGGGGAATTGCTAAGACCCTATACTATTAATTAGGGTAGGGTCTTAGCAATTCCCTAGAAGTCCTAAATGGTGTATAGTATATATACATAGTTTTTTCTAGTCGAATAGGTAGAATAATAGCTCAGATAGCGCAAATAGAATAGTAGAAAGTAAAGTGTTCAAACAGGAGAGGTAAAGTTCTATCTTAGCGTTGCTAGAGCTTAGGCCAAACTCTAAATCTCCGCACAGCGTCATTACTATTAATTTTGATGCGCGCGCGCTTCTAGAATAAACACAAATCACTACTACTACAATTTTTAGTACTACTACACTAGCCGCTACTACTACGGCCCTTAAACATTATGTCTACCGCACAACTCTAGATGCCCGCTCCGGCCGTTACCCCCGTAACCCCCGTTACCGCTACCGGCTCCGCCGCCGCCCCCTCCTCCGCCGCTACTACTACTACTACTACTACTACGGGTAGACGTAAGAAGCGCTACTAGCCTATAGGCATTAAGACTAAGGCCTAGACCCCCTAGTATAAGGCTAAGTTAGCCGTAGCCGCTGCCGCCCTAGCTAAAGGCAAGAATCGTATATGTTAAGCGATACTATAGCTATATAGAACATAACTTTAGTATACTAACGATGTACGGTAGGTTATTAAGGGTCGTAAGGTCCCCGCCGCTAACGCTAATAAGAAGCGTTACCGCTTTAAGCCTAGTAGTAAGTAATATGTAGTAGTAGCGTAGTAGTAGTGTAGTAGTAGCTAAATTATATAGCCGTTGCTCTCCGCGAGATCCGCGCCTACTAGAAGACGACCGATCTCCTTATCCCTAAGGCCTCCTTCTAGAGACTCGTTCGCGAGGTCGCCTAGGTCTACGGCTCGGACATTCGCTTCTAGGTAAGCGCTCTCCTCGCCGTCTAAGAGGCTACTAAGGCCTATATTATTAAGATTATAGGTCTTACTAACCTTACTGCCATCTACGGCAAGCGTAAGTCGTAGTAGTAGCGTAGTAGTAGCGTAGTAGTAGCTAATACATCTTAGGTGTTACTATCTAGTAGAGGGACATGTAGTTCATTAGTACCTACATCTTTAACTAGACTAACGAGAAGATTAGCTCTATATAGTAGTAGGCCGTATAGGGCGTTTATAGTATTAATTAGATACTACTATTAGTAAGCTTGTTTTTAAACCCCTCTACTAATGCAAAGTCCTTTAACGTAACTATAACCCGCTTTGCATGTATTACTCCTATGTTTGCTATCTCGAAGTGTCGAGTTAGATAAGCCTTAGCCATTTCTTATAGAGCTTCGAATGCCTCTTTCTAGAACCGGTAATTATAGTTTAATACCTTAGAGCTAATCTCCTTAACTAATCGACGGAACGGCTATCTTAGAATAACAAGGTTAAATGAGTTTGTAACCGTAAGGCAGTAGATCTCATTATAGATACCATTAGCAACCTATAACCGGGTTTTAGTCTATTTTCGCGAACGGCTACTACGAGACGCTATAGTTGTTAGTATATAGTTATTAGGAAAGACTAGATAAACGTACTACTAGTGGCAGGAACTTTCGTTAGCTTCCGGATAACTTTGTAGGATGTAACTAAACATTGTAAGCTACTACTACGCTACTACTACGCTACTACTATACATTACTTACCCTATAGCCTATCCTTCGATTTCTTTGTCTACTTCTTAGCCTAGGACTAATGATTTCTTAAAGACCTTTCCACTTGTAGTGTAACTAGCTCGTTTAAATTGACTAATGTTTGCGTCGGAGCTAGGACCTCTTATGTTAATAACTAGTTAGCAGTAGGGTTAAAAGGCTTAGTAGTAGTCCCTTCGGCTACGAATAACTCGTTATTCATGTCCTCGATCATTTAAGTAATGACATCGTCGTCGTCGTCTTCATAGTTAGTATTACTAGGATCTTCGAAGTCGTTAAAGGGGTCCTATGCGTTAGGCTAGTATTAAGAAGGCATAGTAGTAGATAAAACAAGAACGAAAGCTTACGTAGGGATAGGGCACCTTTTAAAGCCTAGGAGAAGAACGTTACGTAACATATTTGCTACTACTACGCTACTACTACGCTACTACTATAACTTAGTAGCGGACTCTCTTCCGCCTAGCCCTAGTAGGTCCCTCGTCGTCGCTAATGTAGTGTAGCTTTATCGCCCGCTCGATCTCTTCCCTCCGCTATCTAAT